CGCCCGCGCACGCCGCTCTCGCTCTACAGCCGCTTGCTCTTTTCGCCGCTCAATCTGCACACTTGAAACCCGCCCAAAAATGCTTCGTCTAGATCGCCGAGTTTCCATCTCCGCAGGTGCACTCTTGGGGCCTGACGAAATCCGTAACGATTTCATCTCTGTAGTCAACGCTGCACTCGCTGGTGTCCCTCCCTCTTCTTCCTCTTCTGAACTAGACGAAGCCGTTGCATCTTCATCATCTTCATCATATTCTTCCTTTTCATTTTTATTTTCCTCATCCTCTCCATCTTCCTCCTCGTAGTACTGCTCAAATGCAAACCATTCTATCTTACTCCCCTTTTCCCGGCCCCCAACCTTAAGCACAAGTACAGGAGTTCGCGCTTCTTCAATCTGCAACAGTCTTCCACTTGCGCTAAAAAATAACCGCTGTACACTGGCAACATTTAGCACCCGCCGGCCACGTGCTTCTTCATTCCGGTCATGATACCGTCCATCCTTAAAACTTTCTTCAATAGAAAGCATGTACCGATATCCATTTTGAAGCTGCGGCTGTTGATCCTTAGGTATCCCTATTCCAGGGGCTCCCCCCTGATTCTCTTGATCCACACCCAACTCTTGTGCACCATACTTGTTAACTCGATAGATACGCACTCTGCACCGCCTGTACTCCTCTTTCCAAGATACCCGCCGACCTTGAGCTTGAAAAACACTGTACATGGTTGCCGTAAATACAGGACCCACTTGCACACGTAGTGGCATTTTCTCGTCTTCTTTTTCTTCAAGTTCCTCCACAAGCTCGTCATATCTGGCATCGGCATCTCCAAGATACCGCCCGGCAGCAAGAAACCTGCCAGGAGACACTCCAGCAGGCATTCGTGCTGAAAGATTTGCACCAGAGGTTGTTAGCGCTAATGAAACAAGAGGTACAGCCTCATCAATTCGTGCAAGAAGATCGTCCACATCTCGCTGTACCGCTTTTAATGCCCCAGCAGGTTGTTTATCTGCTAGAGCAGCCACGCGAGCATCAAATGCTGCTATATCTGCTCGCAACTGGTGAGTTAGTTCCAGTGTGCTGTCAAGCATTGTATTTCCGCGGGCGGCTCTAAAAGCTTGTTAACATTGTTGGAAAACATTTTTTTTTTAAAAACAGAAAAACTCACATGAGCTCAATCAAATCAATTGCAGGTGTTAGAACCTGGATCTTGGTTTGAAGACGTGCTTTGCTCCGTTCCAATTGCTGTGAATCATCATCTGGCGGGATTCCAGCCATGAACCGAGTTAGGTTCTTAATAGCGTAGCTTGTCGCCAGCGACACACCCGATCGAATAGCAAATGTAACTGCTTGGCTTCCTGCCTATGGCTCATTAATATTAATTTAAATTTTTCATAGATTGAAATTATTTTAAATCTCACCTTTGCTAGAATATCATCCATTGCTGTTTTTTTTGTTTTAAAATAAGTGAAGAAATAAAAAAAAAAAAAAAAAAAGGTGGAGATAATAATAATCTATCAGTGTTGATTACGTCATGTTTAGTCATTATGACAATGTGGAAAATTTTCAAAGGCTCTTGCCACAAATCAACTAACCAACCAACCAACCACCCACCGCATTTACACCCTAAAAAAAAAAAATCTGTTTGAGGTGTTCTTCTTTCTACTACTCTTTCTCTCTTTCATCCACTTGCACGCATCAAGCAACCATGTCTAATCCTAACCAGAACTCTGACGAGCAGCTTGCTCGCGATTTCCAGAACCAAGCAAACATTGGTGACCAACAGCAGCAATACGGTCAGTACAGCCAGCAGCAGCAGCAACAGCAGCAGCAGCAGCAGTACGGCCAGTATGGTCAGCAGCAATCCCAGTTCTCTTTCAACCCGGCCGCTTCTTTCACCCCAGGCCAAGGATACCAACAGTACTCTAACCAAGGTTATGGCGGCTACAATCAAGGAGGCTACCAAGGTGGCTACCAGGGAGGATACCAGGGCGGATACCAGGGAGGCTACAACAATAACTACAACAACAACAACAACTATAACCAAGGTGGCTACCGGGGCGGCCGTGGTGGTGGCCGTGGTGGCCGTGGCGGATACAGAGGTGGTCGCGGAGGCTACAACAACTACAACAACTACAATAACAATTACAACAACAGAGGCTACGATGAGCCCGAAGAAAAGACAATGACTCTGGAGGAATACCAGCAGCAAAGCCAAGCCGATCTTAATGCTCCGATAATTATGGGAAGCAACAAGAAGACCGCTTCCACAACTACACCTGCCGCAAAAACAGTTCTGAAAATTGGTGAAAAGGCCGAGCCCAAGGCTGAGGCTAAGCCCGAAACTAAGGTTGAGTCCAAGGCTGAAACTAAGGTTGAACCCAAGGTTGAAGCTAAGGAGGAACCTAAGGTTGAGGCTAAGGAGGAACCTAAGGTTGAGGCTAAGGAAGAACCCAAGGTTGAGGCCAAGGTTGAAACCAAGGCTGAACCCAAGGCTGAGGCTAAGGCTACTCCCAAGACCGAGTCTAAAAATGAAGCTTCCAAGCAGGATGCTGATGCTCTCATTAAGCAACAAGAAGACGAAATTGACGAGGAAGTTGTTTCCGATCTGTTTGGTGCAAATGAAGGTAAGGACCACGTTTCCATCATCTTTATGGGCCATGTCGATGCCGGTAAGTCTACCATGGGTGGTAACATTTTGTTCCTGACTGGTGCTGTCGACAAGCGTACCGTTGAGAAGTACGAGCGTGAGGCCAAGGACGCTGGTCGCCAGGGTTGGTACCTGTCATGGGTTATGGACACCAACAAGGAAGAGCGTGCTGAGGGTAAGACAGTTGAGGTCGGCCGTTCATACTTTGAGACAGAAAAGCGTCGTTACACTATTTTGGATGCTCCTGGTCATAAGATGTACGTGCCTTCCATGATTGGTGGTGCTTCTCAGGCCGATATCGGTGTTTTGGTTATTTCTGCTCGTAAGGGTGAGTACGAGACTGGTTTCGAAAAGGGTGGCCAGACCCGTGAACATGCTATTTTGGCCAAGACTCAAGGTGTTAACCGTCTTGTTGTTGCTGTCAACAAGATGGATGATCCCACTGTCCAGTGGTCCAAGGAACGTTACGATGAGTGTATCACCAAGCTTGCCAACTTCTTGAAGGGCACTGGCTATAACCTTAAGACTGATGTTTTCTTTATGCCTGTTTCTGGTTTCACCGGTGCTGGTCTTAAGGACCGCATTTCCAAGGAAGTGTGCCCATGGTACGATGGTCCTTCGCTCCTCGAGTACTTGGACTCTATTAAGCTTGAGAACCGTAAACTCGATGCTCCCTTTATGCTGCCCATTTCAGGCAAGGGTAAGGATCTCGGTACCATTGTCGAGGGTAAGATTGAGTCTGGTTCTATTAAGAAGGGTCAGCAGCTGCTCATCATGCCTAACAAGACTCGTGTCGAAGTACTTTCTGTTTTTAATGAGACTGAGGCTGAAGTCAATGGTGCTGTATGTGGTGAACAAGTCCGTGTCCGTGTCAAGGGCATTGAAGAAGAAGATGTCCAGATTGGGTTTGTTCTTTCGTCACTCAAACACCCCGTCCACACGGTGACTCGTTTCGAGGCCCAAGTTGCCATTGTCGAACTTGACTCGATTCTTGCCAAGGGTTTCCAATGCGTTATGCACGTCCACACGGCCATTGAGGAGGTTCAGTTTGTCGAGCTGCTGCACAAGCTTCAGCGTGGCACCAACCGTAAGTCCAAGAAGCCCCCTGCTTTTGCCAAGAAGGGTATGAAGATCATTGCCGTCTTGGAAACTACGGACCCTGTGTGTGTTGAAACTTATGACGACTTGCCACAACTTGGTCGCTTTACTCTTAGAGACCAAGGTATTACCATTGCAATTGGCAAGATTACCAAGCTGCTGAATTAAAGTGGCCAACAGAAAAAGAAAAAAAATATGAAAAAAAAATTTAGGTGTTTTTTTTTTTTTTTTGGTGTAATTATGAAGGGAAAAAAAAAAATTTAAAGTAAAAAAAAATATATGTATATTTAAATGAAGAATATATATAAAATCATTCTTTTTTTTTTTTTTTGAAATTGATTGTAAACAAACCATGTGAAAAAAAATTCTTGGTAAAAAAAAATTGAATAAATAAATATAAAAAAGCTTAAAGCAAATATCAAAAACTAAAGTACCAAAAAGAGTAACTCCGACACGGGGAATCGAACCCCGATTTCCACGGTGAGAGCGTGAGGTGATAACCATTACACTATATCGGACCTTTTTCTTAAGAAATATAAATCTTTTTAGTTACTGAATTGTCTTGGGCATACTAGTGTTTTTAAAAGTGTATAAATTTTTGGTTTAAAAAGGATAGTTACAACTGCAAATGTGGAGAGCTGGAAACAGTTCATCACATTTTAGTTGAGTGTCCTTTGCTTGAAGAGGAAAGAAAAGGACTGAAACGGATATCTCCAGAGATGGACATGTCGACTCTCTTAAACAGTTTAACTGGCTTACAAGAGATTGTAAGCTTTATCTCTGCTTGGAGGGATTAAGAAATACAATTACAGCGTTGATGAAGACAAGTGGAGATAGGTTGGGAAGGTTTGGTTATTTTAACCCCCTGTTCCTCGTAAGCTGGCATCAGGACTTATTTTCGGGCTGTTGGAGATGCAATGTTGAAGCCAAAATTAAAAGTTTATTATCAAAATGAAAAAATATATAGTATGGACAAGAAGGATAGCGCAGATGCTGATGTTATATAATTCTATAACCCTTGAATAAAAACAAACAAACAAACAAATTTTGGTTTAAAATGCAATGTTGAAGTCAAAATCAAAATTTTATTATGAAAAAATATATAGTAAGAACAAGAAGGATAGCGCAAATGCTGATATTAAATAATTCTAGAAACAAACAATTTTGTTTATATATATATATATATATATATATATATATATATATATATATATATTTTGAATCAATGAATGAATGAATGAAGGTATATCTGTTTAAAAGGGTTTTCAGGAATAAAATTAAAGTATTAATGATAGAAACAAATGAATATAACTTGGGTATGGTCTCTGTGGCTCATAATTACCTTTCTAAGCTAGCTTTAGGATTTATTATTATTATTATTATTTTTTTTTTTTCTTTTCGTGGCGGAAGAGAAGGCTGTTGGAGATGCACATTTTGAAGTTAAGTTAAGTTTAGTTAAAAGGTTATTGTGTTAAAACGGGATATTATTACAGTAGAAAGTCAAAAAAAAAAAAAAAAAAATTTCAGATTTGTTCTAGTTAACCTGTGAAATACAAAGCTCTAGGGAGGGAGGACTAGTTTTAAAAAATTGAAAAAAAAAAAAACAACTTATTCTATAATAAGTTCTTCATCATAATATATTTATTATGAATATAAAAGACTAAAGATTGAAATGTAGTTTAATTATTTACACATATATATATATATATATATATATATATATATATATATATACATGCATTCATTTTTATGACTGATAGTGGTAGTATTTATTTATTTTTATTTATTTATTTATTTATTTTTTTTTTTTTTTTGGCATTTCCTTGAGAGTAACTTTGCAGATAAACAAAAAAAAAAAAAAAAAAAGATAAGTTAATAGTGTGTGGTGGTGGTGTCACTAATTAACTAATTAACTAATTAGTTAGTTGGTTGGTTTGTTTGTTGGTTAGTTAGTGTGTAAGTACGTGTACGGTGGTGTGCCTTGCAGTGAACAGAGAAGCCACCATTTTATCAAAAAAGGAAGAAATAACTAAAATGAATCAAAATGAATCAAAATGAATCAAAATGAATCAAAATAACAAAAAATAACAAAAAAAAAGAGCTGAAAAGGGATTGAAAAGAAATTTTTAAAGAAGATTAAAACAGGGAATATTTAGCTGATCATTAAAAAAAGGAAATAAGAATTGATATATATAGTGGATTTAATTTTTCAGACTAATATATATAAAGTATAAGATCTTTAAACTTATGAATTTTTTTTTTTTGTTTCTTTAGAAAGAAAGACTAAAAGTTTGGGTGTTTTTTTTTTTTTTTGGTCCTTGAGACTGCTTAATATTAATAATAATAATATTATTAATATTAATAATAACTAGCTTTGGTAAAAGAGATAGTTAGGAATTGACTTGAAAGCTAACTCCTATGTAACCCAGTTTAGTCATATAACTAAGTCCTTGAATATACAAAAGAAAAAAAAAGAAAGAAAGAGAGAGAGAGAGAAAGAAAGAAAGAAAGAAAATCCCCCATAGTACTAAGCTCAACTGATAACCATCATCATGGCTTTAACTTTAAACCTTCTGATTTTTTTTTTTTTTGTCTCTATGTGGATTGTCGTGGTGCCATTTTGATCATGATCATTTGAAGAAAGGTCCTTTGATAAAAAAAAAATTTCCACTTCTACTACTAGAAACAAAAATAAAAATAAAAATAAAAAAAAAGGCCTAATGCACTATCATTTTATTTCCTAATTAAAAATATATATATATATATATTTCATACGGTTATTATTACCAGGAATAGATTATCATTATCATTTTCTTCTTCTTCTTCTTTTTTTTTCTTTGTCAAGGCTTTGTTTCATTATTGAAGCTAGTTTTAAAGAAGGAAAAAAAAAAAAAAAGTATTATGGTGATAAATATTCAATTAAAAAAGAAATACGCATTACTTTTATAGATTTTCTTTCTTCGTTTAAGACTTTTCAGTTAGTTTGTTTATTTTGTTAAAAAAAATTTTTGGTAAGGTGATAATTTTCACAAAGATTAATGATATCCACTTTAAACTACAAGGCAATTCACGGTAATTCACGGTGATAATTTATACGGAGTCTAGAATCAATAAGTGGCTAAGGTTATATAGAATGAAAATATATATACATTTAAGCTTCCATGTCTAAAAAGACAGTTGTGAAATTGATATCCAACACTTTATAAAAAAAAAAAAAAAAAATTAAAAGATGCAACCAATGTGTGTTGTGAGTTGTGAGTTGTGAGTTGTGAGTTGTGAGTTGTGAGTGTAGTGTGCGCAAGTGTGTATATACTATAGTTTTGTACTCACATATTAACACAACTATTAGACGTCATTTCGTATCGTATAAATTGATAATTCTGTTTAGCTAAGATTTCTTGCAAATGTCTGTATGTACATTATGTATATATTGTTTCTTTGTCAGAATCTGTAACTAACTATATATATATATATATATATAATTGGAGTCATCATAACTTATTTGTGTTTGTGGGGTTTCTTGTTTAAGTCAATTGGTAAGTTTAAAGTAATTTGAAAATTTATTAATAGTTGTCTAAAAGACTACCATAATGATGATATCATAACTTTTTAAAATAAAAAAAAAAAAAAAAAAGAAACTTAGCTGGGCTCTTGACTTAACATGCCATCTTAAAAACTATCGGATCTTATGTCCGGGTCTCAGTTGCTGTTTTTAGCAAAAAAAAAAAAAAGAAAAAAGAAAAAAAGATTACAAACCCCTTATTTATTAATATATAGTAGTATAGTTTAGTAGTTTTTTTTATATAACCAAAGGGAAACTGAGTTTCAATTGACTTATCTTCAAATTCAAATGTCGTCTTTTTTTTTGGGGGGAGGGTCGTGTCATTCATTTTTTTTTTTTAAATATTTATATACATGTAATTAAGTGACATTATTTTTTTATCCATCCATCCATCTTGAAGCAGCTCTGTGAGACTTTTTCCCTAAAAAATAAAAAAAAGATAAAGAGGGAAAAAAATAAAAAAAAATAAAAAAAATAAATTTTTTGCCCACTATATATATATATATATATATAGATAAAATATATGATTCTCGTTAAAAGTCACTCGGAAAATCTTTTCCAGACACTTAATTGAATCAAATGAGTTTTTAACGTTGATAGTACTATAGTAGTCGATATATTATCATCATAATTATCATTATCATTAACGTTAACGTTATAATTATATATATATATATATATAGAAGTTTAGATAGTGTGATTGCTGTTACATTGAATCTCTTCCTCCCAATTGATAACTGAGATTACACATTCTAATCGCTATACAAATATTGACTTTATCACTTTATTGGTTAAATCAATTGTTTTTTATTTATTAATATCAGTGGAGTTTTTTTTTTCTTTTGTATTAGTATTAGTATTTGTAGTAGTAGTAGTAATAATAATAATAATAATAATAATAATAATAATATATTTAGTTTCAGTAACTTTCAAAAAAAAAAAAATCGTTTTTTTTTTCTATTTTTCTCTTTCTTTTAATAAACTATATAAACTAATTGCTTTGCGTACTACTTTATAAAGTAAATTAATCAATACTTTAAGCCTTGTCTTTAACTAAACATATAAACGTTTTTTTTCTGTTAAATAAACAAAGTTAATAACTATAGTTATTTCTTTTTTCTTTTTTTACCTGATGACTGTTAATTTAATTTAACTTATTCTTCATCTTTGTAATTCTAAAAGAATCTTCATCACTTTTAATTCAATTAATATATATCACCATCAAAGTTAATTAATTTTGGTCTAAAGAATAATAATAATAATAATAAAAAAAAAAAAAAAAAAAAAAAAAAAAACTCTCAAATCTTTTCATTATTCTCTAAATCACAATTAGATTAATATATATATAAAAATATAAAATATAAAAAGAAATTTAATCCAAATATCTTAACTCCCCAATAAAACTCAATACAATTCTCACGCCTCCATTCCAAAAAACAAAAATAAAAAATAAATTACTTCATCCTTATTTTCTAAACTAAAATATAACCCTTTGAACAATAGTAAAACTCCCCTCCCCTTTTTTTTTTTTTTTTCATACTCTTTATATATATTCCTCTTTACCTTCTTCTTTTTAAAACCATCATACACTTCACATATTACTTCATCTTTTCACTACAATACTACCCACCTGCACCTGACCGTTCAGCCCGTGGCCCTGCTCTATGCCCAGCTCGAACCTTTTCATCCCCCCGCATCCCCGTCACAAGCTTATGATCCCCTCCTCCATTGCTTGGCCCCCGGACCGACTGTAATCCTCCTCCTCCTCCATTACTACCACCAGCACCATTACTCGTACCTCCAGCGTTCCGGTTATTAATCGAAAAGTAAACAGACCGTGCCTCTTCCACCTGCCCTATATACCCCACAAATTGCCCATACAACAGTGTGTATTCATCTGCAGGCTCCAAATACCCACTCTGCATCAACCCTAAGATCACCATGCAAATCAAACGCACCTGATGCTCCTGCTCCACAGTGTGTGCTTCTTCCCCATTATTGGTGTTCCCACTACCACTACCACTACCACTACCACTACCACTACCACTGCTGCTGCTGCTGCTGCTGCTGTTACTACTATTACTACTGCTACTGCTACTACCCGACCCGCGTCCTCCACGCGAGCTCCCATTGCTGCTTCTCCTACTTCCCCCACGACCGTTCAATGCTCCCCCTTGGCTCGTGGGTCTCAAACTATTGACACCTTCAAGCCACCGCAGTACCACGCCGTAAATAAGCTGTCGCAACTCATCACCTCTTTCCACTAAAAAATTCTGCTTTTGTGACTCACTCTTTTCTTCTTTTTCTTCGTTTTCTTCTTCTTTGGATCCTTCTTTTTCTTCTTCCTTCTCTTCGCTTGAAGGCTCTGTCACCGTGCTGATGCGAAATACAAAGTCAGCTGCAGTGTTACTCACCTGTGTATCTATACCCTCGCAAATTGCATCCAACAAAAGTTGTCGCACCTTCCCTCCAAATGACTTATCGTCCTTGTTGTTGCTTGGCTTCCAGTAGCTCAAAATGCGCAAAAGCTGTTCCAAAATGCGGCCTTTGAGTGGCGTGAAAATACCTTCCATCGTCATACTACTACCATTATCATTACTGCTGCTGCTGCTGCTGCTGCTGCTGCCTCCAGATTCCCCATTCTCATCCGTCTCCAAAATCCCGCACTTTACTAGCTGCAAAAATCGCCGACGATATTGCCAACCAACCCATTTTTCCACAGCCTCGTCTCCAGGAATCGGTTTCTGTGTGCTCTTTTCCACCAGTGGCTCCATTGTGGTTGCGTCCACGCCTTGCACTGGTAACAAATTCCGAAGATAAATAGTTTGGAATGCTCGAGAAGATGCTCGCTCTTCTTTCAGGGACTTGCCATTCGCCCTGTCTTCCAATACAATGTCTTCAAGGTCCCATCCCTTGAGTGGTAATAACGGTATTTTCTTGTTGTTGGGGGAAGCTACCCGGCTAAAGGCTGTCAAAAGTGCGCCAGCACTATGTTCATGAGCCAAGCTCTGGGACTCTCCTGCATGCATGGGCATTGTGACCACGGTATCTAGGAGCCGGTCTAAAATGTCCACCGGATCTGTGGGCGTCAATGTATTGATGACAGCCGATTCGTCTGCACCCTGTGCATCCAGTATTTCAAATATCCAAGCTAGGCTTCTGCCGGCCACAAATCCAGGTCCGTATTGTGCCTGTGGTTGTTGTGAATGATGATTATTTTTAAGAGAATCCTCGTTTTCAGGAAGAATATTCCCGCGCACATCAAAGGCTACTTTGACACATGAGTTGAGCACGGCAGCCACAGGCATGGATGAAAGAGCTGCAGCTGTGGATCCGCCATCGAGAATGCGGTGCATGAGAAACCGAAGAGACGGAACTTGAACGTAGATGCGCAGAAAGTGTGCAAAGAAGGGAGTTTTTGCCAATGGCACACCGCCCTCATTGTAGAGACGCGCCAAAATATATTCTGCAAGAATCAAGTGATGAAGAGTGGGTATTTCGGAGACGATATTTGTTTGTATTTCCTCGAAAAGTGTATTGTTATCTTGTTGTTGCTGTTGTTGTTGTTGTTTATCATTATCTTGGTCCTGTTCATTTTGGGTTGGCAGAGATTGTGTGCCGTTTTGTTGAGAATACTCAATAGCCTCAAAGATACTAATAGCGACTGTAAAAAGTCCTGGATGAAGTGAAAGATCTTCGTCATGAGAAGAGTCAGTATTATCTGGGGGCCAAGAGAAGGGGACGGAAGAGTCTTGATCTGATCCGCTGAGTTGGGTACGGACCCAAGCATCTTGAAGGAAATGACGGTAGAGAACGCCCAAAGGCGCGTTAATTTCGAGCAACGCGTCCAGAGCAAGACGAGTCATTGTATTAAATAATGTATGAGATAAAAAAAAAAAAATAATAAAAGAAACCCTCCTTCAGAATGGTTAAGGAGTAGAATTTATGGAAAGGTAGATAATAGTAATAGAGGAAGAAGGGTCTTTTTTTTTTTTTGTTGTATATGCTGATGTATTTGTGGAAGGGGCGAATAAAAGGGAAAAAAAAATGGTAGAGATAATTTTTTTTAAACTCGTTGGAATCTACACAAGAAACTTAAGGTTTGGTAGATGTACTGAAAAGAGTCTTTGGTATTATGCGTGAAATAGTAGAAACTGTAGTAGTAGTAGTAATTTATATATTGGTGAGTAAAAAAGCACGCGCACTTTTATTTTTTTTTATTATTAATATTATCGCGATAAAGACAATATGACACGGGTATATCTCCTTGACAGATCAGCAGAAGACATGCTTAAGGGTGACAATAGAGAAATATATGCAATGATCGATTGAAATGTCTAGGATTTTAAGATAAAGGGAAAGAGTAGTATGATGAGATATCGAAAAGTGTTTGTTGAAGATTATAATAATTCTCAGCTGCTGATAAAAGGTATGATGATAGAATAAAAAAAAAAAAAAGGGAAAACGCGAACGCGACTTTTAGATTAAAGATCCGCGGGAATAGTTTGAAATGAGAGTTGATTAATTAATAGAATAAAAGAAATTTGAAATGTTTAAATATAATAATTATAAATAAAACTTGTAATGAATATAAAGAGTAATTTTTGTAAATGTCTATTAAATATAACAAAAAAAATAATTTTTTTTTTTTTTTTTTTGAATATTAAATGAATATAAAAGGAAAAGAAAGAAATTAAATTTTGTAAGAGAGAAAAAAAAAAAAAAAAAAAAAAAAAAGGCTGTGATTAGAAATTTAAAAAGATTTAATTTTTTTTATTTAATTTTTTTATTTTTTTTGGTGGTAGTGCATAAAAATTTGTTTAAAAAAAAATAAAAGTTTATGGTTTTACACAGTGCACAAACAAAATAGACACAACAACCAAACAACATCAACATCAAATAGAAACACAAATTAACGCCACAAAATCAAAACATTTTTCTATTAAAAAATTTTTAAAAGATAGAAAAAAAAAACCAAACATTCAAGAATTAAAGAAAAAAAAAATTTAACATCTACAAATGTCTTCAATATGAAAGTTATAAACGCTCTTTTCATTATTTAGACAATATACAAGCTTATTTCGATCTTGTTTCTTAAAAATAAAAAATAAAAATAAAAAGCTTGTAGTTCTTTTTGTTTGTTTCAAGAGCCCGGTATATTTATTTAATAATAATAATAATGAAAATGAAAAAAAAAATCATCCTTCCGCCAAAAAATCTCATAGTAAAAAAAGAGATAATCATAAATCAATAAGAGGTAATAAAGGTATTCTTTTCTCTAGTTTTGTGTTTTTTTTTTATTATTTTTTATTAGTGCTAAGAAGAGGTGGCAAAAAACGCCGCTATTTAGGCAGAGCCAGGACCAGGGTTGGATCTTCTCTTGCCATTGACCAAAGTGACGTTAACAAATCTCTCTATAAAAAAAAAAAAAAAAAAAAGAAGTTAGAAATCAATCCTTCAAAAGATTTACTTTACAATCAAACATACTGTTGTAGAGAATTCTCTTGTGAGCACGGCCCTTGGGGACCTTGGTCTTTTCCTGCTTCTCAACCTTGGGGGTCTGAGACTTGACCTTACCGGCACGAGCGAGAGATCCGTGAACTTTTCCCTAGAAATAATGCATTAGTATTATATTTAACAAAATGATTCATTCAAACCAAGAAAGAAAAGGAAAAGATTATCTCAAAAATCTCCTCTTAACTGGTTATTTCAAAGAAAATAAAAAAAAAAAAAAAGTCGTGTAAGACATACCATTGTGATATGTGGTTATGTACAGCCTTGGTTGAGTGGTGATACCGTGGGAAAAAAAAAAAAAAAAGGGGGGGAAAAAAAGGGAGGGGGCAGGAAAAGAGAAGTGGGAAAGGGGAGAAAGAAAAAAAAAATTTCTGCGCTGTGTGAGTGTGTGTGTGTATGAGAGAGAATTTCTATGGAGAGAATAATAAGCAATAAATTGTATGATTTCCTAAAAGGGTTATATTGCGAACCACATACGAACCACGTTTAAAGGATGTTTACTATGAGGATCGCGAACCTCATAATAAATGTTACAAATGTGATTCATGTAATTATATCATTATGTAATCATTTAATGTTGTAATTTTATATTTTTTTTTTGTAATTTTGTAATTTTTATGATTTTTTTGTAATTTTTGTAATACCCACTCACACAATTTTGTTTTACTTAGATGGAGATAAAAAAAATTTTTCTTGTATTGTAGTAACGTCATACATTCTAAGTTTTGAAAATGATGAGTCGGCATTATGTACTCAAGGTATGAGATGTACACATAATTAGGGTTTAGCCCTAAAGTAAAATTTAGAAAGAGAGAATATATATTAAAATCTACCCTTTAGTTTTAATTTCTCATGGATCTAGTAATTAACATTCCTAAAGAGAAGATTAAATTTCTTATCAGTCACATGTATAGAATACTGATAAAGCATTAGCCAATTCTGTTTTAATTTTTTTTTTTTAATTTTCAATAAATTTCTAAATTTCAAGATAATGGAAATTATTCAGATCTTCTTATATTTTTTTTTCTAAACGCCAAATAAAAGAATATATTATAGAAAATTAATAGTTATAATTTAAACAAAACAAAAAAACAAACAAAAATACACAAAATAAAAACAAACAAATGTCATTAAGTTAACCATTAAAAAAGTCCTGGATTTTCATGATAGACTTTTTTTTTTTTTTTTTCTTTTTTTCTTCACAGATTTGTCTTGATGATGACGACAAAGTTTGTGATAATTAGCTAAATAAAGAAAAGCAAGTTAGCAATCCATTTATTAACAACATAATTCCTCCCTTCCCTAACTTTAATTTTAAAACTTACCGCTGCTGTGAGAGTAAATAAAATCACAATGGAAACCCTGCTTACAGGGAAAACACCCTTTTGCAGGTAATGTTGAGTGTAGAAAAACCGGAAAACACCAATTAACATGGTGAGTACTGCGAGCCAAATAAACATGCTACCCAGCATTGTACTTAGCCGGGTCAGACGTCTATCTTGAATATAGATTTTTTCTACGTAATGATAAAACTCTGGTGTTTGAACAAGTAGTGGTGGGGTTTCTGTAAGAACATACTCCGAGTCTGAAGAAGAGGAAGAAGAAGAAGAACTAGTCGAGGTTGTAGATGCATCAGTAAGAGAAGCCAAGACAGATTGTGTAACAGCCAGATTGCCAAACTCGCGGGTGGCTTCAATAAGGTTGCGAGTAGTTGTAGAAGATTGGAGACGGAAAAATTGAGTGATGGCGACGCCGATTGATGCAAATGCGAGAGAGGTACGGAGCCAAGCAAGATATGTGCGTTCGTTGGCGAGATGGTCACGGGCCACGGCGCCCTTATTTGTAAGTTCTAGTGCACCAAACATACTGATGAAGCGAGTGAAGTTAGAGATGGGAGTGGGTTTAATTTGAGAAGAGGAAGGATGAGGAGAGGAAGAAGAGGAAGAGGAAGAGGAAGAGGAAGAAGTTGTTTGTTGGTGTTGTTGATGGGAAGGTGGGACTTTTGGTCCAGTAGTGGCAGAAGCAGCAGCAGCAGTAGCAGCAGCAGCGGTGGTGTCATTTAACGCCATAGCGGGTGATTTAAGTGAGCAATTAGGATAGGTGTGGGTTATCGTGGCGTTGCTATTATTTATTTATTTATATTTAATTAATTAATTTTTTTTTTTTTGAAAATAATTAAAAAAAAAAAGGTGAATAAGATTGTATTTATTGTATGATGAAGCGCGGGGGGGGAGTAAAAGAAAAGACAGGATCACCCAGAATCTTGGAGAAAAGAGGTTTTTTTTTTTTTTTTTTTTTTTTCAAATCCAAGATCTTAGTAGAGACAGAATATGATAAAACGGGTAGTATTATGTTTGGTTGGTGATTGTTAGGGAAGATCAAAAGATGGACGGTTGGTGGTAGTGGCTTTTTTTTTTTTTTTTTTTTTTTTAATACTTAGACCTTTTTGAAATAGAAAGAATATAAAAATGATATATAGTAGTGAAATAATATAAAAATAATATAAAAAAAAAAAAAATATAAAAAAAATAAAAATAAATAAATAAACTTGAGATGAAAGTACGGCTGAAAGATTTCTGATTTTTGAAATGAAAAAAAAAAAAAAATTTACAATTAAAATACCAATTTAAGTAATTATAATTAATTTTAACATTATTAAAATAACACCATCATGTTTATATTAGTTTTTAAATTTTTAATTAAATATTGTTAATTTTAATGGTATGATTTTTTTTTATATTTAATTTAATTTAATTTAATTTATTTTATTTTGCTGAAAAAAAACATATATATATATATATATTTGTATATTGAGGTAAAAAAAAAAAAAAAAAAAAAAAAGCCACAAAATAAGTATTACGTAATATTTAAGCATAAAAAAAAACTGTGTGGGGAAAAAAAAAACCATTAAATTTAAATTTAAATTTAAATTTAAATTTAAATTTATTTAATTTATTTATTTATTTATTTAATTTTTCTTTTTTTTTTTTTTTAAATTTATATTTATCTATATAAATAAATTTATTATGAAATAAATCAAAATATTTACCTTTAAAGATTAATGAGGTTGATTATCCCACACATTGAGAAATTAATTTGATTTTGAGTGAAAAAAAAAAAAGGGGTTTGTCATATCATCATCATCACATGTAGAAAAAAAAAATTAAATAAATAAATAAAAGCCACCGTCTCCACCTGCCCTGTTTTTTTATATTTATTTTATTATTTATTTTATTTTATTATTTATTTTATTTTATTTATTTACAATATAAATGATCAGCCATATTCAATGGCTAGAGATTCTTAAATAAAACAAACAATCAATCAATCAATCTGTAGAATAAAAAGAAAGAAAAAAAAAAAGGAAGTTGAATTAAAATAAAACGCGTAGATATTCTTAAAAAAAATAAATGAATAAAATAAAATAATATAAAATCCAACATTTGGTCTTATAAAAAAAATCACCAGCTCAGTTTTCAACAAAAATAATTAGTTTTTTTTTTTTTTATTTTATTTTATTTTATTTTATTTTCATTTTCATTTTCATTTTTCCAACAAAATATTTTGCACTGTTTAAACAAACAAAATTATTGGCATATCTTTCAATGTCTTTTGAAGAAAGGAAAAAAAATTTTTTTTTTTCTTCTTCTTCTTCTTTTTCTTCTTAACTTTTTTTTTTCTCTCTTAATTAATACTTTTGCACGGGTATCTTCTGTGGCTTGTAGTTTCAATAATAATAAAAAATAATAAAAAAAAAAAAGCATTTTGTATTTCTTGCCTGGTTGAGTTTTCCTCGATCAAACAAAAAAAGACAGGCAGACATAATAATAAACACCATTCAACTAGCCCTAATCAAAATAAAAAATAAAAAATAAAAACAACTCAAAGATTTTTCTTAAAATCAAATAAATTCCTCTTTTTTTTTTTCTTTTTTCTTTTTTCTTTTTTCTTTCCTTTTTTTATTATTATTATTATTATTTTTTTTGAGCAAGAAAAAAAATAAAAAAATCAAATAAAAGTTTCTTCAGTTTATTGCCATTTTGGACTTTCTCATCTGCGGCGTTCTCACGTTCTTTTTCAATTATCATTATTATTATTACTAAGACTTAATTAATTTTTTATTTTTTGAAGGTGGAAAAAAAAAAAATTAAAAATAAAAAATAAAAATTTTTTTTTTTTTTAAAGTCCGCATTTCCCCCTTTTCAAGAAAAAAAAAAAAAAAAAACTCTTCACACACCCCACCATAGACTTAATTCAACAAACATTCAAATTTACAAATACACTGAAATGAGCGCAGCAGCTACTCCAACATTCATGAGCCATAACAACAGCAGCTCAACCTCACTAGAATCACCATCAGACTTCATGACAGATATCTTTGCTGAGCCTTCAGACTTTGCATCAGCTGAGCCAGAACCAACATATATTGATTTCCACCGCACCGCCGCGTTTGTTCGTCCAGGCGAGCCTCAGACAATCAACCTCCGGCTCGTCGGCAAATCGCCACTCTGGGGACATCTCCTATGGAACGCAGGCAAACTTACAACAGACTATATCGATGAGCATCGTGATGAGCTGGTTACAGGTCGCAACGTTTTAGAACTGGGCGCGGCAGCTGCACTACCATCTCTGGTTGCTGCTCTTTCAGCGAAAAATGTGGTCGTAACGGACTATCCTGATCCGGAACTGATTGAAAATATCCAGTACAATACTCAAAATGCAGGCCTAAGCGATAAGGATGTGAGCAAACTCAAGGTCAAGGGATATATATGGGGCAACGATGTTAATGATTTGCTGGCGCTGATCAATGATGAAGAAAGTATACCAAAAGAAGAAAAAGAAGACGAAAATACCAGAACATATACAGATGACGAGAAGTTTGATTTCTTGATTCTTTCAGACTTGATTTTTAATCACTCGGAACACCTCAAACTAGTGGCTACTATGGATAAAGCGCTAAAGCCAGATGGAACTGCTCTGGTTGTATTTTCACCCCACAGACCAAAGCTTTACCACAAGGACTTAGAATTTTTCGATGTGGCCAAAAAATATGCCAACTTTGAGATTGTGGACAAGTTCCAACGCGATTACATGCCCATGTTTGAGGAGGATGAAGAAACTCGTGAGCTCCGAGGAAAGGCCTTTGGGTACATTTTGAAGCGGGCAAAAGAATAAATGAATGTATAAATAAAAAGAAGATAAAAGAAAAGAGAAGGAGTAAATATAAGGAATATGTTTATATGGGAATTTTAAGGAGGAAAAAAAAAGGAAAAAAAGAAAAAAAAAATTGAATGAATGAGATATATATAGACTTTTAAACCTGCACTGCAGGATTATTTTATTTTATTTTATTTTATTTTATTTCCAAAAAAAAAAACTTTTAATACTATACAATATTGGTTTATATTTTAATAAATCGTCATAACGGTCGTCACATAAATAAATAAATAAAAGAAGAATGATAAGAATGATAAGAATAAAATATATATTTATATATATATTTTCTCATTCTCAATGCTTCTTTTGAAAGTTCATGTGCGCATGTGCGTGCGCGTGGATATGGCGCGCGCCAATTCCAACGCGTCCAGGTCTCTCAAGTCCACCAAGCACGTTCCCGCTATCCGAGCTATTGTCATCGCGTTTAAAAACAACTCTGCGCAGCCCCTCAGGAGAGGCAGCCGTCGCAGTGACAGTAGCATAAGCTGTGGCATAAGCCGTGGCAATTTCTGTGACTACCACAGCTCCACCCTGAACAGTAGTGGTTGCTTCACTCTGAACTGTGGTGGCTGCCGCGGTGTCTGAAGAAGCCTCTGTTGTAGTAGGAGAGGCAGTAGCCAAAGAAGAAGAAGAAGAAGAAGAAGTGGCAACAGCTGCAGAAGAACCCTGGAGCAATGCAGCGGCACTTGCACTGGCCTGAGCAAGTTCCGACTGAACAGCATACTCAAAGTTGCAACCAACAACAACATTGTACCCATTGAGGTCCTTGGCTGAGCACACGGTAGTCAGGGGACAATCAAACAAAACCCACTTGTTAAAGTTACACAATGCAAATTTCCCGTCCTTGCATGTTACTGCGTTTTCCGTGCACGAGTTTGCATCAAACGTAGCCTCGACGGCCGGCGCCGAAGACGTTGAAGACGCAGAAGAAGATGCTGATGATGCTACTGCAGCTGCAGAAACAGCATCGACAACAATGGCAACTGCAGATGTGGCAACCTCGCCATTAGACTTGGTAATAGTCGTGGCTGTGGTTGCAATCTTGACGGGCTGGATGGATGCAGTGGCTGCCTGAGACAGTACGGCGGAACTTGCGGTGGCTGCGTTTTCGGCAGGAAGTTCAACCGCATTGTTGACTGCAAAATTGGTGTTAAGACATAACGCCAAACTGCTTCCAACTTTACCGGAGCAAGAGCCTTGAACTTTGCTTGAGTCGATGATGGAACCGGAGCCTGAGGCTACGGTGGCTACTGCTGAAGCAAGGACCGTTGAGTCTGCCGAAGACGAGGATGAGGATGTGCCTGTGGAAGAAACGAGAATGGAACCATCAGCCGTGCCCGATGGTGCGGCTGAATCTGAGGCTGAGGCAGAAGCAGAGGCTGAGGCAGATTTTGAGAGATTGCGAGTGGTGACGACGGTAGAAATGTCACCAGAAAGTCTGCTAGTAAAGTCCTCGAAAAGAGTAATGAAGCGAGTGGTAGTGGCAGCAGACGAAGAAACAAATGAAGAACCACCGGACTGGAGTGCAGCAATTGCAGAAGATGCAACAGTAGAGTCCAGGTTAGTTTCGACAGCAGCAGCGTCCGCAGGTTCATCTGTAGAGGTGGCAACAGCAGTAGCAGCGGCGGCAGAAGAAGAAGAAGAAGAGGAAGAGGTTGCAGCAGTAACAGCAGCAGAAACCTTTTGTTTGTTAACAACATTTGCAGCAATTCCGGCATTTGTGGGAATAGCCTCGACGATTTGTGTGACCCAAACAACACCGTCCTCAGTGACGACGGCGGCAGACTGGGTCACGTAGACAAGTTGTGTAGCAGCACCGGCATAAACTGTAACCAAGGCAGTGGCTTCACCACCAGCGGGAGAAGAAGAAGAAACAGAGGAAGTGGCAGGAGCGGCAGAGGAAGAAGAGGAAGAGGAAGAAGAAACGGTGACAACATTTGCGGGAGAAGTGGCAACAGCAGGTTCAGGAGAAGAGGAAGAGGAAGAGGAAGAGGAAGCAATGGTAACAACTTCAACAGGAGAAGTAGCAGCAGCAGCAGGTTCAGTGGCAGGAGAAGAAGAGGAAGAAGAGACAAGGAGCTTTGTAGAATAAAGAGTGATGAATGAATGGTCAGAGGAAGAAACAGGAGCAGCGGCAGATGTTGCGGCAGACTCGACTGGGGATTGAGAAGTGACGACAGCAGGAGACTCGACTGTGGATTGAGACACAGGAGCAGCTGTTTCGATGGCAACCTCTGAGGATTGCTGTTGGTTAATAGGGGCAGATGATGATGATGATGATGCTGCGACAATGGCATCAGGGGCGTTTGATGAGACTTGTTGCCAGACAAATGTGGTGGGGGCAATAGAGGAAGAGGAAGAGGAAGAGGAAGATTGGGTAGTAGAGATTTGCTGGTAGTTGTTGTTGTTGTTGTTGTTATTGTATTGGGTCTGGTAGACTGGAGTAGAAGAGGTTTCTACGTAGTAAACAGGTGAGGAAGATGAACTGACTGGCTGGACATATACCAGAGAAGTTTGAACGGTGGAAGAAGACTGAGCATTTTCAGGAACAGCTGAAGAGGAAGAGGAGGATTGGGCATAGGCAAGGGTGGAGATCACGAGGGTGGAGGATGAGGCTGCGACGGCAAGAGTTGAGGAAGAAGAGGAAACAGATGAGACAGAAGAAACGGATGAAGACACAGCAGCGGCTCCATTGTCAATAACAACTGCGCCATCATTTGAATCAATACCATCGACACTAGAACCTGTAGTCAAACTGAACGTTGTGAGAATGTTTTTCATATCAGCTGAATAAGTTGAGCCATCCACAATGTTACCAAAAGCCTGGGAGGCGTCCCACATCATGATACCACCAAAGGACGAGTCTGAACCTATTTCAGACACAATTGTATTAATTTCAGATACAGACGAGTATCCAGAACCAGCGGCAGTAGAAGAAGCAGGAATACCAAGATAGATTTTAATGTTTTTGTTAGGCGAAGTATTTGTGGCATAGTCCTTCCAAGTGTCCCAGTTAAACCCAGACCCCTTGTCAACACCACAAGGATTATTATAAAACTGGACAAAGGCAAAATCAATATACGAATTAGCAAGAGCATCACCCACACTTGCATCTGGGTAAACACATTGAGGAGCTGCGGAAATGTAATACTCGTCGTTACCAAAGTACTCGCGCAGCTTGGTTACAAGAGCAGCATAGCCTGTGGGGTTGTTGTTTTCAATGTCGAGATCAAAGCCATCAATAATGGCATCGTCAAAGGGTCGCTGGTCAGCGGACCCGCCGCCAAACATGTTCCACAGGGTTTCTGCATAGGCCTCGGCCTCGGAATCTGAGGAAAAGCCGTAGCTACCTGCTGCACCGCCGAGTGAGAGAAGAACTTTTTTCCCAAGTCCCTGACAAGTTTTAATATCTGTAGCGATGTCTGGGCAATGGAGGAGCTGGGATCCGTCGAAGGTAGTATAACAACTGACGATATTGAGGGATGTGGAGGGGAATTCGTTGAGGAAGGAGATGACGTACATGTCTGCGGCATCGGATTGACAGTATTCACCAAGACTAAGCTGGGTGCCTTCTGAGTTTTGTCCCCAGTAGAGAACGACGTTTGAGTTGCCTGTAGCTGAGAAGGCAGCTTGGGCGAGTCCGAGCGAGGAGGCCAAGGAGAGGAGGATTGTTGAGGGAATAGAAAACTTCATTTTGGAAAGAATTTTGCTGGAGAGATCGCGCCTGGCGAGATTTATTGTTTAGAGAGAGAAATGGAGAGGTTGATAGAGAGTGACTGGAGTTTGGATAGAAGAAAAAAAAAATAAGGAAAGACTGGAGTTGGTATAGATAGGGGGAAAAAAGTCTGGAGAAACGAAAGGACACTATATTCGACCAGCGAATTTAGAAGGTAAAGAAAGAAAAAGTTGAGGGGGATTTGAGGGTGTCTATTTTGTCTATAGGACTAAACTCTGGAGGGAGGTTTTTAGATGAAGGAAGAGAGAGAGAGAGAAAGAAAAAGGAAAAGAAAAAGGGAAAGAAGAGAAAAGAGAATAATGGAGAGAGAGGGGTCATTAAGGGTTTATATATATATATATATTTTATTTTTGGGGATTAGATCATAATAATAATAAGTGCTTGTTGTATGAAGGTCAAGTTTTGTTACGAAGTAAACCTCCTTTGTGGCGGTCATAATTGTTTGCAATGGTTATAAACTTAACTTCAGAATCATTTCATTGTAAAGGGGCAGAGTTGACAGGCGGGTTTTGTTTGTTAACAGAACAAAACGCGTTTTGGAACGGCTTTTTTTTTCTTTTCTTTTATTTTATTTTACTTTATTTTTTTAAATATAAAATTATTACTATTAACAGATAATTATTTTTATATGAGATTTTATGGGATTTTACGATTTTATTTTATTTTATTTGAATTTATTTTTTTTTTTATGATTTCATTTGATATTAATTTTTTATAAGCCGCACATGGAAATGTTTCAGACAAGCGAAAAGCCTCAAAGGGAAACACACAGCCGCATGTGTTATAAAGAAATTTCTTAAAAAGAGCGCGTCTGACACGCGTTTTAAGGGGTAGAAGGCACGTGAGAAGCTTAAAAAAGTTTAAAAATAGACGTAAAAAATAAACGTAAAAGTAAAAGTAAAACAAGACATGAAAAAAAAAAATTTTTTTAACAAAAAAAAAAAAAACATTTTAACAAAAGAAGTTTTGCAAAAGAATAAAAATCAGAATGATATAATAATACAAAGAATTTAATAATATATATTTTAAAAAAATTTAACAATTTAAACAAGGATGTTTGAGAATTCATTTTAAAGAAAGAAATTAACGTAGATTATTGGTTTTGTTGTATTTAACAAATAAAAGTTTTAAAGAAACAAGGAAGAAATTAAAAAAAAAAAAAATTAAATAAATTATTGAATTAAAAGTTTTAATATATATATATAAAAGTTGAAAATAATACTAATACTACTATTAATACAAATAAAAATATATATTGAAAAAAAATACTAAAAAAAGGATCAAGTAAAGGAGGTTTTGGTTTTATATAGATTTATCGAAAAGTCTGCAACACGCCTAGTTTTCAAGCCAAGAGAAATCCTCAAAGTTAGTTGTGTCTTATTTTTCTTTGCAACAAGTTTTTATTTTTTTTTATATATAAATATAATTATATAATTATATAATTACTACTACTATAGTAGTTATAATAATTAATTCAACGCGTCTGCGCAAATGTCAATAATAATAATTTTAATAAAATAATCCAAGTCTAGTTTACTAAAGACAATCAATCAGTTGCTATATAAAAAAATATACTGGTTACAGATTGTTTTTTTAAAATATACCATCCCCCCCCCCCTTGATTGAAACATGTCTTGACGCGACAAGCAACTATATAGAAATAACCACAAAAAAAAAATTCAATTTTATTAGACTTAAAGAAAACTTGATTTTTTATTTACTTTTGACTGTGCAAATCACAAGCCTTTATAACAACTATAAACATTTATAAATATATATATCTAAACTTATAATTCCCACAACCATCCCCCAAAACTTTGAAGGACAAGAAAAATACGCTCCATGTAGGTTTATTATTAATTTTTTTTTTTTTTTTTTTTTTGATTCGTTACCAGAAAATGCATTAAATATAAATTAATTTGTTTTTTTTTTCTCCTGCGCTCAGATTGATTTCTTTCTTTTCTTTCTTTCAAGTCATTCCAGTCTGTGACACCTTTGTCTTAACGAAGCGCGAGATTTTTTTTTCTTTCTTTCTTTCTTCAAGATCCTATTGAATATTGCGTATCCAATAATCAAGAAAGAAAATTTTTTTTATTAATATTATTACTAGTATTACTAGTATTATTATTATTTTTTCATGAAATTTCTTTCAAGTCATTTTATTGTTAGACAAGGACTCTGATAAAACAACAAGGAATCTGAAAGTTTCAATCAAGCGTATTTGATTATATCGGTCTTTTGGATTTAAAGGAATATAAATATCCTAGAAAAAAATGAGCAATTTGTTTTTTTTTTTATTTTTTGTATAAAAAAAAATATATGAAAAAAATTTTTTTTTATTTTCAATCAAAAAAATTTTGTTTTTTTAATTTTTTCTTGTTTAGGTAATTAAAATCAAATCAATGTCGTCATAACTCTTTTTTTTTTTTTTTTTTTTTTACTTTAAAAAAAAATCAGAAGAAACATTGAAAAAAAAAAAGTATTTTCTTATATTTCCTATTTAAATGTTAAAATTGTTTATTAAATAATTATTTAATCTTTTATTTTTTATTAATTTATTTATTTTATTTTTAAAATTATTTTTAAAATTATTTTAATAAAAAAATATCTTTCTTTTTAAGATTTCTCTACACGCGTGTATTTGCAACGCCCATAAATCTTCAAACGTGCTTACTTATTTAGTTATTTACTTTAAAACTTTTTTCTTTTCTTACTTCCCTCAATCAAAAAAAAAAAAAAAAACAATACCCTTTTTTTTTTCTTTTTTTTCTTTTTTAATTTTTCATTTCTTTTAAAATAATAAAATAAAAATTCTTCGTTTGATATTAAGCATAACTTTGTTTACCTCGTTTATTTTAAATTGAGATGAACATCTAAGCTCTGTTTTTTTTTTTATTCAAAAACATACAGAAAAGAAATCATTCATTCATTCATTCATTCATTCATCAATAAATCTCGTTATTTTTTTTTTTTAAAATAAAACCCTTTTTTTAACATCAAATTTAAACTTGAAACTGTCTTAAAAAAAAAAAGAAAAAGTTTCACTCAATTCTTTCAAGGGAGAAAAAGACTTTATTCTATAAAATCATTTCCTAAAAATCCCATAATCCCGTAATTACTTGTAGATTAAAAATTAAAAATTAAAAATTAAAAATTAAAAATTAAATTAAACTAAAATAAACATTTCATTCATTCATTCATTCATTCATCTATTCATTCATTCATTCTATTCAACTTTGCCATCTTCTTCACAAATACATGGAATAACACTCTCCATTCACATTATGTAACTCAGAAACTCCAACCCGTACTCGCCGCTTCTGCTGCATCCTCATATAAACCTCCTCCACATACCGAGCACCCTCACCACTACCGCTACTTGTACTACCCTCCAACGGCATCGGAACAAGCCCGCCTTCCCGAAGATACGCCTCTACTAACCATTCATACCATACCCGTCCGCCATCCGTTTCCCGCCAAAGTGCCACATCTAGCTCTGCACCTTCCGGCACGTACAACGGTGCACTCAACGGGAACCATAACGGGAACCATGACACTAGGTCCTCAGAAAATGGAATCACCGGTTGCTCCTCATTCTCCCGTTTCCGCCCGTCTTTGCTCCCCATCTGCAACGTCTCGGGTCGCGTCGAAAACCCAATGTCCTTATACAACACACACTCAAAGTACCCAGCAATCCCATGCATCACACACTGCCGTGGCACTCGGAACGTGTGTTTAGCTTTCCGCGTGTTGTGTCTGTTAGATTGCGTCACTGCCGAAAGCGTCCGTGACGCTGCAACCGCCGCAGCTGCTCCTGCAGCTGCTGTTGCCGACTGGACTTCCCCACCAACAGCCCCTGTTTCTGCTTGTAGAGACATCAGCGACGATGCAACAGACGCACTGCCTGTAGTTGTTGTGGCAGCAGCTGCAGCTGCAGAAGTCGAGAAAACAGAACCCACTCCAGGACTGGCTCGGGTGGACGTCGGACTGGTAGGCGCGTGCAGCCCAATGGCGTCCAACGGGCTCACGCGGTAATACGGTGACGCAGCTGCAGAGTGCGCGTACTGCCGCAATAACCGTGCACCATATGCTGACGGGTGGGTGAACGTCCATGCCTTGGCAATTTGGTTTGGAGCAATACGATCCACCGCGTCCAGCAGCACCACGTATGGCATTTGCATCTGCGCATTGGCCGGCCGAGGTTGTTGGTGTTGGTGTTGGTGTTGGTGTTGGTGTTGGTGTTGGTGTTGTTGCTGGTGTGCTGGTGCTGAGTGTTTGCCCTGGCCGGTACTCTGTAACATGTCCTGCAACGGGAACTCGCGTGCAGACGCATACAAGGTCGCAGACATGGCTGGAGCAAACCATGAAGTGTATGACTGCGGAATCATGACGCCGTGTTCTGGATCCAGAACGCCGTTAGTGTCCAGGGCATCAAGACACTCAGGTGAAAGTTCATTATCACCAAACGACCCAAGCAATTCGCTCACAATCACGTGAGCATACCGGGGCCCGCCGGCAGGCAGGCTCCATGCACGCATGTCTGTGCACACGAGTTCGACACAATTCTTAGGAGCTTTTGAGCCTTGTTTCTGGGTCTCGTCATCATCATCGTCCTCCATGTCATTGTAATAATAATTTAGCCGCTCTTTGGTCCAGTTTGTGGCCAGCTGTCGACGCAACGTTGCACAAGCCTCTGGGTTTTTTTCCAGCGCGTAAATGTGTGCAGTGCGTCGCGCGCGTTTGGCAGCTGCAAGAGCCCGGTCCACAAGCGGACCTCTACCAGCACCGGCTACAACTATAGTGACATGCGACAGTGATTCTGGGAGATCAAATAGGGCTGAATGGATTGCGCGTTCGTAGAGAGCATACTTGACGGGGTCACGCTCAAACACGGCGTAGGTAGCATCTGGAAGGCTATCTGCGAGGGGCTGTAATGGGAGTTGTAGAACGTCTCTATGGGAAGCTCCGAAGCTGAACACTGGGGTAGGTTTAGGACGAATGCGCAGGAGGTGTCGGATATACATTAAAAAAGAAGCGTAGCCTCCTGTAAAAGCACAGTTTTCGTCGTCATCGTTGTTATTGTTATTGTTGATGTTGATGTTGTCATTGAGTGGGCCGTGCTGCTTGTCTGGGGGGGTTTTGTAGATATCTGAGAGTACAATGTGTGGAGATTTATTAAAGAAGCGACCAAGCAGGGTTTGGGTAGCTTTAGGCAGCACTGGGTACCCCTTTTGATTGGGCATGAAGATTTGACTAGAGATTGTGAGCATAGCCACAGGTTCAGCGTACCATCGGTCGAGTACGACTGGAGGCAGAGTGGCACAATTGGGAGGCACTTGTAATGCTACGTGCAAATTTTTAGGGTAATTGAGAGCAGCTCTGAGAGAGTTCCAGAGGTCCCATAGGGATAACGGGTCAACTGAAGGGACCATGATTTGGGATGGTTGTACTGATGGTTGTGCTGATGGTTGTGCTGATGGCTGTGATGATGATGGTGGTTGTTGTTTTTGCTGTGGGCTTGTTGCAGTGTTTGATTTTGAATGAGACGTTGCTGGGGCCATAGCTGGAGCTGCGTTTTCAGCAAAGGCCATTGAGACAAAGACAGCAACATTGGGACCTGCTGCGGCAAGTACTTGAGCCATTGCCCGAGTATATTGGTCGAGATTTGTTCTACGACGAGGTCCAAAGATGAGAAGCTTGGAAACTCCGGCTTTTACAGCGTAGACAGTTTCTGCGACGGCGACGCCTGCGGCCAGCGCGGCGACGCGCGGAGTATTTGCATCAAGTTCGACCCAAGGCGCAATGATTGTGATGACATTGCGAAGATGGGACCCCGGAGTGAGGACGGAGTCTCGATGTGTCAAGGTGGGTACAATCATAGCATCGAAAGGAGAGGAGACTGTTGGGTGTATGTTGTTATTGTTATTAATAATATTATTATTATTAGGTAGACCATTTGTTTGAGCAACGGCAAGATCCAAGGCTGCTTCTGTCTTAAAGTAGATACTCTTGACTTTGTCGATATAAGTTTGCGAGGAGACGCGAGAGGTTATAAAGTCATAATTGGCGTTCAGGGCTGCTTGAACGAGAGTGGAATCTGTACGTTTGAGTATTGATCCGGCAGTGGAGGCAGGGCTGGAGGAGGAGTTTGCTGGGCCAGGCGTTATTATTTTGAGGTGAGGTTTTTGGGCAAGTTTAGAAGGATTGATTAAAGGGGAGGAGGAGGAGGAGGAGGAGGAGGTTCCTTTATTGGGTAAGGTTACAGTGGAACCTGACGCTGGCGATCCTAGGGAGCCTCGTGCAGTAGTGGCGGTGGGGATAGAATTAGTTAGATAGAATTGGGGGTCATCAGCTGGAAGATTAAGGCCAATATAGAGGGGTAAATGGTAAGGATTTGGGTTTGGTTTTGTTTGAGTTGAAGAAGATTGTTGGTTGGATGATTGATTGATGGGATTATTTTGTTGATGTTGATGTTGGTGATGTTGGTGATGTTGTTGATGTTGTTGATGTTGTTGATGTTGTTGATGTTGTTGATGTTGTTGATGTTGTTGATGTTGTTGGTTATAATGATGATTATTTTGAGAAGTTTGTTGATGTTGTTTTGAAGGGAGGAAAGCATCTGGGCCTTGTGGTAGGATAGGAGTTGAAGAAGAGGATCTTCGGATAGTTTTTGTGCGGTCAGACATTTTGTTTCAGATGTAGAAAACGGTGAAGTTTAAGGGGCTTCTAATGCTTGAGCTTGAGCTTGAGCTTGTGTTTTAGCTTGAGCAGGAGATAGATAGTTGAAGTTGGTGATTTTAGAATTGAAATTGGCATGGACATAAATATTGATAAATGTCGGATTATGTTAGACCTTTTTTTTTTTTTTTAATTAATTTTAATTATTAAAAAAAAAAATATATATATATAAATAAATATAAATAAAAAAGATGGAGAAATAAAAAAGATGGAGAAATAAAAAAGAAAGAAAGACTAAAATTGAAAAAAATTAAATTAAATTAAAACTTTTTTCTTATTTTATTTTTTTTGGGTTTTTTTTTTTAAATGTCCTTGTCTATATTGAGAATAGAAGAGAAGAAAAAAAAAAAAGGGTGAAATGAAATATAATTTTTATAGTCTAAAAAAAAAAAAAAATAATAAAAATAAAAATAAAAGTTGTATTTTCTATTTTATATAAAAAAAATATATTTGATGAGAAGTTTTCATCAAAATAGTTACTACTACCACCACCTTTATTATTGTTGCTACAAAAAAAAAATCATCAACTATTGTAGAATTTATATTTATTTGATTTGGTTTGGTTTGGTTTGGTTTGGTTTGGTTTGGTTTGGTTTGGTTTATTTGGTATATTTGGTTTGTTTGGTTTGCTTAGAATGAATTACAGAAAGTCTTTAAGTCGACACTACTTAAAGATTCCAAAAATAAATAAACAAAAGAAAAAAAAACCCCTGAATTATTATTATTATTATTATTATTATTATTATTATTATTATTATTATTATTATTATTATTATTATTATTATTATTATTATTATTATTATTATTATTATTATTATTAATTATTATTATTAATTATTAATATATCAAAAAAATAAATAAATAAAAAAAAGCTCAAACAAATTTTATAAAAGCAAAGAAACTCTTTTTTTTTTTTTTTTTTTTTTTTCAATAATAATGGTGACGATGATGATGATGATGATAAATAAATATCTTTAAAATTAACAACATCAACAACAATAGCGGGAATTGTAAGGAATGAAGGCTGATGCAAATTTAGTTTAAAATCTTTATTTACTAGTCATAATAATATTATTAATAACTAACAAAACTTTAACTATAATTAATCATCAACTAATCAATTGATCCAGTAGATTTGTGGGGGAGAACAATTTTAATAGACCTGGTACTCCTTAGGAGAGAAAGAGGAGGTTCATATATAAATAAATAAAAAAATAAATAAATAAATAAATAAAAAAAATAAAAAAAATTGAAAAATTAAAGTTCCGAGACCCGAAAAAAAAGAAAAAAGAAAACAATAATTAGAAGCGCAAAATTTATTACATAGATTTATTACATCAATATTTGTAATGTCACATAACTTTATTATTGTAACAAATATATATATTTATTTATATAATTTTTTTTTTTTTTAAAAAAATATTTTGCACTACCACCACTCTCGCTTATCTAATTTTCTTAAACTCCCATCTCAAAACCTCCTTAAAAAAAAAAAAAATTTCACTTGTAAAAAAAATATATATATATATATATATATATATAAAAATCCCTTTGAAAAAAAAAAAAAAAAAAAAAATAATTAAACCTTACCAGATCTAAAGAACAAAAAAAAAAAAGTATTAAAAGAAAGAAGAATATATTTGTATATAATAAAAATAATATAAACAATAAAAAAAAATTCAATTGTTATAATCTGTAGTTTTTTTTTTTTATCTTTTCATTGTTTTAATACAAATCTAGTAGTTTAACGTATATCTTCGGTTACTCTTCACTGTACTGTCTATCATTTTTTATTTTATTTTATTTTATTTTATTTTATTTTATTTTTAATTATTTTAATTATTATTTTTTAAATTGAAAATCATCATCATCATCACCAAAATATTAAAATTTACTACTATCATCAAATTACTATATACATCTAAATACTACAAAATCTCATCAAACAAAAAATAAAAAAAAAAAAAACTTCAAATAATATCACGAAAATACAAACACTCTCTTCCTTATCACTTCCCTCCCTCTCCCTCTACTTCACTTTCAAAAATCTCCATTCTAAATACTCTCTCAATTAAACTCTATAATCATGGACAAGTACCAACAACAACAATCATCACATACCTCTCAACAACAGCAACAGCAACAGCAACAGCAACAACAGCAACAGCAGCAGCATCACCAGCGGCCGCGGATGCTTACTCCAGAAGAAAAGGCTCGTATTGTTGAATTCCAGGAAATGATCCACTATTCCACCCGCTACTCTGATGATAATTTTGAGTACCGCCACGTCATGCTCCCCAAAACAATGCTCAAAGCTATCCCACGAGACTACTTTAACCCGGAAACTGGAACCCTCAGAATCCTACTCGAACAGGAATGGCGTGGTTTAGGAATCACCCAATCTCTGGGATGGGAACACTACGAAAACCATGCACCAGAACCTCACATTTTACTCTTCAAGTATGTTTCCCTATCTTACTACCCATAAGAAATCAATAATAACTTCTCTCCCCCTTTCATTATTACTTACTATTACTTACTATTACTTACTATTACTTACTATTACTTACTATTACTTACTATTACTTACTATTACTTACTATTACTTACTATTACTTACTATTACTTACTATTACTTACTATTACTTACTATTACTTACTATTACTTATTCCTTACTAACAAACTAACAAACTAACCTACTAATAACCCTTTTTTTATAGACGACCAAAAGCTTGATCTCATCTCATCTCCAGTTAACAAAAAAAAAAATACCATGATATATATATATTATAAATAATACATAGAAATGTTTAAATCAAAATATTCCCCAAAATTTTACAACTTACACCATTCTTCTTCTCCAATCTCTCCAACTAACCGCCACTTGCCATGCTCACTCTCAACTCGGCCCTCCCGCTCAAGCTTCGTCAAATGCAAAACAACTCCACGCGCAGCTGCTCCATGCAACGTCGCAGGATATGCCCGATACAAATCTTCCACAATCTCCATCACTCCAACACTTGAAACCCCGTCTCTCAACCCATCCCCATAACTAACTTGTCCCTGATGATGCCTCCGCAAAGACCCCACAATCTCTCGCTCTCTCTGCTCCCGGTGCCCAATGTACTCTCGAACCTTGCCATGACCATCTTCAATCACGTGCCCATGCCCAGGATATACCCGCACCCTCCTGTTACTACCACTTCCACCTGCTCGAGCAAGCACCCGTGCCATTCGTTCCAAGGAATCCAAATACTCTCCCAAATCCTCAAATACTGTAGATCCCTCTCCCAGTACATTGTCACCGCTAAACATCGCAGTCTCTTCAGGTCCCTCCAACCAATAAACCAAATGGTCTGCTGCATGTCCAGGCGTGTGATGCGCAGTCAATGAAAACCCATCAAAGTCTAACCGCTCTCCATCTGCAACACCAACAAACTGCCATCCGTGTTTGGCACTCTCCCCAAGCTTTTCCCAATGAGGTTGCGGTTCCACAGGCCTTAGTCCTGCAACAACCTCATCGTCCAGCCGGTACTTGTAAATGGTTGGTATAATACCACCTTCATCTGGATTCTTCCTTTGCTGCCGCTCCTCTGCATGTTCAAGAATCTTTCGCACGCCACCAACATGATCTCCGTGCCAATGCGTAATCAGCACAGCCTCAATCTCAAACCCAACCAATGCTGCATACTTGGCCAATTTTTCATGGTATTCTTCTTGGCCCTCGCCGGTATCTATCAGCACCCGCCGTGCGCCGTTTCCAATAATGTACGTGTTGGTTCCCTGCAATGTAAACTTGCCTGGGTTAAGACCAAGCACTCGTGTTACCATAGGTGACAATACTGAAATCTCAGGAATCTGGGCTGTCCCAGTAGCCGACGAGCTGGATGAAAACCGCACTTGAGGTGGGGGATTTGTGGCCGTGGGGGTCTGAAAAGCTGTGGCGTTTGCAGCCGCTGCAACAAAAGCCATGGGCATTTTAGAAATGTATTTTCGAGTGAAGAAAGTTAGAGAAAGTATTTTGAAAGTATTTTTTTATTTTATTTTATCCTTTTTTTGGTATGATGTATAAACTGAAAACAGTAAAAATATTTGAGCTATTTTTTTATTAATTTGATGAAAGAAAGTATTATTATTTTTGGGTTAAAATAAAAAGTTTTTTTTTGAAAAAAAAAAGAAAGAAAGAAGGAAAAAAAAAAAAAAAAAATTGAGTGGCAGGACGGCCATTTTTAAAATAAAATATGTCACGTGGTACATTAGTAATTGTAAAACTAATTCTTTACCCCACACATTCCAATATATATATAAAAAAAAAGAAAAAAGCCGCTCTATATAGTAGAAAAACATTGTGGGAGTTTCCTCGGTTCAAAACGATTTTCAAATAAGTGGGACTAAAAAAAAAAAAAAAACTTATGTGGGACAAAACTTAAAAATAAAAATTATATATATATTGTTAAATTGATTTATTTTCTACCTTTTCCAATTTTTGAAAAAAAAAAAATACTTTAAGTAACTCAATTGAAACAAAAAGATAATGGTCTCTGGCGGGATCGAACCGCCGATCCTCGCGTATCACAAGGAAGTTGCTTGTTTATTAGCACGATGCCTTAACCAACTGGGCCAAGAGACCACTGTAAATAAAGTGATTATTGAAAAAGTGCGCGGCCATGCCTATATAAAGACGTGAAGAAAATTTACATACACTACTGAAAAAAAAGGGCTGGTTTTTGGGGAAAGGGCTGGATGGTGTAAAGGATAACATGTTCGCTCGAAAGCGGAAGATACTGGGTTCGATTCCCAGAATACCCCCTTTTCCTGAGGATGTGTACGGGAGTATACACCTAGACTGAAAAACCATAGGCTACCCTGGTTACAGGAATGCCGACTCTTCCGTACAGTCTAAATAGCCTGCAGGTGATTGCGGGCCGTATCTCTGACGGAAGAGATTAAGAAATACATGGGCGTCCGTGAAGATAAGTGGAAATGGGTTGGGAAGGTTTTGGGACCGACAGACTGGTTCTCCCTGTTCCTCGTAAGCTGGCATCAGGGCCCATCTTCCGGGCTACCGGAGACGCACAGAACAGAAACCATCCGTACTAAAAAGGTACAAATGAAAAACCGGCAAGTCACATAGTCAGACAATAAAAGGATAGCGCAGATGCTGATGTTATATAGTTCTATAACCCTTGAATAAAAACAAACAAACAAACAAACAATTTAATTTTTTTTTGTCTAGATATTTGGTGGTGGGCCTTACTACAGTAGTTTGTACTTCTGTATATAATGTCTAATTATTTTGAAAATAATTAATTGCAAAAGAGTTGAATAGTTTTAATATCTATTAAAAAAACTTATTATTATTGGATGATCTTAAAAAAGTTAATTGATTAAATAGGGTTGAAAACACACTGAAAAAATAAAATTTTTATAAAGTTATGTAAAAATTTGCAATTTCTGAATTTCACAGTTGACATTTTCCATTATCTTTAATTAGTAAAGAAATAAAGGACAAAAACCCAAATTTTGTTAATAAATTTAGGAAGTAATTTAGTAAATAAAAATCTTATATTAACTTGTGATATTTACACTACTTTTAAACTTGTATTCTTTAGTTGGTTCAACAATCTGAAAATTTACACACTTGTCTATCTTCTATCTTTCTTAACGACCCCCCTGCTTTTTCAATTATTTTAAATTCTTTCAAAATATTTTATAAATTTATATTTAGATCATCATATTTATCTAATATATCAATGTTTTGATATACTTTTACCTTCTTATCTGGGCTTGTTTTTTCACTTTCCCATAATTTTTGTTGTTCACTAAAAAGTTTCTTCTACCCATTTGAAAAAGTACGATTACGTAATATCACAAACTTTAATACAAAAGCACTTTTTTAGACGTTTCTTGTCCACTACAATTCAACATTAAGATTTTAGAAACTTGATCAAAGAATCAAAAGTTCTTATCAAAGCAAAAACATACAAATTAGTTGAAGATGCAAAAAATGATTCGACCCAGGATCGAACTGGGGACGTTCTGCGTGTTAAGCAGATGCCATAACCGACTGGAGTTGTGTCAAAATCCAAAACGCGTTTTCGATTTAGCCCAATTAGGAAAGTGTACTTTTTTTCCTCAAAATCCGCCTTTTTTTCGTAACGCGTTTTTTTTAAAGGGTGCTTAACCACTCGGCCAGATTTTTTGGCCCAAGCATTTTGAGAGTAACCCAACCCACAACCATTTTTCTTATATTTTAAGACTCCATTTTCATATCGATTGTCAACAACCACAACACATTCAACTCTCTTTCTTTATTTTATAAATTTATTCTTCATTTGTTAAATTTTATGGTCATATTTTTTATTTATTTTTAATTCATCTCCTTAATGTCACCAGATCTCAACCTTATCGACAAACTTGTTTGATCCACATCTACACCAAAAAGTTTGCCTGTTAATAGCGACCCTTAAGAATCAAACATTTCAGATAACAAAGTTTCTGCTAATAGATAACATCATGAAAATATTGATGCGCTAAATGATTTTGTTGTAGGGGTCAACAATCAATTGATTCAGAAAAACTTTTATACGGTCTTTATTCTTCCAAATCCAACAAACCGTTCGCTTTAAAAGTCTATTCGTACGCTGAGAGAAGCTACCAATGTCTTGAATACGACTGCAAATTATATTTTCAATACATTGTCGGAATTTAATCCTTTTATAAGGACTCAATTGATCTTGTTCATTGAAAGGTTGCTGCACTAATTTGTGAAAATCACCCCCCTTTCCTCTCAAGTATATTAACCCAGCAGATATAGAAAAAAATAAGCCTTCAGCACGAATTAATTAAATAGAATATCAGAACTAGATTTAGAGACTACAGTTGATCAAAAAACAGTGAAATAACATCACGTTCCGGAAGCGTTGCTTTGCCATGTTCAAGTGCCAAAAATTGACGCTCTCAGAATGGGTGTGATAAATCTTAAACAACAGGAGACATCTATGTATCATGATTGTTCTTATGATTTTACTCATTTCTAAACTAAAGGTGATTTAAACGAGTGATTAGAAAATAGGAAATGTGACGATAAAACATCTAGAGAGGTCATAAAGGCATCCTTAAAGCAGTTTAAGAAAAATCTAATATTACAACCACCATAAATGAAAATAACTTCGGCCACATTGTCACTACATCTATTCACAGAGTTTATGACAGTTTATACAAGCTCACGCATCCTCCCATGTTCTTCATCTGAGTCCATTCTCTCGTTGAATTGATGTTGCTGCTGCTTCAATCTACTCGATAGCTTAAATTAACCTCCTCTTCTTGATTGATCCCCATCGTTGCTTTCATCTTGATCGAGAAAATAATGATTGAAATTGAATCTATGAAGCTCATTCTGAAAATGTAGTAATTAAAATATTGAAAAAGATATTGTAGATTTTTGGTTGTTAATGGCTCTAATGATTAATGATAAGATAAAAAAAACCAAAAAAAAAAAAAAATGATTCGCAAACAATCTAATCAATTATTGCCTAAATCGTGTCTGTGCATATTCAGGGTACGGGTAAAAACCCGGATTACAAAAGCGGCCAATTTTTAATTCGCGGATTTATCATGTGACTTTCCGCTTCTTTGACACAGGTGGACTAGACCATCGAACCCTAAACCTTAAATTGTGGTCCTGATTAAGAGTTAGGTAAACACCTAACAAAACCATCAAGTAACGTAACTGGTGTTTTAAGTAAAGAAGACTGGTTCACCAAAGATTTTAAGCTTCATCTCTGCTTGGAAGGATTAAAAAATGCAATTACAATGTTGATGAAGACAAGTGGAGATAAGTTGGGAAGGTTTGATTATTTTTAACCCCCTGTTCCTCGTAAGCTGGCATCAGGACTTATTTTGGGGCTGTTGGAGATGCAATGTTGAAGCCAAAATTAAAAGTTTATTATTAAAATGAAAAGATATATAGTATGGACAAGAAAGATAGCGCAGATGCTGATGTTATATAATTCTATAACTCTTGAATAAAAACAAACAAACAAACAAACAAACAATTTAATTTTTTTTTTAAAAAATTGTTTAATTCAAAAGAAAATTTAATTTTTTTAAAATTTATTTGAAATGGTTGCCAAAAATACAAATTTGTACAAGTTATAGACACTTCTAATATACTCCTCCAATCTATCTATCTATGCCCACCGGCCCAGCATTGACATCATGCCGCACCCAAAACACATGAGCCCAAAGGCCAACATTATTCTCCCATACGATGCTTCATGGAACTCATCCGAATGCAAAAACTCCATTCCCATCAAATCCACTAACGATGTATAAATTAAAATCCCAGCAGAAATACTATCAAATACACCATTGGTGATAAGCGCATGAGCAGAGCCAGGAGGATAAGTGTTTCGCACTCCTAACCCAATGGCTATACCTATTGGAGTGGTCAATGCAAAAGCCATAGCAAACGCCCATGCAATCCATTCGTTTTTCTCGCCCCATGAAGTTTCTGCTAACCGCGATCCGAGACCCATGCCTTCAAACATTTGATGAAAACAAATGACTACATACAATGTAGTAAAAGATTCATTGGTAACAGCCAATGTTAATCCAACAAAAATAGAATGAAACACTACACCAAACTCAAGCAAACAAATGGTTGCCACTTGCGAGCTTAGGCGTGCTTTGACGTTTATGGTGGCTGTCTGGTGGAGCTTTAAAAGGGTCTTGGCATCGACTGACTCGGGCTCTTTGTTGTTACTAGTAGTACTTGTGACTGTTTCTTGAATGGGTTCCGGCAATGTCTCGATTGTTTCTCGCTTACAGGGCTCATCATCATAACTTGTATCCTCACAAGTGCAATTGTTTTCAACATCACGAGTTATTTCAGTCATACCCATCTCCTCATCATGATTCTGACTTGCAAGACCAGAAGGTCCGTGTGTGTGTGGGATATCCTCACCACCGTTTCGTTTGCGGATTATATATCTGGTTGTGATTTCGATCCAAAATGTAAAAAACATGCTTACCAATGCAATGGCTATCGAGTAGGGGTATTGTTGGAAGGGTAGAGGAAGACAGCTATTGGAAAGTGACATGACGGCTTCAAATAACAAATGCACAAAGGAGGTTCCAACAATAACTCCACTGCCAAAATATTTTGCAAAAAAGTAAACTAACATAGGCATTTTAATTCTTTTGACTTTTGAGGAAACCAATGGAAACATGACTCCAATTAATGAGGTCACGAATATCACAGGGACTGAAGAAATGCGCAGCCCAAGTTTACCATTGAAAGTGATTTGATCAGAACATGACCGGCGTACCAAGTCTCCAGAACTTTCAAAAAGAGAAGACATTGTAAAGTAATAAAAACTTTTTTTTTTTGGTATCAGGTCTTGATGAGAAAAGATTTGCCTGGTATTTATATTTGATTCTTACTTACTGAACTTTTTTTTTCTCTCTCTCAATTAGCGCAAAACCCGACAAACGGATGAGAGCATATTATTTAAACTAATTGAATATTTAATGGATTCATAGCTTTTTTTTTTATCAATGCTTGGCGACAGTTTCCTTTCTGGTGGTCTTTATTTTGAAGCCGTGCTTTGGGGTATAAAAAAATCAGGGAGTTTACAAAGATGGGATTGATTAAAAAAAATTTTTTTTTTGAAACACTTTACTTTTAGAAAAAACAAACTACTAATTAGGATTATAATCCCGATAATCAATATAATCATAAATTTGTTGATTTAAGTAAATATTTTTTAAAAAGTGTTTTTGTTTATGGAGGGACGGGAAAAAGGGAAGAAAGAAATCAGATCAACTAGGAGAACCTTAGCGGCCCTTAGGCTATTGGGGTTTTGATAATCCTGATAATCCTGATCATCTTTTTGTTTTTAAATTGTAAGATATGTTTGCACTAAATCATTCTACAGTCCGTTATATAAGTATGATTATATAGATATCATTATTTGTTTTTTTTTTTGCCATCAGATTAAAAAGATTTTAATCAAGAAGATTGATGATAATCAATAAAGTTGTTATCTTATAAGATGTCATGTCTTCGGGGTTTGCGAAAAAAAAAAAATTGTAAACCCAAGACTTTGAAATCCAGGTTTTATAATATTAAAAAAAAAAAATAAAAATTCAAGAAAATTAATAATCATCATCTTTTTAAACCTTTTCGGGAATCTGTTTGTTGGATGATTTATACTATAAAGAGGCCAATATTCCCTTGTTTTTCAAAAAATATCATAAACTTACTCCGTCTCAAAAAAAAAAAATCATTTACACACTCTAAACCCGATTTAACATTACGACCAGCGTCCTTAAAGTCTATATAAATTATAAATATTTTCTAAATTTTTTTTTATACCTATGCCCATCTTCCCAGCATCGACATTAACCCACAGCCTAAACACATAAACCCAAAGGCCAGCATGATTGTTCCATATGAAGCTTCTTGAAACTCATCCGAGTACAGAAATTCTACACCCATTAACTCTACCAAAGATGTATAAATCAAAATACCCGCAGAAATACTATCAAATACACCATTTGTAATGAGTGCGTGTGCAGACCCTGGAGGATATGTGTTTCGCACACCCAACCCAATCGCAATACCAATAGGCGTAGTCAATGCAAATGCAATGGCAAAAGTCCAAGGAACCCATTCATTCTTTTTCCCCCATGGAGTTTCTGCTAAGCGTGACCCAAGACCCATACCCTCAAACATTTGATGGAAGCAAATAACAACATAAAGTGTTGGGAACGATAAGTTGGTAACGGCCAGCGTCAGACCCACAAAAATAGAATGGAAAACAACTCCAAATTCTAGCAGACAAATGGTTGCAATCTGAGAAGTAAGACGGGCCTCAGCATTGACCGTCGCAGACCGTTGAAGCCGTAAAATTGTTTCCGCATCCATGGCTTGAAGTTCTTGGTTAGGGATGGTTGAAGTAGCCATTGGGAACGTGTGGATCTCTGTTTTCTTGTCTGGTTCTTCATATAAGTTTTCAGGGTATATTGTTTCTGACATGACTTCATTGCTACTATTGTCACATTCAACTTCAGAACTATTTTCCTCCTCCTTTTTTTCTTCTTGTTCATTATCATGACTGTGGCTGTGACGGTGGGCTAACCCTGAAGGCCCATGTGTATGAGGAATATCTTTGCCTCCATTTCTCTTGCGAATGATATACCGCGTTGTGATTTCAATCCAGAAGGTGAAAAACATGCTTACCAGGGCAATACCAATTGAATATGGGAACTGATGGAATGCTAACGGTAGACATTTATCAGATAATGATGTGACTGCTTCGTAAAGAAGATGCACAAATGATGTGCCAAAGATAACACCACTTCCAAAGTATTTAGCAAAAAAGTAAACGAGCGGAGGCATGTTAAGTTTCTTGACTCGTGAAGATACCAGAGGGAACATAACTCCGATTAGTGAAGCGACAAATACCACAGGCACTGACGATATGCGCAGACCCAATCGGCCATTATACGTTGTTGTAGATGAACATTGTCGACGCCATAGATCACCTGAGTATTCTAAATCTAAAGGAGCTATATCTGAAGACATGATTTTTTTTTTATAAAAAGGATTAAAGAGAAAAGAGTAAATAAGGAAAATAAAAGGGAACAAAATATATTGGGGAAGCGAAGTATTTATAAACGGATGCAACCATAAAATAGGTAAAGTTAAATATAAAAAATAAAATAGAGAGAAAAAAAAAGTTACATGCATTATATTTTTTTTATTTTTATTTATTTATTTAAAATTTTTTTAAGTGTAGTTTATAGTATTTGAGCTGCTGCAAAACCCGAAAAACGGCAACAAAAAGAACAAGAAAATTTTGAAAAGAGCTATATATTTTCTTTTTTATGTTATGTTATGTTATGGTATTTTATTTTTTTTTCAATGATTTAAACTTTTTTTTTTTTATTTCCCCAGTCTATTCTTGCACAATCTTGGATCTGTTGCATATAGTGGATTAGATGAGATGCGGTCAAATCATGAGAAGTTATCATGATGGTGATGATGTTAAATCAAGGAATCTTTGGGATTATAAGATTGATAAATTAGTTGATTGATATGTATATAAGGAGACTGATTTCATTTTTTTTTTACAAGATGAATGAATCTAAATAGATAGATAGGATTGATTAAAAGTGCAAACTATTGGCCGAAATCTTTTAGCACAGCCACCATAAAATGCTCCACCAGAACTACAACGAGGTCTCCTTCAAGTACCCCGAGATGAACCAAATCAGCTCATGGAAGCGTGAGAGGACCTTGAAGGTTATGGGGTTAGGTCTAGAACTGTTTAGTGGGCCGTCTAGAATTACTGTACTCTGGAGGCTACGCGCGCTTAGCATGTAACAACAGATAAAATTAACTTGTAATAATCAATTTTTTTTTTTTTTTCAAAAAGCCAAGCTTTTTAATTCTCCACCAATTCATATATATAGAGTTTGTTATAAAAGAGTATTTAGTCTTTATTTTCCTTTTTCTCTTTTGCTTATATTTACATTCCTTTTTATTGGCTGGTCCAGTTAAAGATTCTCATTCATGCTTTAAGCTGAAAAGTTTTGGTGATCTTTGAAAATTGAAAATAGAATATAGAGCGTCACAAAAAAAACCTTTAAATTTGAATACTTGGTTAACTAGCTTTTGGTTTTTTTTTTTTCTAATTATTTATTTTTTGCCAATTAAAATTACCTCAGACAACTTGCTTTGATGAGAAACTTTGTGTACTACTACTGTTTTTGTATAAAATAAACTTGAGAAAAAAAAAGGGAATATATATATTTTTTTTTAATTTACGTCTTGTTCAAACTCCGATATTGCTTCCGTTTTCATAAGAAAGCTTCCAGGTTAGGGTATATTTCCGCTTGGGAACAAGTTCCAACACACTGACTTTTTTTTTCTCAACCTCTTTCCCGATGACGGAGATCCACTATGGCATTTGTCTAGTTCAAAGAAAGTAAAGTCTATCTAATAAATGTTCTCATAGAGTTAATTAAGAATAAGAAAAAAAAAGACAAACATAGAGTACTCTGTCTTTAAACTGGGCTCATCAAGTTATTGAGTAAATTTATAAAAAAAGAGAGAAAAAAAACTTGGAACTTTGGGTTCTATCGGAGAAAAGACTGTTTTATTCAGAAATATAAGTTCCGTTTTCAATAAACAAAACGAATACAGCTGTTGGCCTGGCAAAAGAAAATTTTAGCTAAAATAATTTTTTTTCTTGAGCAATAATAAAAATAGAAAAAAGGAGAGGGCTTTTTAATTCTTCCATCAAAGTGAATGGTAATCAAATTTGTTTAGGGAATGGAAATGAATCACAAAGTCTTGCTTTTGAATTCTTATGGAGCTTTCACCATCATACGTAACACTGTTTTTTTTTAAAAAAAATTTAACTTTCTGGTAAACCCTTTAGAAACAATTTATTAAAGAAAGGCTTGCATTAGATAATTTTTCTTCTTTGTGACTTTGAATACATTTTATTATATTGAAAACTTTTAAAGACTTAGTCTAATGTTGACTGATACTCGTTTGTTGTGTTTTGTACTATTAATCTACTAAACATTTCTTGTTCTTTTTTTTTTTGCTCACTTTTTATTGGATTGTGCATGGTCGATTTACGTGTGTATTTTTTTTCTCTTCCTCTTTGTTGGTTTTCATGAAACTAAGTGTAACTTTTTAATTGCCAGGTGTCACAATCAGATAAATCATATTTTGGTATTCAAATAGATCAAATTGATATCTTTAAGAATATCAAAGTAAAAGTTTGCAATTAGAGAGATTAAATTGTATGTACTGATGTGTTTAGATATCAATTAAATCAAACTGAACTTCGTGAGGGAACAGTTTTTTTTGGGAATCACAAATTATTCTAGATTTTACCTTAATCAGATAAGTGATTATCTTATCTGAACTCCAATGATCATTACTAACTTAACTAAAAAAAATTACTTTAAAGGATAGACAAAATAAGTAAATTAATTTCTTTTTAAAAAACTTTTAAGAAAAAATAAATTGAAAAAAAATGCTCATCATTCCGTACGGGGATTTTAGTGAAATAGATCAAAAATATCCTGATTAGGAAATTAGTTAAGATGTTCCTGAAGAGCAATAAAAAAAATAGATCACCACGTTTTTTTGTTACAACAAATTTATCCATTTGTTTTTATGAGGTTTAACCTTTGGGTCATTTTGTATGGTGATTAAGTAATATGTGTAATTTAGGTATATTAAAAAAGTTTGCCCTAGCCCTTGTGGAATACTTAAACTTATTGCTTTTTTCTGGCGCATATCTCCTTTGTATAGTGATTTCTTTGAAGGTTAGTGTAAGTTTAGTCATATGGATATTGAAAGGCCTTATAGCCATATCGTAATGCAATTCCGATTTTGTTAGTTTTTTAAATTATCAAGCTTGTAGAAACCAGTAGTCAAAACTAACAAAAATTAAGAATTCCACCAGGGTTTGGTCTTTTTGTTTACTATGATATACTCTGATTCGAGATATGCGTCAAACTAGAAAACTTATAAAAATTAAGAATTCCACCAGGGTTTGGTCTTTTAATTGACTATGATATACTCTGATTTGAGATATGCGTCAAACTACGAAACTTACAAAAATTAAGAATTCCACCAGGGTTTGGTCTTTTTGTTTACTATGATATATTCAGATTCGCGATATGCGTCAGACTACAAAACTTACAAAAATTAAGAATTCCACCAGGGTTTGGTCTTTTTGTTTACTATGATATATTCAGATTCGCGATATGCGTCAGACTAGAAAACTTATAAAAATTAAGAATTCCACCAGGGTTTGGTCTTTTTGTTTACTATGATATATTCAGATTCGAGATATGCGTCAGACTAGAAAACTTATAAAAATTAAGAATTCCACCAGGGTTTGGTCTTTTTGTTTACTATGATATATTCAGATTCGAGATATGCGTCAGACTACAAAACCAACAAAAATTAAGAATTCCACCAGGGTTTGGTCTTTTTGTTTACTATGATATACTCTGATTTGAGATATGCGTCAGACTACAAAACCAACAAAAATTAAGAATTCCACCAGGGTTTGGTCTTTTTGTTTACTATGATATACTCTGATTTGAGATATGCGTCAAACTACGAAACTTACAAAAATTAAGAATTCCACCAGGGTTTGGTCTTTTTGTTTACTATGATATACTCTGATTCGAGATATGCGTCAGACTACAAAACCAACAAAAATTAAGAATTCCACCAGGGTTTGGTCTTTTAATTGACTATGATATACTCTGATTTGAGATATGCGTCAAACTACGAAACTTACAAAAATTAAGAATTCCACCAGGGTTTGGTCTTTTAATTGACTATGATATATTCAGATTCGAGATATGCGTCAAACTACAAAACTAACAAAAATTAAGAATTCCACTAGGGTTTGGTCTTTTAATAGACTATGATATATTCAGATTTGAGATATGCGTCAGACTACAAAACTTACAAAAATTAAGAATTCCACCAGGGTTTGGTCTTTTTGTTTACTATGATATACTCTGATTTGAGATATGCGTCAGACTACAAAACCAACAAAAATTAAGAATTCCACCAGGGTTTGGTCTTTTTGTTTACTATGATATATTCAGATTCGAGATATGCGTCAGACTACAAAACCAACAAAAATTAAGAATTCCACCAGGGTTTGGTCTTTTAATTGACTATGATATACTCTGATTTGAGATATGCGTCAAACTACGAAACTTACAAAAATTAAGAATTCCACCAGGGTTTGGTCTTTTTGTTTACTATGATATACTCTGATTTGAGATATGCGTCAAACTACGAAACTTATAAAAATTAAGAATTCCACCAGGGTTTGGTCTTTTAATTGACTATGATATATTCAGATTTGAGATATGCGTCAAACTACAAAACTTATAAAAATTAAGAGTTTCACTAGGGTTTGGTCTTGTAGTTAACTTTAGTACCTTTAGAGTTGATATTTCTATTGCAATGTGAAAATGGAAACTATTTCTAAGGAAGCAGACCAAATCCTTCAACATGTGTTTTTACAATCGTCAGGCATCCGTTTCAGTTGACAAGTTTCTTGATTCCCTGGTTGCGAAACATTTGCTGAACCTTTTGAGGTTTTTCTTTTTTTTTGCATTCAAAGAAACACATAAAACAAAATATATTTGGCATGAATGGATGAATTTTTTTTTCATTTTTTTAAAATCAATAATTCTAAGCCAGAACATTTTTTTACCATGGAAATATCACTTTACAAACCTTTTTTGGGTTATTTCACTTGATTCCAAGCGCCAGAATCTCTGACTATTTTTCGATTGACGGCACAGATAGAGATTTTTTTGTCCACATATATTAAGTTTTAATGGTGCAGTACTACATTAAAGATGCATTTGAATGGGCTGTGAGACTCCAATTTTAAGAAGTTTTGACATCCACGATACCTTTTTTATTATTGTTATATTGGAATGTTTGCTAAAAACAAAACCTTTTTTTATATAGCAATTTTTTTCTTATTATTAATTTCGTTTTATTTTGTGACAGACATTATTTACGGCTTAAATCTAATTAACCTTTAACCTGTTATGTATCATCATCTAGTTATCCTTATACCTTTTTTTTTAAAAAAAAAAAAGACAAAAAGTTTTGGAGAAATTTTTTTTGAAAAAGATATTGACGTTGATCAACATTGAGTTAAGCGAACCTTCACTTTGGCCCATTCGCTTAGTTATAAACAATGGCATTTCCTCCCCATACCTCTATTTCTTTTTTAATGGCTTGATTTGTTGACAACTGTAGGCTAGTTTCCTCACTAGGCTAGTTTCCTCACTTTGTTTAAATTATTTTTATTTAATTTTTTTTTGATCTCTTTGAGTATTTTTTCTCTCATTGATTCATTAAAAAAAGGTTGTTAGATTGATTTATGTTGTATTAAAACAATTGTTAAGAACATGTTTTATTTGATATTTCTTTTAATGTCTTAGTGCATACCTTCATATAAGCTGGTTCTATGATTTCCATATTATTATACCCAAAATTACACCCTAGAAAAAGTATAATTTATTTAATTTATAATTTTGATTCCCGAATACATTTAATGGCTAATCCCATTTCCCTTTGAGAGTTTTGATTTTACAAAATGAATTCTTTTTCATGTTTTTCATGCTTTGATTTGCCTAAAGTTTTAAAACTCATTCATGAAAACATCTTCAGTATACAGACTCATGTTCCCCTTTTTTTTTTTTAATTCTTGTTTCTGGTTAAAGAATAATATTGTGAACAAATGAAACCCATAATATTTCATTTCCCATTGATTTGATGGGTTCATAGAATATCATGAAATGAAACTTCATTTTTTTCATGTCTTTTTTAAAAAATAATCAACTATAAAATCATAGCTATTCCCTCAGAATGATATTTTTTTTTCTTTTCTTTCTTTCTTTCTTTCTGTTTTTCTCTATCCTTATCGGTTCTTTTATTATTATCTTATATTGCAACATGAAATTCGACAGCAAAAACAAACTCACGGTGGCCGTTTGTGCCCTTTTATTTTCCGTTCCAGTCTTGGCTGACCAGGCTGCCGAGATCCCTGCCGATGCTGTTTGGAACGACATTGCTCCTGATTCTCGCTTTGATATTGCTGCAGATGCTCCCGAGATGAGAGTGTAAGTTTGTCTGAGATGACCAATTCCAAATAAGTTCATTTTCTCTTAGTGTCTCTAACTCTTTCAATCATTTGTTTTATAGCAATGAAGTTGATCCTAATGCTGCTGCTGATACAGATGACAATAGTGATTCTTCTGATGAAGGCCAGTTCTTTAAGAAAAAGAAAAAGTTCACCAGTTTCCTTCCTTGGGTGACATCTTTCACTACCTCCAAGACGAGAACTACTACTACAACGAGAACCATCACCTTTACGGCCTCTCCTGCAACCACTACCACCCCTTGCACAACCACTTCTACCACCACTCCTTGTACTACTAGGTCTACTTCTACCACTCCTACTACCACTCCTTGCACTACTACTTCTACTTCTACCACTCCTACCATCACTTCTACTTCTATCACTCCTACTACCACTCCCTGCACGACCTTGACCACCTCTATAATCATAACACCTTCTTCCACCAGTACTCCTTGCACGACCTCGACAACTTCAACTTCAACACCATGCTCCACCTCCACTCCAGGTTCCGGTTCAGGCTACGGCTATGGATCTGGTTCAGGTTCAGGTTATGGCAGTGGAGAAAATGGTGGTGTTGGTGTTGGCAAGGGTCAAGGCTCTGGGTTCGGAAAGGGTATTGGCAACGGACCCAATGGCTCTGGAATTGGCCAAGGATCGGGTCAGGGTGTTGGTGAGGGTTATGGAAATGGACCTGGCGGTAAGGGTTACGGTGAAGGCCATGGTCAAGGGTATGGTGAAGGCAAGGGCTCTGGTAAGGCTTAAATTGATTAGTTTCAATTAAGTTTGATATCTTCCATTACCCCCTATTCCCTTTTTTTTTATATTATTTATTTTTTTTTTGTGACTGAATTATCAATGATAGTACAGAGAATTTTTATCTATTCAAGTAATTTCTTTTAATAATTGGAACGAAACACTATGTATTAAACAATGTTTGATTGAATGATTCATTCATGATTAGGGTATTTTCAAAAAAAAAAAAAAAAACAGAGAGGTGTGTGAATGTATGGTCACGTGGTAATAAAGTTATTAGAAAACAAGAACAAAGATCGGGAGACTCGAGAAGGACCTTTTATCTGCTCGGCCTTGCACGGGTATTTTTAAGAACCGTTTTTGTTGTAAACTAGGGATATAGATAACAAAAGAAGATGATGTCCTTTCAATTTGAGTATTGTTACGATAAAAAAAAAAGAAATAAAAAATAAGAACGGCAAGTAGTTTTTTATTTATTTTTTATTTTTATTTAATTTAGGTGTCGGGACGCGGCAAGTTTTGGCGAGGTTAGCAGAATGATTGTAAAAAACACCGCAATAAACAAATGGATCGAATGGCATTCACGAAAACAATAAGGAAGTAGAAAAAAAAAATTCTTTGATCCAAATAATAGTAGAGAGACTTTTGAGCTAATTGAAAAGATTATAAAAATTTTCAAAAGTGAAACGGATGTGATTGTTATTGAAATTTTTCTATGTATATACAAATAAATGGTGTGATCTAACAGTAGAACAATTGAAAACAAAATTGGGTTAGGGTTTTCTCTTTTTTTGAGTAAAACGATTTATGACATTTGTTTAAAATTTGACACTCAAAACGTACACACACTCAAGTATTTATATTGAAAAGGATTCTCTAGAAGTTAAATAAAAATGAATGAAATTTGATTAAAAAAACAAATAAATAAATATTTTACAATTGAAAAAAGTAACTCCGACACGGGGAATCGAACCCCGATTTCCACGGTGAGAGCGTGAGGTGATAACCATTACACTATATCGGACTTTTTTGAAAAAGTAAAACTCGTTTACAACTTATTCTAATTGTTTAAATAAAATTCCACATCCGTTACTCTGCGCTGCTCTTTGGAAGGATAGCGCAGATGCTGATGTTATATAATTCTATAACCCTTGAATAAAAACAAACAAACAAACGCTGCTCTTTGGGGGGAAAGGGCTGGATGGTGTATAGGGTAACACGTTCCCTTGACAGCGGAAGATACTGGGTTCGATTCCCAGAATACCCCCTTTTCCTGAGGATGTGTACGGGAGTATACACCTAGACTGAAAAACCATAGGCTACCCTGGTTACTGGAATGCCGACTCTTCCGTACAGTCTAAATAGCCTGCAGGTGATTGCGGGCCGTATCTCTGACGGAAGAGATTAAGAAATACATGGGCGTCCGTGAAGATAAGTGGAAATGGGTTGGGAAGGTTTTGGGACCGACAGACTGGTTCTCCCTGTTCCCCGTAAGCTGGCATCAGGGCCCATCTTCCGGGCTACCGGAGACGCACAGAACAGAAATCACCAGTACTAAAAAGGTACAAATGAAAACCGGCAAGTCACATAGTCAGACAATAAAAGGATAGCGCAGATGCTGATATTATATAGTTCTATAACCCTTGAATAAAAACAAACAAACAAACAAACGCTGCTCTTTGTTCGGGCTGTTGGAGATGCAATGTTGAAGCCAAAATTAAAAGTTTATTATTAAAATGAAAAGATATATAGTATGGACAAGAAGGATAGCGCAGATGCTGATGTTATATAATTCTATAACCCTTGAATAAAAACAAACAAACAAACAAACGCTGCTCTTTGAAAGTTCGTTTTTTTTTTTTTTTTTGATAATCAGCATTTTTTTTTTTCACTTTGTGCAAAATGCAACAACTTTTCCGATATAAATGATTCATTCCATCTTGAGCCTTTTTTTTCTTAATATTGGCAGTTTCGGATAACACCCGAGGATTACTGTTAACAGGGAGAGAAGAATTTTTTTTTTATTTCCATAAATAAAGGGCCCACGTTTTTTTTTTTTTTTTCATTTCTACTTGAACTGTTTCTATTTCTTTTTTTTTTGTGATTGTCTTTTTCATCTTCTATTTCTTCTTAATATTTTTCTTCTCTTTTTCCAGTTACCTATTCATCGTATCTATGGGACATACGGCTGTGATAGATTGTTGATGAATCCAACGATTACACAATAATTATAATTAATTATAATTATTGTGTAATCGTTGGATTCATCAATAATATTATAATTATAATCAAATAAATTTCTTAAAAAAGAATATAGTAAAGCGTAATTCCATCTAATAATATCAAAGATGTTTGTAAAAGGGAAAGAATAGGAAATATTAATAAATAAATAAAAAAATCTCAAGCGGAACTGGTCGGGAGCATGAGCCAGTGCAACTTGCAATTGTGTTTGAACTTCACCTTGCAACTGATTTATGTATTGCAACAAGGCCTTTCTTTATCAGTGGCATCCAACCGTTGCCGGTAAGCCTTTTTTTTTTCTTTTTTTAGTTTTTTTGATACTAAATATATATTTCAAAACTTTCATATGCTTGGAATCTGTATGATATATATCAAAAACCATGGTATACAAATCCTTTGGGCAATTAAAACCACAAAGACAATACAATACAATACAAAAATTAAATTAAATTAAACTAACAAAATGCAATGGCTATTAAAATAGATTTCATTTTTGAATGCCAACAACGTATCAATAACAACAATGTTTTGTTTCTATGTAACTTTGAATTAATATACAAGAATTTTAAAACATCTCCCAACACTATTGTTATATCGAGGCATTTATTTTTAATTAAATTAAATAAAATTAAATTAAATAAAATATATCAAGTAAATACATATATATATAAACGAATCACTCAAAGCATAAATGCGATTTCCCGGGTGTCATTCCCGCATCGAATGTCCCTTTCTCTTTCTTTCTACTTAAGGAAAACAGCAATCCGCAAAAATCTCTTTTTTTTTTTCCTTACTCTTTCTTTCTTTCTTTATCGCCCATTGTAAAATTTTCGTCAGTCCACAATCATTACTTTTCGTTTCTTAATTGTTGGATTTAAAATTACGCCCTTTTTTTTTATCTTTTCGTGGAATTATTATTATTATTATTATTATTATTATTATTATTATTATTATTATTATAATCAAAATATATAAAATAAATAAGCGCGGGTTATTTGAGTCCCGAACAAAAAAAAAAATTCAATTTTTATTTTCTAACAACAGCCGTTCCTTAAATAAATTAAGAAATTTTTTCTTCCATTACTCAACAGTATCGCCGTACCCACTACCACCATCACTACAACCTAATAATAATAATAATAATAATATATATAAAACCAACTAAATATCCCACTTCCTCTTTCTTCTTCTTCTTCTTCTTCTTCTTCATCATCACCTCTCAGAAATCTTTCTAATATATATAACATAATTCTCCTCACAATGCCTCTACCACTGCTAGCACGTCTCTCCAAGTCTGCCGTTTCCTTCTCGGCCCCACGCCTTGCAACTCGCGCAGCTTCCTCTTTCACCAAGCTGCGCGCAACCCCCTCACCTATCTACTACGTGGCCGCCACCGGTGCCTTCACATTGGCCCCGACTGCGCGCTCCGTGCCTCTGGGTGCCACAGATGCGCCAGCTACTACTTTTATTCCTGCACTTCCTGCTGGTGACGTTTCCGCAGATGGCACCTCTGATGGTGTTCCTGGCTTCACGGCTCCTGCTAGCGAGTATACTGTCCCCCCACCCTCACAGTTTTATGCAAACCCAACATTCCTGAACTTGCTCAAAGATACCCTTACCCACCACATCCACGAATGTCCCACTTATAATAGCCTGGCTGAGGGCGAACTGTTTATCGGCGGCTCTACTCTTCATATTTATGACCTGCGTGCACCCCCACCCTATGGCCGTATCCCGGATGTCCAGGATATCATTGGCACCGTGCGCATCCAGGAACCTGTCCATGGTGAAGGTATCAACAAGTACGAGGTCCCACCAATTGTTCCTGGTTCCTTTGAGCCCAATGACATGTACCGTGTACTGACGCGTAATGGGTTTATGACGCTCAGTGAGCTTCTGCATAAGCGTCTCACCACTGCGGCCCAGACGCCCATGTATAGCGACGAAATTTAAAGCAAATGCAAAATGCAAAAGTTATCTTTTTTTTTAATCAATTGGGGAAAACATAATAGGTTTATTTTTATAGAATTACAATTTTTTTTTAATACAAATAATCTTGGTGCACATTAAGAACACTGGTGTCAAGACGATCACGGAAGTTTTGCAGATCCCACATCATGGCCATGGTGTGCTGAACCATCTTCTTGATGCCTGCAACAGGTGGTTGGCCCAATGATACAAGAATAAGTGAATTGACTTCTTCTGCCAGTTGGTATCGTTCAGAAGGTCCCAAAAGTGCAGCCAAAGCAGGATCAACCTCTTCTTCTTCTTCTTCTTCTGCATTCCCCTCTACCTTATCCTTCTCAATCTTGTTGTCTTCATTAGGAAGCAACTCATATGCAAGTAACGCAAATGTCCGCGACAACCGGTCCTGCACATAGATTCGGCGGTCATGCTTGTACAACTCACGCAATTCCTGGCCGTATGCAATGGATTTCGCAAGCCCAGAAGGCCCCTCCTTGACCAGCTCAACGAACTTGAGGCACCGCAGCTTGAAAATAACAAGCGACGTCTCGTCCTCTAAAATACTCGGATGCTCCTTCTGAATCAGTTGCAGTGCAGCATCAATGTGGCCCTCCACAATCAGCTGCCCAACTTTTTGTCGGTTCAAAATGTTGGCATCCTCAATCTTCATGGCCTCGTCCTTGGTCGCATCTTCCATCTCAACGTCCTCGTCTTCGTTAAGCCCAGAGGTTGCGTCAACTCGGTTAAGTCGTTGCTCTTGGTCGAGCTCTTTTTGAAACTCTCGAGCAGTGTCAACATATCCCATGTAAGTGAAGTACGATGCAACAAGATTCTGTACAAACTCTGGCATATCAGCATGGATCAAAGGCACACCATTACTTTCTCCCTCTTGCTCATGTTCCTCCTGCTCCTCCTGTTCCTCTTGCTTCTCTTGCTCTTCTTCTTTGTATGTACCCATTGGCAAGTTGTTTGCCACAAGAATCTCATCCATAACAGTATCCTTAGTCTCTTTAACATACCGTTCAATATTAAATCGAAACTCCTTTTTACCAAAATTCGTCTGAATCTTTACACTCGGCTTAAATCCAATGCACGGATACACCTCTAGAATCTTGTTATCCTGGGCATCGCGACCACTGCGGTTCGATCGGCGAGTATTACTACTACCACTATTATATGACGACGAGTAACCCATGTTTGATGTTAAATCTGCAAAATTTAATCCAGTTCCACTTCTGCCCGAATCTTGATTGATTCCACGGAAAATGTCATGAGTAGATCCCAATGGCGGAACAGTCGGTTGACCAGAGGTCGACGCCTCAACAGTCAATGCACCACGAGGGAAAGTCGCTGGAGGTGCAAACTCCAACCCTGTGTATGCTTCGCCCAAGTGAATGCCATTTTTGGTGAAAAAAATGCTGCCGCGAGCAAAGTTTACGCCACACCCAACAACATCGCCTGTGCCAAACTTGTGTGCTTGAGGCGACCCGTGATCCTGAGGTGAAATGATACGCCCATCGTCACTGTGGAACCCCCACGTGTGCTCTGCGTGGCCAGGGACCTTGGCAAGCCGCGCGCGGTCTGTGCACAGTCCGACACTTACGGTGGTGTCGCGGGAGGCAAACAAAATATCTACCTCGTAGTAAAATACACCACATAGCGGCGGGATTGGGTAATTTGTTTTAAGAGTGCGAGTTTCCTGGATGCTAGGCTTCGACTTGGACTCATAAGTAATGAGCAGACCGTTTGCACTAATCACAGGTGCAAGGTCGTCGCTGCCAGACTGTGTAGCCACCTCACGATAAACCCAAGAAGTAGGCAAAGGAGAAAGTCCAAGGAAAAGAAGACCAGGAGGAACGCTATTGTTTTCAAGACTGGAATCGTTGGAAGATTGTTGTTTGGGAATGCTTCCGCTGCCACTATTGGAACCACTGCCAAGTGCCGGATCAAGTGGCCCAAAAACACCTTCGCGGGCCTCGTCGTCGTCGTCCACATCAATGTCATCATCTTCGTCATCATCATCATCATCGTCATCGTCATCGTCATTATCATCAAACAATTCTTCATCAGCACCCCGCCGACCTGAGTTGCTTCCAGTGATGGTAGGATTCAACCGCGACCGGCGACTATTGTGGATCTGAGCAAGCAACGACATGTGGCCTCCAGAACCGGAACTCTGTCCAGCAGCAGCAGCAGCAGCAGCAGCAGCAGCAATAGAGTTTGCAGTAGAAGACGGTCCAGACAATGAAGGAATTTGGGCCATGCGCCGAAGCTGCGAAATAAGCATGCTAGAGGTTGAATCTCCATCATCTGAACCATCTGTGCCTGAGTTGACAATAGTTGTGGGGCCGCTATTACCTGCACTTGAGGAAGTAGTTGTAGTGGTCATAGTCGTATCTCCAGTGGAGTGACGAATCACCGAAATGATGACTGCTGGAGAACCACCCGTTTGTGTTGTTGTTGTGACCCGTGTTTGTACGCGGGGGGGTAAAGGCAGTTGCTGGGGGCTGGTTGTTACTAAAGCCGTCGTATTATCGTCATTACTGCTGGTTTCGTTATTACCTTCAGAGTCACCATCAAGATTTTGAGCCGTACCGTTATGGTTTCGGCCACCATCACCACCGCGCACGCGAGCAGATAATGATAATGAAGACCCAGCAGGTGGCGTGCCTCGGGCCGTGCCACTACTGCTGCCGCTGCCGCTACCACTGCCGCCACTATTACTGCTGTTACTTCCACTTGCAATTTCGGTGGCGTCGTCGTCCATTTCCTCGTCGCGAAATCCAGGAAGGGTGGAGACCACGCGGGGTCCGCCGCCAGGTGCTCCTGCTGCGCGGAGAGGGGCCATGGGCGGGGCCCAAAGACTGCTTGCGATATTGTGAAGGGGGGGTGTTGATTGGGATGTGGATTGAGTGTTGAAAACACCCGCATCAGAGGGAAAGGAAAGGTTTGAAGTCTATACAAAAAAAAAAATAAGGAATCCTTGAACCAGGATGGGTAAAAGGTCATCAGCTTGAGAGTTTTTCTGAGTTTTATTACACAATTTCAAAGAAATGGAAAGGTGAGGAGGATATGAAAGAAAGAAATAAAGAAAGAAAAGTGTAAGTTTGTGAAAAATCTTCCCATTGCTGATGGCCGATTGGATCCCGGGGCAGGCCAAAGAGGTTAGTCATTGTGTTTTTTTTTTTTTTGACAAAACGTACCTGGTCAAGAAAAGAGCCAGCTTCAAAAAAATCTTCAGCTGCTGTTGCAGGAGTTGTCGGGATGAGCGATGCAGGGATTTCAATACCAGCGGAAGCCAATTCTGCAGAAGATAATGGGCCTGTTGTTGTTTCAGATGTCGAGGTAGCTGTTGTTGAAGATGGTTCTATTCTTGGAGTCACTGAGGTTGTAGAAAAAGATGCTGGTGCAGGGCCGGTAGCAAGTCGCTGGTGTTGGGCTAAAAGCAACAGGTACTGCTCGCCAAATGCAGTTGAGAGAAGATAGGGCGGGATAAGGTCCATGGTTTTATTTTAAGCCAAAGTGATTTTGAATATATAATCCCTATGTTTTAATTTTAATATGATGTTTTATAAAATACCACCACTATAGTAAGAGAAATGGCCTATATTGGATGACCTATGACAGGAAGGTTTGTGAAACAAAGCAGTGTTGAATTCTGAGATTTAAAAAAAAATAAAAATAAAAATAGAAAACGAAAGACGGTTCTTTTACTTAAGTGACTTAATATCCAGTCTATTCAGAAATCTTTTTTTTTAAAAAAAAAGGCTTGATATTGTTTGTTTTTAAAAAAAAGTTTGTTTAGAACTGATATGATTGTTTGTTTGATAGAAGATGGTAAATTAAATAAGATAGATAGATAGATAGATGGTGATAATGGTTTTGGAGTATCAAAATAAAAAAAAAAAAAAAAACACACACACACCTTGGAGCCGCGTTGTGCTGATGGGAGGCAAACAAATTTACTGGTGGTAGTGGTGGTGGTAATGATGGTAGTGGTAACAGTTTATGAAGGTTAGGGTTTCATCTATGTAACAACAACCCCATATATATTTAGCTTAACATCCTCAAGTACCGCCCGAGTCTCTCGGGTCTCTCGGATCTTTTTTTATTTTACAAGGCATATAATATAATATAATAAAAAATATAATAAAAAAATTAAAAAAAAAAACTCATCATGTAAATGTATTAAAAAAAAGCTCTCATAATAATAATTATCATCATTATCATCATCGTAGTCATTTGTATAAGTCATCATTCAAAGTCATATCATAATCATCGTAATCATCATCAATCATCATTCATAAATCATCTTTATGAAACAAGAAACTCATCAGCCATGGTGCTATCATAATCCGGAGTATCCTGTTGCTGATCTCCAACAGAATCTCCAACCCGGGACTCCAACCGTATCTCCTCGCCAAACCCAAGTACCCCGGGCCCCCCTGAATTAAAACCTCCACCACTCCCGGCTCCACTGCTATTCCCCCCACCACTAACACCACCAGGCCCAACAAACATAGGATCATCGTCGGTCCCCACAAGTACATCGCCGCGGATTTTGGCGAGAGCAATTTCTGCAGATGTAGGTCCGAACGCCGTCACCTCAATGTTGAGTTGTCGTTGTAAGCTTTGCACCAATTCACGCAGCTCCATCTCCTTATCATTCTGCGCATCAATCACATTCTGCAAGTACCGGATATAATCAACAGATCGCGTCAAAATCGTACCTTTATTTGGACGCCCGTCTTTTGTAAGCACATTGGTTCCACTGTTGGCTGCTCCAGGTCCGACACCTCCACTACCACCACCACCACTACTACTGCCACCACCACCGTTAGGATTTCCTGTTCCAAGCGGATCAACTAAATTGTACAACATCACCTCAGGCACAAGAGTAGCAAGCTCCTGAATCTTCTCATTGATGTTGTCACGTCGTCGTCGTTCTACAGCATTATGTGATTCGCGTCGTCGACGTCGGCGTTCCGCAAGAATGAGGTTTTGTGTCACAGATGGTGGGCCGGAAGACCCCGCACCAGCCCCACTTATTACATCATCCCCAAAAGAATGCGGTGTTCCACTAGGTGTCAAACTTCCAGGCGTTGCACCTTCTGTACCAGCCGATGTTTTGAGTAACTGTGGTTGTTGTTGTGATTTAGGGAGTGGAATGGGCGCGGATGTAGCCGAAGATGCAGTTACTGGTGCTGTTGTTCCTGAAGATGTTGATGGTGACGATGTTGCAACAGACGGCTGCAAATGCGGTGAGGTTATTGTACTCGGAGTTCCAGGAGGAAGTTGTTTTTGATGTTTCGTCGGTTGTTGTTGTTGTTGGTGCTGGTGCTGTTGCTGGTGCTGTTGTTGGTGCTGTTGTTGGCTCACAAGTATAGAACCACTTGTATTAAAGCTCCCTACTTGCGCAGACCCCGCAAGAGGCGGCTTTGCCGATGGACTGAACCCAAAGCCACCGTAAAGATCCACATTGTTACCTCCCGTGCCGCCAATGGCAACACCACTACTTAAAGGCCCGCTACCAGGCCCCACAAAGCCCGAACCGTAGGATCCCACAGGCGACGAGGTAGCGCTGCCAAGGCCCGTAGTGTTTTCAGATAAAAATCGTAGTGTATGTGAAGGCGAAGCCCCAGGCACAGGCACAGCCGAAGAAGGTGGCGACGCTATTTGGTGCGTCATACCGTACTGAGCAGGAGATCCCACAATTTGGCTTTGTTGTTGTTGCTGCTGCTGTTGCTGCTGTTGCTGCTGCTGTTGCTGGATTTGCATTTGGATTTGTCTCTGCTGTTTAACCCACAGTGCTTGTTGTGGGGTTGTGGGAGTACTACCACTGCTGGGTGGGCTTGCGATATTTCTTCCACCCAAAGGTGATGCTCCAGAACTTTGTTGTAGCTGCTGCTGCTGCTGCTGCTGCTGTTGCTGAGACTTTTGTTGATGTTGCTTGACATTGCGGAGAAGAAACTCATCAAAAGGTGATGTTGATTCGGGCACAGGTGGAGTGGTACCAAATGTAGGTGTCGACTTTATGCTACTATTGCCATACGTCAGAGACACAGATGCGGGGCCTGGGCTACTAATACTGATTCCGGGCATCTGTTGGTACCCCCCAGGACCAAACTGCTGCTGCTGTTGTTGTTGTTGCTGTTGCTGTTGTTGTTGTTGTTGTTGTCTATGTTGTTGTTGCTGTTGAGAATGTAGCTGCTGAATATGAAGCTGCTGCTGTTGCTGAGGTGGAGGAGAGCTAGCAAAGTTACTAAGTTGCGCTGGAGGTGGATCCGGTGATGCAACTGCATTAAGGTCAAGCAAGTCCGATTCATCAATAATAGAATAATTCCCCGGTCCATTTCTTCCTCCTCCTCCTCCTACTCCTGTTGTTCCTCCTAAACCGCCACCCAATAAATCATCCGTGACGTCTAACCCAAAGGCTTGCATTGCAGACGAGGATGTGGTAATTCCTGGTGCGGCATTAATAGAAGAAACAGTGGCCGCTGATACTGACCCAGGATTAGCGGTGGCTGTTCCTCCACCAAGTATTGGGTGAGTTGTGAAACCCATAAGGCGCGCGGGGTCATCTAGAGAAGGTGATGTATAAGCAAAAAGGTCGGGGGAAGCTAGTGACGCGTTGGACATGGGGGAATTGAGTACATCTGGGGCTGTGTTATAATTGTAGTTGTTTGAGGAAAACCCGGTAAGGTATGCAGAATCTTGTTGTTGTTGTTCTGTTTTGATAGAAGGATTAGACGCCATTGAATTGTTTGTGTAGCGCGAAGATGCAGAAATATATGGATTAATTCTGCCTGGCGACTCTGGAAGATCTTCTTGCTTGATATAAGGTGTTTCTGCTGGTGGCATTTGAGCAGAGGGTAAAAGAGGTCAATGAATTGAGAAAAGCTAGATATAATGTTGTTATTGTAATGGTGGTTGCTGTTGCTATTGCTATTGCTATGGTTTATCTGGAGAAAGCCATGTATATAGAAGAGATATTGGAGATAGATGAGAATAGCTAAAAATATTTGGTGTTTGAAAAAAAAAAAAATTTTATACATAAATTGTTAAATTTATATATATATATATATATATATAAATAAATAAATATACCGCGGGATATATAAATTGTTTTTGTTTGTTATAACTTAAAGTGTTTAGAATGTCTACGATGGCGATGGCAGACGAAATTAAAGGGAGGAGTGTTTTGAGGGGAAACAACGCAGATAAGCTTCAATTAAAACGGGGTGGGGACAGGCACGCAGGCTGGCTGGCTAGCTAGCTGGCTGGCTGGCTAGCTAGCTGGCATGTTGTAACAAAGGTAAGTTGTAATATTAGATAATGTAACAAATTCTCTTAAAATTGTAATGTAATATTAAATATAAAAAAGTTGTAATGTCACTGGTGTCGGTTGGAGTTATTTCCGACTTTTGTTCTCCTTTCTGCACTGTTAAAAATTCTTCAGCCTACTCTAGCGATATGCCGATGAGCTGTCAAAAGTTTTTTTTTTGTTGCTTGTTTGAATGATATGCGTATCCGGTGGTTAAATAATTATAAAAATAATAATTAAAAACTAAAGGAGGAGGAAGGATGGCAAGAAAGTGTGCTCAAACGTGATATATGGCAGCACATTCCAGGCTTACAATTAAAAACGAATATTTATATCCCTTTAGATCCAATAATAAATCTCTATAAAAATTAATATGTTTTATATTTATAAATCAGGCTTAGCTTCTTCTGATTTCAAATTTTAGCAAATTCTTATTTTATTTACTTTTCAGGAGAGTAAAAAAAAACAAAAAAACAAAAAAAAGGGGAAAACTATATTACGGCATTTTAAAGTGCTAGTGGACATAAATACCCATATACTGTTTTATCCAGGTGGCAGTGTGTTGTTGTGTGTGTAAAACGTCCCACTTCTCGGAAGTGCAAGAAAATATATCAATAAATAAAAAAACAGCTCAATATATATATACATAAATTTTTAAAAGATATTAAATAAATAAAAATGTAAGGCTTCTATAGTCCCTGACAGGGCCCAACCAGGTTGGGTATTTGGGCACAAGATCGGGTAGTCGGAGACATGTTATGATTCTAGTACCGAAAAGAAGAAGATTAAAGAATGATGATTTTACTCAATTATATTGATTTTTTTATAAGTTTTGAAAATATGTCTACTATTATTTATTTAAAAGAGTCAAAAGGAAAGAATGAAGGATTTTTTTTATAAAAAAAAAAAAAACCTGTATAAACGTAATATACAACAGTAAAAAAAATATATATATATGAAACTTATCAATACCAGAAAAAATATTTAGAGAATATTGAATTGTATACTTATATATAAATCAAATCGGGGGAGGGGAGATAAATAAAAAGAGAAAACTTCATTCTCGTAAATATATAAATGCACTTTCTTCACGGTATCATCTCTTCCATTAATTGAACCATTATTGAGGAATAGTATAGTAAAAAAAAAATAATAGAAAAAGAGTAATATAAAAAAATAAAAATAGTAGTAATAAAAAATCATCATTTTTTTTTTTTGCATATTTCTTATTGTTGTTTGTCATTCGTCGTCATTCGTCGTCGTTGTGTAGTATAAAATTAATAGCCGCTATAATAATAATAATAATAATAATAATCACATCATTGCCTCAGCCTTTAGCCTTGGCACATAAACCGTCATCATCGCCGTCGTCGTTACCATCATCTGTAATCGTCGTCGTCTTCATCTTCGTCGTAGCCATCAGCTTACAAAATCAGGCATCTTCTTGTAGGCTTGCGCTCCTTGTCCTTAACCATGAGAGCAGCGCGGGTAGCATGCTCAAAGACCTCTCTGACACCTTCCTGGGTCTTTGCCGAGCATTCAAGGTACTTGAGAGCACCAATCTTCTGGGCAACAGCCTGACCTTCTTCAGGAGTGACAGGGCGCTGAGATGTTCGCTTGAGTTCCTCAATGGTCTTGGGGTCAAAGCGAAGATCAGTCTTGCAGCCAACAAGGAGGATGGGAACGCCCTGGCAGAAGTGCAGGACCTCGGAGATCCACTTTTCCTGGACATTGTCCAACGAGTCTGGAGAATCTATGGCGAAACAAATCAAAATAACGTTCGAGTCAGGGTATGAGAGGGGGCGAAGACGATCGTAATCTTCCTGGCCAGCGGTATCCCAAAGGGCAAGCTCGACGTGTCGGCCATCAACTTCAACATCGGAGACGTAGTTTTCAAAGACTGTGGGGAGGTAAACTTGTGGGAAGGTTCCCTTGGAAAAGACTCTGTGAGAAAAAAATGTTAGAATTTAAAATGATTGCGATTTTGTAGTGTGTTGTTGTGATTGTTGATTACTATTATTTATACGTACATCAGCAAGCATGTCTTGCCACAGGCACCATCGCCAACAATGACTAATTTTCTTCGCAATTCAGCAGGTTGTCCGACCATTTTTGTATATGATGTGTGTGTATATATATAAGTTTATCTGTGTTGGAAAAAAATAGTGTTAGAATAAAAAAAATATGCATCAAAAAGAGAGGTTATTTAAGGGTTTAAAAGGGAAAGGAAGAGGAGGGGAATAGGAAAGAGAGGGAAAGAGGGAGAGGGAAAAAAGTTAGAGAAAGGGAACAAAGGTTTGTATGTGTGTGTGTGTGTGTGTGTGTGTGTGAGTAGGTGTGTATGTGTATGTGTGTGTGTAGGTGTGTATGTGTTTTGTTGTTGTTTAGGGCGTAGCAGCAGTGGCAGCAGCAGCCACAACCAAAGGGGAATGGGCGGCGGCCACTGCAAGCCGAACGGAATGCGCAGCCAGGAGGTGTTAAAGAGCGACATCATCATTAACAACAACGATAATTATAACGGTAATAACAACAACAGAAACAAAAACACCAACGACAGCAACAGCATCAGCATCAGCAGTAGTGGTAGCCACTGCGGTTAGTAGGGCTTAGTGAGAAGAGACAGCAAGGCGCAGTCAATGTTGATGCCTATGAAAGGAATGACGGCTGAGCAATTGCCCAAAAAAAAAAAAAAGGGAATGATAGGTGGCAGTGACATCACAAGCAAAAGCAAAAAAAAAAAATTTAGTATTAAATAGCTTCGACATAGGCATCAGCAGTAAGAATGGCAATAGTGATGATAAAAGTAAGTGTAATGGTGATGACTGTGATGGCTGTGATTAAAGAAAATGAAGAAAGCGTGGCAAGATTTAAGAGGTGGTAATCATTATTAGCCGCTAAGATCTTCATAATTATATTAAAGAGAAATCATGATGACCATTAAAAGAGTAGAAATAAGAACGGAAGAAGCAATCACTTTGAATCACTTTGAATCACTTTGATTGCTTCTTTTAAAAAGATGATGATGATGATAATGATAATGATGACAACTTACGTTTAGCTGTGGTAGTGGAGGTGGCGATATAAGAAACCAGAAGGAGCAGTAAGAAAAGGAGTTTTAGAGCTGTTTTAGAAATGAAAATATGAGAGTTTTTAGTGGAGGAAGAAAGTTAAGATTTTGCGAGTTTAAAAGAAAAAAAAATTAATAATAATATAATGATATTAATACGATAAAGTAGTATGGAAAAGAGAAGGATGTTTTAGATGAAGATAGAAAGGGGGGGAAGGGGGGGAAAAAGTTCTTTCTCTATGTAATGGTTTGAGATTTGGTGGTGGTGGTGGTGGTGATAGATTTTATGGTTATAATTTAAATCTGGGTAGTGGTGGTGGTGATGTTTTTTTTTTTTAAAAAAAATTATTTCTGGTAGGAGAGAATAAGGCGTTGTTTATTGTGATAGAAACATTTTGTAACATCCACAGAGACATCCCACACACATTTTCTGGGATGTTGATGGTTGTTGGTGTAACAATGACATAAAACGTATCATTACTATTATATAATAAAAATAAATAAATAAAAATAAAATGGCTCCAGTAACTTGCAAAGATAGAAGCTGAAGAGATTAGCAAGATTTATTTATTTATTTATTTAATGTTTTTTATTTAAAGACTCAAATGATTTTTTTTTTATTATTTCATTATCTAAAGCAATTAAAACAATTGAGATCATAAAATTCTCTCATTTTTTTTCTTTTTTTTTCTTCTTTTTTTTACTCAATTGACATTTAATTGTTTGTAAATAATCCTTATCCATTTCAGTAATTTGATTGATCTGTGCTTGTTATCAAACTCGGTTTTTTATGTATACTGTTTATCAGTTATATGTGTTGAAAATCCCAATTAGGAATTAAAGAATCGAGGGATCCGAGGTCTCAATTAAAAGTTACTGTGGCGAAAACAAAATATATATATTTATTTATTAATAATTTTGTAACTTGAATTTATATCGCTTACTTATTCTAAGGTAGCTTAGGAAATAAAACCGAGTTCAATGTGGACAACAAAACGCCAAATGGCTTGTGCAAAAAAAAAAAAAAAAAAAAAATAAAAAAATAAAATAATAAAATAATAAAAAAATGGCTGGTGGCTGTGATAAAAAAAAAAAAAAGAATTAAAAATGAAAATAAAAGATAAGGAAATGATTAATAATTAGTCATACATGACTACTTATCTGCGACTTTAATAGAAAAAACCACGTTCATATACACATTATATAATCAAGCTCTAATCTTTTCTGGTTGTCCAAACAATATTATTTTGAAATTATTTCTCTTATCAGCCTTTTAATATAACAAAAAATTGCCAGCAATCATCATTTAATGGTAACCACCACCACCATTTATTTATCATAATCAATTCATTTTAATACGCCTAATCTACTATCATCATAATCATAATCTACTATCATCATAATCATAATCATAATCATAATCTTCATCTTCGTATAAATCTTTAATTTACTCCACAAACTCTGATTTCTTATTTTATTTTCTTATCTGTGAAATATTAATTTTCTTCTCCTTTCCCAAAAAGAATTCCTCCTAAATCTGGCACTTTCTTTTTTTTTTTTTTTTTTTTTTTCCCAAGGTCATTCATCAACCAAAAGCAATATCCCTGTTTTATTATATACTCTCTCTAACACCTTAATTCATTACTGATACTAATTAACCATAATTACATTTTAATAATCTGCGCAATCGGCAATAATATAAATACTCCCTTTATTTCCCCAACTTTTTTTTTTCTCTCACTCTCTCTCTCTTCTTTCTTCTTCTTCTTTTTTTTTCATTACTCAGTTTTTGATCCTTTTTTTATTTTTTTATAACTCTTTTTTCATAATTTTTCATTCATTCTTATAACAAACTCTTATTTATATACCTACTACTATACAATCTACACCACTGATACACAATGACTACCTCCGAAATTAAAGTCGACAAGAAAATTTGCATCTTCTGCGGTTCTAGCTCAGGAAACTCTCCTGCTTACGCAGCAGCAGCGGACGCGCTCGGAAAACTGCTTGTTGAAAAGAACTGGGGTCTTGTCTATGGTGGCGGAACCACTGGGTATGTTTTATCCTTTTTTTTTTTTTTTTATAATTATAATCCATGTTATCTCTTTCAGATAACCAAAAAAAAAAGAACATTTCTTCTAACTTTAAATATTTTTCCCACTCAGTGTCATGGGCGACATTGCTAAAGCCGTGGGAACCCGCGGAGGATACGTGCACGGCATCATCCCTAAAGCCTTGATTGAACGCGAACAGGGGCAGGTCATTCCGGACCCCTCAATCTATGGCCATACTACCCTTGTTGATGATATGCACACACGCAAACGACTGATGGGCCGTTCATCAGATGCCTTTGTTGCTATGCCTGGAGGATACGGCACTGCGGAAGAGCTCTTTGAAGTGATTACCTGGAACCAGCTGGGCATCCACTCACTCCCTGTGGTTATTTTTAACATTGAAGGGTTTTACGATGGCCTTGTGGAATGGATCAATACAGCAGTCGGCTCAGGGTTTATCTCCAAGGGCAATAGAGACATTATTGTGGTGGCATCGACTCCAGAGGAAGTCATTGAGAAAATTGAAAACTATAAGATTGCTGACGGCAGACTCAATCTGAACTGGGATGTTCAAACACCAGGCATTAAGGAAGAGCACACAGCCAAATGAGAGCTTTTGGCTAGAAAACGTCTGCATATATAGATGTACATTTGTTCCTCTCTATCCTCATCATTATGTATCATAGTTCCATCTTATCTTTTTTCCCATTGTACTTTAAATAGTCCTGTGTATAAATATAACGAACCCCTCATGACCAGTAATATGGCCCACGTCTAATCTCGTGGATCCAGTGGCTTTTATTTCCCAGTTCAGGTTGACAAAAAAAAAAAAAACTACAAACAAGAAAAAAGTGTGTGTCCCCGTGGCGGCTGGACCGGCCCATCCGCGTCATACCGCGGCTTGAATCCGAGGATCTAATCGCGGGGGAGAAAAAAAAAAAAAAAAAAAAGAAATGACATTAGCGGCTAAAGAGTTTAATTTCCGCATTGGAAACTTTTCAGTGATAAGAAAATTGACAATATTAATATTATAATAATTTAAATAAAACTGCAATTGATATAATTAAAATTATATAAAACTGATTAATGAAATATAAAAATAAACCTAATAACAAAATAAAAAACAAATAAACTGAATAATAATAATAATAATAATAATAGTAATAATAATGAAAAAACCAGAAAGAAAATTAAACTTGATTCGTGCTTAAACATAAGTCCAGGCATCCAAGACCAAATCAAAAATCAAAAAAACAAAAAAAAAAAATATTTAAAAACAAAAAAAAAAAAACAAAATCAATTCCATAATCCCAAATTCAATTTTGGGAAATTTCTCAACCGCGGGCACTGATAGACGATGATAGCCGCAAGAAACACATTGGTGGCCAAAGCGTCAGTTATTGTACTAATAAGCCGCAAATGACATAAATATAACCATCACCCCGCAATCAAAAAGACAAAAGATAAAAAAAAAAAAAATTTTTTTTTTTTTTTTTTTTTTTTTTCATTCTTAAATAAGAAAACCATCAAACAAATCATCAAGAGCTTCACAATTTTCTCCAAGCTGTGATTCTATTCCAACAAACTCAAAATCCACCAAATCAATCCCAGCTGAAGGCAAACTTTCCTCCTTCTTCTCAGCATCAACAATTTCCAAACCACCACTAGTCTCAGCCTTCTCTTCTTCTTCTCCTAAATAAAATGATACCCGAGGCTTACTAGAACTGGCATGGCCAACAGAAGCATCAACCTCCATAAGCACTTCCTCAAGCGCCTCTTCTGTCAAACAATCAATTGATCCACTGTTTTGCTGCTGATGCCCAGTCCCCTTCGACACACCACAAGACTTCCCAATCAACTTTGCATGTTTAGGTGACAATGACTTGGCCCGCCCATTATTCGCCGCCATACTATTGCAGCGCTTACGATAATCTTCGCTCCGCACTCGGCGCAACTCTTCCCCACGCTCTGCACGCTCTGCACGCTTAGCTTGTAGCCGCATCTGACGTTCTTCCCGAGCTTGAGCAAATGCTGCCTCACGTTCCTCGTCACGCTCACGCACTGTTTTTTCAATCTGTGCAATCTGCTCCGCCTGTTGTGCCGCATGTTCTCGTTGTCCAGCATTCATCTCTGCAATTTGCTCTTCCAATTTACGCTGCGCAGTCTCCTGCGCGGCCTTTTGGGCAGCACGCTCCTCATCAGTCATGTAATTGTGCATATAGTGCTTGATCCCGCTCTTTGACGACGACGATAATGAAGAAGAAGCAGATGATGATGAAGATGTCTCAGGGCGAGGATCAAGTAAAACACCTAGCCGCCGCTTGGGAATCGGACCGCTGAGCGGTGCAAACCTAATCATGGGTGGTGGAGGTTTGGCAGTTTTTGAGTATCCCGAGTACTGTGGTTGTGGTTGTGGTTGTGGTTGTGGTTGTGGTTGTGGTTGTGGTTGTGGTTGTGGTTGTGGTTGTGGTTGTGGTTGTGGTTGTGGTTGTGGTTGTGGTTGTGGTTGTGGTTGTGGTTGTGGTTGTGGTTGTGGTTGTGGTTGTGGTTGTGGCTGCGGCTGTGGCTGCGGCTGCGGCTGTGAATGTGGTTGGGGAAACCATTGCTGTATAGGTGGAGACGGAGGAAGTCGTTGTGTGAAAGGAACTAGTTCAGGAAGTGGCTGTGGTTGAGCAATTGGTTGATGCTGTTGAATAAACTGTGGCACTGGTTGTTGCATTGGCTGTTGAATCGGCTGCTGAACAAACAGTGGCACTGACTGCGGGTACCCTTGAGCAATCGGTTGCACAAAAGACTGGGGAGTAAGCTGTAAAATAGGTTGTGCAAATTGTTGTTGGAATGCATATGGTACAGGCTGAAAGGTTTGTTGCTGTTGTGGAGCTTGTTGCGGAATTGGTTGCGATCCAAAAACAGGTTGTGGGGTTGGTTGAAACTGAGGTGTCAGCTGAAAAGAAACTGGTTGGACAGTTGACTGCATTTGTGGAGCTTGAAAGAGAAATGACTGGGGTGCCGGCTGTGGGGTATGTTGTGGGGTCAGCTGTGATTGTGGAAATCCTTGCAAATTGGCAATTGGTCCAGAAGGCAGTTGAACCTGAAATTGGGCATGGGCATGGGTCTGAATTTGAGGTTGGGCCTGAGATTGAACCTGAATCTGAGATTGAGATTGAGATTGAGACTGTAATGATTGCTGTGAAGGTAGTTGTGGAATTTCCAGCTCGTCACTCAAAATTTGAGCATCCTCCTTGAGACACAAATTCACCTGCTCTCTTTGAGTCAACAAACTGAAATTTTTAATTGCAATTAACCCAGCTTTTCTCAATTCAAGATTCAATTCAACATGTGGTGGTGTGGGAACTATGCTAGATTCGTCGCCACTAACGTCAACAGGGAATGGTCTCAACTTCAAGGGATCTGTGGTACGAGTCCATAGATCCAAGGCCTCAGGCAAGTAAAAGGACATGTACAAAAGTAAGGCACCATTAATGCTGTTGTTTTGAATCACCGCCAGATCTAAAACATTTCCAGAATAATCTCCATTCCTTTTAGATACGCAGGTCAATTCGACTGCAAACTCCGACAGACTCTCCTTAATCTCAGCAATGGCTCCGGAATCAGGTTCATTAACCTTTGCAATAGGGAACAAATCAGTCATCTCCATAATTTCATAGCATCTCAAAAATGCCCGAAGTTCTGCTTTGGGGTCATTGCATAATTCATCGGCAGCATTAACAACCTCGTCAAAGGTAACCGAGGGAACTGTGGAAATGATAGGATTATGAGTTTCTTCATTCAAAATTAAGTCTTCTGGGAGATCTTTGCACATATCCCAAAAGCCTGAGGGCAATTCCACTTCCTCAAACTCCTTAGACGGCACCAACTTCTTACTCGTCGATTGCTCAATCTTTTCGATAAGAAGACTAAGCATTGGACTCTCGTACTGGTTTTTCACAACAAGTCTTGGATCTACCTTAATTTCCTTTTTGCAGCCCAAAAGAACCGCTACTGCAGCATTAATGTGTACCAATATGTAGTTTCGGAGTTCAACATGCAATGCATGCCTTTTCATCGTCACAAGCATGTCTTCAAGCAACATGTCTTCCTCCAAAATTAAAGGGCTACTGCCACATACATTTTTAAGCTCCAAGACTTTTGATTGAAACAAGTCCATAAGAATCAAGTGTTTTTTTTGAAACAGGAAATCAATGCGCTTAAAAAGAGGCTCACTTCTGTTAATACGTGCAGCTGCAACAATCATCATTTTCTGACACTCAACTAGCTCGACAGTTGTTACATCAGCTTTCCCTTGAACCATGGAGACAAATGTCATGATGCTCTTGAGGACCACAATCATCTGGCCGTTAATCATATCATCCAAAAATGTCAGGTTGTGAGCAAGTACAACCAGTTGACTAAGATTAATAATCTTGCGTAGGCATAGTTCGCTAAACAATAACTTTGTTTTAACCTGATCTTTGTTGGTATTGGGGGCAGTAATCTCATACTCCAGTAATTCTAAATAATTCATCTTTGAATATCGTATTTCTTTTGCTTTGTTATCTTCAGCCCACATCTTCTTGGCTTCTGTCAACACTTGAATACTAAGATTACCACTGGAGAAGTCGGCATAGGGGAGAATATGATTCATAGTGAAGTACCCCACCTTAGTAGGGTCAAACAGATTGACAACTAATTCAGTGACGGTGGTTTGTTTATCAACCTTGACAACGTCCCAGTCAAATAAATTTCCCAGAATCTGGTGGTTAGTTTGTTCAGTATCGTGGGCAAGTTGAACAAACTGGTGAACTTGAGATTTAGAAATGATGGCATATAAATCCGTCATTTTTATTGTAGGCTTATACTTTTGATCAGTCGATGGTATTATGGGATGCAATGAGAGGAGATGATTAGTTGCAATTGAAGGTTTGGGTGATGAATGAAAAAACAGGGAATTCAGCTCCATTTTATACTACGTCTGCTATTGGGAAAAGCAAGGTAAATATCTTTTGATGTTTTTTTTTTGTGTAGTTTTCCGCTGGAGTATAGATCTTTTACCAGCTTTTTTAACGGAGTAGTGCTGTTTTAATGCAGATCTCCATCAAGTTGTAAAAAAAAGAAGAGAATTTTTATTTTTTTATTTATTTTTCAAAGCCATTAAATTCACATTTTTTCCCTCTTTTAAGCATAATATTTCCCAATAGAGTATACGTGATATCTTCTTATGCTGTTGGGAAAACAATCCACTTGTGGGGACAAGAACTATAAAGTTAAGTAGTGCATAATGGTCGGTGTACATTATATTGATTCAGGAACGTCAATTTCATACAAAGAATATACTTGTGGAAAATGGGCTCAGCAAAATGATTACACAACCACACTTCCCAAAAAAGCCTTGTTTAAAATTAATTAAAATACATAATTTTTTTTTTACAATATATTATACAACTCTCTAACATTTTCTTAAAAGCTCCTTCAAAGCAGTGGGCGTTATAAACCAGGAGGGGTGTCTAATTTTCTTGAGCCCGGCAGCAATTTGGAAAACATCCCGAGATGTGTAAATGCCCAAATTGTGCCGGTCAAAATACCGGTTTATTGTCGTCATGATGCGCATCTTGTCCGCAACGGCCCGTGGCTTTCTAGATGTACGCGGGGGTAGGGGTTTGCGCGGAATGTGGGTAATGGGAACAAATGTAGCCTCTTGACTCAACTCTTCTTCATTATCTTCATTATCTTCATTTTCTTCATTTTCTTCATTTTCTTCATTTTCTTCATTTTCTTCATTTTCTTCATTTTCTTCATTATCTTCATTTTCTTCATTTTCTCCTTCTTTTTTGTCTTCTTGTAGAAAGTTAGACTGGCTATCCATAAACTTAAAAAGATTAACATCAAAGTCTTCCTGAGGTTCCAGAGGAGGTTCGGCATTACTGTGCACAAGTTCTGGCATGTCTAGAGGAGTTTTTGGGTCCTGCAGTTTTGTCAAAAATTCTTGAATCCAGTCATCATTTTCCACATGGCTTTTAGGCATTTCAAACACTCTTGGGACAAATTCATTTTTATCCTGGCAAATTTCTGGCAAGCCCAAGGTATATTCACAAGTGTCATTATTGGGTGAGTCAAGAAGTGATTGTACTTCATTATAGTCACTTTCCAAATACAAATTGTCTTTGGGTGACAAACCAACTTCTAATTCTGGAGCACATGGATACGAGACCCAAGCAGGGATAATCGAGTCCTGGCTGGATTCGAATCCGGGAAGTTCAGCAAATCCAGATGACATTTCCGCAATAGAGATTAGAAAGAAATTAAAGAACCGGGGAGAAAAAAAAACAAAAGAAAAAGAGTTAAAGAAAGAAAAGGAGGCTCAGATGTTGCTGAAGATTTCGATAGGGTTGTATGAAATTGAGATCCTTGTGATTGAAAAAACTTGAAGGAAATGCATGGATATATATTCTGAAAAGCAAGAGCTACAACGACATGTCATTGTGCTTGTATTTTTGGAATTTAGCATTAACATATAAAGTCAATTGAATGCTGGGTATTGTGAAAGGATTAAATATAGCTCAGAGTAGGATTTTTCTTAATTGTAAGATTTGGTGTTATGAGTATTCTAAATATAACCTTGGAATTTCAAAGCGGTATCTTCTAAGGCATGATGACCTGTAATAAAGATTGGTATGATCATATTAGATCGAGGAAGGTATTTTTCGATCGAGACAAGAATCATGGATCATGCTGGATCTATTAAAAGAGTAGCCAGAGTAGGCCATGACAAATATGTTCTATTTCTGTAGTGCATGACATGTATGGAAGCTCACTTTTAAAAAAAAAGAAAAAGAAGAAAAAGAAAAAGAAGAAGACGAAGACGAAGAAGAAGAGTTTTTAGTCATGTTACTTGCGTATTGATACAGTGAAAGTTGAAAGAACAAGAAAAAGAAAAAGAAGAAAAATACGGTTTGTAGGGATGCAGGGACAGGCAATGAGTAGAAATGAATAGGGAGAGGATATTTTTTAAATATCAAAGTAGAATGGAAAATGAAACGGTATAACAAATCTAGATTTCAGGGGGTGTGGTGAAATAAAAAAAAAAAAAAAATTGTATGAAATAAATTGAAAGTGAACTTTTTAGTCAACGTAACAGCTTAACCCAAATTTTATATTTGTTTACTTTTTTTTTTTTTTTTTATTTTCGTCGTCTAACTAAACATAGTATATTAAGTTGTATCAAAAAAAAAAAAAAAAAAAACAACTCATACTATTCTCTTTGTTTTGCGTCATTACACAGTATCTAAATTTCTTGTAGGATGAGATTGGACACAGTGAAAAAGAGATGATTCGAGGCGTCGGATAAGCTAGGAAAGGCAGACAAATAAAAATCTATTGCTAGTGCTGCTGCTTATTACTGGAGAGGAAGGAGGGGAGAAAAGGCGACATGCTTTTGCATCTTTAGTGCTAGGGAACTTTGTGACAAAGAAGAAGAAGAAGCAAGCATAAGATGCAGAGCGCGCGTTCTTTTAAGCTAACGATTAAATCGGCAAAGTCTTGTATTATAGATTGCAGATGGTAAATAAGATAGTTTGTATATATATATATATATATATTTAAATTGTGTATTGATTTGTGATATGCAAAGCCTGTAATTCTGAATTTACAGATTTATTTTTTTATTTTTTTTATTTTTTATTATTAATTTTTATTTTGGGTTGCATTTTATTTTATTAATATTAAAAAAAAAAAAAAAAAAACTTAGTTTAAACTCTTTTTCTTGCAAACAATGGAAACGAGACCAAATCTAATTTCTTTGAAGGCAAAATGCGTTTAACAGAAAAAAACAGTCTTTCTTTTTTTTTTTTTTTTTTTTTTTTTTGTTTCTGTTCATAGACGTAAACATACGACTGATGAGATATAGGCAAGGTACAACAACAGCATTCAATGTCTTACCTGCGTCTAAGCATGTGGACAACAGTATATCGAAGATTTTGCTTTTGAGCTTAAAGGAGTATGAGATTTTTTTTTAATTTTTTTTTTTTCGAGGGCTTTGAATGGCATTATATGGAAGAAGAAAAAAAAAGAAGGGGAAGAAAAGGTAGTCGTACTAATCATGATGGTATATATTTGTGGTTCAAATAATTCATGTGTTAATTAATACTAAGTATATATATATTTTAGATAATATTTTAGATTAGACTGACTGACTAACATTAGACCCAAAATATGTTAAATATTTATATGGTTTTGATGTTGGATTTTACCAATTAGGCTTGGATGCGTATCTTTCATGGCCATATACTTGGTTAAACTCTTTATCAACCCCAAAATGCACCCAACAATCACAGACATTATTTGGTAAACCGTTCTATTGTATTGTCGTTACAATGTCTCGGGAAGGAATGGAAATTGAAGGAAATGGAAGGTAGGAAGGAAGGAAGGAAGGAAGGAAGGAAGGAAGAAAAAAAGACGATAATAATGTTTTAAGTTAGCCGTGTAATATTTAAAACCGTGTCAGTGGTCGAACCTTAAGATTTATACTTATAACTATAATTATAGACGATTCACTTATTTTTATTTTTTTAAATATTTGTAGTAGTAATAGTATTAGTAGTAAGCAAAAACTAAGAGAGTAAGTAGTATTTATGAATAGTAAACTCTTTCTTTTTTTTCCGTTTATTTTTTTTTTATTTCTCTTTTTAGTATATATACCAAGTTATGGAAATATGAAGCAATATAGGGTGTAACATTAGAAAAGAATTCCGCCTGACAGTTTTGTGTTACCTGGTCATTGATGGCCAATATGCCAAATATATATAGACATAATAATAATCAAGGGAGGTTGGAGAAATAGAGACATGACTGACCTCTTTTTGTAAATATAATAATAATAATAATAATAATAATGACAGCAGACTTAAGTCTAAAACAGTCAAAAAAAAAAAAAAAAAACAAAATATACGATAAATTGTAACCGATGAGGCTTATTATCCCAAAATATATAATTCATAGAAGCATTGGATCGGGAAGAGTCCGATAGTACAGTTTTGTTTTTTTTAAAAAAGAAACAAGAACTTTTATTTTCACCATTGTATAGCATACACCATTACATGTAATTATGAAATGAACTCTAAGATAGACTGACTGACTGACTGACTGACCGACTTTATTTTTATTGTAGATAATTGGACTGGCTTTTTCCTTTCAGGAGTTGAATTTTCCCAGAGTTGCTAACTATAGTAAGTTATTGAAAAATGGGAGTAGGTGATTTACAAGGCACTGAAGTATAGAAACCAATTTGAAGGATTCAAGAAAAATTAAGGGGGAAGAGAGGGGAGGAGGGGGAGAAGAAGAAAAAAAAAATGATATTAGTAGTATTGAAAAGATTTTTTTTTAAAAAAAAAAAAAACAGGCTAGAAATAGATGAAAAGAAAACGAGGCAACAAGATGGTTTTTTTTTTTTTTTTATTCTCCAGTTTGAAAACTTTAAGAGTGTAAGAATGAATGGATTAGGAGGTTTATGTGATAAAAATGAGCCAAAAGTTTGGTACAAGAAACAGGCAATGTCAGGTGGGTTTTGTCCCACTCCTCACATGCTTTGTACATGTTGTATAATATTTGTCAGGGAGTGGTTTTTTTTTTATTTTTTCGTTAAATGAACAACCAAGCAAGTTATGATGATTCTCTGTGTATTATGTGGATATGAGCACTGATTGAAAAAAAAAAAAAAAAAAAAAGTGTTAAGAGTTGGTGAATGAAGTGAATTAAGAAAAGAAAAAAAAATCATATTTTTTTTATTTAATAAACTTGTAAACTTGTAAACTTGAGGTTAAAGAACATAAATATACCATTGAGTAAGAATTAAAAAAAAAAAAAAGACACAAAGTAATAATAGAAACAAATGCAAGAAAAGGATATATTACCGGAATGTTAATTGATTAAGAACAAGAGAGAAAGAGAGAAAAGGGGACATAGGAATGTTTTGATTGAAGGGATAGAAGAAGAGAGTTTACATATTTTTTAATTTTATATATTTTATATATATATTTTATCTTGTTTAAAAGTTTTAATTTGAATAATGATTTTGATTTTAAAATTGATGATAGGTTTATTATTCTTATTATTACTATATAGTAAATGAATTTCTTTAAAACAAATCTTTGAAAAGTGAATTTTTTTATTTTGAATATTTTAAAAAAAAAAAAAAAAAAGTCCAAAATGCAAATTTCTTAAAGCGGCAGTAGTATAAATTAACGCTTACCACCCAAAATGGCTGAGCACGCGGATGATGTATTACGTAATAATTTAAAAAAATTAAAATTTTGGATGAAAAAAAAAGAAAAGTTTTTTTTTTTTTTTTTTTTTTCTTTTTAAGTTTAAAACTTTTGACTTCCTCGGGAGAAAAAGTTGAAGTTTTTTTTTTTTTTTTTTTTAATATAAATATTTTAAAAGAAACTTGTAAATGATAATATAAAGATATATATATATATATTTGTAAAGTTTTTAATTTAATTATATATAATAATTATTATTTCAAATAATGTAAGTTATATCTCTTTTTATTATTATTATGAGACCATTATGACGCGCTTGACATTGTGCAGGAAAATGCATGCAGAGGACTTTCAATCAGTAAAAATCGATAAAAGGCGGTTAACATTTATTTATTTAAAATAAAATAAAATAAAATAAAATAAAATAAAATAAAATAAAATAAAAATAATAAAAATAATAAAAATAATAAAAATAATAAAAATAATAAAAAAAAATCTTTCTGGTAGGTTCAAAAATAATTTTTAAAAATTTTGTTTCTTTTTTTTTTTTCTTCTTCTTCTTCTTCTTCTTTTTTTTTTCATAAAAGTGTTTATATATATATATTCTAATGTATATGTAGAAAAGTGGTTCTAATTAGAAAATATCCTTACAATACCTCCAATATTCAATCAATATTCAACCAATATCTTCCAAAATCTCATCCACTAATTATTAAAATACCTTCATAACCACCAAAATATTACACAAACACTTACCAACAATTCTACAAAGCCATCCTCTACATTCCCACAATGGCTCAGCAATTGAGCAGAGACTCAACGCTTTCATCAACATCATCAACATCATCATCTCCATCCTCTTCCTCTTCTCTATCTTCCCGCGATCTCGCTCCACAACAATCCCGCACCTCTCAACATGACTATCTCTTCCCCCCAGTCTTTAACACAAGCTTCCTACGACCACCCTCTATCATATCAACTGTATCGTCCTCTTCACAAACCTCCTCTACACACTCTTCAGTAGTAATGAATCCAGACCTCTCACTCAATCTGTCTCTCCCTCTCCTCCTCTCAGCAAATACAACGGCCCCCCAGCAAAATACACCCGTATCAGGACCTGTAACGACTCTCATGTCTTCACCACAACACCAACAACAGTCTCGCAAAAATTCGCATCCAGGATACCATCACCATACATCTTCCACTTCTTCAATATCCTCCTTTTCTTCTGTAGCCTCTGCTGTCTCTGCTTCTTCAAGTTTCATTAAAAAAAAATCAATTTCCGGCGGTGCTGGCGCTCCGGATAAACAGCAAGTACAACAGCATACCCAACAATCACAGACACAGACACAGACACAGACACAGACACAGACACAGCAGCAGCAACAGCAACAGACGCAGACGCAGACGCAGATGCAGCAACAGCAGCAAACGCAGACACAGCAACAACAACAGTCTTCTCAACAACAGACCCAGCAATCGATATCTCCAGCAGGAAGTAATCGCAACCTTTCATCGGCATTCCAATCAAATAGACTTCTCAAAACAATGACCAATCTAGTAAAAAAGAGCTCTAAAGACAGTTCAAGCGGGTTTTTTTCTAGCAGTAGTTCAGTTCTTAACAATAATAACAATAACAATACCAACAATAACAATAGTAACAGTAATAACAATACTCCATCTCCCTTTTCCTCCTCTTCATCTGATTACTCCTCCAACCACTCACGGTCTCTGCGGTCCCTTGCATCTTATTCTTCAGCCCAGTATGGTGGCTCGAGTGGCGGACCAAACACCAACGGCAGCAGCAGCGGCAATAACACCGGCGACTATCCAGACGACGACGACGACAATCTAACAAGTTTATCAGTCCAGCCGCAAGCCTTGTTCCCACGAAGGTCTAGTGTTCGTTCTCGTACTCAATCTTTCTCAAGCGCAGTGGCCGTAACTGCACCTAGTCCCCTAAGTATTGGCACAGGCCCCGCATCTGCATTTTCTTCCGCATCTTCTTTTTTCTCCGTCCCTGCAGGCCCGGCTTCTCCTAGCTCGACTGCTGCTGCTACTGCAGCTTCTCTCATGATGGTCCCTCGACCTTCCCCCACGTCTTCGGTCTTTTCCGCCAAGGACATTATGGAAACAGGTCCAGGTCCAGGTTCAGGTCCAGGTCTAGGTTCAGGTCCAGGTCCAGGTTCAGGTCCAGGTCCAATCCATAGTCCAGGGCAAGGCCCTTCCACTAGCCCGTTGTCTAGCTCGTTACCAAACTCTCTCACAGGTTCAATTCCTGGTGCCTTATCAGGGTCCTTCCCAGGATCCGTCTCAATCACCATGCCCGGTAGCGCACCAGTTACAACATTGGCATCTTCCCTTTCTATAATACCTCCATTACCTGCATTTACTCCCACCACTGAAGAGTTTCGTCTACAACAAGATTCTGACCAAAATACACACCCCTACCATGGCCTCCAGCATGATGAAGATCCCGATGAAATTGAGCCTATATCTCCACTCCACCAATCTCGGTCTCTGCATCCCTCAATGTCCACCATCAAAAAGGGCTCATCTCAGTCGCTTCTTAGCGATAGTGCTTCTAGCGTCCATACTACAACAGGTTTAAGCGATTCCGGCGAGCAGTCCGAATTCAATTCGGGCATGAACTCCAATTCCAACTTGTTGGAGCAAAAACGAAGCATTCGCGGACTCAATCCTTCCCAATCAACAAGCCCCCTATTTACCGGGCATAAAGCATCTTCATCACAGCAGCAAAATCCAAGGCATTCTTCAGCAACTTTCACACTAGATCTGGACACCAACAACCATTCTGGGGGGTGTAATCCCTCTGTTGGACCCAGCAGTAATTTTAAGATGGGGAAAAATGGGAGCCAGTTTTCATTAACCACGCCTAAGATCCCCATCTCCTCCACCTTCGATCCATCAATTTCCGTGCCCATATCGGCACTAACGATGAGTTCTACGAGCCCAATGTTACCTAGTCATTATGGTTCTCCAGGTAGCAGCAGTAGCAGCAGTGGTAGCGGTGGCAGCGGGAGTGGGTCCAGTAGTGGCGGACGAGCCACTATCACCGCTGCCCACTCAGAAGGTTCGTCTAGTTCAGGCACCCGCAAGCCTCATGTCTCTGATATTATTGCTCGTCTAGGTGGGCCTTCCTTCCCGGTGACATCATTGACGTCACCATCATCTTCTACTTGGTCTTCATCTTCATCTTCATCATCATCATCATCATCATCATCATCTTCATCTTCATCATCGTCTTCATCATCATCATCATCCTCGTCTTCTTCATCTTCATCTTCTTCTTCGCGACCTCTTCCTAGACAGCCTTCTGATCCAACATTGTCTTATCATAATAACCATGAAGACACCCTCACCTCTTCTAACTCCTCTCTACACAACCTCAAGCCTCACGCGTCCACGCCCAACATGTACACTCGCCCGGAACTAGAACCTAATAGTGTTGCCTCTGTAAGTCAGTTCCGTGGTAGTGTGCCATCCAAAAACAAGGCGATCGGAGCTAGCAATACACACCATCATCAATTAAGCAGAGTTGAGGGTCTGGGGTTGGAGCTGTTATCTGGGAAAACTTTAGCATCGTCAACACCAACGCCACCAGCGGCCGCGGCAACGGTTTCCACTACCCCTCCAGAAGTAACTGTGAGATCTTCAGTAAAAGACTCCGATCTAATTAAAAATACTGCGACAACGACGGCAGCAGATCTTACAACTACTGGGTCGGTAACATCCATTAAGGACGCCTCAGAGAGCTCGATGGGTGGACCCACCGAGAAGGCCGAACCTAAAAAAGATAGGGCTAATCTAAATGCAGCTGAAGCGGAGTCGGTAGAGGTTGCCGCTAATAGTAATGTCAAATTGGAGCACAGAGATACCAGCATAGAACACAGATCAACGTGTGACAGCAGTAGCAGTTGCGCAGATAAAAGCAGCAATGGCAACAGCAGCAACAGTACCGATAGCAACAGTGCCGATAGCAACAGTGCCGAAGGCAGCAGCAGTGCCCGTAGCAGCTTGAATCCGGATGATGCGCTTGGGAATTCACATGCAGCAGCATCAGAAACTATTGATATTACAGCAACAGCTACAGCAACAGTAACAGCAACAGCGACTGCAACAGCAGTGGTATCTTTACCACCCTTATCAGCAACACCAACATCAAATCCAAAGTCTTCGGAATCTTTGGCCAATACGTGCGTCTTGAGCTCAGTCTTGCATTCCCCCGACGAGCCGGGACCTCAATTGGCACCCTTTGCGGAGAATAAAGAAGAATCTGGTACACAACCAATGAAGCAGCCTTCAGCCATTGTAGGACCCAAGCGTTTGGGTCAATCGACAAACCGTCAGCAGCAACAACAACAACAGCAGCAACAACAACAACAACAGCAGCAACAAAAACTTGATATCGACAAGAAAAGCAACGGTGTCTCGAGTCCGTCACAAGACAACACTAGTCAGTCTCCCGAAGGGGTTCCAAAGCCCCTGAGCAGGAAACCTACAGGGCTGATCGCTGCAGGAGAGTCCAAAACGCCCAGTGCTGTTTCTTCCAGTACGCATGCAGCAGGCCTGCCAGTTTCTTCCTCAGGAGCCAAGGCAGTCTCTACTTCTACTTCTACTTCTACTTCTACTTCTACCAACACTACCGCCACCACTACAAGCCAAACACAAATTCCTAGCCGGCGCGGCTCCTCTGCCACCACCACCGCGATCCGTCTGCAACCTTTGACGCAACAGCTCCAGGCCTCGGCTCCAAAAACTCCGTCAGCACTCCCTAGAATGGCACACCGCGTCTCATCAAACCCTCAGATCAGTGCTGTCAGCCATCCCCAGCGTCCTGGCACGCCTACAATCCTAGCACCATCATTAGGGCCATCATCGTCGGATTTATCGCTCAAAAAGAAAAAGAAAAAGAGCCAACTCAACACTACAATTGCTGCAACTTCAATATCTAATGTCCCCCTAGCGCACTCTGTACAACAACCATCATCAACAACAGGAACACAAAACCATCATCATCATACTGCGCGGTATGCAGCACCCACAGCAGCATCTCTTGCAGCCGCCACTGTTCCAGATCACCATGATCACCGCGAACCGCGCTCAAAACTTCGTCCACGGGGACAGACATCCAAAGACGCGTTGCGAACAACTTCTGCATCTTCCTGGTCGACATATACATCTTCAACAGGCTTATCACGTCGCAACAGCACCGGCATTTTACAAAGTGGTAGGCCTACTGGAAATACTAATGCCTCTGAATCTTTAGGCACTGTTTCTGCTCCATTTAATCCGCACAACATGGACGAGCTCAAGGCCAAGATCCAAGAACTTGAAGACGTTATTGAGCACGAGAAGAGTGAACGCGAACGTGCAGCATCCAAAATGTCACAGGAGAAACGCGAAAAAGCGCAACTACTGGCCAAAATTAAAGCATATGAAGCAGTTGCATCCCAAACGTCGCTGCGATACTCTTTAAGCGGAACCACGGAGGATAATGAAGAAGACGAAGAAGACGAAGAAGACGAAGACGAAGAAGATGAAGAGGAAGATGAAGAGAACGGCAACTTGCGGAATTTACCTAAAGAACCCAACCAAAGACCTCCACAAGACGATATTGCAAACTATAGCAACATTTCGGAAGACAGTCCAAGCAACCGTGCTCCTGGCAGTAGTCCAGAGGAATCACATACTGTTACGGAAACATCCGCATCTCAACATAGGGCCTCCACTGTGTCTGGGTACATGAGCAGCAACATGAGCCAAATGTCAGAGGCTAGCTGGAAACACTTGTACTCTGAGGCTGGGCTTCGAATCGAACAGTTAGAAGCCAAGAACCGGATGCTGGAACGTGAGATGCATTTGCGTAGCAAGGAGAAGGATAAAACAGAAACAACAACAACTTCTAGCAGTGGAGGGGCCAGCAGCAGTAATAGCAGCAAGCGGTACTCAATGCCAGCCACACATAGCTCCGATTTATTTACACGACAGAGCCAGCTTGCAGCATTCCAAAACGCTGTAACGGAACTTAAACTGAGCAAAGAAGTGTTGCGCACAGAGAATGGAAGCTTGCTTGCGGAATTGGGGAAACTACGGGATAGTATCACGCTTGTGACGACAAGGTCACAGAAGCTAGAACGGCGGCTTTCAGGGAAACAAACACGGATGGATGCGCTTAATATGACTCTGGTACAGGCACAAGATGCGCTGCGCAAGGCGGCGGTAGAGATTGAGAAGAAAAATAGACAGCTTGCGGAGCTTTTACATGAGCTAGAGGGGACGCGGGAAAAAATGCACAAGGCGGAAACGTACGCAATTAAAACGGCAGACAAAGTGTACCGGGTTGCGCAGCAGGTAGCTGCTGCAGATGCTGAGGCAGAACGGTTGACACACGAGAACCAGCGACTTGTTGCACGGTTGGAGACTGATCAATGGCATACGGAGCGGCAGGTGCGAGGGCTAGAGCGTGACGTGCGGCGCAAGAAGCGGCTTGTTACGAAGCTTGAGGATTCTGTTCAGGATTTGCAAATCTCGCTTCAGCTTAAGGCCATGGAAAACGAGCATCTTAAGCAACGTATAAAAATCATGGAGGAGGCTCAAGAATTGGCTGCTCAGTCTGGTACTGGAGCTCTTACTGCTGTTGATTCTACAAATGTCCATAGAACGCCGGCTCCTCCCCGTTCCAGATCTTCTGCTCTCTCGTCGTCAACAACAGCAGTCCCCACGCCAACCTCTGGCCGTACATCTTCACACAAGTACACGCGCAGTAGTGGAAGCATAAGCGGCGGCGGCGGGAACAGCGGCGGGCTGGTGGTTCCGTCATCTGGTGGTTCGCGGTCCAGCCATATGCACCACCGACACATGCAGTCGATGGGCAGTGATAGTACAATCATAAATGTGAGGTTATCTGATTCTTATGACGGCACTATTAGCATGGTTCCTCAGATTCGTGGAAGTGAAGTTGGTGGTCCTGAGGGCCATGCTTCTTATCGTGCACAGGACCATTATCATAAAACTTCTGCATACTTTCTCGAGGCTATTCCATCATCGGCAGCCCCAACACCATCAGCTTCAGCAGTGTCTTTGTCGACGGTGACTACAACATCGGCATCATCTTTCATGACGGCCACGGCCCATGCCCATTAGGTATATATATATAGCTGAAAGAAATCAAAAAAAAAAAAAAAAAAAAAAAAAAAAAACAATCTTCTTATTTATTGTTTGAAATTCTATACACTTTCTGCACGTAAAACCTCAACAGGAATCTCATTGCGGAAATCACGCTTACACAGCGGACAAAGCGCCTTGCTGGTGGTGAGCCATGGTGTGATGCATTCGTCATGGAACACATGGTTGCACGAAAGTAATCGCACAATGTGATCATTGTCTTCAAGCCCGTCAGTTGTACTTGTTGTAGCAGCAGCATCTTTTTTGCTGGCAGCCTTTTTCCCGTCTTTATCACCATCATTTTCTTCCTCTTTATCTTCTTTCTCTTCTTCTTCTTCTTCCTCGACACGAGTGGCTTCATCAGACTCAGTGCCTTCTTCAGGTTCCTCACTGATGCGCTCAGGTTTGACATCGTCTTCTTCCTTTTCGCGGATTGTACCCTGGCAGATTGGACAAAACACAAAGTCATTGTCCTCGCCAACAATCTGGACATGAGAGACCGGCTTTTCTTCTTCTTCTTCTGAATGAGTGGGTTCAGCATCCTCATGGACTACACTGAGATCAGGCTGGCCGGCAGAAGGCGAGGTTGCAGTAGAAATAAGCGGGGTATCAGCAGACGGCCCAGGGGTAGTTTGTGCAGAGGACCCTGCAATAGCAGCACCTCCATTGGTAGCCCATCCTTCGCTTGACTCTGGGATTGTATGGATAGCATTTCGAATGGCCATCCCAGATGCTGACATGGTTGATGTATGTCGGTTGACCCGTGGGGCTGCGGGCAAGCTATAATGATGCGTAAGTCCAGCAGCTGCAGACATGCGTTTGAGAGAAGCTCCGCGAGAAACTGCAGCTGCTTGTAACACCAGATCTTCATCTGAATCGTTATCGGCGTCAAAATCCTCGTCGCTGTGGCGACCACGGAGATGTCCATCTGCTGATGCTGAGCGGAGTGGTTGGAGCCGGCGAGCACCTGAAGAATGCCTTCGGTCCAAGCCGGCTTCATCGTCCGAGATTTGTGGCGGGTTAAGGTCATGCAGGTCGTTATATTCTATGTTTTGAGCGGCTGGGCCAAGCGGACTAAACATGGAGGCCACTGTTTGAAGCCAGTTTTCATTTGTACTGTTACTTTCATTGTCGCTGTCATTGCGAGCAAGATCGTCGCGACGCCGCCGCCGCTCATTGTCGTCTTCATCGTCATCATCTGTGTACTCTTCGTAGACCCACTCGTAATCACTATCGTCCTGGTCAATGATAGGATTTCGGGAAAGCACTGGGTCGGGTCCACGCTCAAGATCGCCATGAGCATATGAATCGTAGGCAGTAGAGCTTCCACCGTCGAGATGATGGAGTAGATTACTGTCTTCGTCGTCATTGAGGGTATGCGCACGATGAGGACCAAATCTGCTTGTGGTAGCTGGAGTGGTTGGGGCACTGCGATGGATTGGGAGTGATATATTGCGGCGGATGTTGCTATTACGGGGGTTAATTGAAGCTGAGGAGACTGCACCGACGGTTGCGACTGATGCTGGACGAACGATGGAAGAACCATAAGCCATGGGACCCTTTGGAAGGGGCTGAGCGAGTGGCGATGCAATTGATTCATGAAGAGAGCTTGATAGGGATACGTCGGAGAAGTTTGCGAGATTGTTATTGAATGGAGGGGCTCTTGGGGATGTCAATGTTTGTGATACGGGTGTTTGTGGACGGGATCCAGTTGCGGGGATTGCACCAACTTGTTGCCCTCCTGTATTAACAAGAGAAGTTTGACTACTGAGCACAGAATCTATAGGAGGAACTGGAGGGATTGATGTATCGATGGCATTGTTTCCAATGACTGAAGTTGGTCTTGATGATGGGGCTGATGCCATAGCAGCTGAGACTGTAGAATTGCGCAAAGCAGTACTTGCACGTTGGAGGGATCTGCGTTGAAGATCACGAGCTTTCATGGAAGTTTTTCGAGCCAGACGGTATAAATCATGTTTTTCACGCTTAAACTGCTGTGCGGGGAACATGGCATCAAGTTCATATAGGGTTAGTGCATAGGGGTTATCACGAAGAACGTGGTTATAAGCATCAGCCCATTCTTCATCTTCTTTGCCACGGGTTGGAGGCGGCACATTAGGTGGTCTTGGAGCACGGTTTCGATTGCGACGGGCTTGCTGCTGTTGCTGTCGCTGACGGGAGTTTGTAGTAGACCGGGTAGTGGTTCTAGTGGTAGTGGTAGTGGTAGTTGATGAGGAGTCACCATGATGGCCAAAGAGTGAACGACGTTCTTCCGGGTCGTCAGGGTTGTTGCTTTGGCCCGTTAGGAAGTTGCGTAGGCGACGTCGGCGGCGATAACGTTGGCGGCGAGGTCTGCCGTTACTACCAATGGAGGTTGATTGTTGGTCCGAAGCAGGAGTTGGTTGAGTTCCGGAGGAGCCAGCAGTGGTAGCCGAGCCGGAGCCAGGGATTCTAGAATCTGAGCGGTAACTTGAATCAGAGGAGGAGGAAGTGAGTCGTTTTTTATGTTTGCGAATGTAGTAAACAATATAGAGGACGGCGAGGACGACGACAACGATGGGCACGACATAGGCCAGGACGACACCGGAGGTTGTGACCATGATTTGATGAGTTTGATAGGTATGTGGATATGAATGAAAAGAAAAAAAAAATGGAGGATGTGAAGGTTTTTGTTTTTTTTTATTGATGAAGATTTGATAATTACAAGGAATGGAGAAGGAGGGAGAAGAAGAAGAAGAAGGGAAAGTTTTTTTAAAAAAATAAAAAAATAAAAAAATAAAAAGGCGGGATTTTTTAAAAAAAAAATAATATTTTCAAAGAAATATATAAAATAAAATATTAAAAAAAATAAAAACACGCCAATGGAATAGTTAAGACGTATTTAACAATGTTGATGATCATGGCTGAGTTCTGGTATATATCATCATCATCATCATCATCATCATCATCACCAGATTATTAAGAGTAGCTCGGGTCATGTTCGGGACTTGTTTTTTTTTTTATATTCCCCGGAACACTTGAAAGAATATTTGTTTGCCAGCACATACACATATATATATATATATATCAAACATCAATAATGAACGGGTTGTTCCCTTAAAGAAATCATTCCACAGCCTCCATTTATTCCTCCCTCCCCCCTTCTGCAAAATTTGGCAGCCGCATTGTTCAACGTAGATATAAATAAATATAAATATATGCACTATGTATATATATATATATATAACTAAAAGAAACCTTGGCTTGATCTTTTTTTTTTTCTTTTTTTTTTTTTTTTCTTTTTAAGGGAGGAGAGATTTAAAGGTTTATGTTAAAAGATTTCAAAGCTAATAAAGTATTTTCAAGTTATTTATAATCTATTATTATTTACTATTATTATTATTACTTATATATATATATATATATATATATATATATATATATAAGAATTCAAAGTTGAAATGGTTGAATTTTTTTTTTTTTTTTTTTTTTTGAATTAGGTCTACACTTGAAACCATTTTGGAATATAGAATACCATCAACTATTTCAAACAATTATATAAGTACAGTTATAACGAAGAGCTTCTTTTTTTTTTTTTAATTTGTATAAAACGGCTTCTATATATATATATATTCTAAAACTGATTTGACTGATTTATATTTTTCATTATTTTTCTATAAATGAAAAATTTATTATTTCTTTTGATTGAAAAGTACGCGTGGCCGGTACTTGAAAAGGGTTGTTTTTTGCCGCGAAAAGACTTTAAGTCTTTAAAAAGCTTTTAAAACACTAAAAAAAATTAAAAAAAAATTAAAATAATTAAAATGTCCCTCAAAATCACGTGAAGATAAAAAAAATTTGAGGAAAAATTTTGATTTTGAATGAAAAGAATAAAAAAAAAACTTCAATTAATCAATCAATTAATCAATATTTAATTTTTATTAACTTTTGAATAATAATAATATTAATAATATCAATCAATTAACATGTGCTGGAAAATGTCTAAGACCCTCATCTATAGCGGAAGGAAAGATGAGCCGGAAATGACCTGGAATGCGGAGAAAAAAAAGAAAAAAAAGAAAAAAAAGAAAAAAAAACCAACTTTTTAAGCTAATTAGGTCAATAAAAAAAAGGATTTTAAAGGAGATAATATGATTAATCTTTTAAATCGATTATGGGGAGAGAGATGAAGAAAAGTGGCACAGTAACTTGAAAGAAAGAATGAAAGACAACAACAAACTTAACCTGGTAGTTAACGTGTAGCTTATATGTATGCGAATATTGCGTTATAAATAGGTACGAAAAAAAAGAAAACAAATCTTTTCAATTGGTTGGTTCTCCTTTTTTTTTTTAAAAAAAAAGGCAAAGTTTTTTGAAAATTTTCAAGTTACAATGAATTCCTACGTTGTATTAACAAAAAAAAAAACAATATTGTTTCTTAATGGAATGCTAAACTAAAACAACAACTGCAATGTAAACAAAAAAACCTTACAAATATAATATCATAAATTCATACTCAAATTACATAAAATTTATCAAAAACCAGAAATCATACCAAAGATAACTTTGAAAATTCTTTAAAGAAAAAATTGAGCCGTCCTATTTAGGAAATATGTTTTTTTTTCTACAAAATATGGGCATTCAGTCGGCACTTAACCAAGTAACACTTTCGATAATACTATATATATATAGTAATATCTAAAGCAAATCCACGTGATGTCAAATATATATATATTTAATAAATTTCAAAAAAATAATTTTTAAACTTCGCTTTTGTTTGCGCGAAATTCATGCTCATAAGACTTTGTTTAACAAAAGATTTGAGTCAAAATAAGTTAAGCATTGCTTCCCCACTTTTATAAAAAAAAAAAAAAAAAAAAAGGGGGCTCATCTATAAGTCTATTTTTTAAAAAAAAAAAAAAAATTTTTTAAAAAATCTCTAAAATAGAGATAAATGTATAAGTAAAAAAATACTCCGACACGGGGAATCGAACCCCGATTTCCACGGTGAGAGCGTGAGGTGATAACCATTACACTATATCGGAATTTTACAAAAATATAACTCATTCACCCTATATAAAGTGATCTAACGTTAAAAAGTAATGTTAAAAACTTTTTTGCATTGAAAAATCTTATTTAAATTTTTTGGTTTTGATAATATATAGTATTTGCTATAATTTTTTAAAAAATTTTATTAAAAATTTATAGTAATTTAGATATATTTCAACTTGTCTTGAACTAAAAAAACACTTCAAAAATTGAAGATAAAGAATCAAGAGTTAATGTTCAAAAAATGTTGATATCATATAATTCAGTTAATAAATAATTATCATTATAATGCTTTAAAATTGTTACTAAATGTTAGATATATTATGGTATCTGAAAAATAACAATTTTAAGCTACAATGGAAGATTGAAAAACCAACTCTAGATAGTTAAAACCAATGAAGTAAAAAATTAAATGTACTTCTAAATGAAATCAATTTTATATATATCCCATCATTATCAATTGTTATTATTTTATGTTTATGTTAAATTTGAATCATAAATTTTTTTTTTTTGAAAATTTTTTTTTTTATTATTAAATACTTTAGTGAATCTAAACGCAAATTTGAACATTCAGTTGTAGTTAGGAGGATATTTTTTTTTGGTTTTTACCAAAAAATCACAACGTTAGTTAAAAAAAAAAGGCATCAACGACTTCTCAAGTCTCAATATAAAAATAACATATAATTTGATATATATAGAAATTTTATAAAATTTCTAAAAAAATATTGATAAAAGTTTCTGGATATTATTTGCCATTAAAAAAAACATCTTTAGTTCTTGAGTTGAGTTGACTATTGATAGTTTTATTTCTTTATTTAATCAAAGCTATATACCATTTCCGATTAAAATTATTATTAATTTTTATTTATTTTTATTTTTTTACTTTACAATGTACAAAAAAACTCCATAAGCTAATTTCTAATATATCAAAAAGTAATTCCCCAATTTTTTTTTATTTTTTTTTTATTTTTTTTATTATTATTATTAATTTTTTTTTTTTTTAAAACTCATTACACTTGCGCCGAAGTCTTGCAATCTCCATATTCTTATCATTAATTTCACGCAACAATGCTTCATTCTTTTGTAGCCCGTTGGTGTCACGATGAAGCTTTTGCAATGCCTTTTTTAACTGGTCTTTTTCTTTCGACATGATAGAAATGGTGCTTCTCAGACGTGAGTTTTCCTCTGCAAGAAGTACCCGGTAGTGGGTCGATTGATCCAGCTGTGAGGCCATTTGTGCAGAAGACTTTTTTAGTGCTGAATAAGTTGTCAGTAATGTATGTGCAGAAATCATTTGTGATTTGAGCTTTTGGATAGTAGACATGTTAAGAACCCCACTCTTATTGTCTGATGATTCCGTAGCAGGGAACTCGCGCACGTCACCAGGTAACAGTAAATCAGCCTTACTCCCATTGCCATTGACACGATCAAGCTCAGAAGCGGGTGTTGGAATAGAGGACTTGGACAATGGAGATTCATTTGCAAGTGCATCCATAGGAGTTGCTGGAAATGAACCAAGCCTAATCCGTGGGAGTTGTATTGGTTTTACAGAGGATCCACTTGTTATTGGTACTGCCGGTGCTCCTCCCATTGTAACTTTATTCCCAGGGGTAGTATTATTGATGTTTGGGTACGTAGTATAATATGCTGATGGGTATTTTTGTGGCCGCATATTTGGTGGCCCGGTCTTGGCTGCAGTTGGAACTGTAAGGGTTCCACGCTTCTTGGGTCCAGTCTTTGACACAGATTCTGAAAGATTGAGCACAAGTGGTGTTGGTGGTGGTTGTTGGACCTTGGATCGCGAAAATGATGATATGCTAGGAGTGCGCACGGATTTCGGCGTGGTATTTGATAATGGTAATTGTAATTGTGATGATGATGACGATGACGATGACGATGAAGATGACGATGAAGATGATGATGACGATGGTAATGATAATGACAATGACGATGATGATGACGATGATAATGATAATGATAATGATGATGATGATAATATGGTTGAAGTTGATAATGCTGAGGTCCCGCTTTTGGGATCCAGTTTTTTCTTTGGTGGCAAGTTTTGAGTCTTTTCAGTCGCACGCTTGCGTTTAAGAGTTTCAGTTATGGGTTTAACAGCCGTAGTAGCGACCGGAGTAGGTCGGACCATCAAAACCTCTGGGAAATCGTCGTCTTGTTTGGGTGAAGAGGAAGATTCTGGTTGGATGATAAGAGAAGGTGGTGATGAAGAGGGAGGTGAAGGTTTTTTAGATGCAATAGATGGAGGGAGCACAAATGGCGGAAGTTGAAGAGAAACAGCAACTGCAGGTGAAGTTTGCTTGGTTTCTTTTGATGCTTGTTGTTTAGAGTCTTCGTCGGAAGACGAGTCCAATTCTGTTTCACGAAATAGTGAATCCAAATCGAGGTCGTCGAGTATAGAGCTATGGTTTGGACTCTCGGATGTGGAGTTCGCGACCATAGATTGGTTGGCTGCTTCTTTTTCAATATTTTCGGTGTTTTTGTTGGTTTCGATGTTTTCAGTGTTTTCAGTGCTTTTGTTGTTTTTGTTGTTTTCGGTGGTTTCGGTACTTTTGTTGTCAATATTAAGATTATTGCTGGTACTGCTCGATGGTGGTGATGATGATGTTATGGGCTTACTGGCTGGTGAAGTCGCATTGGGAGTCAATAACTTTACTTGCTCGGGGGGAACAGATACTGAAGCAGGTTTTGAAGGTACCACTGTTTCTTGAGGTCCTGTAACTGGTGACAATGTTCCACTCCGGCTTTGGGGAGGACTCAAAATCCCGGCCGGAGCTACCATACTTTCAGTCTTGATCTCTTCCACTTCAGTAGTTTCTATCACATCCGGTGACCCTCCATCATGCTGGTTCATTGAAGTTAACATATCATGGTACTCAACAGGGATATCCATGTCCATGTCAATGCTTTTAAAATCAAAATCAAGCGAAATGCCCATTATAGGCTCTTCTTCTTCTTCTTCTTCTTCTTCTTCTTCTTCTTCTTGAGTTTTGGGTATCATTAGTTCTTGATTTTGGTTGATATTTTCGTCAGTGCTACTTTCAGGCGGCTGAGTTTCTGAAATATTCATATCTTCTCCTAGCAGCTCAAACAACTGTTTTTTGATATCATCGTCATCATCGCTCTCCATAGTCGTTTGCGAGTCTTGAGAAACCACAGTCTCCGGTGTTGATCCCTTACTACTTGTGTAATCAGTGTCACCAAAAATCTCTGCCATTTCTTCGTCAATCGATTTTGCGCGAACTGGTTCTGGCGATATCTTGTTGGAAGCCTCCTCCTCCTCCTCCTTCTTCTTCTCATTAGTGTTGTTGCTCATGTTACCATTAATAAATGATGGCAACATAAACTTTTGATTTTCAGATTTCTCATTAGAAGATTCAATTTTAATCTTCACAGGTAAACTCAGCCCCGATTCGGCGCTCATTATAAGAAATTGTGAGTTTTGCTTATTGTTGTTGTTGCTGGTGTTTGATCAGGGTCGAGATTGTGTGTGTGATGAGAGGTCTTGTTTAAATGCTAATACCAGTTGAAAAGGAAAAATAAAAAACTTTCCGACAGAAACACAAACACAAGAATAAATCGTTCGAAAGAGGTTCTTTCAGTATAACGATATCAAGTGAATGAAATAAAGAAAGAACCAACTGAAAAAGTCAAAGAATGAAGTTTTTTTTTTTTTAAAAAAATTTTGAATTTCTAAACTTGAGTTGTTAGAGAACGTGAAAGCCTAAAATTTTTTTTTTTTTTTTTTTTTTTTAGGTGTGAATAAAAAAAAAAATTTTTTTTTTGGGCCCTCCATATCTGAAAATAAATACGCCGCACGGAATTTCCTATTGAAGCCATTAAAAAAATTTTCCTATAAAATTTACCTCCCCCCGAGAAAATCCCCAATCAAGCCTCCTGTATTTTAATCCTTTTCTAAACACAAAAATTAAAAAAAAAAAAAAAAAAATTAAAAAAGAAGACAAAAGAGATTCAAGTCCATAACGTATTTTATTCGTAACTACTATTATACACACACATAAATCATCCATTCAAATTCTCAATTTGAACACCAACCAAATATTCATCGTCGCGGAACTTGTTGAATAGAACACGGGCCAACATAATGACCGCAACAATGCAATAAACTACACAGAAAAGAGCAAAGATACCCACAAACGGATACTGAGCCAACGTAGGAATAACTGGTGAATGCTGAATAACCTCGGGGACTAGTGGTGATGACATAGCATAGTGCGCACCCTTTCCAACCGCCCAACCAAGTGCATTAATCACGCCAAACTGCATTAAAAGCTTAGACACAAATGTCTTGTACGGAACAAATGCATTTGGAGACCATGGGCCTCCCTGAAGGTTTCCGTCAGCAGGGTTGGGCGCAAGCACCTTGGCAATATTATTGCTCAAAATCGGGACCCACTGGTTAGACCGTAAGGCATAGACAAGAAGGTTAAGGTAGACGGCATAGAGAATAAAGGCAATATCAAGCTTAAAGCGCATAGTAATGAGCGCATGATAGGATGTAAACACTAAAATGGGTTCAACCAAAACTGTGATAATCAGCCAAATCTGCAAAGAGGGGACAAGAACAGTGTAAGCCAATCCTAGAGCAAAGTACTTAAAAACCAGTTTGGCCAGGTTTTTGTAATTGCGATAAATGTGGCCATGTCTAGCGCGTACTTGTAGTTCCCAAGCCTTAATGTTACTATACTGATCAATCACGGTGATGCCCATTATGGCAAATGGGAACCCAACAATTCCACATAGTAATGTATTCTTTTGAATTTGCTCAGTGGTAGCCTGGTGTAATAGGCGCAACTGCATTTGACCAATAATTATTGGAAGACCAGTAACAGAAAATACAATCAAGCTGCCAAAGAGCCAAATCACTGAAAGAAACCCGGCTGTTTTCCATCGAAAATGGGGAGGGCAGTAGACAATATTATAGTTTTTCAAGTCATTATCAGTATCTTCAAGACCATCCAGCCGCTCGTCATCCTTTGTAACAACAAGGAAAAGCTTTGTTTTAATCTTGCCATCCTTTTGACCATGGTTCAAGTCATTGTTCAACTGAACGACTGCATTATCTGACGCCGGAGCACGAACAAAGCATCCATCGGGGACAAAGTAAGCGGAATCAGGAGGAATGGTTTTAAGATCCTCTGGTTTTTTAGGGCTGGAGTAGTCAGGCTTAACATTCTTGAACCATGCCTTAAAACTACCATAGTGAACAGATCCTTGTTCAATAGGAACTTGCTTATTGAGAATAAAGGAGGAAAGACGAAGAGCATGACAAGCTTTTCCAAAAATGTTTGTCCATAGCTTGCGGATAATTGCTACTGGCTTGAAGTACTGAGAGATGGCCAATAATGGAGCAATACTAATGATACACAAGTTCAAATAAATTCCGGGAGAAATAAGCTCTGGTGAGAGATCCATTGTCAGGGGAATAAAGGAGAAGTCCAAAACATAACGGAAAGACCACACCACACCACCGATGCAGAGTAAAATCAATGCAGTGTAAATAAGACCCGAAATGCCAATTTTTCCAAGTTGGGAAACAATATCACGTTCCATAATATCGCCAACCGGGTGAATATTTGGATCGTTGGGATCCCGAACAAAGTAAAGCACACCTGGTCGCATAATACCACGGCACATACTGACATAATAAGCAAACTGAAACATATACAAGGTACCCAAGCCCCAAAAGACAAAGGGACTAATGAAAGGCCAGTCAAGAGCAAATTTCATAGTATCGGCAATAGTGATTGAGGGGAGAATTGGTAAAAGTGCCCAAGAAATCAAAAGGCCACACATCATGGGGAAAAAGAAGAGTTCGATTCCAGTAATTATAACAACCTTAACAAGCAAGCCAAAGATACGAAGATTTTCAATAATGGCAATTTCAGTGCGACGGTTGGTAATGTTCTGAGCGATTCGGAAAGAACCATAGGCAATGTAAGAACCAATGGCAATGACAGTTGCCAAGCCAGTAAAGATGTATGTGACCGAGTAGAAAAAGGAGTGAGGGTATGGAGCATAAGCTTGATATAAAAATCTCCAAAGGAAAGATCCCAAACGGGCTTGGTTTTGAGACTCCAACCAGTACCTTGCAGAGAGTGCCAGATAATAATCCTTTTTGGTTTCAACAAACCCAGCAAGAATGTGGAAAAAGCGAGAGAGTATCATATCAGCAACTTTATTTCCGAGAGAAATAGAAAGGTCAATAGTTCCAACAACAAGGAAGCCAATACCAACAAAACAACAGCTTCCAAAAGTGTAAGGAACGCCTATACCAATAAAGTTAATGGTAAAGCCAAGGGCTACTGTAAGAGCAAACTTGAAAAGCAAGGCCTTGAGGGGCCCAGTGATACTGAGAAAGTTTGCAATATCACGTAGGTCTTCTAGATCAAGGTTGTCAGCCTCAAAGTCATCGTCGGCAACAAAATCGCCAGGCCGGAACTGGCCTGGAATATTGTTCATGACATTTTCATTTTCATTTTCATTATGAAGTTGGTCGGTAAAATCTTCTTCCTGAGCTCGAAACTCGTGTCCATACTGTTCGTAAACATCATCAAATCCAGGCATTTCATTGGGATCTGTAGTCAAAATGTTGGCCTTCACCTTGGGAGACATATAAACAGTAGTTCCATTAACGGCTTCCTTGAATGCCTTATAATAAAAGTCAAAATCAACATTAGTATTTATAACGCCGTCATCGGTCGATGAATCTTTTGTTAAGTAATTCTCAATTAAATTGTCAATTGGTAATTCTTGAAGAGCATTGAGTGTGTTTTCGCGAAACATTTTGCGAGATTTTAAAAGACTTTTTTGAAACAGCTCATAAGCTCCGAGAACACCAGGACGAAGAAACAGTGGCCAACCTTTAGTATTATCTGGTTGTTGTTGTTGTTGTTGTTGTTGATTTAATTTTAGTTGCTGAGTAAAGGCACCAATGAACATCTGTTTAATTGTCATTTTAAAGCGTACAATAATCTGCATGTGGTGAAGCGCTTCAACTGTTTGGGTTTTTTGTGTTGGTCTGTTGTCGAGATAACTAATGACATCAGTGATAAGAATATCAAGTGGAGTTTGTTCTAAGTGAGTTTCCTGAATTTGATCATGATATGAAAAAGTATCCGAAAAAAAGTTCCAGTTGGAAACGATTTCTTGATAATCCTTGAAATATTCTTTATATTTTTCTGGGGGTATGATTGCTTCTGCAATGCGGAAAAATAAAATGGTTTGACGAAGCTGAAGTTTTTCGTCCACCAAGCTTTGAAGAAGGTTTTGGTATTGTTTAAGTTTTTCTGGGGTCATGTTAGACTTTTCCGCCGCAAGGGCAGCGAGGCGTGATTTAGGGAAGAATTTCTCGTTAGGGTCCTTTATCAGGGCCGCCATGTAATTGTACTCGCTGATGCGGTTGACATAATATTGGTAAATGACTGGGCGCCAAAGAGGTGCAAGAGAGGTAGAGGTCATTATTTTGGTAGTGCTCAGGCCTGCAAGATCTGTAAAGTATCTGCGAAACATGTCATTAAAAACGTTCCTTGTAGATCTTAAAGAGTTTGGTTTGTTTATTGTTAACGGGGTATGATTTTTGTGATCGCGAGCAATTGCTGCTGCTGCAATACTTAATTCAGTATTCATTCTGTTTTCAAGCATGGCTTCCTGCATTTTGATTTTTGATTTTTCCTCTTCAAGAAGTTGTTGTTCCATTTCCTCGATACCAAGGAAATTTTTCAGGGTTGTACCATTTTCAGTAATGCGTTCAATTTCGCTCTGGACCGCCCATCTGAGCATTGAAATTGCGAGATAAAGCACAATGAAAAAGAAAATGAGAGCACATCCTTGGAGGTAAAAGTTAAGGCTGTCAGGTGGAGATAATAAATCTTGTGTTGATGCGGTGGGAGTTGATGTTGTTGCAGTTGTGGTAGTAGCCGAGGGCTTTGAAAAAAAGTGGTAAATTTTACGTGGATCAATGAAAAACTGAGACCAGTGATATGTGACTGATCTGGCATAATCTTGAGTTAAAGGTTTCTGTTTGAATTGGCGGGGCTTAGGGTTAATGACTAGAGTATGGGCAAAAGAGAGGGTGAGGGTAAGAGATTGCCGAATGATAATAGGGACATGAAGCCAAAGATAGATGGCAAAGATGGTTTGGAGGGTTTTGGGGATTGTTGATAGGAGAGTGTGTTTTAAAGTTGAGAGTGCGTTTTTGGTTATGATATCCAGAGGGATTTTTGATGGCATATCAGATTTGTACACTACAAAGGGAAGTTAGCAAATGTATGAAACCAAGCATGGAAAGAAAAAAGAAAAGAAAAGAAAAGAAAAGAAAAGAAAAGAAAATATTATTGGATATATACCTTTTGAGAATTTGAATTTGGTATTGCAAAGATCGCAAACCATATGCTTATTTGATTTTTCAATCCATTCTTTGAGACTAGGGAAAGATATGTGTTAGTAATACTTTTAACAGAAGAAGAAGAAGAAAGAAAAGAAGAAGAAGAAGAACGATAAGAAGAAGAAAAAAAAAAAAGGACTTACCAATCTTGATGGACGTATTTTATGCTACCACTGCATTTACATGGATGGAAAAGAGGTTCTGATTCGGAGTTCTCGCCACGACATATTCTACAGACGGCGGTAGAAATGTCATTTTCGTTTTGATGTGAAGAAGAATGTTGATGATCCATTGTAAAGATTTTAGATTGAGTATGAAAGAGTTATGCAATAAGAAGGGAAAAAGGAATAAAGGGAAGAGAAAGAGACAGAGACAGAGAGAGAACAAAAAAAAAAAAAAAGCTTTTGTAAAAGATTCTAAAAAATGAAAAGAAGAAGCAATTTCTATGGATTACCCCAAAGGGTTGAAATTAATAGAACAAATGGATTTTTTCTTTTTTTTAAAAAAAAAAAAAAGAGAAAGAGAGTTCGTTTTTTTTTTTTTTTTTTTTTTTTTTTTGAGATTATTGCTATCAGAATAGAAGGTTCTGGATGTCTTAGGTGGTGATGGTGGTGATAATGATGATGATGATGATGATGATGAATCAACAAGTAGATTTTTTATTTTTTCATTTTTTTTTTGGAGTTGGTGGTGATGATTTTTTCCACATTTGCACAAATGTAATTTGAATTGAATTAATTTTGGTCACGTGAAAGGTTACCCGGAATAATAGGTTTTAAGTCTGAAGTCTTATTTTTTTTAAAAAAATAAATAAATAAATAAAATATAAATATAAAAATAAATAAAAATAAAAATAAAAATAAAAATAAATCACCACCAACATTAGAATTCCAAATTGTTATACACATTTGTTTAAATCACCATCATAAAAGCCTTTACAAACCACCCAAATAGATCTATACATCTATTCAATATTTATATTTATATTTATAATTATATATATTTAAAAAATAAATATACAAGACTCATAATGTTACGACGACCTCCAACAGTTATCCAACTTACAACTGAAGATGTTTTAGAGTATGATGATAGTAGATCACGTGCACGAGCAGAAGCGGCATCAGCAGCGGCGGCAGCAGCAGCAGCAGAAGCAGCAGAAGCAGTGGCGGCGTCATCAACTTCTGCTTCTGTGGCAGAAACTGTGGCTGCATCATCATTGCTATCATCTTCCACAGGGAATGGAACTGGAGTTGACCAGAATGATGGAATTTCAGAAGATGCTCGAAGACAACAAGAGAGAAAACATAGAATAGGATTGAAATGATTGATTTAGTGTCAGGGGAGGGGAGTGGAGATGGTGGGAAGTGATTAATTAGTTTGAAGGGTTGTTATATATATATATATATATAAACATATATTTTTTATTAGTTTAGAAAGCAATCAATTATTTATTATTTATTATTTATTAAATTTATAAATATATTATTATATTATTATATATTTTAAGCGGAATCATTTATTTTTAATACAAGCAAAGCTTTTGGGACGCTGCCTCCAAACATGCAATTACGGTTGTTTGCAGAGATTTTTTTTTTTATTTTTTTTTTCTAATTTGAAGATAATTTATCTTAAACTTATATATAAGTTTCTCGATAACGATTCAACAAAAAGTTATGGAATTTAAAGCAGCCAAAGCAGTAGTAGAAGCAGTAGTAGTAGTGGCAGCAGAAGCAGCATCCACCAAAAGGAAGAAGTCAAAGCAGCAACAGCAGCAGCAACAGCAGCAGCTTTTTTTTTTTTTTTTTTTTACTTTACTTTTGATGGCGTATAATTGAAAGGGGAGTGTAAATTTACGGAAAACATTTTTGTGGGATGCAGGGTTCTTTGATGAGAATCTTGTAGTTTTTAATTTTTTTATTTTTTTAATTTTTAATTTTTTTTTGTGCATGTGTCTATAAATGTGAGTTTTTATATAAAATAAAAAAAAATAAAAAAAAAAAATAAAATATATAATAAATATTTTTAATGTTTTCACAAAAAAAAAAAAAAAAAAAAAAAGAAATATATAAAAACTTATAAACATATGAATAAATTCATATATATAAATAAAATTTCCTCCTTTTTCTTTTAATTTTTTTTTTCTTATTCTTTTTTCCCCTATCTTTTAACTTCTTCTTCTTCTTCATCTGCTAAACAACAGTAGCCATCCTTTTGCATAATACCACAATCACCATGATGTTCATTCTTTCCTTAATCCTCTCGTTTTTCGTGGCTTTTGGTATGTCTTTTTTTTTTTTTTTTTTTTTCATTTCCATTTCCATTTCCATTTTCTAACTCACTTTTCAAGTCTCTGCTCAAGGTGCTGCTGGAGTTATCCAAGGAGCAGGAACAACTTCAACAACTACCAAAACACCTTCTCCAACTTCTGTATGGGCTACAGGAGTCGTAGATGGTGTTACAACCGTAACACTTTCACCATTTACACAAACTTTCCTATCCATGTATTCAACAATTCAAACCCCTAAGACTGGCACGGTGGGTCTCGGTACCATTACTGGCACTGTGGGAACGGTAAGATCGAACTATTATAGCACCGTTACTGAATCATCGTCAAAGTAAATGAAGATACTTTTTTTTTTTTTCATTTCTTTTATGCCCTTACACCTTCATGATCCATCTTTGAACTTATCTCATCAAGTTTCAATCAATTCGATACACTCATGCGCATTGCCAAAAAAAAAAAAAAAAATGCTGGCATTTTTTTCACACTATAATGTGATTTCTTAAATTTTTTTTTCGACACCAACCCAACATTTAATAACATTACTATCCTACGACTATTTGAACTTATGGATTCAATTAAAAGAAGAAAAAACTCATCTGTTACACAGCCTTAACTTTTTTTTTTCATACCTTTCATACCTTTCACCCCTTGATTGTTTTCAAAGTTTAAAGGGAAAGACATCAAAAGTTTATCTGTTCGGTTCCTTTAAAAAAAATTTTTTTTTTTTTTCCTTTTGGTCTACGCAGTTAATGCGTGTCTTTCCTTATCCTCAACATTCCACCAAACAAAAGCAAAACTTTAAACTTCTTTTTCTTTTTTCATCACCACCTTGTGAGAACTTGAGAGTCTCACTGATAGAATTCCCATTAAAATAAAAACAAAGATTGATAGAAAAAAAAAAGTTGTTTTAATATATATTAATAATTTTTCTTTGTTTGTAAATAATCTATTAATCTTTAATATCATTCATTTTTTTTTTTTTTTTGTCTTGTATTCCGTTAGAAACTCGTTTGAAAGAAAGACTCATGTCTCAATCTTTAAGCTCAACGGCCTCAACCGGCACAAATGTTATCAATTTGTTCCGCATCTTTTAGAAAAATCTTACTCACTAGTCCTATATATATATATATATATATTTGACATTCCCAACTGATGATTGATTTATATTTTAAAAACCCACTCTTTTAGAAACGTTTCTAAAAAAAATAAAAAAAATAAAAAAAATAAAAAAAATAAAATCAACTAATATTCTAATATCTATTTTTGAATGATGACGTATGATATTAAAAAAAAAAAAAAAAGATAAATTTGGCTACGTTTCTTGATAATATTAAATACGTTATGATTCTTTTTTTCTGCAATATCATCTCTTAATCTTTTTTCTTTTTTTCTTTTTTTTTGTCTTCATCTTTGTAAATAATTCATTTATTTTTATTTTTTATTTTTTGCTTTTTTTTTTCCAAATAATTTCATTTTACTTCTTTTATTTTTCATTTTTCTCCCTGATAGGGTCTTTAAATAAATCCTTTTTCTCCCCATCTTAAAAAAAGCAAAAAAGAAATCTTTTATTGTTGTACATAGTACCGAACATATTCCCATCCGTAGCAGTGGGCAGAATTATATATACTTTGAAGAAAAATTTATAAATATCTTTTTCTTTTTTTTTTTTTTTTTTCTTTTCTCTAGTTTTGAAATCTAGCCTAGCTAGTCCAAAGTGTCTTTCCATCATATAATCATCATGGGCAAGGCTGATAATCTTTTGAGATACCGCATGGCTGTGCTCCATCTTACTAATATGTTATCATAGTAATGTAGAAATATTTATAGTAATTAATGAATGAAATATTAACATTCAAACTGCTAAACCTGCCTTCTCCCAACATTGGTTTCTTCAGTTACCTACCACTTATACTTTTTCTAAAAAAAAAAAAAAATTTAAAACAAAACCGCCTGTTTGTGTTTCCCCCGTTTCTGGCAATTTTATTTTTTTATTTTTATTTTATTTTTTTTTTGTAGTCATAATTAAAAGTTATTAGATTAATATATATATATAAATTACTTAATTACTTAATTACCTAATTAAGTTATTGGTTTAATCTAAATATGATTTTTCTTTTAACAACATCTTAATTTAATATTTATATATATTAATTTGCCCTTTTCACCTTTATTATGGTAATATTACCACCAACAATATATAACCCTAACATCTTAAGTCACAAAGTCAAATTTTTTTTATTTTTTTTTTTTTCTAACTAGGTTACAAGGCATCGTTTTATTTAATATATATAAATATATTTATAAATATTATTCTTCCCCCCCTCCTTAAGAAAAAACGCCTTTGAGAAAAAAATGATGAACAAACGTTTCTTGTAATATGATCTCAAAAATCGTCTAGACTACAATAATTGATAAACAATTGGTTGCAAAATAGATAAGATATATAGATTCCTTTAAAAACATAGAATTGATCTTGGAAATTTTTCTCTTGGAAATCACCACTTTTGTTTAAAAAAAAAAAAAAAAAAAAAAAAAAACTACTGAAATCCATTGTCCAAGCCTTGGCAAACCAAACCAACTCAAAATAATTCTCTTACCCGAAAAAACATTCATACATATATGTTTATAGATATATTGTTGTTGTAATTATAATTATATTACTATATTTTTTTTGAAGTAGTGTAGACACAAGAAAGAAAGAAGGAAAGAAGGAAGAAAAAAAAAATAGATTATGTAATAAATAATAATAATAATAATAATAATAATAATAATAATAATAATAATAATAATAATAATAATAATAATAATAATAATAATAATAATAATAATAATAATAATAATAATAATAATAATAATAATAATAATTATAATAATAATAATAATAAATTTATCTAAAAAAATATTTTATTTATTTTTTTTTTTTTCCCGCCAACCCCTTGGCTGACGTCGTCGCCCGCCCTGCTTCACCACCTCCTCCTTCCACTGCAATTTTTTATCTGCTTAGGTAATAATTATAATAACACTTGCTACACCTATGTATACTTGCAAACATTTATCCGAACTTACTCCTAAATTCAGGTTACCACAAGTTACAAAAAAAAATATCTTCTTATTTATTTACAATAAATCAATAAATCAACAATCAAGCTTCTATATATAGATATTATATATATATTCCATTAATTATATATTCAATCCATCATTTACAATGCAATTGAACTCCGACCTCCCTTACTTTTCTTCTTCTTCTTCTTTTTCTTCTCATCATCGGCTCCATTGCCATCAAAATAGTTCACACCACGTACCCTCTTAACTCCAGCTACTCCCCTGCCATTCTCTATCTGGTCCCGCTCCTTTCTCTTGGCCCGCTTCTTGCTTCGTGTCTCAAGTCGCTGCGCTGCAAACGCAGCAGGATCTGCAACTGCTGCTACTGCTCGCTGCTTTCTGCGCTCAGCTCGTAAATCGAGAACGCGTGACCGCACTGTTCCGTAGGCCTTCATGTATGCGGTGGTCCCAAGTTTCTCCCGTACAATCTCAACAGCCTCTTGGGAAAGCGTCTGGATCTCATGAGTTTGTTTCGCCTTAGTGTCTGATCCATCACTGCCTCCAGCGCTCGTAATTAGGCCCTCGATATAAGGATATACCCCGTAAATCATACCTGGGGCAAGCATAGTAGCCCGTTCAACAGACACTGTAGTCACAACTGACGCAAGGAACTGAATAATAGCCTTCTTGGACTCAAAAAGATTGTGCGATCGCTTCTCAGTGCGCAGAATTAATCCAACCTTGGCCACAAGCCAATGTAAAGCAGACTTGTCTTTTTCTTTTTCTTTCTCTTTCTCTTCACTTTCATCAGCCTCCTCCGGCTCATATGTAATACCATATTCCTCTAGCTTCATGCTAATGAAAACAAGATTCTTTGCTATCTGCAGCGCAAGTTCCCCAGCAACATCAGGAGTAGCAAGCTGCTCAACCTGCTTTTCAGTCAAAGAAATATAACTAAACTTAATCTTCGCCTCTTCTTCATCTTCAGCAAACTTGTACGACTCGACAGAAATATACTTTGCTGCAGCTGGATACTTATCAGCCTCCTCCTGAACAGCCCCAAGCAATTGCCCAAGAAGTCGCGACGATGCTAATCGGATCCATGCATGGGGATAAAGCATCACTCCTTCAACAAGCTTCCAACGCTCCGCCCAGCTTTGCGAGTAACCAAGCGCAGGCTCCAGGTCCACAATCTTTGTAAACAACCTCAACGCAAAGTAAACCAGCCCCCATTCCACAGCAGGCTGTTGCTTCTCATCCTCTTCCTTAGGGAATGGGCTGACGTAGTCATCATCGTCATCATCAGATTCAAAACCAGGCTTAGCTGCTTCCTTAGGCTTCTTACCTGCTAAACTCAAAATCTCAGAAATCCGTGTTTGAGCAAGAGGAACAAGCTTGGCATTCTTGTGGATTCCAAGCTGGTCAAAGTACAATCCTGAAATCTGCAATCCACCCCGTAACAAAAGACCATTGCTAATTGGCGCTTGCAACCAAGCCACAACGTACTTGTCAATAATCTCAAGCTCAGAACCACGCGCACGCTCCAACAATTGCTTAATTAACACTGCCGCACTTTCACGAGCAGAAGCAGCATCGTCATTCTGCAAAACAAGTGCAAGTGCAACAAAAAACGAAGTAGTCACATCTTTCAAATGCGTATAGTCAATGTGCTCAATCAGTAAATGAATCAACTCCATAACTGACAACCGGCCATCAATCCCCTTGTACTGCAAATTGTCTACCAAAAACTTAAACTGCTGGCGAATCCGATCCTTTCCTTGAGGGTACTCAGTCATAAACTCAAGATATGTATTACGGCACACATCCCGCGTAGATTTGGTCTGATTAGTAACCATGGCTGCTGCAATCTTGTCCATAACGTCGTAAACTTCAGGAATCAAAATTGCACGTCCAATAACAGCTCGCACAAACGAAAACGTCGTATTATAACGTTCAGGTTCTTCAATATCGGGCTTCACACGCTCAAGCAAGTACGCAATAGCAGGTTCTGGAACTGTAATAGTATCACGATGTGTCAAAACAGCAGTCATGAATTGCAATGCTGCCTGACACAGCTCTGAATTGGTACTCGGCGAACTTCTCACAATTTGAATCACTTCATGGATATATTCCTCAGAAATAGTTTTCTCGTCAATACATTCAGCAGTAACCTTGTGACGCAAAATAACAACAAGCAAGCGCAATGCTGCAATCTGAACATCCTCAAACTTAGATGTTAACTGCGATCCAAGCATTGGAATAAATGCAGTCACATTGGTAGCAGACAACAACTCAGAATGCTTGTTCAACACTCTGCGAATCATCTCAAACACAAACTTGATAATCATGTGCAAATTGTCTGTGTAAAAGTGTTTCGGCTTAGGACCACCACCAAACACACTCCGGCGTTCCTGGCGCTGCATCTGTTTGCTTGTCAATGGTGTTGTTGCACCAGCAAGGTCAACACGGAAATGGTCATTCTCGTAATAAGCCTGCTCCATCAGTGCATCATTATCCTCCTCCTCACGTTGAGCCTTGAGAGCCTCTGCCTCTTCCTTCTCCAAGTCTTGCGTCATTTTGTACAATTCATACGCCAACACAAGAACCTGGCGAGATCCAGACTCTTCATTCTGGTTCAAACCAAGACCGTACCGTTTCAACAACTCTTCAACCTTGCGCTCGCTCTTCACATTAAGTTTCTCATACAACAAAATCATACGCACAGGGTCAAGAAGTTTGCCAAACTTGCTCAGAGAAATATTAGAAGCCATAAGCTCACCAGTTTCAAAACTCTTTTGCTTCTTGACTTCCATCAGCTTACTGTGATAGTCCTCAGCCTCCTTCTCCAAACCAGTTACTCCAAAAATGTCTTCCATCATAATTTCTGGAATCAAGTCAATACAGTTATCTAAATCACCATGCTTCAGCACTGGTGTAAGCTCAGACAAAAGATTATGAACAGTGAAGCCCAAAATATGCAAATATGCACCGCGGCGAAGAGCACTACGAAGCTCGCGCACAAGGAAGGGAAAATACTTGGCACCAAGGAGCTTAGTAACTTCGCGCAACACCTTGCGCACCTTTGTTCGCAATGTTTCGGATCTTGAGCGCAACACTTGGCATACGTTGGTCAAGACTCCAGGAAGCTTCACGACAAACAAGTCATAGGGAAGAGCCTTAAGGAACTTGACAACGGGTGTAAGAAGACCAACATGCTCGCGCAACAAATCCTCATTGTTAGTAGAAATTGCACCCTGAAGAATAGGCATGATTTCATTCAAAACAAAGTTGGCAAACTCTTTCTCAGATGGAACGACATTTGCAAGCAAAATTGCACCAGGGTAGCCTTCAACTTCCATCTTATCTTCGGTATCTTCCTCGTCCTCATCCTCGTCTTCCTTGTCAAAAGCATTAGACACAGCACTTATCAATCTAATGTTAACTGCCATGTTCAAAGGCTTGGTCTTAACAAATGAAACATAGCGGCGAGTAACATCCTTGTATTCATCCCAGCATAAATGACGACACAGTTCCGAAATAGTATCAACTGCAGCAACAGTAATCGGATTGTTGGGTTCTGGCGCATAGTCAATATAATGTTCTGTGATAGGAAGCAAATAGTCTGAAATGCTTGGATCTGTAAGTTTGATTTGCTTGGCAACAACACCAAGTTGAATAATGGCTTTCTTGCGAGAGGGGATGTGAACGCTAACAATATTGCGGAAAAAGTTGCTACTCTTGGCAGGAGCAGAAAGAGCAATCTTATCATTTGCTTCTTCAGTGTCGTCTTCTTCATCATCTTTAGCATCCTCGTCATCATCACCCAAAAGAGCTTTCATATCATCCAAAACAGAGTACCAAGTACCATTGGCAACCAAGTGCCCAAGGACATTAATATACCAGTGTCTGATAAGTTCGTCGATAACCAAAATACCCGAACGAATCTGGGGAAGAACAATGGACTCCAAAAGAGCAATCAAAGGTTGAGCCTGCTCGGAAGAAGACTTGCCAGCAAAACAATCCACAAATCGGCGCAAAGAATATGCTGATCCTTCTCTGGCTGACAACTCTTCAGGATCCTGAATGTAGTACAAAAAGTTGTAAAGCAATGGCTTCCATTCCGTTTCCGTAAGATTGTTGTAAATTTCCTCATTGATTTCCTGATAACCATCAAGACGGGCATCGTAATCAGGGACACCCATACGGTCTGCAGAGAAAGCATTAAGACATGAAACAAGTCTGCCAGCACGCTTGAACTCGGGGACTCTGTCTCCAAAAACGGCATAAAGCTTGCATAAACTCTTGCGAGGATAAACATCGTGAAACTCCAAAAATAGTTTGGCAAGACCATGGTAGGCACTAATAATCTTGCTCGTAGGAACATCGGAATCAGAAAGAATAGATGAGAGTGCCTCCAGCATGTCGCCCTTAACTTGCAGAGAAATCTTCTTCGAGGGTTTGTCCATGGCCGTAAGACAAACATGAATAAGCTCATCGCGAATCTTCTTGTCAGTAATGAAACCTGCAGTGGTAAGCTTGACAAGGAGAGCTGACTCCTTTTGCAAAATGTAGGAAGGTGTAGAATCTCTGTTGAAAAGAGCAGGAAGACTGGCCAAAACAATTGGCACAGAAACATCCATAAGCTTCTTCCAAAGAGAAGCATCCTTCTTGTTTGAAGAAAATTCGGAAACATCGTTCAGCGCCAAAATGCTGCGGACAGAATCAATAACAATCTCAACTACCTTGTCACCAATTGTCTCCACTTGAATGCAAGATACAAAGCGAGCAAAGATGGCACATTTGTCATGCGCTAGAAGCTTCCAGTAGCGAGCCGACTTAGAAAGAAGACCAAAGAATCGCATAAAGACATTGGGGAACTTCAAAGTATTAAAGTATAAGTGCCGTAAATTTGGAGAGAAAATGTACTTATAAAGAGTGTTGAAAAAAGAACTGAAATCCAGAGATCTGTCTTTATCAAAAGTGTCAAAAATCAAATTCAAGCAGCGAATACCAGCTTGCATGATGGTTTTCAAAATGTTGGCTTCATGAGTAGCCTTTTTACCCTCGACAGCTGATACTGAAGCTTGTAAGTTATACTGAGAAGTATACAAACAAAACATCAGTGATTCTAAAATGACGTCTAGTGCAGACTTGACGTGCGTTCTAATTTCTCTCAACATATCTTCCAGCATACTCAAGAAACCCATTTGGCGGCGCAAATCCTTAACGGTAAAGTTTGTATTTTGAAGAGCAGTAGCCATCTTTTCGTTTAATGAAATAACACTTGTACTAGAAACCTTTGCTGCAGGCTCAGAAAAGAATTCGCGAGACTCAATACGATCAGTCGCAAGAACAACAAATTCACGTATGTACTCAGAAGGAACGGTACCCAAACTTTGAATTACTGCAGAACGACGGCCTTCACGAGCAATCTGAGAACGACCAAACAGGAGTCTAATGATGAGAGGGAGAAGAACAGGAAGCTCATCGGGATGAACAGAATTGTCACCAGATGTTCTAAAAAGATATGCAAGTTCCTCGCGAAAACGAACGTTATCAAGAAGCCAATCGAGATTCTCAAAGTATTTGTGAATGATGGGGTTCTTAAAAGTGTCTATACACTTGAGAGCTCTCTTTTGAATCTGAACTTGACTGTGGCTGAGCAAGTATAAGTATCTGTTATAAAGCTCATCGGAGTGTTCAATCTTTTCTGGGTTTTTAAAATTGGAAAATGTTTCAAGAAGCAAATCGCGCTCCTTCATGGTCCACGAGTCAACGGTAGTTACCGGAGAAGCAAGAGAGACATCATCTTCCTCTTCTTCATCAGCTTCCTCGTCTTCTTCTTCCTCTTCCAAAATAAATGGCAATAAGTCTTCAGCATGCTTTTCAGCCAACCAAGAAACTTTGACAAGAGCTTGAAGAGTCATGTATCGTCTGTTAGAAGGAACTGTAGGAAAAGCAATTGATTCCTCAACTTGCAAAGTAGAAGCATTGGAAACGCCCTTGCTAAAAATTGCAATGCTCAGCAATGTGTTTCTAGTTACTTTGCGAGATATTGAGCAGCCAATCTCTGGTAGGGCCGTCGAAGACTGGAGTTCCATAGATTCTTCTGTTGGCAGAGGTTCAGCATCTAAGAGAGAAAAGTCGGAGTTTTGCTTGTCAGCATTGTAACTAATCCACTGGTAGAAAAGCTTCCATATAAGGTCACCAGCACGTTCAGCAGCCTTGGAAATGGCATCCATGGCACCATCAGTGGTGGGCTTGAATTTGACTGTCAGCAAACCAAACAAAAAGTATACAACAGCCTTGTCTGCAACTTCATCAACAGCGGTGACTGTGTAGGCAGCACCCAGGCTTCGGAGTTGGATAGGAATGTTTCTAGAGTTTCTGAGATCAATGTCAGTGGTATCAACACCTTGACATTGTGTAATGAGCTTCGGAACCGGTTGCTTTGTTGCAAGAAACAATTGAGCAATGGCGTTCAAAGAAAGAGAGCGCATAGAATCAGAAGAACTAATAAGATTGTTACATATGGAAAAAGAAAATTTTTTGACCTCGTCAGCAGAAAGCACTTCAAACGAAGAAGTCTTGATCAACGAAGAAAGGAAGCTGCTAAAACCTTCCACAACATCAAATGAAGTGGAAAAAGAATCAAAAACATTTTTAATCATTGAAATTAGTTTCTTATATTCTTCTGTAGAAAAATTTGAAATGTTGGAAGTGACAGAGAAAAGCTTTCCGACAAGAGATGCTCGAAGAGAAGATACATTAGCAGCATCACCATCAAAATCCTTCACTAAAACAGACAGTAGTCTAGAAATATCGATGGAATCACTGTTTATTAAAACAGAAATAGAAACGACTTCAAGATCCCACCATAATTGAACGCATTTGCTGAGTGAATCCTCGGTGCTGGTATCAAACTTTTTAAACCCATTTATTCTGGCAATGATTGCCTTTGTATATGGAGAAGAAAGATTAATTCTTAATCCAGATTTTGAGGCCGTAGTATCTTTATTGAGCAAGCCTGCTTTGTTGATGTTGGAAATCAAATAAGAAATTTCATTAATATATTCCGTATGATATTTGTTAATGAATTTAGTAATGAATGATGGAGCAAAACTTTGAAATTTTTCAGGAGCTGTTTCCAGAAATGAGTTTGAAAATGGAAGGAAAAGACACCCGTCAGCAATTTGGAGAAAGTGCTCAAAAATCTTGATTGAGTAGCCTGCAGAATACTTTAATTCAGATGTTGTAATTGGACCTACCGAAGCTTCAATCAAATATGGAGCAAGAGGTTGAATAGAACTAGCAGTGAGCTTTAAAGATTTGTTTTTGGTAGGATCTAATATTGAAATAATTTTTATTAAGCTCGAATAAACACCATTCCAGTCGCTAACCCTGCTGCCACGCTTAAGCGCAGCAAGAGAATATATCAGCTTGCATGGTATTATAAAGTAATTGCATGCGTTTTCCTTTTTGCTATTGTTAAACTGAGCAATCGATGTTGTCGAAAGCATGTAAGCTTGATCAAATAAAACGGTAGCACTTTCCGGAGTGGAGTACTCAATGAGATCCAAGTATATGAGAGCAAAATAATCGGCAATGATATGAAAGTCATCTAAAGTAATTTCTGTATCAGGACTGGTGACCGTATTAAACAAAGCGCCAATGATGTTTGCAGTGCGAGAGTGTAAGTTTCCAGGAGAGCTCTTCATTGTTTCAATCAATAAAATTGCACAAGAATCAAAAAATTCACGGTTACCAGTGCCTTCTTCTTCTTCCTTCTTAGATTTCAACACCTTTGAAACAATATGAGTAATTATTTTTTGCAAAGATTCTCCGGTAGATTTTCTAATCAAAAACGATAAAGATTCAGCAGTAAATCTACCAACAAATGCCTTTCTGAACTGAGTAGTATCATCCGGATCGGTGGTGCGAGCATAGCAAAGCAAAGGTGATAAAAGGTCGAATGTAGGGACAAGATTCGTAACTAGTAATCGATAAAGATATTTAAATAAATAGGCGATGCAATTAAATGTCCATTCGATGACTGAAAGATTAGAAAGAGTGGTGAGTTCCATCAGCAACTTAAGAGTAGGTGGGTAATATGGCTCGAAATCAGGACCGAGATCACGAGCAAAATGAGTAGTAAGACTATTAAGTTAGAAAAATTAGGCTTGTAAAAATTTCAAAAAACTTACTCTAATAATGATTCCAAAGAATGTTCATCCTTCTTTGCGATATACTTTAGAAGTAACTGACTAATTTCCTTTTGGTTATGAAGAATCAAAGGCAAGGATTGGCAGAGCGGCGCACATTCACTTGCAAAGTCAGTGAAATTTGTAGATAAGTTTAAAGCAGCCCAGTGATTAAAAGCCGCTAAAAAGTAAGATTTTGTGTTTTCGTCATCCTCCACTGCACCTGCGGATCCCTTCTTTCTCCTCAGCTTGCGAATAGGATCAATCTTGATCGCGTTTACACGTTCGGAAAAGGGAACATACTAGAAAAAATTAGAAAAATGAACCTGGGTTTACAAAATTAAAACATACAGTATGATTTTTATAAGACTGTGTCCCATGTTTGGGGGCCTTCTTAGTTGTAAGGCCCATGTTTTGTCCGTTTAGTTAATGATGAACAATGATGTTGAGATGAATAAAAAAATTTTTACGCGGTCGACAGAAAAAAAAAAAAAATTTCAAATTAGGATTGACCCTTGCCCACATACAGCCGTTTATAGTCATGTGATATGTATTGTGCGGCTCAATATTCATTAAGAAGGTATTTCTGAAAAAACTCTCTACGCGCAAGATTTTTGGGAAAACAACAGTTAAAAGTCACAAAAATTGGAAGGTATGTTTTCAAAATAATATGATTCCTGTTTATAACAATCAATAGTCTATTATAATAAATAAATAATTTAATTATGTTATATTTTTAATTAAATTTCTATAAACAATTTTTTTTAAGTTAAATAAACGACAATATTTTAAAAGCTAGACCAACAACTAAAAAATCATCAAGGCAACATCGAACAGAAACAGTCTTAAGGGGAACTGACTAAAAAACGTAAAGTTTAAAATACAGAAATAAATATTGTTTACTATAGCTTGCAAAATGTAGACTTATTCAACCAGTTTTAAGAGTAGTTAACCAGAAGGGACTGGAAGCCCAAGACAATGGTTGCTTTAATGTGTACAGATTAAAAAAAATAGCTCTTCATGTAATTGTCACGTTTACAAATAAGTGTGAAAGTAAATTGCAATAAATTTGTTTTTGAAATTTTAAAAGGATTGCCAAAACAGTACTGTAAAGTCATGGGGAAATCAAATTTGATTCAGATTTAACAATTGAAAGCTTAAAAACTTTTTTTTGATTTTTTTCAAAAACAACCAAAATAGCAATAATGAATCAATAAGAAGTCCTACTAGAAAAAAAAGAGGGCAAATATTCAAAAGAATTGTGTGACTTAATGTTATTTGCACTACTCAGGTACGATCTATCAATAGACCTCTAGTTAAGATTCCTATTGAAACTTATTTGTAGATGAGACAAGACCAGAGTATTTTAATTGAATTCTCTCAACTACCCCAATAGCAGTTATTTGATTACATGGTTTGTAATATATTCTAAATTATCTCTATTTATAAAAAAAAAAACCCCTATTTTAAAAAAATAAATTAATAAATATTGTAGACGCGAGTGGTTTCCAAATCATGTTTGTAAGTCCGTTTAGGTCTTTTAATATTCCCCATCACCTCAAGTGGTAAAAGCCAATCTCATTTTTGAATCATCATGATATAAATTGTTATAAAGGGGAGTTGTAATCTTGAAAGAAGATCAAATAGAGTACATCAACAAGTAATTTATTCAAAAAATGAAGCAAAATAAATCATATTAATAGTGACAATTACGACTATGGATAGTTTCCTGAGAAAAGAGAAGGATTATTATATTTCCATGAGACCGAGCATCTACTGATAATGGTGTGCGGCTCAGTAGCGATAGACGCCGGATCAACGTGACATTGACTCTGGCCAAAAAGCAGGTGCATAGGGGGGAGCTCAAAAACTTTTGAAAAAGTCAATTGAAGACGCCAAACACTATTAATACTTTTGTTTTAATAAATGTAGAGTCAGCAACTTAGGAGAGTGTCTTTAGAATATGCTTTTCAAACAGAATATTTGTAAACATGTTACAAATTAGTTATCTGCATATATGACATGTTATCAACCATCATACTCAGTATGGTTTGAAACCAAATTCAAAGCTTATTTTTCATCAGACTTATTCGATCCCAAATCGTTGCGCATTGAGTTTACATAAACCAACATCATCGATTCGCAAAATAAACGGAAAGATAGCACGACAACCATGAAAAAAAAGGCTACTCCGTTCTATTCTACAAATCAGTTTACTCTTACGGTTTTGAGCTGGGACTATCACTGCGATTCGCAATTGCCCCGCGAGATAAGTAGTAAAGAGCCAGAATTGGATGAAGAAGAAGAGAGCTTCAAGTACCAGTCAGTTCCACCAGTTTTTAAAAATACTCTTAATTACAAGAGTGCAATGATACCGTTGATGAAAGTCGAGCTTTGGGCTAGCATTCTTAAGGCAAAAATGGAGGATTTTTATCTGCCATTTCATGCTACAATCACAAGAATTAAAAGTCAGAGTAAAAAGAATGAGAATTTATTTTTGACAGTACCTAAGGCTCAAGCAGCAGCTGCGAAATATTTCCCCGGTGATTTAATTCTCTTGACCAATTTTCCTGATCAGGATAAAGGTCCTTTCCCTCCTAGTTCCCAAATGCCTTGTATCTTTGCTCGTGTTTCTGTTGTTTCAGAGGATCGCACCAAGTTGACAGTTATGATCAATAAGCGCAACAATTTTTCCAAAAAGTACTTTATTAAAGGAGCAAAGTATCATGGACTTAAAGTTATAAGGTAAGTTTGATTTGATTGATTAGACAAATGATCTAACAGTAGTAGTTTGGTGACTGCGGAACGCGAATACTTTGCATTGAGTAAACTGGCTGCTTCTCCTTTAGCAAAGAGGATTTTTAATGCGAAGCTTGAATGGATCAAAGCTTCAAACCCTTCTGACATTTCTAAAATCATGAAAAAGTTTGGTGTCAATGAATCTCAAGCAGGAGCTATTCACTCGGCCACTACTGGTCTGGGGTTCAAATTGATCCAGGGGTAAGATTATGTGGTTAAAAAAATTTTTTTTTCTATGCTAACAATGCAGACCTCCGGGTACTGGAAAAACCACGACTATTATTAGCATTCTTGCGACGCTGCTTATGGAAAAGCAGCAGGAAAAAGCTAAAAAGAAGATTCTTGTGTGTGCACCTTCCAACGCAGCTATTGATGAACTTATTGGTAGACTGAAGGATGGAATAGAGACAGCTACTGGAATTAAGTTAAATCCCAGGATTGTTCGTCTTGGTCGCCCTGAAGTTGTGACTGGGTCAGCTAAAAACTTTACAATCGAAAGCCAGTTGGATCAGGGGTTACAGCTGAAGGAAATTAACAGAGTCAAAGCGGAAATTTCAGTGTTGGCGCGCAAGGTGAGCAAAGCTGCAGAAGATACAAGACACATGGAGCGGAGAATTGCAAACAAATGCAAATGCAAAAAATGTTTAAAAGATCCGGTTCAAGACGTTAATGCTGCCAAGATTCAATTGAACAATCTTAAGGAATTGTCAAAAAATATTTGCAACCAGATTCACCAGATGCGAGAAAATAACAGTATAAATATTCAAAAACGTGAGGGGGCTTCACGACGTTTGATTAAGGATGCGGATATTGTAGTATCGACACTTTCGGGTGCAGGTCAGCACTCTTTGCGGGTACTTAACTTAGAGTTTCAAACTGTAATTGTGGATGAAGCCGCACAGTGCGTTGAGCCGTCGTTGTTGATTCCATTACAGTATAAAGCGAGGCGATGTATTCTTGTTGGAGATCCCAAGCAGCTGCCGCCAACAGTGCTATCCAAATATGGAACCCATAAAAACTACGGGCAGTCGTTATTTTTGCGAATGTACATGGCGCACCCCTCACGCACTCATATGCTCAATGTCCAGTACCGTATGAATCCGGATATTTCCAAGTTCCCGAACCAAGAATTCTACCAGGGCAAGCTAATGGATGGTCCTGAGAATGGGCTCAAGACCGCACGACCATGGCACATGGCTGCACAGGGCTTGCTTACACCGTTTAGGTTTTTCAACGTGATTGGTGAAGAGGCTCAAAACCAGTTGACAAAGTCATACTTTAACAAGAACGAAGCCGATTTTGTTTATGAGTTGTACCAATTTTTGCGAGGATCGACGCAAGAATCGTTGGAAGGCAAAGTTGGTATTATTTCAATGTACCGTGAACAGGTTTCATACATTAAGTCAGTGTTTGAGCGGAACCTGAGTGCAGATGAGGTGAAAGGAATTTACTTTAGTACGGTGGATGGGTTCCAAGGCCAAGAAAAGGACGTTATTATCTTGTCTTGTGTGCGTGCAAAGATAAAAGTCGGCAAGGACATTGGATTTTTGTCAGATAAGCGACGCATGAACGTTGCATTAACTAGAGCAAAGGCGGCCATGTGGGTTGTGGGTAACCGGCGCACGCTCAATGAAGGACGTACGTGGGGACGGTTGGTTCAATCTGCGGTGGATCGTGGGTTAATTTCTAGTGCTCAAATAAACTAAGATATGGACATTATATTTAGGAATAGGGAAGAAACAAAAAATAATACATGTAATTTTTTTTTTTAATCAGTAGTTTTGGCGGCCTAACCGCGGTTTCCATGGAATGCCTGGATGAGACTCCGGGGTTGCTTGGTCGTCTTCTTTCCATATTTTGATGGATTTGTCTGCCTCGCCTGTAATGAGCCGGATTCCTGAGTGGTCAAAAGTACTAGCAAAAATACCATTTTCTGACTCGAGAGAGCCTGGGCCTGCAATTGTTGCAGTTTCTTGAAACTTGTGACCAGTTTTCCAATCGAAAAAGCCAATAGCGCCATTGTCTGCGCCGGCAAACATGACACCATCTTGATTGACACTGAGGGTATTGACAATGGAATTAAGTGGGGGGTAAAAGTTATTCATAAAGTCGCCATCAGGGAACTTCCATTGTTTGATGTTATCGCGACTGGCAGTTGCAAAGGTAAACTCTTCTGGGTGTAGCGCCAGCCCACGAACAGGCTTCTTGTGGTGCGTCAGCACGGTAGTTGTTTTACCAGCAGCAAGATCCCATAAACGGACAGTGGTGTCAACAGAAGTGGTGACGACCTGTGGGTCGGCCGCCTGGCAACGGACCTGGGTGATGGCGGCTTTATGGCCAGTGAGAACGTGAATGGGTTGACGCGTACGGATATCCCAAACACGCGCAACAGCATCATTACCTGCAGAAACAAGAACGTCAAGAGTAGGATGGAGTGCAAGAGAGTATACACCGGAAAGATGGCCATGGTAATGGCGGACAACCTTGTTTGTTTCAAGATCCCAGCACTTGACCATCTTGTCTTCACCAGCTGAGAATAAGTAAGGGTGACGGTCAGAGACTGCAAGCCCACGAATAGCCATAATGTGACCCGTAAGTGATAACCGCAGTTCGCCCGAGGCAAGGTCCCAGATCTTGATTGTGCGATCAGAAGAGCCTGTTGCAAACCATTGATTATCAGGCTCGACACACACGCTGCGGACCCAGCCCTGGTGGCCATTGATGACGCGCATAAGTTTCCATGGCCTGTGCCACTGGGGTTTTTCCTGGGCGTAAATGTTTTTGTTGATAAGAGACGAGGATTGTGAGCCGGACGACGGTGTGTGTTTGTGTCGGAGTGCCAGCGCCGAGGATTCAGAAGGAATCGGGACGCCTTCAATGAGTTTGCGTGTGGACGCGTCAATCGTTGTTGTAGCTGTTGCAAGGTTACTACCAGGCTTGGACACACCGGCTGGGGGTTTACGTTTGGCAGCAGCAGCATCCATTTTTCTTTGGACGTATGCTGGGAGCGTTTGAGATGGCGCGTACTCCGCACGGAACTTGTGCAGGACGCGAAGCTTCGAAGCCGCGGGGGATCCAGCCTCCGCGGAAGATGTGGAATCGTCTAGTGGGAGCAATGCATTTCCAAATAGTCCAGAGGTTGCAGCTTTAATATGGGTTTCTGAAGTTTTCTTGATAGCGTCGTAATCGATCTTGTCCGGGTCGCCGTAGAAAAGTGCCATGGTCGAGTATGTGTGTATATAATAGAAGCTTTGAACCGGGTCGTATGTGAAGGTGAAAATTTACAAGAGGTACTTGTAGACTGAATATTACTGCTGTTGTGAGTATATTTCAGAATACCTCACGTTAGCTGAGCAGGACCTCGTGGGAAAGCCTTGCCGGCTCCTTTTTCCACCAGAGCCCGCCCAGCAAGTCAGTCAGCCAGCCAGCCAGCCAGCCAGCCAGCCAGCACACAAAAAAAAAAAATCCGCCACCACCACCACCATCACCAACCATCTACTGAATTTTTTTTTTTTTTCTCACCATTCCCTTAGAATCCCTCAAACCCTCCCAAACTCCAAAAAATTAGCTCATTCTAAATGTCCAGACTTTTCAGCAACCCCATCACCGGTATGTTTTTATTAATTATCTTGTTTCCGTTAATTGAATCGTTTTGAATGTTTGTAATTTACTAATCAATTTGATTCAGGTTTTGTGATTCCGGCCGCTGCGCTCTATCTCGCGCAAAACTCTCTTTTCGACGTCAAGGGTGGCACCCGCGCCGTCATCTTCGACCGTCTTAGCGGTGTCCAGCAAGAGGTTGTTGGCGAAGGTACTCACTTTTTGGTTCCCTGGCTGCAAAAGGCCGTTCTCTTTGATGTTAGAACTAGAGTATGTCAAGCATTGGGTTTTGTTTTTTTTTTCTTTCTTTCTTTGTTCTAACAGTATAATTTCTATAGCCCCGCATCATCTCCACAGTCACTGGCTCCAAGGATTTGCAAATGGTGTCACTGACACTCCGTATCTTGCACCGCCCAGATGTTCCACATCTTCCTCGTATCTACCAGGCTCTTGGTCTTGACTATGACGAGCGTGTTTTGCCCTCGATTGGTAATGAGGTTTTGAAGTCCATTGTTGCACAATTTGATGCTGCCGAGCTCATTACCCAGCGTGAAGTTGTTTCTAATAAGATTCGTGATGACTTGCGCAAGCGTGCAGCCGAGTTCAACATTGAGTTGGAGGATGTCTCCATCACCCACATGACTTTTGGCAAGGAGTTCACCAAGGCTGTTGAACAGAAGCAGATTGCTCAGCAGGATGCTGAGCGTGCGCGGTTCACTGTCGAGAAGGCTGAGCAGGAACGCCAGGCCTCTGTTATTCGTGCTGAGGGTGAAGCCGAGGCTGCAGAGACCATTTCTAAGGCCCTGGAAAAGGCCGGCGATGGTCTGCTTTTGATTCGTAGAATTGAGGCTTCTAAGGACATTGCAAAGATTCTGGCCAATTCGCCCAATGTGACATACTTGCCATCTAACTCTGGCACGGGCGGGGCCCAAGCCGGTACCTCCAACAGTTTGTTGCTCAACATTGGCCGATAATTAAAGAAGCTTGAGATTAGTTTTCTATAAAGTGTACATAAAAAAATTAAATGAAAGGAAATTTATATAACTTTTTTTTTTTTTTTTTTTTTACTTGTTACGGAAAGCGCCATGTTTTCGAGGATAGTTAAAAATGACAAGATCACCTTGAGAGTCAAGTGGAATTACTTTTCTGCGAGTACCACTGGAATTGCCAGGCGAGGATCTGTCAGGGATGTTGTTGCCACCGTCAAGGGGACTTGTACTAGTGAATCCACTGCCGCGAGTCTGATTGATGACAATGGCAACATGGTTACTAGGCGAAGATCTGTCCATTGGAGTGAATATAAAATTCTGTGATGGCGAAGAAGATCTTGACCTCGATCTTGATCTTGATCTGGTTCTGGATCTCAAAGTGTTGTTAAGTTGAGTTGTGAGAATATTGTCAGTGTCTATAATGTTTGAGTATCTGCAGGGCAAATAAGTTGTTTGAGCAGAGTCAGCGGTACCTGGACGACTACTACTGCTGTTGCTGTTTCTTCTTCTGCAGCCATCTGAGTTTTCAGAAGAATTGCCGAGTCGGAAAGTGCGTGCAGCAGTAGCTGTCCAGCGGCGCCACGAGTCGTAAACAGCCGTAGTGGGTGCTGTGGAAGAAGACGTAGAAGGATCCGGGGTGAGCCATGAGGGGAGCCAACGGGCTGCGCGGGTGGCCTGTGGAGCCTTGACTTGAGGAGGGGAAGGAGAAGAAGAAGAGGAGGAGGAAGAAGAATTTTGAGGAAGGCAAGTGACAGTAGTAGTGGGGGGAGACCCAGTTGGTTGTTGGAAGGAAGAAGACAATGCAGGAGATGAAGTCAAAGTTTGGTGGGCATTGTGGGGGCTCGAGAGAAGGGTTGGACGTTCTGCAAGGGTTGTAATGCTGGATGAAGATCCGGATTCTTTGCTAGTTGGTGGAGAGAGCGTTTGGGATTGAGAAGGAGATTGAGAAGGAGAAGATGGTGGTGATGATGACTGACCTAAAGACAAAGGCGACAAGATTCCTGGGCCGGGGACTTTCCAGCGGACGTGAGAATAGGTTGTGGTGGTGGTTGCAGCAGGATGTTTACGTCGCTTTTGGTGTTTTATCCGGTTATTATTATTATCATTATTATTAGAAGCAGTGGAGCACTTGCTTGTGGAAGAAATAAAAGCAGAACTTGGGGGGTGTGGAGGGACGAGATGGGCTCTACTAGCGATGGTTGATGTGGCAGCAGCTTTTGAGCCTAGACAAAATTCAGCACCGTCGAGCTGGCCAAAGGATTTTCTAAAGATTTTGCGGTCCTCAAAGACATCAGATTCGAGGTAAAGTTGTTTGCCGAGAACAGAGTTTGCTTGCTGCTGTTTTTCCAAGGCTTCAATTCTGCGAAGCCATTCATAAAGTACAACGGTGGAGCCAATCAAGGCAACGAGCTCGACGAAATCAGCCCAGGAGCCGTCAACGGAAAGACTGTTGTCAGCAATGTCGAGAAAGAAGAGGACGATGGGGAGAAAGATGGAAACAAGGGAAAAGAGAGCAATGATAAGGAGGTCTTTGCGGAAGGCAATATTTCTCATGATGATGCAATATGCACAGACGCAGCAGCAGTAGAGAATGGACATTGAAATTTTGAAGAGATAACCAAAGACAGAGACAGCTTCTTGAGAGTCGGTAAGATTGTAGTAGTAAGTAGAAGAAGAAGCTGACTGGACTGAAGAAGAAGAAGAAGTAGCGACGTCAAGGTCATCAATGTAGTCGTTTTTAGTGTTTGTAAAGTATATAAACATTGCCCAAATGACAGCGTAGGTGATGTTAAGGACGATTCCAATGCCGAGAATGACACGGGACTCGACGGGTCTTCTAAAGAGTTTAAGAAGGACTTGGACACCAGCGAATCGAGCAACGACGGTTGAAACTAGGAAAAGGATAGAGATTGGGAGTGAGTTATCTACGTAGTCGAAGAGGTCTGGACCTGAATAGTATCCATGTTGTTGCTGGTGGTTGAGATATTTGGTAACCATGACTAGGGTTACTGTGAGAGTAATTGCGGAAAGAACAACGGCAGAGATTTGAAGTTTTGGCCATTGTGGAGCGGAGCCTGAACATAGAATGGAGAGAACCAGCATGTAAGTGATTGTAGTAGTTGCTGCGAGAATAATACAAGTTGGAATGACGCTGTTTAGGAAGGATGGAGATGTTAGTTGGCTATCTTCCTGGGCATTTTGGAGGAAGGAGAAGTCAAACTGGGAACTGTCATATTGTGGGAATCTTTTCAAGAGAGGTGGTGAAGAAGTAGGAGTAGAAGTAGGAATAGAAGAAGTTGAAGTTGAAGTTGAAGTTGAAGTTGAAGTTGAAGTTGAAGTTGAAGTTGAAGTTGAAGTTGAAGTTGAAGTTGAAGTAGAAGAAGAAGAGGATGACGATGACGATGACGATGACGATGACGATGACGATGACGATGACGATTGAGATGAAGATTGTTGTAAAGACAGAGACATTATAGAACTTGCTTTGAGAACCGTTGTCTGGTCCAAGGCGCAGAGAGGCTGGAAGGTAACATTCAAAGGTGTTGAGATGCGAAGAATAGTTTCTGGGTAGTCTGGGAGTGATAAGGTGTCATTTTCCGAGAAACAAGTTGAAACATTAAAGGTATTAGTACTACTACTACTACTACTACTATTACTATTACTATTACTATTGCTCCTGCAGTTCAAGCCGCTACCGCCAATCTCCAAGAAGATTGTGCCAACAAAAGGCAGTTGGGTGTCGTTGAAGATGTAGGATGACGTATGAAAGATAAAGAAGCCATTGTCAAGGACTATAGAAGCGCAGTCTTCGGAGACATTTGAGACCTCTCTCCATTGGGAGGATCGTTGTGTTATGGTAGAAGAGGGTTTGTTAATTCCAAAAATAAATTTGGTGTTGATTGATTGAGGGGAAGATGGGTTGGCATGAGAGGCCACGCGATTATTGAGAGGTAGGGCATGAGTGAAGTTTTTGGCGGTTGCGGCAAGAAAAGAGAAGAGAAGTAGTAGGATAGGTATTAGTGCCTTTACAGGCTTATACATACACACAAAGAGAAGAAAGAGGTGTGATAGAAGGTATGTTAGGGTATTTTAAATATACTTATTTATAAATATATATAATATATAATATATATATATATATTAGAAGATTGAAAAATGTGGTGGTAAAAATATGAAAGAGTGTAAAAAAAAAAAAATTAAAAGGGGGGGGAGGAAGTTGTTAGGCGAGAATTTTAGGCGAGAATTTTATTTTTTTTTTGTTTAAGCACAGGGCTAAATCTGAGAGTAAGATTAGTTAAAGGGAGCATAAATTAAAAGATAATTTTAGATGTATTAGTTACCATATATAATAAAAATAATAATAAGAACAAATATAATATATATATATTTGTAAAAATTAAAAAAAAAAGTCCTAGTTGGCGATGGTTGCAACGGAGTTTTTTTTTATTTTTATTTTTTTTGAAGAATGAAAAAAAAAAGTGGAGATTTGAAAATAAATTAGTTTGAAGAACAAAAAAAAAAAAAAAAAAAAAAAAAAAAGTCAAGATTAAAGCCAAGAAATTTCTAACAATCAAAAAGATAAAAATAAAAAAAATTAATTAAAAAAAAAATAAAAAAAAAAAATAAATAAAAAGAAAGCTTTGCCATGCGGCTGTAATAAGGATAAAGGGATTATGTAAATATTTATGTAAAAAGACATGTCAGAAGAGTGGGCGTGTATTTATTTGTAATGATTAGTCAAAGTGATATAATATATTTAATGATTACTTAATTTTATTATTTAAACTTGCTGAGCCATTTTCATTGAACTATTGCTCATTGGCTAGTGATATAAAATGAAAAAAATAAAAATAAAAATAGTATTAATTAATATATTTAATATAATTAATATAATTATGTAATTATATATTGATAATAATAATTTATTTTATTTTTTAATATTTAATTAATCTTTTATCCGCGGGCCGACCTTTATTAAGATTCCCTTGTCCTAAAACAATTATAAAAGCGGCGGCGGCTTTTTTTTTTTTTAATTTCTTGCGAGGTAAATCAATTTAATATATAAACTTCTTTTTAAACCGATTTATTTTATTATTATTATTATTATACATACCAAATATCAAATTAATTAAATCATTTATATAAATAATAAAATATAAAATATAAAATACTTTAACTTTGGTACTCACAAAACATCTCAAAGCCTCTTCAATTGATTCAATCGGTTTTTCTTCTTCCAGAATTTTTTTTTTTTTTTTCATAAATAATTATAAAAACAAAAATATTTTTCATTTCCCTTAACAAAAAATAAAAAATTCCTCTTTTTTTTTCTTCTTCTTCTTCTTCTTCTTCTTCTTTTTCTAATTTTCATTTTCATTTTCATATTTTCATATTTTCATTTGTTTTTCATTCATTTATTCTCGGGTCCAGCCTTCCAGTTATATTATATATATATAAATATATATATATAAATATATATATATATATATATATTTTTTACAATTTTTGAAAAAAAAAAGCTCAACAAATTTTATAACCAATTTTGTATCTTTCATTCATTCATTCATTCATTCATTCATTCATTTATTCATTTTTTTAAAAAAAAAATTATCTTTCAAAATGATCAAATCCCTCTAAGAAATATACCTCTTTTTCATTTTTTTTTTTTTTGTTTCTTAAAAAAAAAAAAAGTCCCTTAAATTTTTTTTTTTTTGTCTCGTCCAGTGTCTTGGCCTTTGACGACAATCAACACCGCAATATTCGCGCTTCTTTTTTTTTTTTTTTTTTTTAATTCTTGTGTTGCTTTTAATTTTTATTATTATTATTTAAATTTTATATTTAAATTTTATATTTAAAAAATTAAAAAAAAAATCCCTTCTCCTTTTCATTTTCAATATCTCATATAAATCGAAAAAAAAACAAAAAAATGCCCATCTGGTCTAGAAAATCCCGTGCATCGTCAGTATCTTCTCTGACCCATCACAATCAACCTACCATCATCTCTCAAAATCATCAATCCTCTCCATCAATCCCATCATCTCCTACTAAAAATCCACCCATAAATCTCCCATCAGACCCTGTCCAAATTCAAATCCTTTCTCGACAATGTCTTCAGGACCCTTCAGAAGACCCAGGACTCCCCCCATCCTACGCAAATCTCGCACCCATCCCTCCTAGATCTGCCATCCATCCAAGACCAGAAGAAGGCTTCGAATCCCTCCCCTTTTATGCCCCAGCAATCTATAAAGAAGGCCCTGCAATGCGCAAACCTGAACTTATCTCTCCATACCTTCCTGCAACTCAACGTCCTTGGACCCCAATCTACCTTCAACTTAACAATACCCAACTAAACATTTATACAATCATTCCTAAAAAGGGCTCTCCAAATCTACCGCAAGCTCTCCCACCACGTGAAGACACAACATATGATCTCTCATCTTCTCCACATGGCCCTGCCCCGCTTTTGGCCCATCTACTTCGTAACAGATCTTTCCCAATAATTACAAATGTCTCTTCTCCATCATCACCTTCTTATTCTTCTTCTTCTTCTTTTTCTTCTCATTCTTCATCAACGTCCCCTCCTCTCTCCTCCTCGGAAAAGCCTCCTTTCCATCATTTCCATTCCTCTGCATCTAATACCCCGCCATCTGCTGATCTTGCTCAGGGTCTCCAGATCGGACCTAATCACAAAATAGGCAGGCTCCTCAAATCATACACCCTGCAATATGCAGAGGTAGGCGGGGCTCTTGACTACTCTAAGCGTATTTGTGTTTTACGTGTTCGTGCAGAAGCAGAGCAGTTTTTGATCCAGTTAGAATCGGTCTTTGATTGTGTCACTTGGGCAAACGCCATCCAAATGGGTATAGATGTTGCACTTCCTTTAGACGAAAGGCCTTTACCTAAACACAAATTATTACCACGAAGAAACAGACGAAATAGACGAAGGCAAAGAACTGCCAATTCTTCATCCAACTTACCAGCTTCATCTTCTTCACAAGTCCAAACTACAGTTAATAGTCGGGCCATTGCGGCTGCTACTGCTACTGCTACGGGGATCACGGTGGCTCAGCCTCATCAATCTTCTTCATCTTCATCTTCATCTGCATTGCCATCTAACCAACATCAACAGCAACAGCAACAGCAACAGCAACAGCAACAAAGACGAAACAGATTGAATTCTATTTCTTCTCTTTTATCTCAAACATCTGCTCATGAATCTGATTCTTCCATTAATCACTCTAACCGACCTTCAAGGTTCACACGGCTTGTCCAAAAAATCCAAACTCGTTCAGCCTCTTTTTCAGCTACGTCGGGTCCTGTTGCAGCTGCTTTAACTTCATCTAGTACTAGCAAAGCCCAGCCAAGATCTGGTAGCGAGCAAATGGAATGTTCAAATGCAAATAACGATGACACGTTTGTTGAAGATCTTCTTCATCATTCCGAAATGCAGTCTTCTGAAGGCTCTTCAAACCCCCCCGCCCATCATGACACTAACAATTTGGCTGCTCCAGCAACGAAAACACCTGCTGATGACCAAGCCGTGTCTCACGCGGTCGACAACAAACACAACGCTCCCGGTGGCTTCAACAACAGTAGCAGTAGCAATAACAACTGTAATGGAAATAGCAATAGCAATAGCAATAGCAATGATAACAATAACAATAACAACAACAGCAGCAGTAGTAGCAGCAGTTACCCCACCTTGCATCATCAAACTTTTATGCAAACAACTGCATCTGCTTGTAACAAAAATCTCCACCCAAGACAATCAATTTTCCTCGTACATGATGATGTTGATGATGATAATAACAATAAAAATAAAAATAATAATAATGACGACAATGAAAACGACAACAACACAAATACCGTCCAACACGACCATCTCTTAACTAACCAATACACAGCACAGCCACCAAACCTCCCCTCTTCCTCAGCATCAACAGGCTCCTCCGGATCATCTGGATCTTCCGCATTCTCCGCAAATGATCTCACTCACACCCTGACCCCACTCTCATCACCAGATAGCCCTCCACTTTGTGTAAACCTTAACGCTTTCCACTCATCAACATCATCAACACCTGCATCGGTTCTCCATGCTCCGGTCCCGCATCGGGTCCCCCACATTCTTCATACCCACCATCGATTTTCCGAAGACGAAACCGACGACGTCGGTGATGACGAAGAAGAAGAAGACGAAAGTTACGGCCTGGAAGATATCGTAAATAGATACGGTTCAACAGGTTCTTCCAGTGGCACTTCATCCTATGAACTTGACGACGATGAACTGTCCCTCATTAACGCATACTCGGGTATTTCCCCACACTCTTCCTTTTCTGTGGACGGTCCTAATTCAACATCCCATTCTAACCATCACCCTACTGCCCCATTCAGCTTGCCAACCATTCCAGGCACTCCAATTCTCTCAGATTCCCTACCCTTTATGCTGCCACCTTTTACTGCAATGTCACCTTTATTCCGTGCAACAACAAGTACCCCAAGTGGCTGTGACCTCGAAACACCTACATTCGAGCGATCAGCCTTCTTAACAAATGATGACGAAAATATGACTGCCATTTTATCTACTGAGGCTTTTGGAACAACAACAACAACAACAAAAACAACAAACGCTTTGCTTACAGCCCCAGCAACCGTCACTAATACCCGCACACCCACTCCGGAACTCGGATCAGGTGCCTGTCTTAGCACAGAACCAACTAGTAGTTCTCCTTCTACTACAGGCGGTGCCAGTACCCCGGTGACAGCCAGCAGTAGCAGTGCAACCTCGGCCTCTGCAAGCGGTGAAGACGTGACTCCCGACGACTCTTCTCCCTTAGAGAAACCAGAGACTCACCTGCAGTCAGATACCCTTCATCATCACCGCCGTGGACCTTTAGTGGATGAAACTGAGGATGATGAAGGCTACGTTGTTGGAGACGAGGATGAGATGTATGATGACTTGGATGAAGATCCCGATGGTCTTAGTCCTAGATTTCTACGCGAACGACTCCGCCGGCCGTCCTCGTCGTTCACGCATCCTGCTATTGTGGACAATGCAGATCGTGGTCCTCGTCGGCCATCAATGCACGAGTTTTTGGCATATATGGACTCTGGGGACTGTGAGGCTGATGACCCGCACGCCAAATGGGAGCCCAAGCATCCGCACGAGTCACTCAAGCTCATTTTCAGGTGTCTGCAGCCACTGCCTGCCCACGCACCATGGATTGATAAAATGGTTGTTGTTGATGGGCAAAAGTACATTGTGCGACCAGAGTCTTTAATCAAAGTTCCACTTAATTATTAAGTCATTCTTTTTTTAAAAAAAAAAATTTAGAAAAATTTTTAAAAAATATATATATATACATACTATAGATAGAAATTGTTTTATTACGATTGATTAAAATAAAATAAAAAAAAAAATTTTTTAAAAGCAATCTTACTATGGATACACTTGTTTGTAAACTCTGATTATATAATTATTCATTACCTCACAAGCTAAGCCCATAAATAAGCTTCGAAGCTTATTTATATTATATATATATTATTCCATTTTGAGTGCATGTCTTGTAAGGAAAGAAGCAGCCGCATTGTACGCTTAAAGTTAAACACAACTTTTGGACAACAAGTTAACCATTTGACAGCAGCAGGTTAAAATGGGCATGCCCATGGGCTGCAATAGAAAAGAAAGATGATAATTAAATGATAGCAGGTAGGAATAGCCACGGTCATGGTGGAGGGGTTTTTTTTTTTTTTGAAGAAGAAGAAAATGAAGAAAATGAAGTTGGATTTTGTTTTTTTTAAAAATTTTTCGACTTCCAGAAGTATTTGGGAAAAAAAAAGGCCATGTATTGATTTCAAGGTGATAAGCGATAAGGTGGTCTGTTTATACCTTTTCTTTTTTTTTCTTTTTTTTTTTTTTTCCTTTTTTTTGCGTGAGATTACATCGTTCTATCGTTACGTTTCATCATAACTGATCAGTTACTAACATTTTTAGCAGGTTTGAATGGAATCGATTAAATAAAATTAGCAATTGGTTATTGGTTATTGGTTATTGGAATGAAATGGATTCACTTGATTTATTTGCAGCCTGTCACTGGGTGATTTTGTTTACTATCATTGTGTGATTTATGTGAAATCTATGTTGACAGAGACGTCAATTAAGCCAAAAGTATTCTAATTTAATTATAATCAAGTGGTTAGCTTCCTTTAAAGTAGTGTTAACACTTTTCTGCGTTTATGTTCATTTTAAAGAAGTTTTCCATTTATAGTACTTTTTTTTTTTTTCATGAATGGTCTGTTTATTGAAATTAATTCCCGAAAGTGTTTTTTTTTGTAGTTGAACATGTGTGATTATTGTTAAAACGTGCGATCTAAAAAAAATAAAAAATAAAAATGGGTGAGTGAGAGAGTGCTATTTATTGGAATAGGAGAAATAAATGACGTGAGAATCTGGATTTAAAAAAAAAAAAAAAAAAAAAAAAAAAAAAAAGGAGAGAAAAGACAATGAGTTGATGTCAATAGAAATAATAATAATAATAATAATATCAAGTTGATAGCCCTGGAAGATTGAATAAATACAATTAAAAATAAATAATAAAGAATATTTAAATTTAAATTTAAATTTAAAAAGTAAATACTTGTTAAGTTTTTTTTTTTTTTTTTTTTTTTTGTAAACAGGGTTTTATTTTAAAAAAAAAATAATTAAAAAAAACCGATTTTCATGAACATGAGGGGTGGATGTTGTAATTATTGTAAGGATCATAAAGTATAGGATAAGTATTATCCATGGACTTACAAAAAAAAAAAATTTTGCAATATGGAATATAATTGATTTAAAAAATAGAAAAGAATTTGAAGAATGAAGTGAGGAGAGGTTTGTTTTTAAGTCTTGAAAAAAAGAACAAAATAGTATGAGTTATTTTTTAAAGTTGAACTGAAATTCAGAAAGGTCTTTTGGCCAGTGGAGATTTCAGATAGAGCTGATCAGCATCATGGATAATTGAAAATATGAGAGGGGAAAGAAAGAAAAAAAAAAAAAAAAAAAAAAAAAAAAAAAGGAAATCCAATTTTGAACTGGCTAGACTTTTTTTTTATTTCTCTCTATCTCTTTTTAAGCCATAAATGATAATAATACACTTATTACAATATTTATTTTCTCCCTAATTTTATGATTCAAGAAATGAGTTTAAGAGAATAAAAAATAATTGAAAATAATTACAAAGAAAGTTACCATTGAAATATTGAAAGTAGAGTGAAAAGATTTAACAAAAAAAAAGAAAAAAGTTGAAAGATTTTGCTTTTGTTTTCAGCACTTTAAAATGACAGCGTTTTTAAGATAAGGCAGATATCCCTTTTTTTTTTCAAAGAAAAACTATTCCCATATGTGTTTTGCCAATTGATAAATAAATTAGGTAATCTAAAGAAGGTACAAAAAAAAATGTGTTAAACAGGTAAATCCAATTTCTTTTTTTTTTTTTTTATTTATAAATAAACGAAAAAAAAAAAAAAAGCCGTTTTTAAAAAAAAAAAAAAAATTAAAATTAAAATTAAAATTAAAAATTAACCCCACCACACCATCTGAAATCAACTAACTAACTAAAAAAAAAGGGCTTGTTATGAGAGTTATTTGACATTTCGGCTGATAAAAAAATGCTAAACAATAAATACCCCACCTTGTAATAAAAAAAATAATTAAATTTAAAAAAATAAAAATAAAAATAAAAATAAACATTCACCTTTGAGACATTAACAGTAATATTAAACATCCCTGGTTATAATCCATCATCCCTCCCCGGAATATGCTTTTTCAAAGAAAGAGGAGACCTCAACCAAAAGCTTTTCAATCAACAAATTTGATCTGGGGTTCATAATTACCAGCCACTGAGGTCTTCCCTAATTCTTTGCAAATTTTTATCTTCATGATAAATAAATCAATCTAAAAAGTATAAATATGACCCTCAAAGTCTACCCTTTATTGTCTTTTTTCCTCTTCTTCTTTTTCTTCATTATTATATTTTTCTCTATCAATTCTTATCAACTATAAAAATCTCCTCTAAATAATTTTCAATTTTGTTAAACAACCTCTTTTAAACTACCAATTCTAAAAATAAAATAAATAATTTAATCAAAAATGGCTCCAGTTGAATACGATGCAATTGTTGTTGGCGGCGGCTTCGGCGGCGTCTACACTACCTACCAACTCCGTGAACTTGGTTACAATGTTCATTCTTTTGAAAAGGGTTCCTTCATCGGAGGAATCTGGTACTGGAATAAGTACCCTGGTGCTCGTGTCGATTCTGATGTTCCTGTCTACCAACTTTGGCTTGAGCAGATTTACAAGGACTGGGATTTCAAGGAACGCTTCCCTGGCTGGAAGGAACTCAACGAGTACTTTGCCCACGTCGACAAAAAAATTCAAATTTCTAAAAACTACTCTTTCAACACATTTGTCAGTGCCTGCCACTTTGATGAAAAATCTGGAAAATGGACTGTTACTACCAACGGTGAAGATGCCGGCACCTTCATTGCTAAACACCTAGTAGTGTGCACTGGCTTTGCTGCTAAAAAATACATCCCAGACTTCAAGGGTCTTGACAAATACAAGGGTATCATGCACCACACTTGTGAGTGGCCCGGTGACGATGTTGACTTCAAGAACAAGAAGGTCGCCGTTGTGGGTACTGGTGCATCCGGTGTCCAGGTCATCCAGGAAGTCGGACCCATTGTTGAGGATTTGACCGTATACCAGCGTACTCCTAATATTGCCATCCCCATGCGTCAGCGTGCTGTTACCCATGAAGAACAAGAGGCTCGTCGTGCTGACTATGACAAGGTCTTTGCTAAGACTCTTACTGATGGATATACCGCCGGCTTCGAGTTTGGATTCGATCCTCGAAGTGCTTTGGAAGTTACCGACGAGGAACGTGAAGCCCACCTTGAGAAATGCTGGGCTACTGGTGGTTTCCATTTCTGGGTTGCTACCTTCCAAGATGTTTGGACCAACTTGGAAGCTGATAAGTACCAATACGAGTTCTGGCGCCGTAAGACTCTTGAGCGTCTTACTCGTCCCGAATTATATGAGAAACTGGCCCCTGCTGTGGCTCTCAACCCCTTCTGCTCAAAGAGACCATGCCTTGAACAAACTTACTACGAGGTCTACAACCAGCCCAATGTCGACATTGTTGATCTTCGTCAGGAACCTATTCTCGAGTTCACCGAGAAGGGTATCAAAACTGCCAATGGTGAGAAGGAATTTGATATCATTGTTCTTGCAACTGGTTTCGATGCTGTTACTGGTGGTTTGACTCAAATGGATATTCGTGGTATTCATGGCGAAACTCTTGCTGATAAGTGGGAGACTGGTGGTCTTCGCACTTATCTTGGTGTTGCCGTCAATGACTTCCCCAACATGTACTTTATGTATGGACCTCAGGGCCCCACTGCCTTTTCCAATGGTCCCACCTGTGCCCAGATCCAAAGCAATTGGATTGTCAAACTTATTCAATACACTGACAAGCACAATCTTAAGTATGTGCAACCTTCTGAGGCTGCTGAAGAAGAATGGGCTCAAAATGTTCTTGATGTCAGCAATCAGACATTGGTTGGATTGGCTAAGACTTCATGGTATAATGGTACCAATATTCCTGGCAAGAAGATTACAGGTCCTTTGAACTATCTTGGTGGCATTCCAAGATATTACCGGGAGATCAATGCAGAGGAAGACAAGGATTACGAGAGCTTTATCAAAGTCGCTGCCTAGTTTTCATTTTTATTTTTTATTTTTTATTTTTGTCCTATTTTCATGTATTAAAAAGTTTTAGCCAAAAAAAAAATCCAAATTGTTTCTATATTCTATGAGATTGAATAATTATTTTAAACCACTATTAGTAGATATCTAGATATTTATTTATCAATTTATTGGTTGATTAACTGGGTTAAAGAAAAGGCAGCAATTACGGAAAACTAATTAATTCCTTAGTTTCGAATATACTTTTGCCTTGATCAACATCATGAACAGTGTTTTGTTTAATTAAATTTATAAACTACATGTTTGAAAATATTCATTTGAATCAGATAATGTTGTTTTTATTACAGAAATTGAACTTTAACTTTTTATTAATGATGAATACATTCATTAAAACTACTTATATATGTAATTCTTTGTGTTAATTATTTCAGATAGATAAAAGAAATTCCGATTAGTTTTAGAGCTTGTAAAAAGATCCTACAAATATAATCCTACACTTTCTTTTTCTAATCAATCTAAAGTTAGTTCCTTGTATTTTAAATGTGGTTTAAATTTCATTTAACCAATTGAATAGTTGGTTATAAGAATTGAAATTAAATTGTTGCATTCCTGGGTTATTGGGCAATAATTTAATTTAATTTTTTTTCTCATTCATATTTTTTCAAATTAATTTCTTATTCCTTCTCTTTACACCTTTTCTTTTTGCAATTTGGTCCTACCTAACCCTTGTGTAATTTTTAAAATATATTTTCATTCATTCTCTCTTATTTCACTTATATTTTCATAATGCAAACTGCAATTTTGAACTTGAAATTAGAAAATATATTTCTTTATCCAAAATATAACTCATAATTTCAACCATAAAAAAATTGGACACAATAATTGAAACAATAAAGTATATTTTCAAAATTAATTCCCTGATTCTTTTGGTTCAAAATATGAGCTCAAAAGAAAATTTTTCATCTATTAAAGTATCATTAAGAGGCCTGAAATTATCAGCGAATATAAATGTGTAACTTGCCAGTTTCTTTCATATGCGCTATCAAACTTTTACCAAAGTTAACTTCTGGAGATTTAATTTGATTAAACTGTATCTATTTTGACGTTAAGTTGCATCTACTAAAAGTTAACTTTAGAAAGGGGCGTCTCGCTGATAGATTTTCAAGAAATACATAGTTACAGTATACTGAAGATTTTCCAATTTGAAAGGTTGCTCATTAATGTCATGAAAAAACTCACTGGATACAATAATAAGCAGAGGGAAAAGTTACATATATTATATTTAAAAAGAAAATTCAGAGAAATATTAGACATTGTTTAGTAAATTGGGAAGTAATATATAAAAAATAGAAGAAATTTACCAATAAATAATAGGTTTTTATTGGTATTTGTAATAAGCAAAACATGATACCGATCAAATATACAGGTATTATTTTATTTACATATAAGAGAAATATTTTCGTACAAAGATTATCAACTAAATGTAAAACAATATTGGGTGTTTGGTTTAATAAAAGGACCATCAAAAATGTGTAAAAGGGTTTTTGCTTTATAAGCAAACATACTGGAGAGCATTTTCACTCCTAAACTGAAGCTACTAGTTGGATCATGAAATAAATAAGATTCAAAAAATGTTCCTTTTGTTTAAACTGGTAACATGTTTCGCTGCCAATAGGATCTTTTCAAAAACTAATTGATAAAAAATGAGGTATATAAAAAAATTGCACCCGTTGAAGGTGCTTGTAAGAATTGAGTAATAAGATGAAAATAAATAACATATACTATAGTATTCTCAAAATAAAGCAACAGATCAACACATGAGATATTGATTTTTGTAGAATTAATGAATCCACGGTACTGACCAACCACCAAAGTAAGTATTGGAATAAAGACGTTCACCACTTTTCACCTTGGTAATATTACCAACGACCAAACAAAATGTTGGATTCGAAGTTTAAAAATGGAAAAAATCAGAATCGGGGTTTGATTTTTTTTAATAAAAGTCTTTAAAATGTTCAAGAGAGAGAGGGGGAACAGGACCAAATGAGTTAATTTCAGTAATGGAGACTGATTGACAGAGTACCCCCTCCGGTTTGTAAAACCAAATAAAATGTTAAAAACCAGACTTTGGATTAAGTTGACAGCTTTAGAAAAGGTTAAATAAAAATGGCTGTAGCAAGTATTCATAGAGGGGTGAGTGGGGGAGAGGGAAAAAAAAACTTGAAAGTTACAAACAGGTTTGTCCGGGAAGTTGCCGATTATACAATTTCTGGAACAAATAATGGATTTATTACATGATTGAAAATGTAAAGGGTCAGTATTTTCAAATAACAATAGCTGACAATAAATTAAGTTATTGATCATCATGATGAGAAATAAGTCTGCCCCTCTTCGGTTGACAAAAAAAAAGAAAAAAAAAATGGAATTAAACATTATAAAAAAAACACATACGGCTGAGGCTTCTCCACAATTTAATTATTCCCAAGAAGGAAGTTCTTCAAATCCCCCCGGAATATGTTTTCTTTTTGTTCGGCATTCTATAAAAAATATTTTGATTAATGCTCTCTTAAAATTTCCCCGGAATCTATCCTATGATCCAGATCCATGCTAATGAAAAAGAAATACTGACATAGGACCATGAGAATCAATCTTTTTCAAATGAAATATTTTTATCATTCTAAATATTGAAATATAAATACCTTCAATTTGTATCAAATTTTATTATATTTTTTTTTTCATTCTCTTTTCTCATCATTTCTTTTCTATTTACTAACAATTAATATTAAAAAATCACAATTTTTCACTAAAAAAAAACTACCTTTCCAAAATTATTTTACAGATATTTAAAATTCAAAATGGCTCCTGTTGAATACGATGCAATTGTTGTTGGCGGCGGCTTCGGCGGCGTCTACACTACCTACCAACTCCGTGAACTTGGTTACAATGTTCATTCTTTCGAAAAGGGTTCCTTCATCGGAGGAATCTGGTACTGGAATAAGTACCCTGGTGCTCGTGTCGATTCTGATGTTCCTGTCTACCAACTTTGGCTTGAGCAGATTTACAAGGACTGGGATTTCAAGGAACGCTTCCCTGGCTGGAAGGAACTCAACGAGTACTTTGCCCACGTTGACAAAAAAATTCAAATTTCTAAAAACTACTCTTTCAACACATTTGTCAGTGCCTGCCACTTTGATGAAAAATCTGGAAAATGGACTGTTACTACCAACGGTGAAGATGCCGGCACCTTCATTGCTAAACACCTAGTAGTGTGCACTGGCTTTGCTGCTAAAAAATACATCCCAGACTTCAAGGGTCTTGACAAATACAAGGGTATCATGCACCACACTTGTGAGTGGCCCGGTGACGATGTTGACTTCAAGAACAAGAAGGTCGCCGTTGTGGGTACTGGTGCATCCGGTGTTCAGGTCATCCAGGAAGTCGGACCCATTGTTGAGGATTTGACCGTATACCAGCGTACTCCTAATATTGCCATCCCCATGCGTCAGCGTGCTGTTACCCATGAAGAACAAGAGGCTCGTCGTGCTGACTATGACAAGGTCTTTGCTAAGACTCTTACTGATGGATATACCGCCGGCTTCGAGTTTGGATTCGATCCTCGAAGTGCTTTGGAAGTTACCGACGAGGAACGTGAAGCCCATCTTGAAAAATGCTGGGCTACTGGTGGTTTCCATTTCTGGGTTGCTACCTTCCAAGATGTTTGGACCAACTTGGAAGCTGATAAGTACCAATACGAGTTCTGGCGCCGTAAGACTCTTGAGCGTCTTACTCGTCCCGAATTATATGAGAAACTGGCCCCTGCTGTGGCTCTCAACCCCTTCTGCTCAAAGAGACCATGCCTTGAACAAACTTACTACGAGGTCTACAACCAGCCCAATGTCGACATTGTTGATCTTCGTCAGGAACCTATTCTCGAGTTCACCGAGAAGGGTATCAAGACTGCCAATGGTGAAAAGGAATTTGATATCATTGTTCTTGCAACTGGTTTCGATGCTGTTACTGGTGGTTTGACTCAAATGGATATTCGTGGTATTCATGGCGAAACTCTTGCTGATAAGTGGGAGACTGGTGGTCTTCGCACTTATCTTGGTGTTGCCGTCAATGACTTCCCCAACATGTACTTTATGTATGGACCTCAGGGCCCCACTGCCTTTTCCAATGGTCCCACCTGTGCCCAGATCCAAAGCAATTGGATTGTCAAACTTATTCAATACACTGACAAGCACAATCTTAAGTATGTGCAACCTTCTGAGGCTGCTGAAGAAGAATGGGCTCAAAATGTTCTTGATGTCAGCAATCAGACATTGGTTGGATTGGCTAAGACTTCATGGTATAATGGTACCAATATTCCTGGCAAGAAGATTACAGGTCCTTTGAACTATCTTGGTGGCATTCCAAGATATTACCGGGAGATCAATGCAGAGGAAGACAAGGATTACGAGAGCTTTATCAAGGTCGCTGCTTAAATTTATTATGTTTTTATAAAAGTTAATTGTATATCTGAAATAGTTTTGAAATTTTAAAAATTGATAATTTACCGAATCTTATTTACTTACTGTACAGTTCTTTTGGATTGCGACAAATGAATTAGATTACTATCAACTTCTCGTGAAAGCAAAAGTTATAACTAGCATTCTCTAAAAAGTTTTTTTGACATATTTGATAGTCACTTCTATTGAAATCCTATCACAGCAAATTTTCCTATATTTTATGTTGTAAGACTTTGAGACTAGGTGTGAAAATCCTTCCGCTTATTATTATTTGATCCCATTGTTCATTTGGTACGTCATAGTGATTAGTTTTGATCGAACCAGAGGTAAACATAGATAGTTCATTTAAAAGAATCATAAAATTTTCAAGTTTCAAAAATGAAACTAACAAAGCTTGATAGTTATTAATAAATAAATTAATAAATAAAACCCTCATAAAAATCTACAACGTTGACTTGTATCTAACCTTCTAAAAGCTAAAAAGCCAGCTTCAAGTACTTCCTTTATTTTGATGGTTTAATGATGACAAAAATAACTAGATTCAGGAATAAAGGTTTTATTATTTATAATTTACATTTTCAATTAATACACCTGGATTTCAATAAATCTTCAAATAAATACACAAACTAGTTATGATTTAATTTGCACCCCGCTATTTTTGCAGTATTAATATCTATTCTCTGAAAGAGTTCAATATATAGCACCTTTTAAAAATACCAACCATTGATTTCAATGATCCATGGTTCATGATCCATTATTTGTTGATTTTTATTTGATTTTGAATTCAATCACCCCATTTTCAACTACCAATTTCTATTCGGGACAAAATAAAATGTCGGAGGTTTTTAAAAAAAAAAAACTGTTCAGCTTGTGCAAGTGCAGGTTAATTAAATTTCGCCTTGCCCCAGCTGGACAAAATGAAAAGACCCCCCATAAACCCTAACCCTTATTACATATGGTTTAAGAACCCTCAACTCTAATGCCCCTCTTCGGTTGACAAAAATGAAAAAGAAATAAAAACTGCACGGCTGGTGCTTCACCACAATTTCTCCATAAAAATGCCAACTGCATCTTTCCCCGGAATATGTTTTTTTTTTCTTTTTTTAAAAAAATTTTTTTTTAATTTGTTTATTTCATTTTAGATTTTTGATAAGAATATGTTCCTTCGTGAAGTTCAAACATTCTCCGGAATCATAAAAATTTCTTTGAAAATAAAGGAACCCCTCAAATGATTAGAGCCAGTAAAGATATTGAGAATTTTGATAATTTTGGCAGGTCTTAATGATCATTGCAAATATAAATACTCATCAATCTTCCCAACTTAAGAATTTTATTTTATTCTTTCTTTTATCATTATCTTTTTATTAATCAATTTTATTCTATAACCAATCTCTTTAACATCTTCTTTAATTATACTTTTCTAAGACTTTTACATATCATAAATTATCACAATGGCTCCAGTTGAATACGATGCAATTGTTGTTGGCGGCGGCTTCGGCGGCGTCTACACTACCTACCAACTCCGTGAACTTGGTTACAATGTTCATTCTTTCGAAAAGGGTTCCTTCATCGGAGGAATCTGGTACTGGAATAAGTACCCTGGTGCTCGTGTCGATTCTGATGTTCCTGTCTACCAACTTTGGCTTGAACAGATCTACAAGGACTGGGACTTCAAGGAACGCTTCCCTGGTTGGAAGGAACTCAACGAGTACTTTGCCCACGTTGACAAAAAAATTCAAATTTCTAAAAACTACTCTTTCAACACATTTGTCAGTGCCTGCCACTTTGATGAAAAATCTGGAAAATGGACTGTTACTACCAACGGTGAAGATGCCGGCACCTTCATTGCTAAACACCTAGTAGTGTGCACTGGCTTTGCTGCTAAAAAATACATCCCAGACTTCAAGGGTCTTGACAAATACAAGGGTATCATGCACCACACTTGTGAGTGGCCCGGTGACGATGTTGACTTCAAGAACAAGAAGGTCGCCGTTGTGGGTACTGGTGCATCCGGTGTCCAGGTCATCCAGGAAGTCGGACCCATTGTTGAGGATTTGACCGTATACCAGCGTACTCCTAATATTGCCATCCCCATGCGTCAGCGTGCTGTTACCCATGAAGAACAAGAGGCTCGTCGTGCTGACTATGACAAGGTCTTTGCTAAGACTCTTACTGATGGATATACCGCCGGCTTCGAGTTTGGATTCGATCCTCGAAGTGCTTTGGAAGTTACCGACGAGGAACGTGAAGCCCATCTTGAAAAATGCTGGGCTACTGGTGGTTTCCATTTCTGGGTTGCTACCTTCCAAGATGTTTGGACCAACTTGGAAGCTGATAAGTACCAATACGAGTTCTGGCGCCGTAAGACTCTTGAGCGTCTTACTCGTCCCGAATTATATGAGAAACTGGCCCCTGCTGTGGCTCTCAACCCCTTCTGCTCAAAGAGACCATGCCTTGAACAAACTTACTACGAGGGTCTACAACCAGCCCAATGTCGACATTGTTGATCTTCGTCAGGAACCTATTCTCGAGTTCACCGAGAAGGGTATCAAGACTGCCAATGGTGAAAAGGAATTTGATATCATTGTTCTTGCAACTGGTTTCGATGCTGTTACTGGTGGTTTGACTCAAATGGATATTCGTGGTATTCATGGCGAAACTCTTGCTGATAAGTGGGAGACTGGTGGTCTTCGCACTTATCTTGGTGTTGCCGTCAATGACTTCCCCAACATGTACTTTATGTATGGACCTCAGGGCCCCACTGCCTTTTCCAATGGTCCCACCTGTGCCCAGATCCAAAGCAATTGGATTGTCAAACTTATTCAATACACTGACAAGCACAATCTTAAGTATGTGCAACCTTCTGAGGCTGCTGAAGAAGAATGGGCTCAAAATGTTCTTGATGTCAGCAATCAGACATTGGTTGGATTGGCTAAGACTTCATGGTATAATGGTACCAATATTCCTGGCAAGAAGATCACAGGTCCTTTGAACTATCTTGGTGGTATTCCAAGATATTACCGGGAGATCAATGCAGAGGAAGACAAGGATTACGAGAGCTTTATCAAGGTCGCTGCCTAGGAATCGGGTTATTTAGTGAAAATTGTAGTATGTAAAAGAATTTATAAAATAAAAATATGTCTTATTGATTTTTTGATGTTTTTAAGTATTCCTTTTGAGTGTATTATTGCTTAAGCTATCAGTTTTATTATTTTTTAAATTTTTAAATAAATGGGTATCTATTTCATTTAAATACATCTATTAATGTTTAGTAACTACCGCTCAGGTTTTTGTATTTTTTTGGATAAGGGTTAAATATCACGTTTTTATTATTTGACTAAGACGCTTAATAATAGAACTTAGCTAAGTGAGTAAGAAGTTAATATCTCAGGCCAAACTTTTCACTTTAGTTTTAGAAAATCACTGTATATTTCTTGTAAATCAATCTTGGAAAGAGGATTTTAAAACTCTTATGAAAGAGTTTTAATGATACAAAAATAACTCCGACACGGGGAATCGAACCCCGATTTCCACGGTGAGAGCGTGAGGTGATAACCATTACACTATATCGGATCTCTATTAAAAATGTAAAATCTAATACTTACTAATTCACTCCAATAAATATTCTCTTTTTTTGTTAAATTGATTTCTAGTGTTGGGGAAAAGGGCTGGATGGTGTAAAGGATAACACGTTCGCTCAAAAGCGGAAGATACTGGGTTCGATTCCCAGAATACCCCCTTTTCCTGAGGATGTGTACGGGAGTATACACCTAGACTGAAAACCATAGGCTACCCTGGTTACAGGAATGCCGACTCTTCCGTACAGTCTAAATAGCCTGCAGGTGATTGCGGGCCGTATCTCTGACGGAAGAGATTAAGAAATACATGGGCATCCGTGAAGATAAGTGGAAATGGGTTGGGAAGGTTTTGGGACCGACAGACTGGTTCTCCCTGTTCCTCGTAAGCTGGCATCAGGGCCCATCTTCCGAGCTACCGGAGACGCACAGAACAGAAACCACCCGTACTAAAAAGGTACAAATGAAAACCGGCAAGTCACATAGTCAGACAATAAAAGGATAGCGCAGATGCTGATGTTATATAGTTCTATAACCCTTGAATAAAAACAAACAAACAAACAATTCTAGTGTCTTAGGGCTGTTGGAGATGCAATGTTGAAGGCAAAATTAAAAGTTTATTATTAAAATGAAAAGATATATAGTATGGACAAGAAGGATAGAGCAGATGCTGATGTTATATAATTCTATAACCCTTGAATAAAAACAAACAAACAAACAAACAAATTCTAGTGTCTTTAATTCAGGTCTAGTTCAACAGTAGGTCTCAAATACAATCGGGTGATCATACATATAGTAGGATTATCATATAGCACTGTGCCATGATCAAAAAGTGTAGTCAACAAGCTTTGTTATGTACTACAACCAAGAAATTACTTATAAGTTATTGATGGTAAAAATGAACTTTAAATTTCTTTTGAGAAGTCAATAAATTTTTGTGTTTGGGCATTTTTATACGGCTGATATTATGATATTAAATGTGTCCAAAAAAATAAATTTTGTGTATTTAATGGAACATGTTCTTATCGGGTTAGGGTTGATCTATTTTTTTTTTCCGAATTTCGAATTTTTCAAATTGGCGGACGATGACAGGCTCATATTTTTTTCTCACTCCAAAAACACACATTCTCCACCCATCCTCCATCGGACCTTTTCTCTTTCCTTTATTTTTTTTTTGAGTAACTAGCTTATACATATTTTTTTCGGCATTTGTTTGACTATCAATAGCATGTCTATATGATGAAAAGAATACTAGGCTATACGCCTTCTCACAAAGCATGTCTTAATTCCCACAACCATCTGCGGCACTTTTATACTAAGCCTTATGGGGGAGGCGGCGGCAGCAATGCTTCTTCTGCCAGCCCAATTTTGTTTGACAAGAATGCCAAGTTGAAAGCTATTTATGAGCAGCGGCAAAAGTCTCGGACTGTGAAGTTACCACCATTTGGTCATAGGCTGATTGATTATTTCGAACCTTCAAACTCCCGCATTCATGTCAGTCAACCCAAAGCTCCTGTTTTTGATTTATACAATTCAAAGTACGTTCCGACTATTTTCCAGCCATCAAAAATGGCCACCAAATCTACTTCAAAAGAGAATAATACACCGGCGCCTACAATCAAAGTGGATAGTTTAGAAAAAGTTGCAGTTCTTGCTTTAAGGCTGGATCATTTACGGCACGGCAAATGTACAGCAGAAGAAGTCCGGGCTCTTGCTAAAGAGTTATTTATATCCAACTCTGAGCCAGGAAGATATTTTTACGACATTGACAGCGATATTCGGGAAGTTTTTGATTTGGAGAGTGGGTTGAATGAGCAATTTTCGCCTAATAGGGCGGTGGAAGACATGACAACGGACGACATTATAACGCAAATTTTAACAATGTCTATTCCCAAATCCAAGGAACGATACAAGAGATCTCGAATTTTGCGACTTCTTGAAAAGGAAGGATATACCAAGGAAGATTTGGCCCGGTGGATGGAGTGCATTAGAGCCCCTACACTGTTCGATGCCGTTCAAGCAATGGAAGGGTTGACAGATTCAGCTCGTTGGCCCAAATTTCTTTTACTATTTACTCTTCGACGGCACTGCCGCTCTCGCCTGGAGACGCTTGAGTTGTTTCGATTATACATGCAGAATTTCCCGACACTCGACAAAACTTCGCAGACCAAGTTTTTGTTTCGATTAATTTTGCGATCCCAGCAGTGGGTCACGGACTTGCTGCCGGAGATATGCCAAATATTTGTTGAGCACGGACATGTAGAATTATTTTCCAATGACTTTGTGTGCAACCAGGTTTTATGGACGCTTTCTGGGTTTGGACGCAGCTCCTCGTCGAGGCCACATTCCAAGGAGGTCAACCGTGACAATGATTTTGCGCTACAATCCCAGCAAATCATTGTCAACAAAATGATTGCTAGCAAAATTCCCTTGGACACTAAGGGGTATCTTGCGTTAGCTCATACTCTGCATAACGATTCGCCTGAAAGAGCATGGTCGTTGGTGAATATCATCAAGGAGCACAACTATCCAGTTTCCCAGAGCGAGAAGAACGCTTTTGAAGGAAATATATCAAACGAAGTTTCTGGTTTCAGAAGACGAGAACACCGATCTGGTGCGTTTCCTTATATTCAAGGTCTAGCGTGCATGGAAATTATGCTTAGCCGGAGTGGCGAGGAAGCACTAAGTGCCTTTGACAGTGGCATTAGTCACCCACAATGGCAAGATCTACAAGCATCTTCTGGTTATAATTACGGGTTGAGCAGTGCCATGTGGGCCGTACTTTTGATGAAACTGCGGCAGCTTAATGAGCTAACCCCGGCAGTGACAGAAGTGTTTTGGGAGAAAATCAACCGATACAAGGTCAATAAGTCGCCGTTTTTGCTGATGCAGGTAGTAGCAGGGCTAATGCCGTCAGTAAATGTGGGTCGTACGGTTTCTGATGAAGACGAGCAGAATCTGATTAATGATGGAGTGACGGCGAGCCGGTTCCCGCACTTGCTCGAAAGTGAATCTACGGAATACCAAGAGGATATTCATCTGGACCAGGATAAGATTCGGCATGCTGCAGAGCGGCGGCTGCGACTGGCTCAGGATATTTTGATTACACAAAACCCTGGGTTTTTGTCAGATTTATTAATGGCGTCGTATATTCGGGTGCTTATGCGCGGAGACCAGTTGACTGTGGCAACGCATAACTCACCTGGGTACGTTGTGCAGGGGCCTAGTAGTGCAACACACTTGAACGGGCTTTCGCGGGCGCGAGAAATCATGGGGATCATGGCTACGCGGCCGTCGCTAGCATGCTACAATGCGTTGTTGAGTGGCGAGTCACGTTTGGCTCCAGAGTCTGCGTGGAAAACATACTCTGCACTGTTGGACACAGGGCATGAGCCTGATACCCGTACTCTTTATCATTTGTGTAGGGCAGCTTGGGATTCCCAGTTAATTTGGACAGACTCTGTGGGAACGTTGAACGAGAAGACTGGGAAGTATGAGGAGCCTCTTGTGCTCTATGCTGCACAGCGGATGGTGGTTGAATTCAAGCACTGGGTTCGAGGTGCGCATATTGATAGTGGTGATTCCCAAGACTTACTTAAGCTTTACCCAACACAGCAGCTGGTGTATGCATATATTGTGATGTTGGGTCGGGCAGGTTATGGAGACGAGTTGCTTGGGATTTTGCCATGGCTAGAACGAATCGGAATGCAGCCAGATAAGCAGATTTTGTCTGCGCTCATTACATTTAGTCCTAATGGAGACTACTTGATGAAGCACGGGCAAGTTGTTTCTGGAGGAAACAATGGGGATAGTGTGTGGCCCACACCAAACGAACTTAGATCGTTTCAAAATATGATTCGGAAAAGCTGAAAATGAGGAGGGAAGGGGATGGAATATTTAAATGGAGTTTATCTTTAAATGTATTAAAAATTTGTGTATTAATAAATGTTTGTTTCTTGGTCATACTTTTTTGCAAGCCGCACCAGATCAGTGATGTGCTCATCGTCTGGCCAGTAGTACTCGGTACCAGACTTGTCGTGGTTATCTGTTTCAACGGCAGGATCAAGTTTATGCAGAGCTTGAAGACTACGATGGAGGTTATAAAGATACTCTTTGTTTTCGCCCGAGGGACCACGGGAGTTGACTATATGTTTTGCCAGGGCTTCTGGATTCTGTGGACCCACAAAGGCCTCGTTATCTGGGGTGCCGATATAGACGTGGCACGTGAGCACGGGGGGTAGAGTGATTTGGGAGTTCGATTGCGTGCTCTTTTTGTGATTTTGAAGAAACGTCGAATCGGTTGTGAAAGCGACGCGGTGTTCAGTGTATCCGTTTTTCTCGCGGTAGTCAAGATACTCCTTGACGGCACGGGCATGTTCCGGTTGGATTTTGTATGCAACCCCCCAGGTCTTGCCGTTTGGTGGTGCCGCGTGTGGGTCCAAGGTGGCGGAAGGGACATTTTGATTGACAATCTTTGAACTATCATCAGTAGTCAAAGATTCCCAGAAACTATGTTCGATCAGGGTGACAACCCGACCAGGAGCCTCAGGAGTGCCACGGTGGTCGTTGGAGGATTGCCAAAACCGCCGGACGTACCCGGTAATATAGCCAGGGACTCTGAGCTGAGTATGTGGTGGGGGTTTGTAGATAAGAGAGCCGTAACCAAAAACCCAGTAGTTTTCAGGGTCTACTTGGTAGTCATCTGGGACCAAGGTTGAGGAGGAGGAAGCTGATGGGGATGGAGGTGTAGATAAGTCTATGGTCATTTTTGAAAAAGATAAAAGTATGGTGAAAGGCAAAGAAAGGGACGGAAAAGAAAGAAAAGAAAAGAAAGGAAGAATCGGGCGGGATTTTATTTTATTTTTATTAAATTATTAAATTTGTATTTATTTTGACAATCAAAAGAACAACAATTATGGAAAATCACAATGCAAGGCTGAAAAAAATTAATTGCGGGAGCTAAATAGCCATTAGGTAGTATAAATTTGTAATTTCAAATATTTGTAATTTTACAAAAAGTTTGCAATCAACTCACCAACCTTTTCAGGAGCCTCGATGGCATGCCAGTGACCAACCCCCTCAAGAACTTCACGCTTAACATTCTTTAAACCTTGCTCAATGATCTCAACACAGCCCTTGTATGGGGCACTGGTATCTTCTGCGCCGGTGATTAACAGGACAGACTGTTGGATGGCGTCGTACTGGGCGGGTTTGGAGTTGACAATGACGTTGCACATGGCCACGTACCCTGGGGCCGATTGCTGAGACACAAGGGCACGGACAAATGCCCTGTGGAGAGGTAGAGCTGCAGAGCCCAGTGCAGGGCCTCCGGAAATAGCATCTGCTAGGGCGAGGACATTTCCGGCCTCTTCGACAGCCTTGATTCTGGCCCCAAAAACGGAACCGAGGCCTGGAGAAGGGTGGACGGGGCCGACACCAATGACCTTTTCGACTAGACCCTTTCCTCTTGGGTCTTCAGCGGCGCGCAGAACAAGCATTCCACCCATAGAATGGCCGACGAGGGTGACATCGTGTGAAATATTGTAGTGACTAAGGACAGCGTAGACGTCGTCGATGATTGATTCTGCGGTGGGCGGGACAGCTGGGTTTGAGAGTGGGGACTGTGCTGATCCTTCGGTGTCCATGAGGACGGCGTTAGCTTTGGGAAGGACATATTTCTCGAGAAGAGCATAGTAGAAGTTTTGAGAAGAGCCCAAGCCGTGGAGGAAGAAGACAGTAGGAGCAGCGGGATCGATGGGTCCTGGGGCCGAGGGGGTTGAAGGGGAAGCAGCGGAAGCTTTTCCGAGGGCCCAAGTGTTTAAGATTTTGTTAGAGGCGAGGGAAGTGAGAGTCATTTTTTTCTTTTTTTCTTTTTTTTTTTTGAGATTGAAGGATGAAAGGATTTGTCGTTTAAAGAAGAAGAAGGAAGAATAGGGAAGAATAGGTTTGGGAAGGAAGGTTTATAAATCAAAATCACAGGTATTAAAGTTGGATATTTGGACTGATGGATGGATGGATGGATGAGATTGTTACCCCAGAAAATGAATAAATAAATAAATAAATAAATTAATACAAAGAAAGAAAGAGGAAAGGAAAGACAGACACCCGAAACCGGGACTTTTTTTTTTAGACATTTGTTGGAGGACTTGCAGTAAAAGACGCCGGCCCGATGGCTGATTTTAATGTTGTTGTTGATGATGTTTTGTTGGACCAAAAGAAAAAGTAAAAAAAAAAAGTTCGCAAAGCCGATGGGAGCAAAAAAAAAAAAAAAAAAAGAAAAAAAAGTGTGGGGTGGGCCAAAAAAAAAAAAAAAAAAGATTTTAAAGGGACTTTTAAAGATTAGCCGAAAATTGATGTCATTCCAACTCTTTTTTTATTTTTTATTTTTATCAGAATGTTTTAACAGGAAACTGATTGATTTATGCGTCAAAGGACATTGGTTTTAAACATGGAGAGAGAGAGAGAGAAAAATAAAATCTGGGGTAGATAAGTAGATGGGTAGTAGTTTCAACTAAAGAAATCTTTTAATCTGGATTTGTTCAAAATATAATTGAATTTTAATTCAGCATTAATTTCTTCAAATTGATTTAAAAATATATATATATATATTTCAGTATTTTTCAATATTTCGGCAGCCTGACAGTCGCCACTAAAGTTTCCTATTTAAAGTCTCCCGTATTTTTTCAGGTACTGTATCTCCAGGTATCATCTACCTACAAGTGTACACTTGCTGACATCACTGTTTAAGGGCCCTAAGCAATATATTATTTTTAAAAAAGAAAGTTCATTAACATACATCACATTACAAATTTTTTTTTTTTTAGTAAACCAAAAGAAAGCACAAGAGAATTTTATTTTTTTTTTAAGCAGAAGCCTTAGCCTGGAGCTCATCCTCCTTAGCCTTCTGTTCAGCCAGACGCTTTTCGATCTGAGCATGAGCCTGGGCCTCAGTGGGCAGAGCAACATTGTACTCAAGATCAAACTCAACACCATACTTGGACTTAATTTCCTCCGAGGCAGGCTTGAAGTGAACAACAAGTTCGGGCTTGACAGCAAAGACGGAATCGTTCTTGACATACTCGCAGTCAGAGTCATAAATCTGGGTAATAAGAGAACGGAACCCAGGCTTGGTCACGCGCCAGTGAATGTGGGAAGGACGGAAGGGATGTCTGTCCATGAGCTGGAGAAGGTCACCGGCAGGTCCGTCGTAAGGAATGGGGTAGTTGGTGGGTCTGAGAGCAACGTAGGCATAATCACCATTCTTGTCAGCAGTGAAAGTGCCACGGAGATTGTAGTCAGGCTGTTCAGGGTCTTGTTGTTCGTAGAGACCGTTAGGAGCAGTGTGCCAGACTTCGAGCTCGGCGCCCTCCAGGGGCTTGCCATTAGTGTCAGTGACTCTTCCGTGAACCCAAGCCTTTTGTCCGCCAAGATCCTTTTGGATGATGGAAGCACCATAGGGGTACTTAGGGGAGTTTGGTCTATAGAAGGGACCAATGATGGCAGTAGAGGTGTGGTCAGATTCCTCAAGGTGGTAGGTAATGGCATCGACCAGAGACTCGAGACCGAAAACGTCAGAGACAAGGATACCTTCGTTTCTGCGGGCATCAGACATTTGGCCAATGCGGTTAATGAAGTCGACGCCGGCCATCCATTCCTCGACAGTGACTTGGTTTTCACGGGTGAAGTCATGGATGTGTTGGATGAGGGAACCTAAGATTCTGCGCATCTTAGGGGTGGTCTTAGGGCCCATAGCGGCGATAACCATGTCAGTGAATTGTTGATCCATTTTTTGCTAGTATGAGTGGGGATATGGGTAGTATAAAAAATAATAAAAAAAGATAAAGAAAAGAAAAGGATTTAGTAGTAGTAGTAATAATAATGATAATAATAACAACAATAGAATAATGAAGAAAGAAGAAAGGAATAAAAAAAAAAATTTCAATATAAAATTAAGGGAAATGGTCAGTTTAAATAGCCCATCGGGAAGTCTAACTTATTTATTTTTATTGTTGTTGTTTTTTATGGGGATTTTGTTTTACAAAAAAAAAAAAAATGTCCAAATGGAAATTGTCAAAACAACCAGATTTCCGGGGTCACTCGTTTTATTTTATTTTATTTTATTTTTTTTTTGGGGGCACTCAGTGTGGAGGCTTTACAAAAAAATTAAAAAATTAAAATTAAAATAGCGTCTGTGTGTTTGTATGTGTGTGTGGGGGGAAGGGGAGAAAAGCCGTTTGTTAGACATATTACATAATATCTGACTGTACATTGTCTTTTTTTTATTTTATTTTATTTTTCAACCCCACATTTTTAAATTTTTTTTAATTTTTTGCGGAGTCCTGACTTTAACTCTATTAGTAATATATATCTTATGATTATGTCATTTGATCTTGTTAAGCGGCTCTCAGCCTTTTTAATTTTTAATTTTTTTTTTTTTTTTTTAATTTTTTTCATTTTTTTTTCACGCATATCGGCAACCTGTAACGGCTTTTTGCTTTACTCGGAATCGGCATATTTTTTATTTATTTTATTTATTTTATTTATTTTTATTTTTCTGAAGAATCTGGGGAAATTTGGACCTGCGAAAACTTTCATTCTCCGAACCTCCCATCGGGTATTTGACCGTACAGTCAAAATGGCTCTTCTTTCATTTCGCAATCCTTTTCAATCTTAAAATTGAAAAAAAAAACTTCCTCTTCTTTGTTTCTTTCTTCTTTCTTATAAACATCTCAAATCTCCCTCTACATCTCTTTACCTTTTTTTTTTTTCTTCCAGAAAAAAAATCTCTCGTTCTTCTCTTATTTTCTTCCCTTTTTTTTTTTTTTTATAAATTTATTATTATAATATAATAAAATCTCTCCTAAAATATTTTTTTCTCAATTAAAATGACTTTCTCTATCCTGGACTCAGTCAAAACTATCTTTGATACCCTTATCAATGACCAATCCCTTCCAATTCCAGACGCGGCTCGTGACCTTGCTCGCACAAATGTAACTTTCGAAGTTCCAGAGCGTGGTGAGGGCGCTGTCGACTCCGATGTTGTACTTCCTTGCCCTCTCAAACAATGCGAGACTGTCGCAGCTCTCAAGGCCGTCGAAGGATCCATCGGTAATGCTATCGCTGTTCTTAGATACAACACCCCTCAAAAGGTCTCAATCGACCTCCAACACGCCGTCCTCTTCCTTTTCATGGCTTACCTAGCTACTGTTGACGGCAAAGGCAAACTCGACCCTGAGGTTAAAAAGTTCCTCAAGGACACGGATCTCCTTCAAGCACAGTCAAACCTTTACCGCCGCATGTCTGCAAACCTTTACAAGACCAAAGACAACAAATACTTCCACATCCATGGTTCCCTCGAGGCTGATACCACCCTTAAAATGATTGGCCTTCCTCCTAGAGACCCATCCCAGACCGACTACCACCAAATCATCAAGACCCTTGGTGATGCTGTTGCCAAATACACTGCTGACGAGCTCGAGGTCATGAATGCTGAGAAAAAGCAGGCAGGTACTACTGCTCTTACTCGTGAAGAATTTGACAAAACCCCACATGGTCAAGTCCTCAACAAGCTACCCTACTGGGAAACCGTCGCTTTGGAAACAACTACCCCTCCTGTCGCCTTCCCTGAAGTCCCCGCAGATATTGGTACCCCTAAGATTCTCTCCGGTTTTAAAGTCGTCGAAATGTGCCGCATCATTGCTGGTCCTACCATCACCCGTATCTTGGCCGAGTACGGCGCTGAGGTCATCAAGGTCACCTCACCCAACCTCTCCGATGTCCCATTTTTCCAGGTCGATGGCAACATGGGTAAACACACCACTGACCTCGATCTCAAGGGATCGCAAGAAGACCGCAAGAAATTCGAGGCTCTTTTGACCGACGCTGACATCCTCGTCGATGGCTACCGTACACATGCTCTCGAACACCTGGGCTACGGCATTGACTATTTCACCAAGAAGGGCATTGAGCGTGGAAAGGGCTACATCTACGTCTCTGAAAACTGCTACGGCTTTGATGGCGAGTGGGCCCACCGTCCTGGTTGGCAACAAATTGCTGACTGCGTCACAGGTATTGCCTGGATCCAAGGTAAGGCTCTTGGCCGTGATGAACCCATCATCCCCCCCTTCCCCATGAGCGACTACGGTACCGGGTGCATGGGTGCCATTGCGTGTCTCGATGCCGTCTACAAGCGTGCCACAAAGGGAGGCAGCTACTGGGCCAAGACCTCTTTGGTCCAGTACGATTTGCTGCTCATGAACCAGGGTCTTTACCCAGAGTCTGTGTGGCAAAAGGTTCGCGATTTGCACGATGCCGACGTCCGTGCCGTGCGCTACTACGACAGTGTCGATCACATTTCCGGGGCAGCGCTTAAGAGCATGTGGCGCATCAGACCAGACATTTTCACGGAAGTCGGCCAGAAGAAGTACATGGATGAAAACATTTCTGAGGGCTTCCACAACAAAAAGGTCAAGACTCTCAAACCTGTGGTTCGTTTCGATAAGAACCCTAATGCTTTCGAAGAAGTCACTCGTCCTAACGGTTACGACGAACCCAAGTGGTGGAAATAAGCTTGAGAGAAAGGTTGTGACAGGCTCATTAAAATGAAATATAATATACATGTACGTAAAAAAAAAAAAAAAGCTCTTTCTATTCTGTTTAAGTCCGTGGATTAAATTTACCCCAACTTATTATTATGTAATCTACCCTGTGGCCACTTTGCCGAAGAGTTTCTTTCCGACATATATATATATATATATATATATATATATATATACGTATATACATATATATATTTTATATATACACACTATTTCTTTCTTTCTACCCTCTCTTCTCAAATACTTCATACCTAAAAATGGCCACTACTCTTTACCCAAAGTCATTCACCGACGACGTCGTTAAGTCTTTCATAACTACTTTCTTTAAGCTCTCCGACACTCCGGCCCCTTCCGCCGGCGTCGCTGATCCTTACGTCGAATCCTTTACCCCCACTGCAACTCTCAAGATGCCAAAGCTGCCCACCGCCCAAGGATCAGAAGCCATCACTGAAACCCGCCAAAAGATGTGGGCCAATGTCGTGTCCCGATGCCATGTTGTCGAACAGGTTTATCCTTATAGCGCGTCTGAAGTCTTTCTCAAGGGTACCGTGCGCTACGGACTCAAGGACGGTTCCTTTGCTTCCGTTGATTGGTCTTCAAACATGGTTTTTGACGAGGATGCCCTGTCCAATGGCAAGGCTCTTCTCAAGTACTACCAAGTCTACCTCTTTTAATAATATAGATACATGGTAGATAATAGTAAATAATAGTTTTTTTTTAATAATAATAGTTATACACAAAAATTCATTACTCATTAAGATACACAAAAAAGGGTTTTTTTTTTCTATGTTTAACCCACCTTTGATTAGTTTTTTTTTCTAAGCATCATAAGGCTTGAGATCATGAGAAATCTTAAACTTAGCATCAGTGATCTCTTGAAGCTTCTCAGGAGTCCAGCCATCGAGAATCTCAATCAAAGTCAGACCCTCAGTGGGAGAAACGTCAAAGACAGCCAGCTCGGTGATAAGCTTAGAAACACACTTGGCACCAGTCAGAGGGAACTTGCACTCTTCAAGAATCTTAGCACGTCCCTTTTTGTCAGTGTGGTCTATGACAACAATGACCTTGGTCGCAGCTGGGTTAGAAACAAGATCCATAGCACCGCCCATGCCCTTGACCATGTTGGGGAGAGCCCAATTGGCCAAATCACCATACTGTGAAACCTGCATGGCTCCGAGAACAGTGACATCAATCTTACCAGCACGAATCATGCCAAAGGACTCCTCGGAGCCAAAAAGTGAGGCACCAGGAGCAAGAGTGACAGTCTCCTTACCAGCATTAATAAAATCTGGGTCCTCCTCACCAGGCTGGGGGTAGGGACCAAGACCAAGAATACCATTCTCAGATTGCAGAGTCACGTGGACGCCCTCGGCAAGGTAATTGGGAATCAATGTGGGGATACCAATACCAAGATTGACAAAGTACCCGTCCTTAAACTCCTTGGCTGCACGCTTCACAATTCTCTCACGGCGAATTTCGCTGTCTTTGCGGGGCTTGTCTTCAGCACTCTTTTCACCCTCAGCAACGGCAAACTTGTAAATCTCAATGTCTTTAGGGGTAGTAGACTGGACAACCTTATCGACATAGATGCCAGGAACGTGAACATCCTCAGCGGGGATCTCACCAGGCTCAACAATGTGCTCCGCTTCAACAATGGTATATTTACCAGCACGGGCCATAGCGCTGTTGAAGTTGCGAGAAGCACCACGGAACCAAACATTGCCAACTTTGTCGGCCTTGTAAGCCTTGACAAGGGCAACGTCACCAACAATAGCCTCTTCCAAGACATATTTGCGGCCATTGAACTCACGAACTTCACGTGGGGAAGACTTCTTGATGACCTCACCGCCACCAGGTGCATATCTGACAGGAAGCTCTCCTTGCTCGATCCAGGTACCGACACCAGCAGAAGTGTAAAAGGCAGGAACACCAGCGCCTCCGGCACGAACACGCTCCGCAATGGTACCCTGAGGGGTAAGCTCGAGGTCGATTTCACCCTTAAGATACTTGGCTTCAAAGTATTTGTTGCCACCAATGTAGGACGAAATCATCTTGACAATCTGGCCAGTCTCGAGAAGTTGAGAAAGACCACGGCCGTCGACACCAGCATTGTTAGAAACAGCAGTGAGGTTGTTGATTTCAGGGTGGTTCTTAAGCTCATTGATGACGGTGTCGGAAACACCGGAGAGACCAAAGCCGCCGGAAAGAATGGTGGAGCCGGGCTTGATACCAGCGACAGCCTCCTTGACAGAGGTGACCTTGGAGTGGTAGTAGAGGGCAGAGGCCGAAGAGAAGAGACGGGCCGAGACCAGATACTTTGCAAAGAATGTTGACTTGGTAGGTGTAATTATTCTAATCATTTGAAATGTATATGTGATGAAATTTATAGGGTTAAAACAAAAAAAAAAATATTAGTAAATATAAAAAAAAAAAAAAGGACTAACACCAGGCGAAACCTGTCAATATTTGTACTTTTTTTTTTTTTGCTAGCACATATTTAAGAGGTGGTGCACACTCATACATTTTAGGCTGGCAGGCCGCAGACTTTTCGTGGTGATTGTTTACCCCAGAATTACGCCGTGCGAATGACCTGAAAATTTCGGAGAAAGCACGGATACGTGGCAAAGGGCCCTCAATCGCTGACTAAGTAATTATATAATACCGGCCGTGTTTGCCCGATGACGGGATCACCGCTACTTGTGTACCAGCCTGAGCAGAGTGCCGCCGCCGCAACATTTGTACGCACACCCGAGACCATGCTGCCGCTCTCCCCTTTTTCTCGGGAACAAGATCTTTTCTGGGGTGTATATGAATGGGCGGGTTTCCCCCAGATTTTTGAAAAATTTACTTCCTTCTATTGTTACTGTAAATTTTCGCTATTTTCGCTATCTTCGTCACATTCTTAATACCCTAATTTCTATAACTATCATCAAAAATGCTCAGGAAAGGTCTCACTAACGTTTTAGAGAAACTCCCTACTGACGTCGTCATTGTCTCTGCTCTCCGCACCCCAGTCACAAAGGCCGTCAAGGGCGGACTTGCCAAAATGGCCCCTGAGGAGCTGCTAGCAACTGTCCTCAAGGGTACCCTCGAAAAAACTAATATCAACCCCGCTGAGGTCCAGGATGTCCTCGTCGGTGCTGTTCTGCAAAAGCTCTCAGGTCAAAAGGCTTGTGCTGCTGCCATCAAACACGTTGGGTTCCCCCACACTACAACCGTCAACACCATCAACCGCCAGTGCTCATCTTCCGCCCAGGCCGCTTCATACCTTGCGAACAACATCCGCGCAAACAACGGTGAATACTTTAACATCGGTATTGCTGCCGGTGTTGAATCAATGTCCTTCGACTATTTCCCCCACCGTGGTATTCCTGAACGTGTTGCTGATTCCATCAAAAACTCCCCCATCGGTGAAGCCCGTGATGTTCTCATGCCCATGGGCATTACCTCGGAAAATGTCGCCAAGGAATTTGGCATCTCGCGCGCTGACCAGGACGCCTTTGGTCTTTTGTCCCAACAAAAGGCCGTCAAGGCCTGGGAGTCCGGCCACTTTGATGCCGAAATCGTTCCAGTCGAGGCTCGTGTCTTTGACAAAGAGACTGGCGAAATCAAGGAAAATGAATGGACCACCATCACCAAGGATGACGGCTTCCGTAAGGGCCTCACTATCGAAAAGCTTGCCAAGCTCAAACCTGCCTTTACTACTGACGGTACCACCACTGCCGGAAATTCCTCTCAAATCTCGGACGGTGCTTCTGCCACCCTCCTTATGACCCGTGCTAAGGCTGATGCGCTCGGCCTTAAGCCCATTGGAAAGATTGTCCACAGCGCCGTTGCTGGTGTTCCTTCCCGTCTCATGGGTATTGCCCCCGCTGTCGCCGTCCCCACCCTTCTTAAACAGGTCGGCCTTGAAACCAAGGACATTGACATCTGGGAACTCAACGAGGCCTTTGCTTCTCAATCTCTTTATGTCATTCGCACCCTCGGCCTTGACGTTGATAAGGTTAACCCATTTGGTGGTGCTATCGCTCTCGGTCATCCTCTCGGTGCTACCGGTGGCCGTCTCATTGCTACTCTCATGAACGGTCTCAATTCTCTTGATAAGGAGCTTGGTATTGTTTCCATGTGTGCTTCCACCGGCCAAGGTTACGCCGGCCTCTTTGCTAGAGAGTAAACTACAAATACCATGACCAAGCAGTACCATACTACAACCGCGCATAGCCTATTTTATATAGATTACCCATACAAAATAATGACCCGTGTAATGATGTTTAAAAAAAACCAAATTTTTTTGTCTCTGTATAATAGTTTGCGGGGTATCTACCCGAGTTCCGACTTAGCTCTGTAAATCTTCTCCTCACCACTTCTCGCTTGCTTGCTTGCTCTATATATTTAAAATTTCTTTTTGGGTCCCGGAGTTGTCACGGAACACACTGGCTGACTTCCTTCCTACCCCACCTTCACTGAACCGATCACCATTGATATTAATGGTGGTTAATACATACCTTTATACCTTTATACCTTTTCGTACATCTTGTACCATCCTTTAAAATCATCATCAAACCAACTACAAGTTACGTATCAATAGCTTTCCCCACTGTAAATCTTAACAACAAAAAAAAAAAAGGAATTTTTTTTCAATCTTGGCAACTTCATGTCCATAGAGAACCAAAAAAAAAAGAGTATCTGTCAGTGTCATCATTTATGCAAGAAACTTTGGGTATAATACCAAATCCTGGTAAATGATAATAGTCTAGTTAACTTCCATCAACAAGATAAAAAGACGACAGTCATCATCATAGATATGGTCACGCGAACAAGCAGTCACATTGAGTAATGTTCAAGTGGAAGAATTCCAAATGTTTGGGCTTTTCAAAAGTGAAGAAAATTGATGCCACAAATGTCATGACCAGAAACTTATTTTCTTCTACGGATATTGTTGATTCATTATCAGAATCCAGAATCTTAAGTACACTCACCGACTTTTTTAATTGTGTATTTAATTAAATAATTTACACCTGGCTTCACATGAACATTTCTTTTTTTGCAAAGTTAAGTACAAGTTTTCCAAAGACTCTTTCCCTTCTTCTTCTCTATGGAAAAATTCCCACTTCAGCAGCCTGGTAGCACATTCTTGTAAGTCTTCAATGTAAAAAATTTCACAAACAGGGTACTGTTGTGTGATTTTTAATCTTCATAAGTAGACCATTACCTGTAATGTAGTACAAAAGTTATTCGTTACAAAATAAACATGGAAATTTAGTCATGTAAGACTGCTGATAATGATTTCATTCAATTTTTCAGACTCGACCTGAAAATTATCTTCTATTCTGTTCATTCGAGAAAACACATGGTGTATTTTGTCATTTATAGAGATCAACATCATTGACGTCAGTTGTGGGACCTCAATATTATACAAATTTCAGCAAACGAAACGTATGTTAATCCGACATGGCATCGGAAAATTTTTTTTTGGTAATAAACAAATTCCCTTTGCAAACAAATTCTTAAAAATATCTTCCAATTCGTTGGAATTCTATTCAAAGATCTTAAGAAATTCGTTGTTTCTCTCAAGAATGCAGTTAACTAACTGATTTAATCTACAGTGTACGTAAACCTGAAGCAATTTTCAAAAGATTTTTTGCCTTTTTTTTAATGGTCCAGATTTATGTAAATCTTTTCAAGATTTTTAAATGTAATGTTTTTTTGCGTAAATCAGAAAGAAAATTAAGATAGAAGAAAGGTAACGTCCGCACAAAATCAGGCTCTACATAGTAGCTTATAAGCCTCGGAAAGCACAACTCATGCCCAATAATAAAAATTTTAGGCTATTTCTGGTTTTGGTGAAATTTTTCTTAGCCTTGCTAAAATACAATGTTCTGAAGACTCAACTAGAGAGAAAGGGGCACTAAACGAAATCGTTTCAAGATTTTGAAAATCTTTAATATCCGCCAAACATATCTGTTTCCAATATTTTTTTTTAGTTTTTTGTTTTCAATTTCCCGAAATTCACTATTAATTTTGGAGTCAAACTTTACATTTAACTACTGAGGTCCAGTCCAAATTATTATCCTTTACCCAGAGAACGCGACAGATAATAATTTGGACTGGACCTATTAATAAAATAATTATAATTATTTGTTTCATCACTATCAATATTCAACCCTAACCTAAGAATTTCAAGTAACAATTATTAATTAATTACATTTTAACAGTATTTGTCATATAATATTATGTAATATAATTGAGCCTCACTTAACTAATTAGTATTTTTTTGAAAAATTTTTTTTAATCACGATAAAAAAAAACATAAACTTGTTTTTACCTTATTCCAGAATAAGAAAAATGTCGAAAAAAACAAAAGACGAATCTCTTTCTGACAAAAGTTTTTCACTAGAAGAAAAAAAAGTTAGAAAGGAAAAAAATAAAGACAAGAAGGAAGCAAAAGAAAAAAAGGATAAAAAGGATAAAAAGGAAAAGAAAGAAAAGAAGGATAAAAAAGATAAGAAACGAAAGCACAAAGAAATAGAGGATGAGGATCATATTAAATCAGACTCTGAGAATCAAGACGATGATGCCAAAAAAGAAAAGGAATTAATTATTGATTTAGAAAAAGATGCACCTTTATCTAAAAAGCAGAAGCGTCTACAGAAAAAGGGCAAAGATGTTAATTCTAAGATATCTAAGAAAATGAGACAAAAACTTGAATCAACAAGTGATTTGATGGATGAAGAAGAAGCAGATAACAAGGAACAAAGTGAAAGTAACACTATTCAAGAATCTAAAGATGGTGAAAAAAAAAAGGGTCGCTCTGATTTTGGAATTTGGATCGGAAATCTTTCTTACGATACCACGACTGACGATTTGAAGAAGTTCTTTATTGATGGATCGTCAGCTCTTAACAACTCAAAGGAAGAAGATCGTGATCAAGAAACAACCACTGAAAAAATTGTTGACCGTGATATTACTCGAATTCGCATGCCAATGTCAAAATTTAAAAAAAATGATAATCAAGGTTTTGCATATATAGACTTTCGAACCGCCGGTCAATTACTAGCTGCAATTGGATTAAGCGAAAATTTACTTAATGGTCGCAAGGTCCTTATTAAAAACGCTGTTTCGTTCGAGGGTCGTCCCAGTGGCGCTACAAAAGGTCCTGCTTCAGCCAACCCAGATCTTCCAAACTTGGCTGTGGGCCCTGGAAGCGATAACCCCCCTACCCGTATTTTATTCGTGGGTAACTTGTCTTTTGATACAACAGAAGAAACACTTGAACAATTTTTTCAGCATTGTGGCCAAATTACTAAAATCCGTTTGGCTACCTTTGAAGACTCTGGAAAATGTAAAGGTTTTGGATTCATTGATTTTATTAACTCAGATGGCCCTACAACTGCCTTAAAAGATAAAAGTTTACGCAGATTAAACGGACGGATGATAAAAATGCAGTATGGAGAAGACAGAAGCAAACGCACAAAACAGGACAAAATGATGACTAGATTAAAAAACCAAGGCGGCTCAGAAATCCAGAACGGAGATAATTCAGCTACTCATATTATGGAAGAAAAAGAACATCATCAAAACACTAAGAGTGAGTGGTCAAGTTCCAAAGCTGTGGAAAAACCCAAGAAAACAAGATTTAATGATGAAAAATCATCTCATAGACGAATCAAGCCTGGTTTGGCTTTGGCTACTGCACAAAGAGGAAAAGTGGGGATCGTTGAATCAAAGGGTAAAAAAATTACTTTTGATTAGAATAACTTAAAATTCATAAAACTCATAAACTATAGGTTCCTAAATATAAATACTTTATTTCCGCATTTTATCAAGAAGATGCTGGTAGTCCACTTCATTTGGCTCCAAATTATCTTTTTTATTTCCTCCAAGTCTTGAAAAAAAGGATTTTTCACCATGACCTTCTTCTTTAACAGGAGAAAGTATCACCTCTCCATCACTAATAACTCCAACATCTTGCTTTTCCAAACCCTCTTTATTTGGTGTGCGCTCATCTTCATTAGTATCCTTATCCTTTTTATTCCCACCAAAAATACTTAATCTTTTAGCAAACTTAGAGCCAGTAAAAACAGGTGTTGAAATTGAATCTTCATCAATTCCTGGTAATCCTTCACCATCATTATCTGTATCTTTATCTTTTTTATCATCTTTTTCTCTTTTTCGTTCTTTCTTTTTCTTCTTCTCTTTAAACTTATCTTTTTCAAGATCTGTATCAAGATCTTTTTCTTTATCGCTTATGTCACTTTCCCGATATTGAGCTGTTAAGTTATTTCCAGTATTAGCAGGTGTTCGTTTACTGAGACTAAAGGTTCGAATCCCCTTTTGAAGCAGTCCACCCTTATGAGAAGAAGGTTGTGGTGATGGTTGTTGAAAAGGAGCTGGAATATTTTGAGAAAGAGAACTGGAGCTAGAACAAGTTTTTAATGAAGTATCTCCCCCGTTGCTACCAATACTAAGTCTATCTTGAGAATCATTTAGAGATGGTGCAGTCAGTAAAAAGTTTCCATCACTTGACATAGATGTATCAGTTGGGTGGTCAACGGAGTTATCAAGTTGCTGTTTGCTATAATCTCGATGACTGCTACTGATATTGAATAGCCCACTAAATCCTCGGGAAAATCTACCAGACTTATTGGCAGAATTGGAGATTGGTGATTGTAAAGAAGATTCGGTTACATTGGAACACTTTTCAGAATCATCATTAGACTTAGTGGAGCCTGGTGAGTTTTCAAGTTCATCTAATTTGTCTTTCCATAAATTAAGATCAGGTATAGCTTTTCCAATAATTTTATTTTCAACAAAATTAGAAGATGCACCAATAGCTCCAAGATTGGAGGAAACTCCTTCAGAATTCAAAGATGAAGCCTCATTATTAGGATTTGGTCTAGGAAAGTTCCAAACACTATTAGTATTTTGACCTTCTGCAAAATTAGAATTTAAAAGGCCACTTGAAACAGAGCCTGCCAAGTCGTTACTTGACAGCGAAGGATGAACAAGGTTAGAACTTATAATAGTGTTTTTATTGCTAATAAGATCTGAGTGAGATGGTGGTGTTTTCCATGGGCTAATAAATGATGAACCAAAAGATTCTCCGAGAGCATGAGGTGGACCTGTATTACTGTTAACACTGCTACTTCTTACTCTATTAGATAACGAGATATTTGAACTTGAAAGGTTCATTGCTGAAGAATGACCCAAAGGACGAAGCATATTGTTGTTACTTTCCTCATTTGAATTATTTCCAACAAAGGAAGTCATATCCGAAAGACTAGAAGCATGAGTAAGAGAGCTCTGTGCGATAGACTTTCGGCCTTGTTTCGGTCTCAATGTACTAAATATTGATGAAAACATGCTAGAGCCTTTCCCATGAGATTTTTCGTCCATATCGAGATGTTCGCCGCCACTATCATGAGAAGTTTCATCTGAAAGCAAAAGTTTATTTTTGTGATAAAGGACATCGTTAAATGAATGTATAGATCCAGATGATGAAACCGTAGAGTGCAAAGAATTCTGTTGGGGAAAAAGATGATTAAAACTAGACTTGTGATGAAGAATATTTGACGACATTGATCCATTTTCTAGCGGAATGTCATTGCTTAAGTCATTGCTTAAAGATCCTAATGATATTCTTGAAGACAATGATTCAGAAGACCCGCTGCGTTGATGATTGATCGAGGAAAGTATGCTGGCTGAAGGCCGTGAGATAAATGAAGTGAAACTAGGATTGGTCTGGTGCAAGGCCATAGACAACCCAGATGACTTGATTCCAGAATCAGCATCTGCAGTTCTTTCTTCTATTAACGATTTAGAGTCTTCATTTGCTACAGCAGATTCCCCATTGTTTGTTTCTGTTTCAACAGATAAATTAGCTTTTTGCCCATCATCTTCATTCATTAAATAAGAGGGTAAGAATGCACTTGGGCTTCTAAGAATATCGCCGGCATTTGATTCGGAAAAACTCCCGTCACTAGAGGGTATCTCCAAACGTAAAGATTGTTTTGTAGAAGAAATACTTGTGGTGCTAATTGGAGGAGAGTTATTAGTAGAAGAATTGGAGTTGATAAAAGTATTTGAGTTATTGCTAGCATTTGAATGATTATTGCTCATTTGTGTGGCAAGAGTACCGGAGTTGTTGGAGGCAGAAAAAGAATAAAAATTTGCCTTAGTATCCATAAGAGCTGATGGCAGTGATGATTGTAAAGTATTTAAAACCACAGGGTGACTGATATTTGGGTTCCCCTGGTTCGAAAATGGATAAGAAATATTATATGGAGCTATGGTATTTACTGGGGGGCTGTTATTAATTAAGGCATCCTGTGCAATTGAAGGGTATAAGAAAGTTCCATTTCCATTTCCATTAGAAGAGTCATTTGAGTCTCTTCTACTTTCATTGCTTTTGGTATTCCGTCTAGACCTGGTTTTTCGTTTAGATTTAGCGCTATTGTTTGAGTTACTAGATCCATTTGAGCCACTGTTTTGGCCTTGCTGATTATCTTGAGATGTGTTGCTGGATAACGAAAAAGAATTTATCGCAGCTTGATAAGCAGCAACAGCCTTTTGGTAAGCATTATTAGCATTTTCGTATTGGTCATGAACTGAAACATAACGGTTTTCCAATAGTTTTTGATCTTCTCTCCATTTATCTTCTAAATCTTTCTCAATTTGATTTTCTAGAGAAATTGCTTCCTTGAGAAATTGATGAATATTAGACTGGCATAATAATCTTCCAATTAAATTATCATCGATTTGACCGGTCACATCATCTACTTTTTTTTTGACATCGTCAATAGCTTCTAATGTTGATGTTTTAGACATCTGGATCTTTTTAACTTCCGTCCCTAATTTTTTTGCCTCTTTATCTAAATAAATAGCTTCATCTGTAGCCTGCAAAATATTTTTTCGAAGTACTAATGTATTTACTTCGTGCTTGTGTTTAAACTGATTAATTATCAACTGGCTATTCTCCTGTTTTTTGTCGGCATCTTCCATCTCAGACTTCCACAAATCAATTTGCTGGTTTTTGCGAACAATAGTATCTCGAAGTTTTTGAAAAGCAATTTGAGCCTTAACCTTTTTATCATCAAGAAAATGATGTGTAGATTCTATAGTTCTATACTGATCACGCATCTCACTCCTAGGTCCGTCTTCAATCGCCAACTGTGACTTGATTTCTGCAAGCTCCTTTTCAAGTCTAGCTTCCGTCTGAAGATATTTTTTATTATCTAAAGCTTTAGAAACTATTGCATCCTTAATTCCAGTTTGAATTGACTGAAGTGTGTCTGAAAGAGTTTGAACGGTATGACTTTTCGTCTCATCTAGCTGGCCAGTTTCAGGATCAAAGGCACGAGGTGAGTAATTTTGTTGTAAATCAAGTACAGTAGAAGTAGATATATTCTCAACATTTACTATCTTGTTTTGTTTAATTTTAGAGGAACCTGTTTGGTGAGTTGATTGCTGGAGACCTTTTTTTTTTATATTTTGAGATGATATGGATCTCTTAGCAACTGAAAAGTTGGTATTAGAGTACAAAAATTTTTTGATTGTATCGTCTAGAAATTGCATTAAAACTTGAAATTTTTTGAACTTGAAACTTTTATACATACCTTCTTTCATAATAACCTCTAAAGGAGTTTTATTTGATTCATTATATTCTTTTGTTAAGTGAGGCGTATGAAAGCGAGTTATTGATGCATGAGATTGGTAATTTAATGGACTGACAGCAATTATGCTCAATGTATAATTTGTATTTGGCTTCAATCCTGTCAAGGATACAGCTGAACTCAGTCGGTCAGTATCACCAGCTATAAATATAGTGTTAGTAAAATTTACAAAAATGGTAACTGTATAACTTACCCTTTCTTCCGTCCAGTTGAAAAATTAGTTTAACAACATTTTTGTCAAGAGGATACCAATGAAATAAGACTGATGTAGATTTAACACAATCCAGTGTGATTACTGGAGGATCTGGGATGTCTATGCCAAGTGTTTGAATTAGATATGGTGAGGGTATGCGAAGAATGCGTGTGGCACGATGAAGGAGCCATAGTAACGCAAAAAAAATGGCTACAAAGTATAATACCATTTACACAAGAATATACATGAATATAAAATATATAATGTTAATAATATTGTAAAACGAGATATGAAAGAGAGCGTTAAAGGTACAAGACAAAAATGAAGGGGGTGGGATAATATAGATTATAAATATAAACTACCTAATGTAATTATAACAGAGGAGCTAAGCTTAAAAAATAGTGAAACAACCAGGTGAGATTTTTGATGTTTATAAACTAATTAGTTACTAAGAAATGTTACAAATATGTGTAATAAAACACTATAGTGTTTTATTATATAGCTATATATTACTTGAACAACATTAACTCTTGGTAAAACAAACTTGATCTCCACGGATTTTTTTCAATTAAATATCAATATTAATTTGATTCAAATCTAGATGATCTAGCCGAAGTAATATCAACAAAAAAAATACTTCAAATTAAAAACAATTTTTTGTTATATATTATTATAGCCATTTTTAAAAGTGGTCTTCAGTTTGTTGAACAACAGCAGTATCGAGAACCTCAACAGTAGCTTTATTTTTACTTTCTGTTTGAACAGTTTCATCAAGTTTCCTAAAATTTCCAGGGTCAATGTAACCAACTATTTCCCACAAGTTTCCAGAAATATCTTCGTCTTCAATTTCAGAAAACATTTTCTTAATAGTTTCCGAGTATTTTTTTGCATCTCTAACATTAGAAGATCCTGAAACCGAAATTCGAATTTTCATACGTGCACGCACAATTGGAATAACTTGCTTATCAACTAGAAGTTTAATTGCTTCTAAGGCCTGACTTTTTGAGGGTTTGTTAGAAACAAAGTTGAACCCAAGTTCTTGTAATGCTTTTTCAATAATAGTTGTTGGATATGGGCGTTTATTATTAGAATTGATACATTTACTGGCCACAATTTGGAGAGTTTCGGCACGTATTTGGCTAGCTTGTGCTTGTCTTTCCTTCCCACCAACTTGTAATTCACCCTTTTTTAAGATTTCTTTGATAACCGTGTCAACATCTGTAATACCAAAAGATTCCTTCAAATCATCCTGTGAAGCAACTTGACCTTTTGAAACATTAAAAAAAACTTGTGGAATTTGAAGCACTTCATCTAAGTCCTTTTCTCTAATGTACTCCTATATTATTAGACTATTAATTATCTTTCAATTTTGAATATACACTTACACGCCCTTTCGCCAGTCTTGAACTTTGTTTTGGTAACAAGCAATTTCAAATCTTTTTTTGCCTAATTAAATGTCAGTAATATATCTTTTTAAATCAATAAATTTATTATTAACCTTTTTTTATACGAACAAGGGATACGTTGGTAAGTTTGATATTTCCTGAAGGCTGGTTAATTGGCATTATGAAAAAAAAAAATAAATTAAATAAATTAAAAAATAATAAAAAAATAAATTTTGGTTTGAGTAGACTTAACAAATTTTTTTATTTGACCATCACGATTCTGAAATCTACAGTGATATTCTATAAATTTACCTACATGGGTAAATTTGTATTCTAAAAATGGCGTCACACATTTATTACAAACGTACAACCGTACAAACGTAAAAACGTAAAAAACAAAAAACCTTTAGTTACATTTAACATTTATTTTATTCAAACCTTAGGTTTAACGTTAAAGGTTTGGTATTTAATTACGAATTTATATCGTATCGAATAAAAAAAATAACAGTGGATATCGTGTAAATAAAATATATTAAACTACATTCTCTTTCTGAAAATTAGCCTTGGCATTAACAAGATGCAAATATTCAAATTTTCTTTTTTGGATATTAAATTATATTTAGAAAGATTTTTTAAATTCTATCTTGATACCAGGATTCATGTAAACCTCTCGGCAATCCTCTTCTGGAACCCCGTTTTCATTAATAAGAACACCAAAATCTATTGTCCCATCTAGCGCAATCATAGGGGCATGCCAGGTCCCTGCTCCATACGTCACGGCTTGATTTCCTTTAGCTACAAAAGCTTCAACAGTATTAAGGTCTGGTGTTCCAAAAGCATTTGTTTTGGACACTATCACCATATAAGCCCATTTATTACCAGAACTCTTTCCAAGAGGAAGAAAAGTTTGCGTTGAGTATGGGTGTTGCTCTAAAACTTTTGCCAGATAAGTGTAGGATCCATCGTTGTTTAAAGTAATAAGATGGTTCGGAGGTGTACATCGAAACAGATTCCAGCGAGTGAAATCCGGGACTCGACTACTCGGACAATTATTTTTGGCATAAAGTGATTCATTTCTAGAAATTTCAATGAATTTTATCGCAGTTCCCTGATTGGCCGATGCTGAGGATGTATCCGAATCAACATTAAGATGATTAGGCGAAATAACATAACCATAATCTTTAAAAGATTCGGGAGTTAATTCCTTCACTTCAATTGCAGGTAGGTTTTTATCAATTTGGTAAGTAGCTAGTGGCATTTTAAATAAAAATCTCTTTTTTAATTAGACTAATGTTGATTGAAAGGAAAAACAGTGATTCTAAGCGCATAATTTAAAAGATTTTAAGCTCAAAGTCTGGTAAGCCTTAAGGACCATAACATTATAACATTAAAAAATTGTTGGCGAATATTATCAAAAGAAAATTACGTAATATATACATAAATATTATAAATTTATGATAAAGAAAAACAATGAATACATCACTCAGTCTTTTTGCATCTTCCCAATTCATAATAAACCATGGTTTGGAAACAAAAAACAATAAAACTAACACGCAGGTCCAGAGGATGCTATCTAATTACGGACGAGATATTATCGAATTTTCCCGATATTCAAAACATTAAAATTGGAATGCTCAATCTTTTCATTCAGCATACGTCAGCAGCGCTTACCTTAAATGAAAACTGGGATCCTGATGTTCGTACAGATATGATTGATGCATTGGGGCGTATTGCACCGGAAGGATCCATGTACAGACACAATGACGAGGGCCCAGATGATATGCCTGCTCATGTTAAAAGCAGCTGTAAGTTTGACATCTAGCAGTAACTATGAAATTCTGACTTTTTAGTGATCGGTGCTAGCCTTAATATCCCTATTACAAATGGACATCTTGCTACAGGCACCTGGCAGGGTATTTGGATGTGTGAGTTTCGCTCTCGTGCTCATGTCAGATCAATTGTTGCTACTATTCAAGGTGAAGAAATGTAAAATGTGAAAAGTGAATCCTGATGTTTCCTCCACCTTCCCCCCTCCCTCATCTTAACAAATGATTTTTGGATTATTTATTTAATACCATGATTATCATGATACCATGACTCTTTACCTTATCTTTATGTAATTTTTTCTTTAATATATACAAAAAATCTGTTATACATAAGCATATTTAATCTTTCATAAAACGAGAAATTAGAAGTGCAGCAGCGACACTAACATTGAGGGAATCCAAAAGATCCTTCTCTGCAATGTCATTTTTTTCGGTATTAGTAACATTGTTACATCCACTGGATATTGATACCACATGTGTACACCTTTGAAGTAATGATTTACGTAAACCTTCACCTTCTGAGCCCACGACTAAAAGAGACGGCGCATCAATGTTAATTATGGGAAGCTCACTAGGTTTTATCCGTTTTGCTGTTGGCACTTTAATACTAGGAGGTACTGCTGCTATAATATTCCAACCTTGCAATTTAGATTCGTCAAAAAAATTGAGGGGTGTTTCACATGAGTATATAGAAAAGGTCTCTAAAGCACCTGCTGATACTTTGGAAACAGCTGGAGACATTTTAGAGCAATTGAGGGTAGAAATAACTGCAAAATCAGCACCCAGAAATTGAGCAGATCGTAAAATTGCACCCAAATTATGTGGATCTGTAACCTCATCAATGTATATACCGACAGCATTTGATTTAATATCCACTCGCGTTAGCTTATGAGGAACAAGCGTGGGCTTTTCAAACTTGTGCTCTACAACTGCGTAGGATGACTCTTCAAATTTTTCTTGATTGATACTGTTATCTCCAAAATCATTAAACACAAGAGATTGTGCGCGGGGTAAAACTAATGGTCGTGCTCTAAGGGCATACCCATTGTGTATACCATTTGATGTAAGCTGATCCATTTTATTCTTGGGTGTTTCATACTCTATAAGCACATTGCGCTGTTTTGCTGCTTGAACAATACGCAAATCAGCAGTTACAGCCGATTTTGATGTATATAATATTGTGAGACCAGTTCTTTTAGTACCTAAAAGCGCCGCTAACACACTTGATTTGCCATATATATATTCATTAAACGAAATAAGTTGAGGTTTACTCGACCGTTTCTTTTCATAGGATTTTTGAGCATTTAACTCTTTCGACAAGCCAGGAATGGTATGTCTATCACTGGCATTGTCTTGTTGTTTAAGCTGGCGCGCATGAACATGTGCATACTTTTTTCGAAAAAATTCATCACGGTTTTTATTATCCCAAACTTTTGTCTGTTTGCCAGATGGAAAATTTCGATCAAACGAAGCACCTTCTCTATATCGAAGTTTTGGCAATGCTGGTTTGACAGATCTTAAAATAACAGCCGGTCTCATTATTAGTCGAATAAAAAAAAGGATACAGATAGCTGTTATTTCAATTTATTAATGCGGAAATATTAAATCCAAACATATTGTACTTGAAAAATATTATCTACAGCAGAAGTAATATTGAGCTCAAAAAATTTTTTTGCATGTAATATTAATGTAACATGTTTGAACAACAAATTAACGTAACAAATTAGTAATCACTTAGTTTTTTTTTCCTGGTAACGTACATTTCAGTTGCACTTGACCAATCATTGCAATTCCTTTTAAGGTATTTTCCCCCAATAATCATATATATCTTCATAACACCACAAATATTTCCCTCCTTCATCGACCTCCCCTTTTTTTACACTATTCTACACACCTATCTACAACAATATTAACATATTCACAATGGCTTCCGTTACTTCCGTTGTTAAGGCCTCTGAGTATATTCTCAAATCTCCCTTTTTGAGCTCGATTTTTGTTCCTCTTTCTAAGACTTTTGTCAATCTTTCTGGTTATCGCCAGATGGGTCTTAGATTTGATGACCTAATTGCCGAGGAGTCTCCTATTGTTCAGACTGCTCTTAAGAGACTTGATGAAAAGGAATCTTATGATAGAATTTACAGAATCCTTACTGCTTCTCAACTTTCTCTTACCGCCCAGATTCTTCCTAAGAACGAGGCTGTTAAGGCTGAAGATGTATGTACAAAATTTTGTTGCAGTGTTCGAATATTAACGTTTTTTTAGGACAAATCTTATCTCATTCCATACATTCTTGAAGCGGAGGCTGCTGCTTTTGAGAGATCTGCTTTGGATAACATTACCGTTGTCAAGAAATAAATTTAATACCCCCGTTATATTGCACTGTTACGTTTTCTCACTATGTTTAATTGTATATCAAAGAAAAAAAATACTCTTTCTATTTTATCAATTATTTAAGTTATTCATTAAGCTGAAAAAGGTAACAGCTTATGCTCTATAGCATCTAAAGCACTAATAAAGCTATCTAGTTGATGCCCAAATTCTTCAACCACGATTTCTTTTGATGCCGAATCCAACATGATATTACAATTAAATGGCCTAAGAACTGGAAACGTAATTTTTCTCTGTTCATGTTCAATTTTTGACACAGCCATTGACAGTTTATATGAATTGATATCTTCCATATTGACCAAACTTGGGTTTCGTAGTCTTGACACCATATTATTCGCTGTAGATAAATCGGTCTTTTGTTCTTTATTCGTTTTGATTCGACTATCCTTATCGTTATCTATGTACCGTATTGTTCCCTGTTCTTCATGTGGAGATTCGCCACTGTTGTACGAAGAATTTCGGTTTGGTAAATTTTTAGGTGTTTCGCGATCCTTACCTATATCATCAAGAGTGGAAACCGTTTTAGAAACCGTTGAAAACATATCTTGAGGAATTGAAACTGAAGCTGGTACAACTACTGAAGAGGTAGATAATGATGCTTTGAGCTGTTGCTGTTGTAGATGCTGAAGGCGTTGATTATATTGCTGCTGCTGTTGATAAAGTTGAATCTTGTTCATTGGTAGATGATCAACTGACTCATTTTGATAAGATTGATTTTGAGAATATACAGGTTTTTGTGGATGATTTTGACTTTTGATTTTTTCATCTAGAATTGTATTAGAGTGTGTATCACTTTTTTCAGAATACAATGAAGAAGACTGTAAGCCGGAAGCACTTGTTGTTGCTGAGTTTCCTGAAGTTCCCCGTAACTGAGCTATTTTGTATGTTGCAGATACCGGCTTCCCAGTCACGGATGTAGATGAAGATGATGTAGAAAGTTTTCGTTGTGTAATATGCTTTAAATGAGGTGAAGATAATGTAGCTTCTCGTAAACTAATTCCGTCATAAGATGCAGGTGTCGATGCACCTGACGAACTTTGTTGATATGAGGCTGCTGGAAACGACGCCATTGTAGGAAGTGATGTTGTTGAAAATGATGTCGCCAAGGTGTTGGTATAATATGGAGCATTAGAACTTGGTTGAATGTATGTCTTGGGTAAATTTTTAATTACTCCTTTTTCACTAGGTTCATCGACAAGATATTCGGTTCCTAGCTTACTAGTAGCTGACTGAGTCTGAGATGATTGAGAAGGTATTCTACTGGCATTAGATGATGAAGTCGTAGATATATTAAGCGGCAAGTTAGTGGCCTTAAGAGATGCCTGTCGAATAGCATGCTTTGGAGACGGTGTTCTTCTCGATATTGATGACACATCTGTTAATGGCGGTGGAGCCTGGTGTGTATATGTTGAATTCAAATTGATTTCAGAAGCACTTGAAGTTAATGAAGCACTTGAAACAGTAGAAACCGGCGGCAAACTGTGAGCTTGATTATATGAATTATATTGACTAGCCACTGTAACCGAATCTGACTGAGATGACAATAGTTCATTTGGTTTGGAAAGTCCATTCGCCGTTAAACTTATCTGGTTTAAACGAGACTGAGAACTGTTATTCGTGGTCACACTAGGGCGACCCGAAATTTTCGCCGGATTATAACTGGAGTTAATGTTATTCCAATTAGTAATATTTACAGCACTTGAACTAGCAGAAACATTTGACGAAGAATTATGATATCCCATAGTTGTAGAAGACACTTCTGAAACTCCAGAATTTATCAAAGATGATTGAGAGGACGCCGTTGCAGTTTTGAAATGTGTTGGTAAATTGGGCGTAGACGATGATGAGGTTGGGGCATTCAAAAATGGCGGATTTTTTGAAAATATTTTGGTATTAGAACTAAGATCATCAATGGAAGGAATTTCAATTTGATTTGTCAAAGGAGAAAATGTACTGATATTAGAAGGTATCGAAATATTTGGAATATTTCTATCGGTATTAACTGCATTTGTATTTCGTGTGCTAAACTGGCCTTCGATACTGTTGTTCCAGTTAGCATCTTTAGATCGATTTTCAAAATAGGATTCAACCGAAGTACCTGCACTATTGTCGTTGATGTTGTTATCTGCATTGATGTTTCTATTTTCATTCAAAAGACTGTGATTGTGACTTCCCGAGTTTTTAAAATCAAATTTTCCAGGTTCCTCTTCAAATATATCAAGAAGAGGGTGCTTATCAACTTTAGAGTTCGGCGACGATAAATGCCCATTAGAGGTCATAATAGTAGTTCCCATACCAGAAGCATTAGAAGACGAAATATAACTGTCTTCTGGTCCTTTAAACGTCGGAGCTTGAGAAAGACAATTTTCATTAGAAGTAAGAAAATTTGATTCAGAAAACCGATGAGTAGTAAAATCTTGTGACGGAGAAAATGGTTGTTGTTGTAGTTGTTGTTGCTGCTGCTGCTGCTGCTGATTTTGTGAATTACTAATCTCATGTTCTGATTCAGAATCTAAGGGACTAAAGTCCCAATCAAATGATGAAAAATCATCGTCTTCCTCATCACTTAATGAAGCGCCAGGTCCATTGGGAATCAAAAAACTATCTCTGATATTTTTATTCTTTTCTCTCCATTGTTGGTATCTTATAATAAGATCTTTTAAAATTGAATAAGAAACAGACTTAGTTGCTTTGATAAATCTTCCTTTTAATAGTTCTTCTGCCGTTGGTCGGGAATCTGGCTGTTCATCTAAACACAAAGCAACAAACTCTTTCAATGAGGCTGAATACTGACTGCCTTCCAAACGAGTAGGTTTGGTAGATGGAATCAGTTTGACAGCACGTTTAATTTCTTGATCAGCAAAAGGTGGAGCCCCAGTAATAATTTCATACAAAGTAATTCCTAGTGACCAAATATCTGCTTTTTGATTATAGCCAGACCCATTGATAACTTCGGGAGCCATCCAAAACGGTGTTCCAATCATAGATGTTCGCTTAACTTGGGCAGCAGTTAACTGTGCAGCAACACCAAAATCACATAGTTGAACACGACCATCACGAAAAACTAGCACATTTGCAGCTTTGATATCCCGATGAATAATACCTTGATTGTGAATAAATTGAAGAGCCACAAGCATTTCCCTCATGATAACAGCAGCATATTTTTCTTCAATTCTGCCAGCTTTCAATAATGTTCTTACACTACCACCTGAACAATAATCCATGATAATCCAAATTTTAGTACCAGAAAGAAACGCACCATGATAAGTTATAATGTTCTGAGTTTCAGATTTTGAAAGATTTGAAAGTAATGTTATTTCTTGTTGGACATCTTTGACCTCTTCATCTCCAATATCTAAATTTAAAATTTTTATTGCAACGACTTGTTTTGTTTCAACATTAATTCTATAAATTGTTAATCAATAGAGAATATAAAATTAACTTAATCATACCCTTTATAAACAACCCCGAAAGAACCACTCCCAATAACTTCCTCCTTTCGATATAAAGCTGCAACAGGTGTTCTTTGAGATGGCATCTTAATTATTTTAAAAATTAAAAATAAATATACAATTATCAAACAAATAGTATAAAAAGGCCATAAATATATGTTTTAAAATAATTAAATACATAATACTAGCTTAAAACGGGTATCATAATTTTTTAGAAGTGAAACGAAGTTTATCGTGTAGCAATTCACGTGATTCATGTCACATGTTAAAATATTGGTGTAGCTTCTTCAGTACATATTCTCACTACTTTTAATAGCACACCGATAAAATTTTTATGTTAAAAATTTAGATTTTTTTAATTTTTAAATTTGAAAGATTTTGGAAAGGAATGATATATCACTATACAATTCTTTAAAAGACCACCATATTAAATTAATATGGAATTGAGTTCTTTTATTCTTGATTATTACATCAAATTTATTTTAAAAATAAACCTAACTTTTCTTAACCAAGTTTAAGTTATTATAAAAAAATTAGCTGTCATTATCTCTTGACCAATCAAACGCTAGCAAATCTTAAGAGTTATTCACTACCACTAAAAATAAGATTATTACACAAATTCCATAAAATAAAAACAAGAAAAAAAATCTGTTTTAATTATTTATATTTATATTTATATTTATATTTATATTTATATTTATATTTATATTTATATTTATATTTATCACTTCTATTTGAAAATGAGCTCTTGGGCACATATTCGATCAGTTGCTTCGGGACAGCCTTTGAAACAGTTAGACTCTGTTTTTCAAAAGTCAAGGCTAACATCAGTGACAAAAGCACCTTGCAAAAAGATTAGTGGAAACAAAAATTCAAAAAGTCCTTCCAAATTAAGTCGAAAATCTCCCTATGAACAAGTCATAACTACTACACCTGCTTCTAATTACCGCCATAATTGGGGATTGAAAAACAATCTGCCGGCTCAAAAAAAATCACCATACATAACTATTAATTCTTTAGATTCAAACGGATTTGTAAATTATGAGCCCGCATCCAGATTTACATTAATTTCACGCCGAATAAAAGAGTTGAAAAAAGCTATTATTCCAATAAACTCACAACCTTCAAAGTACTATCAAAATGATTTTTTTTATTCTCCAAAAGATTCAGTTATTCCCCCATATCGTGATAGTCCTATTGAGGTATCTGAAAACTCGGATTTAGAAAGAAAAAAGGCACATTTTTTAAATTATCTTGCAAATGTCGGATATTCTCATACCAGAATCAGTCAAATAGTTGATCAAAAAAGATTTCAACAAGCTCTATCCGGATATGACATTAGAGATAACTCTATATCTTACAAGTCATATCCTTCAAAACACATCGAGAAAAATAGTGATGCACCGCCTTACCTGTTACGCCCTATTGGAACAGCTGGTTTATCATATTTTTTGCAAGGTGGTTTACATAACAAACCTGTTAGATCAACTAACAATGAGGATTTTAATGATGTCTTTTCACCAGGAAAAATCGAGTGTATTAATAATCACTTACCAGTAAACTCTTCAGAGTACCCACTATTTCCTGGTCGATTTGTTGATAAAAATTCATCTCATGTTTTAGTTGGCGGCCTTGTTGGAAAGTCAAATATAACCGAGATGAAAATGAACAGAAGCAAAGTTAATGGTCCAATTCAAAAAACATGCTACCCTTTAACGATACAAACCTTAAGAATGAATGGAAATGGCTCGATTGATATTCAGCTAGGAATTTATCGAGATAAGAGTGTGACATCGTTAAACAAAGCTCAGAGCTTAACTTCAGACATTAAACTAGTTCTTTCTAATAGTGAAAAACTAAGACGAACCATAAAAATTGGCCAACAAAATGAACATGGAGACTCAGGATTAATTTCAGAGATTTTTTAAGCGGTGAAGAAATTAAATTTCGTGCTTTAGTTCAAAAAACTACATTAACTAGAAAAGTAAATATAGAAAATAAAAATATGATGAGACTTTAGAAAGCCATAATTTTTAGCCATTTGATTAGGATGTTTTAGGCTCCGTTAACGTCTTTGTCAACAGAGATTCCACATGAATCACAATGGTAGACACGATCGCTCAGAGACAGGCTGGCTTTTACTGCCCTGCAATCGGTGCATGTCTTGCTAGTGTATTCTTCATTAATCCTAGTGATTCTGTTTGTCAATTTTCTCTTAAAGGAAAGGCGCTGTTAAACCGAGCAGTGCGAAGTTGACTTCAAATTTCTGTTCATTCCCCTATTTATGCTAATACCAACCAATTGTTGAGTTTCAAATGATGGAAGTACTATGTTTTTGTAGTTGGTGGTAAGATGTTTGATGATTTGGCAGTAATTGTCGGTCTCTATGTTGGTGATTTTTTCGTAGTGCTTAGAACATTTTTTGGTCTTTTTAGCAGATTGTATCGCTGAAGTCTTCTTATTCAAGTTCATGACTTTATCTCTGTTGAGCGATATATGGAATTCGTTGCCTTCTGATGAGTAACCTGTCACTAAATGCTTAATTCCAGGATCAAGATATAATTATCTCTATTATAATATTCTTTCTTTCCCCACTTTTAACCTCCTTCTGGCACTTTATTGAAATGAAGAGATGGAAGTTCATTCTGAGTCTATCGTAGTGCAACTTGACTTAATGCTTTATTTCAATTGATGACATCTCTTTCTACTGTCTCTTTCCTACCTTAAACTCCATTTTTTACGTTTTTTCTCATCACATTTGTTGTATTTAATATCCTAATCTCAATAAACTGATTGAATTGTTTCTTTTTGCTTTGAAAAGCAAGCCTAAACTTCTTTATGTTTTCTCTCTCCAAGTTGGTGAAGACACTCTTGAAGTTTTTGTGTGCTTCCTTCACAGCAGATTCTCTTATTTCTTTTGGTACCTCAAACTCAACCCTTTCAATAGGGTTAACTTTGTGTCAATTGTAGCTATGCCACGGCATGATTTACTGTCTGTCTTTTTGTTGCATTCACCACACTTGCGAGACATTTTGATTACATGGTCATCTCATAAGCTCATCCAGTGCCTCATTTCATTGGAGTTGATGTCGTTGAAAGTTCTGTTATACACACTACAGGAAATACCTATACACTTGTGAAGTATTGATCTTTGTTAGGGTGTCTGAACTATCCTCAACTTTATTGTTTTTAAATTCAACATACACAAACAGTCTCTGTGGACAAACACAATGATTCCGATATGTCTGTGCATGCTGAATTCCAGAATGGTATCAAGACTTTTCCTTTTTTGTAATTGATTCCTGAAGTCATAACTGAAATAGCACTTGAAGAATAATACGTAACTGAGAGAACTCTAATCCTTTGAATATCTTCGGCTTTTTTTTGGGAATTGACTTGATGGTATATGAAATTTGGTCTTGATTGCGATAAGTATCAGTGATGAATCTTAGTAAAATACTTTTAGCTGTATTTAGAATATCTCCATTGACCTTAATTAATCTTGTCAAATTTGATACAACCCAGTCAGTCTAAATGTAAAGAGTTTTTCATCCAAGTCCAATGAGGGTTCCATACCCGAGTTCGAGATAAGTTCTATGATCAAGTCCGATAGGAACTTTTTCTCCTCTAGGTCTGATCGTTTCCTCTTCATGGTATGGTACAAAGTACAAAAAATTATCAAACAATCTTCAAGCGTCAGTTAGTTTAAGTTTGTTAATGAAAAAGAGTATTAGCTTACCTACCAATTGTAACCAGGATAATTGTGAGGAAACTAAGGATAAAAATAAACTGTTTATATGGGAACTATTAATAATAAATATAGTATGTCTATTTTTTTACCAATCTTAGGAGTCGAATTAACATCTCTACCCATATGAAATCATGAAGATATCAAGGGGATCAAGAGACATTTTGACTTTGATGCAATACGGTGTTGACTTACAAAATAATTGTAAAGATGATAAAATTAAATTAAATTAAATTAAATTAAGAAAAGATAAACTGAATAAGAATTGATAAATGAATATAAAAATAAGATTTGAAAGACTTTTTTAGTCAATTGACATTCAGAGTGATGACATATATAAAAGAAATTCCCTTTTTCTTTAACATTTTTTTATAAGTATCTATAGTTGTAGATGATGTTATGTGTATGAAATAGTTAAGTGGAGTTGTAGTTTTTCTTTTGATGATGATGCACCAGATGCAATGACTCTCCAGAGCTACAAAAAAATAATGGGCGTACGACCTATTGCTGAACTAGTTACCATTTTAGGGTCAGTTTAACAGCCCTTTATCCGGTGTTCTAGATGTGAATGAGGCAAACCGTTATTTCTTAAAAAAATATGACATGGAGAAAAAAATCATTTAGAATTTAGAATCAGCATGGTTGTTAATAATAATTGGGCTTAAAATTATGGCATTCTAAAGAGGAATTAATTATTAATAATTATTAATGATGATGTCATAAACTTCAACCAAAATATTTGCTTTTTCACCAAATATTAATATGATAGATGACTCCCCAACAAAAAAGGGATTCGTGAGTCATGAGTCATGAATCATGAGTCATGAATCATGAGTCAATTTTTTTTTATATTTTTATATTTTTTATAAATTGTATAAATAAAAATACCTTTGCAATTTTTAATTTTCTTTTTCTTTCTTTGATTAAAGAAATATGTCTTATTTATCTTTTTTATCGAAAAAACTTCCCACGTTTCAGATTTATGGAGCTAATACAGAAGTAGGAAAAACAATATTTTCAACCGCTATATCTTTAGGAATCCTGCACAACGCTTCTCAAAAATCTAAAGTTAATTATATTAAACCTGTGTCAACAGGAAATCTAGTTGATGCTGACATTAAGTAAGGTTTTTTTTATTTGGTCTAATTGTTTCTAATATATTAATATACTTAAGCCATGTGCAAAAATATGCTCCTAAAGCTGAAACTTGTTGTCTTTTTCAGTATAGTTTACCTGTCAGCCCTCATTTAGCGGTACAAAAAGACAATAAAACTCCTCCTTCAGAAAAAGAAATTTTGCAAAAAATTGTTCTGGAGTTACAAAAAAAAAATCAAAAATTAGATCACCATGACGAGCAATGGGCTCTTATTGAAACTGCAGGAGGTGTATTATCACCGAGCCCTAATGGAGGTCTGCAAGCAGATATGTATAGGCCATTACGTCTTCCAACAATTTTGGTTGGTGATTCAAAGTTAGGAGGAATTTCAACAACAATTTCTGCTTACGAAAGTTTAAAAATACGGGGATATGATGTTAATTTGCTATTATTATTTCAAGAGTCAGTCTACCAAAATGCAAACTACTTAAAAGAATACTTTAGTTATCAACAAAAAAAATCAGCTTGGAAAGACTCTGTGCCTAAAGTAATTTCTATCTTGCCACCCCCAGAAGTTTCCGACCCTAACCTGTACTGTGAAAAAACTGATTTCAAACAAATGACAGAGTACTATGATGACGTATCCCGGTCGCCTGAAATCAGAAGTGCCTACGAATATTTGAAATTTTGTCATGAAAAACGCATTAAGTCGTTGGAAGTTATGGCAGATAATGCCGATAAAAGAATCTGGTACCCATTTTCACAACACAGTAAAATCTCACCCAAAAGTATTATTGCTTTAGACTCCGCATATGGAGATTTTTTTCAAAGTGTAACAAAAGATTCTAGTGCTAAAGAAATCCTACAGCCTCAATTCGATTCGTCAGCTTCCTGGTGGACTCAAGGTCTTGGTCATGGTAACCCTGAACTAGCTTTAACTGCTGGTTATGCTGCTGGAAGATATGGGCATGTTATTTTTGCCGGAACAGTTCATGACCCGGCATTACGACTTGCAAACAAGTTGGTGAGTCTATTGGATAATAAAAGGTTATCCCGAGTTTTCTATAGTGACAACGGTAGCACTGGTATTGAGGTTGCTTTGAAAATGGCATTTAAGGCTACTGGAAGCCGCTATGGACTGAAATCAGAACTCCACAACAATGAAATTGGTGTCATTGGCCTTAAAAGAAGTTACCATGGTGATACTATAGGTTCAATGAATGCATGTGAAGAATCAGTTTATAACAAACAAGTTAATTGGTATAATGGAAAAGGTTATTGGTTTGAATTCCCGCAGATTAAACTTTGCAAAGGGACTTGGTGTTTAGAAATCCCCGATGGGTTACTTGATGATGGGTTGAACTTGCCAAAGTTTAAATGTTTCCAATCATTAAATGAGATTTTCGAATTGGATAGTCGAGATATTCAACCATACAAGCAATATATTTTTTCAGTTTTGAAAAAAGAAATTCAAGAAAAAAAGCGAAATTTTGGAGCTGTTTTGCTTGAACCATTATTATTGGGTGCTGGGGGCATGAATGCTGTGTAAGTAACGGAATTTTTTTATTCGAAAAATCACTAACTTATTTTTAGAGATCCATTATTTCAAAAGGCTTTGGTTGATGTTGTCAGGGAAACTCCTAGTCTTTTTGGTGAGTTTGAAAATTCAAAACTTAATTCCAAAGCTTGGCAGGGACTTCCAGTCATTTTTGATGAAGTGTTCACTGGTTTATACAGGTTGGGGTTTAAGTCCGCTGCAAAGCTTTTGCAAACTGAGCCTGATATTGTTGTAAATGCAAAATTGCTTACTGGTGGTGTCGTTCCTTTATGTACGACAACTTCAAGTGATTCTATTTTCGAATCATTTTTAAGTCCAGAAAAAGTCGATGGCCTTTTACATGGACATAGTTATACAGCACATCCGGTAGGATGTTCAATTGCGCTTCAGTCCTTAAACGAGCTTGAACACTTGTCCCAAGATAATTCCTCTTCTTCCTGGAAAATTTCGATGAAAAAATGGGGTTCATCTGATAATCAAATCTGGAGTTTTTGGGATAAATTTTCTGTAGAAAAAATTTCCCAATTTCATCAAGTTAAATGCGTTTTTGCCATGGGATCAGTGCTTGCTATCACTCTTAAAGATATATCAAGCGGATACGCATCTAATGCAGCTGAAGAGTTTAATGAATTCGTTTCGGGGCTGCAGCTAGATAAAGAATTCGGGTTACATATTCGAGGACTCGGAAATGTTATTTACTTCATGAGTAGTATGAACCCTGATCTTGAATCTTTGCGCAAAATAGAAAATATCATTATTAAATATTTTGAATAAACCTTTCATGAAAATACACCATAAAATGGCAGACTTCTTTACAAAACAGTTTTATAACCTAACCCTATAATATAAATTTAGAATAGCTATTTTATTTTTTGTTTACTTAATTTGAAGAATTTTAATCATCAGAATCATCTTTTGTGATTTTAGGCTCCCGAATCATACACTGTAAGTGAACCGGTTCAGTAGCACGATTGAGAGTAATTTCCTTCTTGACTTCAAAACCGTATTTGTGATAGATTGGTATGTTAACTAAATTCGAGGATTCAAGATAACATGCTTCACCATTTTTATCAGCAATATCTGTCACATACTCAACCAACTTGCGAGAGTAACCCTTACCCCGTGCTTCTGGAACAGTACCCAAATAGATTAAGTACCAACTCTTATCATCACGATCCTGCATAACCTCCGCCTTAGCTTCATGAAGAACTGGTAAAAATTCATTAAAATATCGAGCCTTAGATTCTTTACCCAAAGAAAAATATAATCTCCACATGCCAGATTTCATAATAGTCAAAAAATCATCCATATTTTGATTAGGAGGCATCCAACATGCTATGCCTTCCCAATCACCAACAGTGAGAACCAAACCCTTTAATAGATGAGCATAAATGATATACTCAAAAATATCTATATCTAACTTTCTTCGTTGCTCTGGTGTATTTCCATCACAATCAGTCAAATATCGTGCTACAGAATCTTCTGTAAAAGCACGAGCCAGTGTATCTCTGGCTTGCTTATATTCGTGTAATTCTACTTTCCGAACAGTTGCCATAATATCGATAGAGCAAATTGACTCAAATAAATTTAAGAATCCCTTGGCTAAAATAAGTAGGTGAATTAGTTGATGCCTCTAATTTATTTTTTTTGTTTTGGTCTTGTGGATAGAGTAAATATAGGTCAAGGAATTTCTATATATTTATATAGCTGAGATTTTAAAACGCATTTGTGTTATCGCGGTTAAGTAAGCTCTAGAGGCATGAAATTCAAGATACCCGCCCATTAAAGCACAGGTCAAAAAAACCGATATTTACTAGCCAACCATGCGCCACATACGTCACAAATACTGATCTATCAAAAAAATAATAAAACAAAAATATTAACTGCTTAGGGACGTAATCTATAGGAGGAAGGTGCTTGCGATTGTCTTTTTTCTGAACAATTCTTTCCGCTTTTTAAAAAGGCTCAAAAAGGGTTCAAAATTATTACAATATTTGTTACATATAAATATTACATTACAATATTTTAACAATCGAAAGCTTTACAAACCCATGCTTTAACGCGTAGAACTACCAAAACTATCATAACAAAACTTGTTAAACCAAAAGCAAAAAATTTTTTGAAGTTTCTGACGGCCAATAACCATATCTGTAAACAACTCTTTTGGCTTCGGCCAAAACCTTGGGAGTCCACTGCCTTTGAGCCATTAGTTGAAGAAGTTCCGATTTGGTATCCATCGAGCGCCTATTTTCTTCTATGTAGTTAAATACATCTTGTTCATAAGAATTTGAAAGTTCTTGTAGAATGCTAACGTCCTCCAAAACCTCCCACATAATATTTAATGGCTCTTTATATTTTGAGTCATCTCCTTTCAAAAATTCCGCAGCAATAATTATAATGATAGCCATTTCGGCATTGTCATTATCATCTAATAATGAATAATTAGGTTCTTCGATACCAAGAAGCTGCTTAAGAATTTTTTCAATTTCAGGAGTAAAAATATTACTGAGATCAATTTTATGCTGAGCATTTTTAATCAATTTGCTGGTTTTGGCATCACAAGAATCTAAAGATTTTTCTAAAATCAATCTCTGACCTTGGCGATATAATGTAGCGTTAACATAACGATTTTTAGATATATGTCCAAGTTCTGTTATTTCTTTTTTAGTTAAAAATGATTCCTGTTCATTAATATTAAGGAGTTTTTGAGCTAAAGCTCGCTTTAACGCAATAATTCCATTCAGCGCCTCACTTCTAGTTAACAGAACACTAGAGTTTTTATAGAGAAGTTCTTCATCTCGTTTGCTGACAATAGTAAATATGGTCAATAGTTTTTCACTCATAGGTGAATCAAGAGAGAGAAATTCCGTGAAATGATTATCTTCTAGTTGAATATTATTTTGTATTAAACTTTCCTTAATAGTTTTATTATTAGGAATCCCCAGCTTAACAGTTACTAAATCAAACTTAAAAGTATTCAAACAAAATCCATAACCCATTAAAAGCTCTTCATTTCCTTTAGGCCCATAATTATTAAATATTTCGGTGTCTTTTGCAATAGGGTATCCTATTGAAAGTAAAAACGAACTATCGTTGGTGCCCCAAAAGACAGCGGTTTCAGGTGCATGGTTCAAAGAATCAATAACTGGTAACAGCATACTTAAGCCAAGCTTTTCACAGGCATATTTATTTTCATTATAGATTATTCTTGCAGGAAATGATCGAGACAAAAATATAGCTGAAGCCCAGTTATATGTTGCAAGAGAAAAAAGAGACCAATTAATATCAAATACATATTTTTTTAATTCCTCCCATTCAGATTTCCACTGATGAGTTCTCTGAGAAATATGGTTGTATATATTTGTTCCTGCAAGCCATTCTAACTCCTTTGAAGTCCAAGATACAGGTATGCTAATTTCATCATAGGACGGTAACATATCTAAATATTCTTTCCATTTGCTTTTATTCTTTTGGACTAGAACTTCGAATAGAAAAGAAAGCTTAATAAGGGGTTGACGTATGTGTAAGTTTTCATTCCATATATGGCCAAATAACGATTCAGCAAGTTTAGGTCCTATAATATAAGATTCAGGACATTCAATTAAAGATAGAGGAGAAACAATATTGGCTGTAATTGAGGATGAGGCCATAAGAGACGATCCATTTTGTGCTATGTTTATTAGTACTTAATCAATATTTTATGAATTATCAACATACTAGAAACAAAATGGACATGCTCAGATTTAATCATATTGTTTTTTCGAGCCCATTTTTCTAAGGAATGTAACTGAGAATTTTTTAATTCCATTTCCTATATCGTTGTAGATGTTATTTCTTTTTACTAAGTAACTAAAAAAAACATTTACTTTAATTTTTTTTCTTCTAAACATTTTTCTAATTTATATTACGTAAACACTTTAAACTTTTCAGTTTTGTACTATTAATAACGCTAAATACAAAGGATTGAGACCTTTAATTTTTGTTCTTAAACAAATTCATTGATAAGGAATGAAAAAGAAATGAAAAAGGAAATATTTATCTATATGTGTTAATGTCAATAAATTTATCTTGTATTTAACATGGCTGTAAGTAGAGTCATAAAATTTCATTGACACTATTTTTTCTAATAAATATTTGTGTTTTGAATCAAACTTTAAATTTTTTGTTTACTTTTTTCTTGAATGGGAAGTAAATCAATATAATAACAAAGCCACAACAATAAGAAGATTACATAAAGTATATTATGAAGTTTATTACTTACTTCAGTTAACATCTTCATATACATTTTTGAGAATTTGTTATTTATATTTTTCACCCATTTTCTTCAAAAAATTCAAAAAAAAGTTGTAGATAAACACCGATGTCAGTATCAACACTTGAAACGAGACTGTCAAAAGTTTCAATAGGTGAGGCCAACACGGGCGCGCAATTATTAGCCCAGCAGCCAATTAAGTTAAACCCAGCTAGAAGTAATGTATCATCATCGACTACCACAAATCGATCAATTCATGGTCAACAAACTAGACAAAATCTTAAGATTCACACATCTTCCATTCGTCCCCCATCTCCTAAAAGAACATTTAATAACAAGGCTTCCACGGTCTCTCATTCCACTTCAAGCATTGCTCATAAATCTATAATAAGAGATTCAGGCTTTTCCAAACAAATTAATTTGCAAGATTTAAATTCCTCAGTTAGTCCAGCCCCAACCCAGGTTAGACATTTTACATTGAACGATTTTGAAATTGGGAGAAAGCTCGGCAAAGGAAAATTTGGAAAAGTTTATTGTGTTAAAGATAAAGCTACAGGATATGTTTGTGCACTTAAAGTTATGTCGAAAAAAGAACTCATTGAGTACAAGGTAGAAAAGCAATTCAGGCGTGAGATTGAAATTCAATCTAATCTTCGGCATCCTAATATATCACGACTATATGGCCATTTTGATGATGACCAAAACGTTTATTTGTTAATCGAATATGTGGCCAAAGGAGAGCTTTTCAAAGTTCTTAGAAAAAAGGGAACCTTTAATGATGTCCGAGCTTCAAAATATATTTATCAAATGGCAGATGCTTTACAATATCTTCATAAGAAACATGTCATTCATAGAGATATCAAACCTGAAAACATTCTTTTGGGACTCGATGGAAATATTAAAATTTCTGATTTTGGATGGAGTGTCTATGCTCCTGTTTCAAGAAGAACCACAATGTGTGGAACTTTAGATTACTTACCTCCAGAAATGGTTGAAGCTAAGGAACATGATTACCGTGTCGATGTATGGTCACTAGGAATTTTAACATATGAGTTCCTGGTCGGGAGTCCACCATTTGAAGAACCAGGACACGTTGCCACATACAAGCGCATTTCTAAAGTTGATTTAAAAATCCCAACAACTGTATCCCCTGAAGCAGCTGATATTATCAAAAGATTCTTACAGCATTCTCCAGAAAAACGATTTCAATTAGATAGAGTTGGCGAACATCCATGGATTATTAAAAATAGACCATTTTGGAACTCTGTTGAGCATTTAGGGTAGCATGCAATCAACATTTTTTAAAAAACAATCTAAAAAATTATTTTCAACATAATAATAAATATTTACAAAGATTGAACCGCCAGTTATATAAAAGTATACAATATATATATATATATATATATATATATATATTGTGTCAGATAATACGCACAAAGAAGTCAATAGACTAATACATTAAGCAAGAACCATTCCTTTTTTAACAACTTTTTCCAGCCCTTTAACCCATCCTCTACTTTCCTTCTTCTCAACAAATAGAAAAACTCGACCACGTTTACCCATGCGCCCAGTTCTTCCAGCTCTGTGAATTAAATCAACGGATGAATACGGTAAATCATATAAAATAACATTTCGAATATTGTTCATATCTACTCCTCTCGATAATAAATCAGTCGTCAGTAAAACTTTCACTTTTGAATTATTTTCATTATGTTTTAATAGAGGAGCGGGATTGACAAAGTCTGATATAAGATCTTTTCTTTCTTGGATAGTCATTTGGCTGCTTATAGAAACTGCATCATATCCTTTCTCTTTCAAAAATGTAGCTAAACTTGGAATTTCATCTTTGTGGTTGAGAAAAACAACAACTCTTTTTAAGTATCCAGATTCCGTGTTATCATTATGAATTGCGTATAGAGCTTGTTGTAAAGCACGTGGTTTGGAATTTAAATAAGGTGGATTGAAAACTTCAACCACTCTAAAATCAATATGTCTTGGAATTTTGTGCAAACTGTGAGTCACAATTCTAGTTGTTTCCGGGTATAATTTAGTCATGATTTTGTCAAAACGACGAGGTATTGTTGCTGAGCAAAAAACAAGATCAGTGGCGCTAGATGATGTGGCTTCTAAAACCTTTTGTGTACTTTCCACAAATGATTCGTCCATTAATGTGTCTGCTTCATCAACGACAACCCATTTACAATACTTCAGATGGCCATTGATAGAGTTTTGAGTCTTAAAAGTTGCTAAAAGTTTCTCGGGGTTTGCAACAAGAACATCAATTCTATGTTCCAATTTAGATGAAATAGATCTGGGTGAAATTTCCGGAGTTAGTGCAAAAGATGATAACTTAGCAATATGACATATACGCTTTACAGTCGATATAACTTGGGTAGTAAGTTCTAAAGTAGGAACTAGAACTATACATCTGATAATTGGAAGCTCTTTTAAATGTTCCCAATTAGGATCTGATATTTCTTGCTCTTTAAGTTTACTCAAAAGTGGAGCTAGATAAGCCAAAGTTTTTCCCGATCCTGTTTCGGCTGCAATGAGAAAAGAACGAAATTCATCAGGGTTTTTTCTTTTTGCTTGGATAGCTTTTGTTGCTAAAATTTGGATTTCTGAGGGTTGCTTATAATTTAAATGGCCTAAGATATCATTTTCTATTGCATTTCTTACACCGGTGTCAATCTTTAAAGCTTCAAATGTGTTTATTTTAGATACTGTGGTTTGTCCTTGAATTCTATATTTGGGATCAATCATCTGAAGTCCGGCAAACTTTCCACTGTTTGGTGGGCCGACCATAAACTTGGGATCTCTAGTTGTTGTTTTTGAAGATACTTTGGATGATTTAGATATATTAAGCGAAAGTCTTCGATCATTTTTAATAGCTTTGGTAGATATTGATTTAATAAATAATCTGGTTGAGGTTTCGTTTACTTTAAATGACTTTTTTATAAACATCTTGAAAAAGATTGACAAAAAATTTTTTTGATGTTTTAAGATAATCTTCATTTTAAAATTTTTTTCATTTAAGCATATTTTAAAAAGCGTTGATGAATTTGGAGGGATGTTAGGGTAATTACTAAGCACTTTATATCATGCTTATGAGCGATAATTTGACAAGTTATGTGTCTGTGCTCACTATAAAAACTAAAAATGCTTAAAATATCAAAAGTCTAATAATAAATTTGAACATATTAAGGCATTTTTAGGAAATCGATTGTTGGCAAAACTTTGCAAAAATCAATTAGTTTTGTATATAAAACCATAAATTAAATTGATATTACTTGAGAATCAACAAACAACGAATTTATTATTTATCTTTATTTAGTTTATGGGAGTGGCTTTAAGTATTAATTAGATTGATCAAATGAAAACCGAAAACGTACATCGGAATGCTATTCATAGCTCTCCAAAGACTAGATATCGTATTGTCAAGAGAGAAACAATATGGTGCAGAATTATTTCTGCACCCAGCGATCTATTTCTTTCAATAAATGAAACAATAAATTCAATTGAATGGAATTCTTATATAAATAAAATTGCATTACCTTTTGGCTCGTTGGCAAATATTATTCTTCTTTTTTGTCGACTGACTGTTGAAAATTCTTCTGCGTCCCTAAAAAAAGCAATCGAGAAGTTTTTTTTTAACGGCGACGATTTATTTGCATATAAACATACCCATTTTGAAAAATACAGGTTTGATTCATTATTCATCATTTTGATATGGGTTCTAAGCGTCTTTCTGACAGTAATTTCTATTTACAATTTCATCTACGTTATTTTCACTAAAAAAAAATACACATTTTTCAGTAGGCCTATAAACGAAAAGCCTACTGTGTCTTGCTGTCATTTAGTTCAGGTTCCGTATACAGATCAGTCTGTTGAACCTGAAAGCGAACAGTTCGGTGAAAAGTCAGGCAGTTTTTTTTGTTTTTTTTTGAAAACCATATCTTTTGCCAAAAGAATTGCAAAGATTAAAAAGTCAAAAAAAAGAACCACATCTGTTTGGGAGGTAGAAATATGGAATCCTTCAGAGTTCAACTTGTACTTCCTCTCAGTTTTTTCTCCTTTAAATGTTTTTCTAATCTGGTTTAACTATACTTCAATTCTGATGATTACCATTTTTATACCAATTCTTTCTTTATTTTTGTATTTATTGATTGACATGTTCATATCATTACAAAAAGATGAAAAAGCTATTCATGGCGAGTTTATATCTGAATATGAAAAGCAAGTTGTGAAGCCATTAATTTCTGCTTCAAAACGCGATGCTATGGTTGGATCAGATGGATCAGTTGATTTTTACTTACCACTTAAAAATACCAAATACGATGAAAAGAATCTACTTACTCAAAGAGATGCTTTGGAAAACTCGCTGATAAATAATAACAATAATCATAGAAACGAGCCCATTTATTCAAATTATGAAGCCATCCAAGTTTATGGAACACCAGTATTTCCGTCTTCATTAGGTATTGCAAATGCAATAAGAAGACGTTCTGGCATGCCTGAACATGAATTACATTACAACATAGCTGGGTACTATACTAGTAAGCCGTTAGATTGTTTGGATTCCGAGTCTGAGATCATAGACACAAAGCAAACTCCTTATTATCAGTTTTCTGCAAGACAGTCAAAACTTTTACGAAGAATAAAGCAGAGGCACAGCTGAATCAAGTCTAAGTTTACCAATAAATTGAATTAAATTAAGTTGATCATTGCATGATGAACTAAAACATATCTATTTCTAAGAATAAGTACTAACACTAAGCCAATCAAACAGGCTAGACAAAACAAAGAAAGTAAGACTAAAAATGCCAAAACTTCTACATACTATAGATCATCCCATCCAAACACAAGTTCTTGGGCTTTTTTACCGGTCCAAGAAAACCACCCTGTTTTACCAGCTTGCAATCGTTTTGACGATGACATGTTTGAATTAGCGCTTTTATCATTTTCTTGTGCATATCGAAATAACAACGGGGAATGCAACTGCTTTGCAGGGGAATTAAATATATTTTTCCCATCTTTTATGGCTTTGTGCTTACTACCAGTAATAATAGGGATATTCTCAGTTTTAGCACTACCTTTTTGATTTCCAAATGGTGACTTACTTGATCCATGCCCATTTAACTCATTTTTTTGTGGAGTTTTCAGTTGATCATTAGCAATCTTGTCTTTATCACTAACTGGACTCATCAAAGAAGATATATTAAAATACATTTCCTGAGTGTTAGCATCATTAATTAACATCGCACCTGCCTTTTCAAACTCTTTTAATTTCTGAGTAGTGGCAGGAACACACCCAATAATATACTGCCCTGCAAAGACAACACCATTTTCTTGAATAGCTCGAGCAGCAGACACTGGGTTTTCATATGTGATTTTCAACCAGTTTTTTCCAGTATGAATTTGAGTGGGATAATTCTTCTTTTCTTTAGAAGATTGATGAAGTCTTTTATTGGAATCGACGTTTTCGAGAATATTTCCAAACCTTGAGAAGTAAGAAACCACAGATTGAGTCAAAGAGGCCGGGAACCCAAAAATTATAACTGAAACAATATCTGCAGAAGCCGAGCTATTTGCTGCAGAAGAATTTTGCGAAGACCCGGATGTTACAGATTTAGAGGCAGCTGAACTAGACAATGATGTGGTTGAGTTGCCAAATCCTGATGAAATGTGATTGTCTGGTTGGCTTTTAGTAGTTTTCTCATTCACAAAAGATCCAATTGAATTTCTAGGATCATTATCATAAATACTCTTAGTTGGTGGCGGATCTTCCTGAACAAAAGTTTTTTTTTTCGTATGTGAAGGTTTTGGAACTCCTGAAAAAGATGTCCCAAATGCAGTAGGCGATTGAGATGGTGATAAGGATGATTTTCTGTGATGTAATGAGGTCGAAGACTTTTCATTTTTGTTGAAAGAACTTACATGCTTTTGAGTGGCCGATTGAAATGATTTGTATTTTCTTTCCTGAGCCCAGCTAGGTGTAATAACCGGACGACGATAACCTGATGACAAGGTAGAACCAAGATTTAAAGACAAGGTATTGTTACCATTATAAACAGGCGGCTGAAAATGATTAGATGGCTGTGAAAATGTTGGCACCGAATTGGAAGAATATTGGGATAACGGCAAAGAAGATGGAGCTTGGGAAATTGATACAGCACTTTGCCTGATTCCTTCTTCGGCCAAACTATGAATGACATTTGTATCGTTGCTGTAGGAAAAAGGTGATTGCATATTAAAAAGAGACTGGCTTGAATTATTTTGATTGATACTAACTTGATTTCCTTGTCCAAATAATGAATTCGATTGAGGTTGCCCTAAAAGTCCAGTTCCTCCTGTATTTGATTGTCCAAATAAGGGTTTATTTTGAGAACTTGTTGCAGAAGTAGAAGAATTAAAAAGTCCAGGTTTCTGTTGACCACCAAAAAGCCCAGTTCCAGGGTTAGTAGGTGTAGAAGAAGAAAACAAACTTGAGCTAGTTAGGTTGTTAGAGGCATTACTTGTATTAAACAATGAATTCGAGTTGTTTACTGGATTTAACGCATTTGAGCCAAAAACCGTTGGGGCATTGGAAGTAGCATTTGAACCGAATAAAGGTGCAGTTTTTGAAGTTGAAAAGTTTGAATTAGTACCTGAAAAAATTGGAGCGTTATTGGAACTATTTGAATTATTTCCAGAGCCAAATAAAGGTGTGTTTATTGAGCCATTGTTGGTATTAGAACTAAATAAAGAGGTAGAGTTGGGATTGTTATTTGAGCTACCAAATAAATTAGATGTAGAATTAGAATTTCCAAAAATGGAACCACTAGAATTAGTGGTATTATTTGTTGAAAACATGATAAATTCAATAAATTTAATAGTTCATTCGAAAAAAAATCGCCAGTGTCAAAATTTTCAGAGGGCTGTTGTAATGTTATATAATGCTATGGTTTTATAGAAAATTTATAGAAAATTTAAAATTTTAAATTTTTTTCAATGTAATCTTGACGACAAAAAAAGTTACCCTACCATTTTTTATCCACCTTTACAATCAAAGATTATAATATTTGCCACAAACTTATAAAGATTGATTTTAAACAATACCATTTTCACTATAATCATTGAATTATCTTCAACATTCTTTAATTTATCATGACACAAAAAATAGAAGAACAATTGCAATTTGCCCGAGAGTTTGCAAAAAATCAGCAACTTGCAGAATCTGAATCTACTTATCGTAGCATTTTGCAAACGCCTGCTCAGCATAATTCTATTATTATTGCCACCCAAGAAACAGCACTTTATGAACTAGGAAAACTTTATCAAGAGCATAAGTAAGTATATTAAAATATTTTAGACAAATAAAGTAATTATATTAACATTTACTTATAGGAAAGTTGACCAGCTTGCTGATTTGATTCGAACTTCTCGTGCTGTTCTTGGTTCATTTGCAAAGTCTAAAACTGCAAAAATTAGTGAGTATATTAAAACATTTTTACTTTAAATTCTAACTTGTTTAGTTCGGAACTTGATCGATCTTTTTGCCAACGTCCCCAATTCTACTGATATCCAAATTACAATCATTAAAGATTGCATAGAATGGGCTGTTTCTGAAAAACGTAATTTTCTTCGACAAGGCCTTCAGACCCGTCTTATATCTTTATATTATGAAAAGTGCGCTTATAACGACGCGATACAACTTATTAATACACTTTTAAAGGAACTTAAGCGTTTGGATGATAAAAATGTTCTTATTGAAGTTCAGCTTTTAGAAACAAAAGTTTATCATGCTCTTAGAAACATCCCTAAAGCTAAAGCGAGCCTTACTAGTGCTCGGACAAGTGCGAATGCAATTTACACCCCCCCTTTAATGCAAGCAAGTCTTGATTTAATGAGCGGAATCTTGCAATCAGAGGATAAGGATTACAAAACAGGTTATTCGTACTTCTACGAGTCATTTGAAGGATTTGCTGGTCAAGAGGATGCAAGAGCCTTGACAGTTTTAAAGTATTTGCTACTCTCAAAAATTATGCTTAATCTTTCGGATGATATTGATTCTTTATTGACTAACAAAACTGTTCAAAAGTATGCAGGACGTGATATTGACGCAATGAAAGCAATTGCATCTGCTTACTCGAACCGATCATTAAAGGAGTTTGAAACTGCTTTAGAAACATATGGAAAAGAACTGTCTTCTGACCCATTTATAAGATCCCATTTTTCAGATCTTTATGATACTTTGTTGGAGCAGAATCTTGTTAAGGTCATTGAACCCTTTTCTTGCGTAGAGATTTCTCACATTGCTGAAATTATTGGTTTAGATACAAGACAAGTTGAAGGGAAATTGAGTCAAATGATTTTAGATAAGGTATTTCATGGTGTTTTGGATCAAGGGAATGGTTGGCTTTTTGTTTACGACGAACCAAAGATTGACGCTACATATGGCGCAGCTCTGGAAACAATTAAACATATGTCTAATGTAGTGGACTTGCTTTACCAGAAGGCTTCTGCACTCAATTAAGATTTGGTACCAAATAAAGTAATTTCATTAAATAGTTTTTAGTTCTATGTCATTTAAAATCGATTAAAAATTATTCGAATATTCCGCGTTCACCATGGACAACACCGTCTGCGCAAGCATCAGCAATAGTTTCAAGAAATAAAGATAGCCGTCCGCTCTGAACAAACAAATCATATAATTTTAAGTCTTCCGATGCAACAAAAGTTGCGAGAGAAGCAGCCTCCTTTAGAAATGAAGGATCCGCTAATTGTGCTTCAATAAAAGTTCTAAGAAGCTCAATTAAGAGGAAAGGAATATAACGGGTTCTTAGTCTGAATATCAGTTGTTTCGTAGTATTATCAACCTTTTCAGATTCTGTTATTTCAAATAACCAAGTGGCACATAAATTCTGAATAGAATCCGAAACTTTAGTGCAAAGAGTAATAGCATCTCTTTTCCAAAGTTCAGAGGGGATGTGCGGCTGGGATTGATTTTTAGTGTTTAGCGTTGAAGCATAGTTAAGATTCCAGATTTCGATTAACTCCAAACAGTTAAGCAATCGTTGGTATTCTCTTAGTTCAACTTCTAAACCTTCTGTTATGACAGATAATTCAAAATCTTCTTCAATAGAAATTCTTAACCGGTGCGTTTTATAAGATTTAAGAATCTTTTCAATGGGAATAAGCCTTGAAAATTCACGGACTGTTTGTATTTTCCCCTTATTCAATAGCATACGATATAATAACACACTCGTATGAATGCAATCGGACCACATTCCGTTATCCATATACCATTCAACTGCTTTGCATATACGTTTATCAGATTCTGAAACTTCACTTGAAAATTCAAAAGTGGAAGTATGTATATCTTTATCATCATAAAGATCAAAAATATCAGAGACCGCACGCCGTATTGTATTTTCAATATCCAAGCCATACTTTTTTGCAAGAGCAATATGCATACGTCTCTCATTCGGATCTTCAATATCAGCTAAAACAATCGAATAAGCTGTTAAAGCCGTTTCATTAGAAAGATAAGAAACATAAAGAGGTATCAGATTAGAATGATTCGATGTTCTCAAAATCTCAATGTAAGTTTGAATTATAATATCTCGATTTTGCTCTTCCCCAATTGTTTGACCTATTTGCTGAAGAAAAAGCATAACATGAATAGCAAAACGTATAGAGTTCTCAAGATCTTGTCCTTCTTCTTCCATTTCATTATCATCGCCTTGGAGCAAGTATTCAATTTTTTTTGCCGTATAATCAACTATGAAATCAAGTTCGTTGTTTATAATGGCGGAAATAAAGCGACGACATGAATGTTGACTTTCCTTCTTAATTTGAGAATTGGGTGAATTCGAAAGCAAATTAAGAATTTCGGCAGATGATGTGAAATCACTTTGAGGAACTTTTATTAAAGCAACATCCTTCTCAATTCGATTTTTTTCAAAAAGAGATTGCTCAGCTTCAGATGTTACAAGAGATGATAAGTATAAAAGAAGTTGCGTTTCCCATGTGTGACTAAGACTCAACACTGAAGGTATGTCAGAACTTAAAATTCCATATATACCGCGTTCATATGAACTCAAGGTATTATCCTGAGTTAATTGCCAGCACATTCTTCTCCATAAAGCTTTATTCAAAATCCCATTTGCGGAACCACCCTGTAGATTAGAACCTTCTATAAATGAATCAAAGTATTCATATATACCAGCAATAGCAAGAGATAAAGATATATTACCAGTCAAATCACAAAAATTACAAGCTTCTTTGTATTTTCCAGCCTGCATAAGTTCAAATATATACCGAAATACTTGTTCGTCATACATTTTATCTTTATTTTCAATGTTTTTCTTTTGACGAGAAGGAGCATCAATATCAAAGTCGGTAATAATACTGTTTGGAAACCCTAATCGTTGGGTTTGAGTAAGGGTATTTTTTGTATAAAGCCATTTAGTCCCAATAATGTCAGAAGGCTCGGAAGAGTAAACTAAGAAGTGCTGTAACCAAAGTATAACAATCCAGTTTTCTCGATATCTGGGACTTTCACGAATTCTATGCTCTTGGATTGCAGCATCCGATGAATACTGACGAACAGTGAAGTTAGGAGGGAGTTCTGAATTTCGAAATCTAAACATGAAGTTAGGAAAACTAATTAAATTTTGTTAAGAAAAAAAAGTGCTTACATTAATAATCGATCCAACAAATTCCATACTTTGCACTCAAGATTATACCATGAAAAAACAGAGTCATCAATATCTCTTTCTTTAGATATTAAAAATGCTCTAGATGAATGTTAATTTTTTTCTCAAGCTTATTTTTCTTGACATGACATACTTTTTAGAAATGGCATTGGAGAATTCCTTTAAAACATCAAATGGATCATTATATTGTCCAAATTTCAATTTCTCAAGAAAATCGGAAAAAAGAAAAAACTCATCTATATTTGTATTGTCGTTCAGAAAAGTCATGATATCATGAGTTGATTTGATTTAGGAAGAGCTTGTTTTACAGATATTAAGTATTGTTGTTGAATAAAGTGGTGAAAAAAAAAACATCGAAATAAGCCTTACAGGGTTGTTACATTTATATGTAATAGAGATATTTTGTAATAAGCAATTATTATATAATATCTTACACTACATTCTATAAAAATAGTACTTCAGAAACTTTAATGATAAAGATCATTCAATATTCAAACTTAGGTGGAGAGGGTATTAAGTGTATGCTCTTGTAAACAAATTGCAGATTCATTTATCTGAATAGTTAAGCAGATTATTAAATTTAGGTAATTTTTGAACTTTGGTCAAATACATAGTTCTATTCATTTTTTTCACTCAAGCTCTAAATCTCCAACAATAGCATCATCATCATCGTAATCACCATTTTCATTTTCAGAAACTTGGGCTAGGTCGTATTCTTCTTCATCATAAGATTCAGGGTAAGTGGCTAAAGAAGAGCTGTCTCTCCTTCGGCGTTCATGTTCTCTTCTTAATGAAGAAGAAAGCTCATGAGTTCTTGTAGCTGTTAAATAAAGATAAACTACTCTTTTCCGACGTTTATTAAAAAAAAACCACATATAACACCACAAGGTCCCAGGTCCCAAATCGTTTAAAAAAGAGTCAGATGGGGTATGAGAGTATACAGCACATTCTTTCAAGCCAATATGATCATCTAAAGACTCCCACAAAGTTGGTGGAAGAGGCATACCAACACTAAAAATTAGATTATTAAAAGTGTTTAATACACTAGTAACTGATGGTTCACGGCGAAAATCAGAAGGTTGAAGAGAAGAGAAGTCATGATCAGGATGTGTTGAATTTAATACCGATATTAAATATCCGAAAGCCTTTCTAGATGCAGCTTGATCGAGGGGACCAAATGGAGATGAATTTAACGAAAAAGCAAGAGCTGGAGGCAAAGAAGACCCTTGTACTTGAGAGTGATTTTTTCCATTGGTTTCTTCGTTTGGATAATTAATAGCTAGAGTAGAACGATCAGAATGAGAAGATGGTGGTGAGATTAAAGCGAGATTGGAACTGTTTGGAGGTGAGAAGGATTTTGAAAGTGAACCATCAGAAATGATGTTTGAATATTGTAAAAGAGCATCTTGTTGAAGTGAATTTAGGTGCTTATCTATGGTCCGATATAACTTTCGGTCATAAGATTGAGGCTTTGTGGAAAAAAGTTCAACTCCTCCTTGAACACGAAGTTCTGCTGTTTCAAATTTCAAAATGGAGTTTAATTTATCTAAATCGGTAAGCTCTAAAAACTGGAGTCCCAAATACCTAAGTCAATATTAAGGATGGCGGGGGAAGTTATCATAGTCATACCTTCATAGTAGGCAACTGTGTATTTCAAAATGGTTGTCTGGGACACAACTATTGGAGGTTTGGTTGGTGATCAGGTAAAGTTTGGAAAAGAAAAAAAAAAGTTAAAAGGGCTGGTACAACCCATTGTTGCATCGTCACAAGATCTACTAACTTTAAACCAATCAGTGTTTTTAACAAGCCCACAAATAATCAAAACTTCAACTATAGGTATATTATATTCAACATTTAAGTTAAGAAAAATAATACACTATCATAATTTTGAATTCATTAAAACATCATTAAAACATTAAAACACCATTAAAACATCATTAAAACATCAATTCTACTTATAATTTTTTTAGACCGTATATTTATATGGTCTTATAACATTCTACAAAAAATACTCTGCAGCAAGACGTCGCATAGGCATGATTTTAGAACCTTCTAGCTCGCTTACTTGAGTGTGGAAAACTTTATAATTTCGCTCCAGATTGTCATCAATCTGCAATATTGCAGCAACATTACCACATCGATAACAGTAGTTCGGTGCAGACCAAACAGTTACTAAAGATTCGTTAAACATTTCTTTATATCCTTCTAATATTAATTGATGTGCTCGTGCAATCAGCGAAGTATTATTAAAATGATTAAACATATGAACAGGATGTGGACCAAACAGATATCCTGCTCCTCTTGGGGAAGTACTCCACTGAGAAGTTTTAAATGTATTTGGATAGTTTGGGCTATCATCAGGACTTATGCCATTAGTGCGATAAAAAGGTGCTTCATCATATATTTGTTCCTCTCTTTTTTCATCTGAGTTGGTAATTTTATCATCATGGTCATTAGTCTTTATTTTCATAAATTGTTTGTCATTTAAGTCGTTTCCGGTGGATTTTTGTTGAGGTTCATTATTAATAAAATATGAAGCATTTATTTTCCGATTTACTTCATCTTCATTATCTTTATTGTTATTAAAATTTTGATTTAGTCGTGAATGTGCTGATTTTGAGTCTGCTAAATACATATCAAGATCTTCGTCTTGAACTAATTCATTAGATGGATCATCATCGTCATCGAAAACATCTGAAGGAATTTCTGTTGGTCCGTCAAGGTTATCGTCAGGATCAGACCAAAGAAGGTCACACATAGGACCATCGTGAGGAACTTCTTGCTTTCGATCGATAAACCGAATTTGGTTAATGTATTTTACTGCCGGAGAAAGACCCCCATGAACACAAAATACACCATGTGGCCCACCAACAAGAGCGGAAAGAGCTAAGTAATCAAAAACGTTACAACACAACCTCCAAACATAAGAAGATCCATATTTTCGCATGCATTCATCATAAAAACCATATGTAGTTGTAATTTGGCGAGATTCATGATTTCCGCGTATTAGCGTTATTCGATCAGGATATCTGACTTTGAGGCAGAGTAATAATAGAAAAGATTCAACCGAGTAAAAGCCACGATCAACAAAGTCCCCTAAAAACAAATAATTTGTAAATGGACATTCTCCACCAACACTGAAAAGTTCTAATAAATCATGAAATTGACCATGAATATCGCCGCAAATTGTAACAGGGGTATATACTAGTTGTACATTTGATTCTTCTATTAAAAGTTCTTGGGCTTTGTAACAAAGCTGTTTTACCATTTCTTCAGGTACATGGCGAAAAGTTCTTAATAGTTCGATAGTCTCGTCGACTAGAGACATATTTGGATTTATGAAAATATAGGTAAGGGTAAATACTGAATTTAACAACAGTAGTTATTACGCGTTTGTTTTCTCAACCCATGAAGAAATTCCAAAAAAATAAAATAAAAGTAATATAGAAACATGTAACTGATAAGTTACATAATATTATTTTGTAATAAAAGAAAAATAAACCTTCATTTTATGATAGGATGAGATAATGCTTATGTAATCAACACATTAAATTTTACATCATTGCTATTTTTACTACTATACTACTATTGCTACAGTTGTTACTGTTGCAAAAGAATTTCTAATTATGATATCATTCATTACGATCGAGCTGAATTGATTTTTTTTTGTTTCATCCGTTAATCAAATTTATTTCTGAAAAAAAAATTATAACTAATTTCTCAATTAAAATAAACCCCCATGATTCTTTGCAAAACGGTTATAAATTCTAAGCTTAACCTTGATGAAGCCTTGCGTCCAAATCCAATAGATACCGTCATCACAATACAGCCGCCTCGAAAACACATTTTTCTGTGGAGAAAAAAACATACGGCTTTAAAATGTAACCATAAAAAATTTTGACCCTTTCCGGATTTGGAAAGCAAAAGCAGTAATACATTAAGTACCGACATGCATTTAAAAATGAATTTCTCTTAGTTAGGATTTCCAATGTTGTTATTCTTACTTTTTTAGCAAGCAATAAAATAGAATCTTTTTTTGAAAAAATATTTAAATGTCAAGAAAGGAAATCATTTTTTTTTTAAAAAAAGAAAATAGAAAAAAAAGAAGAAAAAAAAAAAAGAAAATGGAATAGCAAGGAGGCGGTGGTCATTTTTCTTAGTTTAGAATGTGTTACGCGTAATACATTGCTGGTTTCGTGCAGCTGCCGCCTTGTATTTTGTTTTTCCAAATTTGTATTTAATGGTTCACAATTCTTTTAATTCTTACATTTTTAATTTTTTTTTTTCTCTCCCCCCTTCTTCTTTCCCTTTTTTATTTACTTACTCTGTTTGATCCACTTTCTAGTAACATTTTGATTTTGAATTTATTATGGCGGATGATAGCTCAGAGTCAACACCAACAAACTCCATCTCTACCTTTGGTGTTTCTGTGGTCATTAACGGTGTTATTCTTCTTGTATCTATAATTGGATTTCTTATTCTTCGTCCTCTTCAAAGTCGAATTTACCAGCCACGCTCAACAATTGACACCGTTCCAGCTAATGAACGACCACGCCCTCTTAAAAGCGGTGTTTTTGCATGGCTTCAGGATCTTTTAACACGTAAAGAGTCTGACATTCTTCAAGATGCTGGCCTTGATGGCTATTTTTTTCTTCGATATCTTCGATTCAATGTTCTTATATCTTTTGTTGGAGTTATCGTTTTATTTCCGATTCTGTTATCAGTTAACGGCACTGGTGGTAATGGCCAACATGGATTTGATTTACTTTCTTTTACCAATGTGAAGAATCCTAAACGGTTTTATGCACATGTTTTTTTGGGTTGGATGTTTAATGGTTTTATTATCTTTTCCCTTTACAGAGAATTTGTTTATTATATTGGTGTTAGACAAGCTGTCTTAACTTCTCCAGCTTATAGTAACTTGATTTCATCTCGAACAGTACTCATTCAAACGCTCCCTAATGAATACCTCGATGAGGCAAAGCTTAAACATCTTTTTGATGGTGTTAAGTTTATTTCAATTAGTAGAGTCCAAAAAACTCTTGTCGAAAAAGTAAATGAAAGAAACGCTTTAGCCATGAAGGTAGAAGCTGCTGAAACAAAATTATTAAAAACCGCTATTAAAAACAGACTCAAGGCTGAAAAGAAGGCTTTAAAAAATTCCACTGCACCCGCACCTATGTCAGGTTCTGATATCAATGATTATGTTCCGGAAAAAAAACGACCAACCCATAAACTTAAATTTTTGATTGGCAAAAAAGTCGACACAATAGAATACGGCAAAGAGCATATACCTGAGCTCAATGGAGAAATTAAATATCTTCAAGAAAGACATAATGATGCAAACCCCTTGAATTCGGTTTTCATTACTTTTCATACTCAAGAACAAGCTGAAGTTGCAGTTCAGGTTTTGGCACATCACCGTGCCCTTCACATGTCTCCCCGATATATTGGAATTACTCCTAATGATGTCATTTGGATGAATCTTAGAATGTTTTGGTGGGAGCGTTTGGTTCGTCATTGGGGAGCTATGGCATTCATTATTGCTTTAATTATTTTCTGGTCTATTCCCGTCGCCTTTGTTGGTTTGGTTTCTAATGTTAAGTATTTGATGCAAAAGATTTCTTGGCTTGAATGGCTCGGCAATATACCTAGCTGGATTTTTGGTGCTATATCTGGCTTCCTTCCTTCTGTCTTACTGGCTGTTCTTATGGCTCTTCTTCCCATCATTCTTCGTCTCATGGCTAAAATTTCTGGTGTGCCATCAGGATCTTTAGTAGAACGTTACGTTCAAGGTGCTTATTTTGGGTTTCAAGTTGTTCAGGTATTTTTGGTTACTACTTTGGCGTCTGGTGCAACCTCCGTAGTAACACAAATTGTCGAAGACCCAACCAGTGCAATGAGTCTTTTAGCCAGTAATTTGCCCAAATCCTCTAATTTTTACATTGCATACTTTTTACTTCAAGGTTTTTCAATTGCAGGTACTTCTTTGTTACAAATTGTTGCGTTACTTCTCTTTCATGTTCTTGGAACATTATTAGATTCCACTCCTAGAAAGAAGTGGAGTAGATGGAATATCCTAGGAACTACTGGATGGGGAACCGTTTTTCCTGTTTACACCAATCTTGCGGTTATTGCAATTACCTATGCTATTATCAGTCCAATTTTATTAGGGTTTTCTGGTGTTGCCTTTTTACTTCTTTATCTTGCTTATCTCCATAACCTTATTTTTACGGTCCAACCATCCGACGGAAGAGGAATCTATTATCCCAGGGCACTTTCTCAAACATTTACCGGACTTTACTTGGGAGAGGTATGCCTTTTAGGGCTGTTTGTTGTTGCAAAATCCTGGGGTCCCCTTGTTTTGGAAGCCATTTTGATTGGTGTGACAGCATTTGCACATATAACATTTAACCAAGCATTTGAACCTCTACTTTTTAGTCTTCCAAGAAATTTATTAAAAGATCTTTCGACAAAGAATTTAATTACTAGTGAAACCCAACCTTTAATTGGGAAAGATGGTGCAGTTGAACTCCAAGAAATACATACCGACAGCCCAGAAAAACACACTCACAACGCTAGTTTAGATGATACTGTACCTCTTTCAACAGAAACACACCTTGAAGAGGGTATTCCTGAATCTACAGCATTGGAAAAACTTGGGCCAATTGGTCAATATTTAAAGCCCCACGTGTATTTAACACCTTTTCTTCTTCAGAAAAACTTTTTAGGTCCTAGATTCAAAGAAAGTCCATCTTTGCTTTCTAACGAAGAGGAGTCGCTTGCCTATGCGCACCCAGCGGCTTCGGCAACTAATCCAATTGTATGGATTCCAAAAGATCCCTACGGGCTTTCAGAGATTGAGGTTTCCAATTTAAAACAAAATGACATCGATGCTACCACTGAAGGAACTTGGTTTGAGATTGATGAAAATAAAAAGAAGATTAAGCAATTTAAATGGGGGCCAATTGAGCAAATTCCTATCTGGGAAAAACCAAAGCAGTATTAAATTTTTCTTCTTAGCTTTGACTTTTCCAGTAACTATTTTTTTAATATCTTTAATTTCTTTAATTCCCATTAATTCTTGCTTTGTTTTGTTTGCTGTTAGTTTTGTTAATAATTAATATATGTGAAAATAATTAAAATTAATTTCTTAAGCTTAATTCCTCGCTTCGCTGACATTAAGAAACACTATTTGATAGTCTTAGTTACGACGGCAATATCATAAATATATTATTTCTCACAATTAGTCATTATTGAATCAGAAATCATTTCCATCTGCTTTTAAAATTGTCAGTAAGTTGCTTTAAATAAATACTGTATATTATGTAGGTACAATATGTTTCATAGTTAATTTAAGTAAACATATAATTTAATTGGCATTAATTGTGTTTTAGGTATTTAACTTTTTCAGAGGTTATTAGTTTAAGTGATTATTAAATAACCCAAAAACAAAATATACCATTTATTTTTATTTATTTTATTTTTTTTTTTTTTGCTAAACACCACGTCTTTTTCCTACTAAAGGAATCTACTAAAAAATGTCTGTATACTCAACCAGAAAAGTGGGTACTCCGAATACCCTTGACTATAAAGTTTATATTGAAAAAGATAAAAAACCTATTTCAGCTTTTCATGACGTTCCACTTTATGCCAATGCTGAAAAAACGATCTTTAATATGATTGTTGAGGTACCTCGTTGGACCAATGCCATATTTGAAATTTCTAAAGAGGAAGAATTAAATCCCATCCTTCAAGACACTAAAAAAGGGAAGTTAAGATTTGTCAGAAACTGTTTCCCCCATCACGGTTACATCCATAACTATGGAGCTTTTCCACAGACATGGGAGGATCCTAACTCTGCCCTTCAAGAGATAAAAGCTAAAGGTGATAATGATCCTTTAGATGTTTGTGAGATTGGCGAAACAGTTGGTTATACCGGACAGGTTAAACAAGTGAAAGTTCTTGGGGTGATGGCTCTCTTAGATGAAGGAGGAGGAACTGATTGGAAAGTTATAGCCATTGATATCAACGACCCTCTTGCTCCTAAGCTTCACGATATTGAAGACGTGGAACGACATCTTCCAGGTCTACTACGCGCAACTAATGAGTGGTTTCGAATCTATAAAATTCCTGATGATAATCTTGAGAACCATTTTGCTTTTTCTGGCGAATGTAAAAATAAAAAATATGCTGAAGAAGTTGTCCGAGAATGTAACGAAGCATGGGAAAAGTTAATTACAGGTAAAGTTGATTCTAGAAACATCGCACTTTCAAATACTTCATTGGAAAATGCTACAACAATTTATAAAGATAATATACCTCAAGGCCAAGATCTTCCTGCTGCCCCAATAGACCCTTCTATTGACAAATGGTTTTTCATTTCTAGTTAATCTGTGTAGAATTGACATAATTTCATAAAATCCTATTAAATCCAAGCTAGTTTAGCATTCGCGACAAACTTATTAATTTTTTCAAGATCCTTAGATGCATTTGTTTCAACTCCACCACTTACATCCACACCAATTACTCCTTTTGTAGAAAAAACAGTGCTTACATTTTCTGGATTTAGCCCCCCTGCAATGATAAAGCGGGCTCCTAAATTCACATATTCATCTAAAACTGTGCGATCTACTAATTTGCCTTCACCACCAAGAGGACTATCAATTAATGCCAATGAATAGTAATTAGGGGCTAAGCACTGCTCAAATTCTGGTGTATTCGGTGTAAATCTTTTTATAACGGGCACGGGAATATCTTTCGCCCATTCAATCGGTTCATCTCCGTGAAGCTGAACATAATCTAAATGAAATTTTTTTTGAAGTTCTAACACTTCTTTCAAAGGTTGGTTTCGAAAAACACCCACAAGATAAGGCCCGCTACTTCGAGGTTTGATACTGTTATATTCAAACACAGACATATTATTTAAACACTCTGTTTCGATTATCTCTGTGCCCCTATATGTTTTAACAAGATCAGATATCTTTTTAGCAACATCATGGGAAACTGATCGACTTCTGTTAGGGACCATTATCATTCCAAGCATATTTGCACCAGCAGTTATTGCCTCTTTCGCAGCTTCTATCGTGGTTAGACCACAAATTTTAACAATAGGAGGAAGATTCGTTCCATATTTAACTGTGTTAGTCTCAGCAGCCAAAGATAATTGAATTGATTGATTCCCCAACGTTATATTAATATATGCATTTTCCTCTTTAAAAATAATATTCTCATTGTCATCAATGTCTTTCAATAATTTTAAAAGTGGTAGCTCAAAATTGAAAGATTTTGAGCATATAATACCATCAGCTAAAATTAAATTATCGAAATATGATTTTTCACTCAAATTGATTTCACACAAAACAATTGGACGATAAACTAATGTATTAATAGCTTTTCGAAGCCTCGAAATATTTTTAGGAGAAGAAATATATACCCTAGAATTTAAAGACCCCAAAGTATAAACATCATTGGAACGAACATATGTTTTGTCTAGGGGTCCCTTTCCATGAAAAAGAACATTCAATATTTCATCGTTAGTATATCGATGCATTTTGCTACTAGAGGTCATAATTTTTTTTAAGTACAATTGTTATGTAAAGGTATGGATGAGTTTAAACAAACATGGTGTATCATGATCATATTGTTATCCATAAATTTTGAAATATTATTACGTAACATGTTACAAAATTTTGCAATGTTAATTTTCAAAAACTTTTTTTGTGAAGTAAACAAAAATATTTTTCTAACGTTGCAAACCATCATCAATTGAAATAATCTATTTTCAAAACATAATGTTTTAAAATCTGAATATAGGCTTATAATCGTATCTTTCACTGTTTGATTTGTTTATACCTAGATCATGAGCTCACAGAAATTTACAAATTCGTCTCAATGGTAAGTTTTTTTTATCTTGCTACTTAACACAGTTATCTAACTTTTTAGGACACACGAAACAGCCTATTATGCTTTAAAAGCAGGTGGAAGCTCACATATTCTCAAGTCACTTGACCTATACCTCAGACACCATTTACCTAGATTGCGAAAATGTTATGAAGTTATTGTTTCTAAGGATAAGTTTAATACTATTAATTATTCTTTTCCTCCTGAAAAAAATTGGTCTCGAGAAAAGATAGAAGAGGACCGACAAAATCTTGTTAATTTACTCAATATTGATACCGATGAGGCTTTAAGAATTGTTCTCCATGGTCATTTACGCGGTGTTCTTAATGCAGAAAAGCGGTTGGTTCATCATGTTCGCTTATATCTTTCTGAGCAACGACATTTATTAAAAATAGTAGCGTTGTTGTTTTCATATCGTGTCAATCTTCCTGATCATTTAAATAATGACTTCCAAATACTAGCTGATAAGTACTCCGCAGAAATTCTTGCTGAACCGAAACTTTTTAATGAATTGATAGATACAATTATTTCGAATTTTAAAAATCCAATTTTTTTGGAAAGGAGTGAGAAAAATGAGTTAGCTTCCTTATTTGTTAAAGAGGTATCTATTTTTTTTTGTCTTTTTCTTTTTTCCCTTATAAAAAACTAACATTTTTATAAAAAAATTTAGTCTTTACTTTTTCAAATTGATTTACTAAACTTATTGTTAGTTTCAATAACGAGTGTGATTCCTTCATCTTCGCTTCTTATCAAATCGTGGAGCGATGCCATAAAAATTACTGAATTTTTTTCATTTCCTCCTACTGCCAGTGATTTGAACACCGAAACCAATCTCATAAATACAATTTCCTCACTTTGCCTTGCAATAACAATTGCATTTTTCGATTTTGATCAGGATTTAAGTATTGAAGGTGTTTCTGTTTCTTATATCAACAATTCGAATGTATTGATTGACCTTCATGAGACATTTCTTTCTCTTTTGCCTTCAAAACCATCAGCATCTCCTGTTGTTTTAGGTTGGTCTTTCATTTTAAATGTTATTGCAGTAAGATCTGCTGAGTATAATGATGAAGGATTAAACCCTTTTTTTGCTAAAGCAATTCCGAAAACAATTTCTAGTCATAATGGCGATTTAAGTGAAATACCCAAATTTGAACTTCTTATGAAAGTCGCGTCTAATATAGCTCATGAGGCGTTGTCTCTTGATCCTTTTAGTATGTTAGAAAAAATGATTCGTATTTTACCTCAGGATCCTTTATATGCTTCAGTTTTTATGAGCTACATTAAAGCGAGTCTTCCGCATGTTGCCTTAACGGAATCTTTTTCTGATTGTATAAACGTTATTTTAAAACCATTTCCCAATATTGCTCAGGATTTGTTTCTAGATGAATTTGGTGATAAGCTATATGATTCGGCTGCTTTAAGGTTTCCTTTTGCAATTAGTCCTTTTCTCAAGCTTTCACAATGTTTGTCATCTAATGCTTTTGATGCTTTATCTAACCTCGATACTTTTATGCAAAAGTTACCTCGAAACTTTACCGATTATTGCTTTGTCGGTGACTCTAATAATATTATAGAACTGACCCAAAACATTTGTTTAATTCCTCCAATGACTGATATGGACGATAATAATAACAATAATAATAATACGATTGTTTTGCCTCCAAAAGTTTGTGGGACTATAAATAATATCGGAAATACAAGATATGTGATTTGGAATTACAAGTATAATGGATGGTCTTATCTTGGATGTTATTTGGAAAGAATTTGCAATGCTGCAAGTTTAAACAAGGCTAATTCATATCAATTTCCTTCAAAGATCGTTACGGAAATAATCCAACTTTTTACTTCAACTCTTACTTCTTTAGGCAATACCGACAAATGCAGACAATTTCTAACCATGGCAACCGAAAATTTAATCGAAACTGACATAATTGATCTCATTTTTCAAATAACTGAATATGCATTGTTTTTGAATTGTGATGAATTATCTTCTGTTTGTCTTGGTTTTGCTTCAGCTTTATTGAATGTTCTTCCTGACAGAGTGTGGTCTTTTTTGGGCAGAAGTTCGATATTAGGTCGTAATGGACAACAGAGTAGTATTTCTACAGTTTTGGGTTCCAAGGAAATTGTTGATGGACGATATGATCTCACTTTATCTGCTTTAAAGCTTATCAAATCATTGGTTGATTCTTCTGTTCGTACGATACTTGATTCCAAGGTTTCTACCAAAGTTAAATCCGATGTTGTTGCAAAATTTACAAGTCATACTGTCATGATATTTGAAAGTTTTTCGTATTGGGCATATTCGGATCCTCGTCAAAAAGTTGCAATTTCTTATGAATGTCTTTCAATCTTTACGAATCTTCTTCATTACAGTTTTGATATTGATGAAGTTTCATCTCTTGAAGACAAAGTTACTTCTCAATTAGAATCTGCTGCTTCTTATTTAACTAACCAGTTCTTAGCCCCTGAAAGGGTTATCACTAGAGCTTTGAAACCACTTTTAGGTGCAATTGAATCTTCAGCTTGGTCTATTACTTCTTTAGATTCTGATTATCCTTTGTCATCAGATGAAACGATTTTGATTTATTCTGTTTTAGCCTTTTCATCAGAATTAGTTAGGGCTAGAACATTTTTAAGGTTACCTCCTTCTCAACTTGAGAAAAGTTTGTTTTCTCTTTCACCTCATTTATCTATACTATTTACACGTTATCCTGCATTGCGAGTTGTTGTGATGGACTTATTCATTTCCATAATACAGTCTCCATGGCCGAGCCCTGAACAACCCTCACTTCTTGCTCATCTTGGAATGCATGCTCATATGTTTATTTCTAATTTAACGGGCTCTCTTCAAAATTCTTTGGAAAGTGAAGCTACTGTTATAAAGATCGCTGAATTTTTTTCAAGCATCATTGAAAGTCAACAAGAAGGCTTATCTATTCTTTTATTAACGGGAAGAGATACTCGTAAAGCATCACATATTGAACAAGAGGTAACTTCTCTTTTACAAGTTACTGAAAAAAAGGTGTCAATGGAGGATTCTGCTGATGAAGTACTTTTACCACTTCTAAGATCAATGGCTGCGGCTTATAGTAACTGGAAACTGGGGAAATTTTCCAGTAAGCCGGAGCTAGCTAAATCATTAATTCAGTTCGTTGACAATAGGCTTAAGCTTGATCTAACTGGTGAATTATTTGATGACTCTAAACTTGTTGAGTATTCATATAAGATTTCAATTGCTGAACAATCTTTGCTTATTTTTGCTGTTCAGTTGTTTAAATCACCTGAAGGGCCTGGAATTCAAAGGTTTATTGAATATTTACAGAAAGACTTCAAGATTTTGGACATCTCCGGTGTATTTTTTTCGATTGATAAACTTCAATCTCTTCAACATGAAAATCTTATTAAAAATTTTGATTTTCGGTGGCCTCAGCTTGGAGGTCTTAAAAAATTTGCCAAATCAAGATTTTTGCCTCTTACCTATGGTTCATCTTATATTTATGATTTAAATCTACTTGACATTGTGTTAGGAGATGAAAAATCATGGATGGGATACAGAAAAGAGGTGATTTCTGGAAACTTTTCTTATTCTTGGGTTGATTCTCAACTTCGGTTAACCCAAGCATGGTGTACATTTTGCACTTCTTTGGCAACTTATCTTTCTAAATGCCTTAAGATGGAAAATAATGCTATTCATAAAAACCTTTTGGTTATGTTAAATGAAGTTTCTGATATCGCTGTTGAGAAGGTTATAGCTGAAGAATACTCAACACCAGTACTTCTTAATTCAATTGAAACCCGCCTGAGTTTAGTTTTTATGATTAAATATGCGGCTTTTAAAGCAGGGGTTTCTACTAAAGCATATAGCAGTTTATTAAGGATTTACAACCTTCTTGCTTCCCCGGATTACAAGCTAATTGAAGGAATATCATTTAATGGCCGCCTAGATGCCCCAAGCATCACACATAAACAACTACTGAGATCCATCGCTATAATGCTTGAAGATTTTAAAGGCATTACCGAAAATAATATTCAAACTTATCAAATTCTACAGATTGTAACTGGTTTATTTGGTACTGTTGTGATAAATGGGATGATTGCTGCTGTTCAAGCTGCTATATCAGATCCAAAGGCTGGTGCTGATTCTAATATGGTGATAATTATATCCATTTTAAAGAAATGTTTGAATTTGGAAGGTATCAAAGGTTTATATCCTAAAGTTGCAAGCCTTCTTTCTGAGTCTCAGTGCGTTAAATCAGTGATGAGATTATATTCATATACAGATGTTCTCACGAATGCTAACGATGAATATGTTTATGGAGAGCTAGCACTGGCATATCTTTTAGAGTGGTTAAATATAGATCAAATACCTGATCAGTTAATTTCGAATGGACTTTTTGATTTGTTAATGGAAAGTCCTATTTCAAGAAAAATTCAAGAAGGCAAAGTCAAACCAACCACCAATTCAAAACTTCACAATTTGTGGGTCAAAGGAATACTTCCAATCCTATTAACATTACTTCAAAAAGTTGGTGCTCGCATTATCAGTGATGTTCTGGTTTTGATAGATTTTTTTTCTGAGCAGATCAAATTTTCCATGGGAGCTTGGAAAAACCCTTCAGAAATTACAGTTTCAGTCATTATTGAGTCAACACAGCTAATTTTACTTGTTGATATGCTTTATAAGCTTACCCCTTCTTCTGAAATGCTTTTACATCAGCTTCAGGATATTATTCCTCTAAGAGACGATCTCTTAAACTCTATCGACTACCTACTTTCACATCCGAGGTTTTTAAATGCAACCCTTATCGCAACTACAGCAGAAGAAAAGGGGCTTTATCTAATTGAAGATACAACCGATATTCCTGAAGGAAATAAACTTCTTTCATTAATACAAGAAGATCTAAAAGAATTTAGAGAATTAATCGAACGTTCAGATATAGGAAATTTTCAAATCTAAATGGTTTCCTGCTATTTTAATTTTTTCTCATATAGAATATGTATATTATGTATTTTTTTAATTTTCTCTCCATTGATGGGTACAATTTACACATTTATAAAATGTTGTCATAGGTTCATCAGCGGAACGAATTTGAAGTTGAAAAAAGTATGCTTTATCATGACCACATGTAGGACATTGAGTGCGTGTTTGATCAACATTGTCCCAAGAACCTTGACCTCCTAATACATCATCAATTTCTTTACGATCTGTCTTTCGTCGGTGATACATCACCATTGGTTCAACAATGGGAAACTCATAGGGGCATGTTCGGCATTCAAATCTGTTATAGCCTGATGAACCAGCAGAAATCTACCAAAAAAAATAATTAGTTTCTTTTAAAAAAAAAAAAAGAAAAAAAAATATTAAAACGAAGAATATTATAACAACATACTTGTAAAAGATTTGAACAATGTGGACAAAAGGTTAGCATTTTGGGCTTGTAAAAACTTTGAATTATATTCACCAAGAACACAAAGAAATTTTTATTAAAAAGCTTGATACTTTTAAATTTTTTAATTAGCTTAGTAAGCAAGATTGTTTTAATTATTTTCAATGTTTATCTTGCAGATTTTAACATATATGTTTAGTTATATAACTAAAAAAAATAATTATTAGGGGGTTCTAGTTTTTTATTTTCTATACGTTTACACGAAGATCTTTCACAAATGGTGCAATCAAAATCAAGGAAGCGACAAACAAATGACATAGATTTGAATGATACTGTAAAAAAAAATACAAGAAAGAAAATTAATAATGGAAAATCCCAAAAAAAAGATGATGTTGAAGATGATGATGAACTATTGAAAAATAGGGAGGATCTTGAAACATTGTTTTTAGATGGTTCTGAAGGTTATTTTGACCAACATAAAACAAGAGAGAAAATATCAACAACCCCATTTTCTCGTGCGCCAACCTTGGAATATAAAGAATTTATCTCATATGTTGATTCTTCTCGATCTTTTAATCAAGAAGCTCGAGAGTTCCTTTTTTCACTTTATCATACCATGTTCTCTCAGTGGTATTTTGAATTGACTCAAGGGTTTAGCTTGCTATTTTATGGTGTGGGATCTAAAAGAGGATTATTATTGGATTTTATTTCTTCTACAATACCACCGGAAATTCCAGTTTTGGTTGCTAATGGATATAATCCTTCAGTGTCTTTTAAAGAACTACTAAATTCTATAACACCAATTCTTGTGCCAGATTATAAATCGCTAAAATTCCCCAAAAATACACCCGATTTATTACAAGCACTTCTCGATTACCTTGATGAACAAAGAAAAAAAACAGAGTTAACTAATTTTGATGATACCAATTCTCCTAAAGTAGTAGTGCTTATAAATAATATTAATGGAGAATCCTTAAGAAGCGAAAAAGTACAAAGTTATTTAGCTCGACTTTTTTCAGCAAAAGAAGTGTGGTTTATTGCAAGCATTGATAATATTAATGCGTCTATGTTGTGGGATGCTGCAAAACTAGCAATTTTTAATTTTTTATGGCATGATGTGACTACATTTGAATCTTATGCCATTGAAACATCTTTTGACGATCCTCTTTCTTTAGGAAGCGTTCGTACTGCAGCAGGATCTAAAGGTGTAAAATATGTTCTCTCTAGTTTAACTCCTAAGGCTCGTGGCCTTTATAAGGTACTAATTCATTCTCAAATTGAAATAATGTCATTGAATGGCGGTGATATTAATATTCCAGGATCTATTCATGTTGCACTTGAAATGGGAAAATTGTACCAAAAATGCTTATCGGAGTTTCTTGTAAGCAATGAAATGAATTTTCGTACAATGCTTACTGAGTTTATAGATCATAAAATGATTGTTTTAACTAAGGATAATAGTGGAACGGAACTGGTTTTTATACCATACACTAAAGAAGCTATGGAAAAGATAATTGAAGAAGGTTTTTTAGATAATTAAATATGCCTATATTTTTTACTGTTTTTAATATGGGTTATATCTTTTGGTTTTTTTACTGTCTTTTTTGGATTTATTTTCTTTTCGATAAGTTTCTGGAATCTTAACTTTAGATTTAGTATAATTCTCTGTTTTAGAATTGCTTGGATTATTCCATGATGTCCATGACGTATAAGACATGTTTGAATTTACCAAATCTTTAGTGTCCCAAAGAGTAACAGCTCCATCCTCGCCACAAGAATATAATGTATGAAGTTTTTCTGAGTAATAGATTGAGCGAACAACTTCTTCTTTATGCCCTCCTTGGAATGTAATAGCATCATGTACCTTAGCGTTTTCGTTAATGAAAGGAATTAATTTAAAATTAGAGATTGACGAGCTTCCACATGCAATATATCCAGGAATGACGTCAATCACATATTCACATTTCCACAACTTTCGAATATCACCAAAACGACAAGGAGGAGGTTCAACAACCGATGAGTCAGGATCAGCTACATCATAAATTGAAAATGTTTCCATATGGGATAAAGCATATATTTTTTTTTCTGAAATGAAACCTGTGCTATGAATAGATGCTTCATGGTTTATAGTTTGGTATACTGCATCGTCTTCATCGTTTATGTTAGTATCATAAATATTAATAAGCCCATCAGTAGATCCTGAAATAAGGCAGTTTAACTTCTGGGGATGAAAACGAACTGCTGTAACATCATCATTGTGGGAATCCACATATGACACAAGTGGATACTTTAAATTCCTGATGTCCCAAACATGAACACCAGCATCAGAGGCAAAAAGTTCTGTTCCAGCAGCAATTCTGTTGAAATCGAAGGAAATATCTAAAGACAAGATACCGTGGTTAGGCAGTGTTGAGGTTAAATGTGCTTGTGGTGAATGCCCTCCAGTACGAACATCCCAGATTTTAACCCCATCAGCGCCACAAGAAACAATATTTGAGCTAGATAGACTTTTTATATCAGTAATACTCTCCACGTGTGCATCATTTATCACAAAAGTTGGTGAAACTTTTGAAGAATTATAAGATATGAATCGAATTGAACGATCAGATAATGAAATAGCTAACCCAAAATCATCCGCTAATGGAGCTATCTTTAAAGCATATTCATTTTCCTTCAAAACAGAACGTGACAATAAATTTACTGACATTGAAATTTTGTTTTATCAATGTTTAGCAATCCCTTTTAAATAATATAAATCGTTAAGCCCCTCTTTACCTACTATGTATACAATATTACAATGTGGGTAAATTGTTTTACTGTTTCATATTCTTCAGTATCAAATTTTTTTTAATAAACCTTGCATCATTAAGTAAGATAATTAAAGTTATGAGTTGTTAAAAACTATTATATAATAAATTATTAATATTTTTTTTTTTAAAAATGTGTTTTTAACGCGTTTTTTTTTAGCATTTACAAAAAATTCTTTTCTCTGATTGACAAAATCAAAAATATTTAATTTGTCTCAACTTTCCAAAAAGTTATTTTTAAAAATATTTTTCTAAAAAAGATTTCATTTTATAATATTTGACTGTTTTGTTTAAAAAAGATGAGTTCAGCAGTTAGTAAGTATGCATTTATTTATTCATAATTTAAACACCAAATTTCTAACATTTTAGATAAATCAAACCAAAAATTTACACCTAAAATTACTGCACGTGGAGCTCCTCGTAACAGTCGACGAAGACTCTCAATTACATCTACTTCAGCTGTTTCAAATTCTGCGAGTTCCATTAAAGGTAATATTGACCAAAATTCAGTTATCAATAATGAATTTTCTTTGGATGAACGTAATAAAGGGATCACTCACAGACTATCTGTTACACAACATAATTCACAAACGGGATCTATTACACAAGAAGCTAAAGCCCTATCACAACAAACTTTAGAGCTTTCACAGAAAACTTCTGCTATAGAAGAAGAAAATGATTTTGCGGAAACTAAGCACGGTATATTGCCTATTTCTTATTCAAACCGTTCAAACATTGTTAGATCCAGGTCTTCGATCCCTTCAATTCCACCGAATTTACTAACAAAGTTGGTAAATTCTAAAAATACCAATGAAAAATCAGTAGAATCCAAAAACAACAATTCGGAGATTAAACTGAAAGTTCGTCCTCTTATTTTTAAGAGAAAAGCTCTTGATCCAATTTCAAGACCAAACTTAAAAAAAGTAATGGACACTAATCATTTAAATAACCATGATAGTGATTATTTACCAGAGGAAAATACCAAGCATAACAAAGTAGAACCGGAGAATTTCATTCTGCCTACACCACCCTCAACCCAAACTAACAAAAATTTAAATATAACATCCCAAAGCATATCTTCACCCAATTTAATTACTCCATCAGGGGCACAAACGATTAGTTCTCAACAACCTTTAGATTTTGTTTTTCATCCATTATCACCATCAAGTCAAAAATCTAGCAATCATGACGCTAATATTGAAAATTCGTCTATATCTAAAGAAATTACATTGAATAAAAGCGCGAAACCTTCATCCCATTCATCTTTACAAGATAATTCTAATCCCTTTAATACTAAACCTATTAAAATTACAGAAAATTTAACACCAAGTAATACTGCTGATGATTTGCTGGATATAGGAAAGCAGAATGAAATCAAAAGTACTACCGAAATATCTGGAATTTCTTATAACCCCAAGTTGACTGAGCATCCGAAACATCTGGATTCTACTAGTGTAAATATTTTAAATAAAAATTCTCTTGACGAAATAAAATATAATACAAATGTCGCAAATATCACAAACATTGGAAACTTGTCGCTAAATAAAAAAGAAGAAAAAAACAATGAAAATGGTAATGGTAATGGTAGCGACAACGACAACGACAACGACAAAAATTTTGAAAATTGTGACGATGTTGATGTTAACGTTGCTTTGGAAAGCGAAAGTGAAAATGAAAGGGAAAGCGAAAGGGAAAGCGAAAGGGAAAGCGAAAGGGAAAGCGAAAGGGAAAGCGAAAGGGAAAGCGAAAGGGAAAGCGAAAAACAATGTGATAGTGATAGTGAAGGTGAAAATGAAAATGAAAATGAAAATGAAAATGAAAATGAAAATGAAAATGAAAGTGAAAACGAAGATACCGTTGTCAATGATAGCAATGGCGATAAAAATGACTCTTCAGATCTTGAAAAGAATGGAAATGATAGACCTAATTTACTAAAAAGTTCCGACAAAAATCAGCATTTAATTGTTACAGATGAAGTTATCAGTGAAGAAGAAGATGAAGTAGATGTTTTTGATACCTCGAAATCTATGACTGTTCGTCGCTCTGCACGTCTTCGGTTGATGTCATCACCTATATCTTTCAAACCTCTTGCAAGAGGTCCATTAGTTACCAAGAATAAGCCTCTTCGCTCAGTCAGGGGATCTAGTAAACTAGATGAAAACAACAAAAATGTGAGAGCCAAAAAAAATAATTTAAAAAAAAAACCTCGAAAAAAAAGTACCTCTAAAACCACACCAAGATCAAGTCAAAGATCTAGCCCTTCTTTTAATGATGATAGCTCATCATTTGACAATTCTCAGGCGCCAAGTGAAAGTTTATTAAAAAATATTGGAAGCTGCAGCTTTATAAAGTACCATCGAAACCCCACTTTAGAATCACCACTTGTTTTGAGCATTGTTGATAATGGTATTCACGATGAGAAAGGCAGAATATTAGTTGGCCCTAACGATATTCCAAAAAGAGGTCGTGGACATGGCCCTTTTATCATTTCAAATACAGAAAATGTGGCTATCAACCCAGATCAATTTACAATGGCGGATTTGTGCTCCCCTGAATTTTTCATTGGAGAGGAAGATGAAGAATTTACCAAATATGAATCAGCGAGGCTTGAGCGTCGAAGGAAAAAAGAAGATATTTTGGTGAAGAAAAAAATTGCTAGAGGCAAAGGGCATACTCTCAGAGAGATTCAATTAATTAATGATGGTTTGGAATCTAAATTTGTTGGAGAAAATGATGAGTCTCAAGAGCTTGATTTTGATCATCTTGTAGATACCACTAAAACACAACCAGCCGCACCACAATTAACAATGGTAGATGGAAAATTTGTTATCGAATCTACTGAAGTAGATCGTCATCGACTAGCAGAGTCTGCCTTTAATGGACCAGATGGTGATACTCGTGTCCGAGAAGTTGTTAATAAATATGACGAGTTTCATAATAGCTCAAGTTTTGGGAAGCATAAGCGCACTGAAGCATGGACTGAAAATGAAACCAATCTTTTTTATGAAGCTTTATCAACTTGGGGTACTGACTTTTCTGTTATTTCAGAGCTTTTTCCTGGAAGAACCCGTCGCCATATTCGAAATAAATTTAAATATGAGGAGAGATTAAACCCAACAAAATTAGAATTAGCTCTTGTTCGAAAAATGCCATGCGATCTTGATGGGTACTCTGTAATTAGTGGGAAAGAGATGTTATCTGTTCAATCGATTGAAGAAGAAATTAACGACATTAATCGTCAATATGAGCAACAGGTCACAGTTGAGTTGGAAAATAAGGCCAAAGCAAAGGCAGATGATGATGAAAAGGCGATGAAGGCAGATGAAGTAGCTTTTGGTACTACAGCCTCAAGTGCATTCCAAGAAATTAGAACTTTTCGGAAAACTAAAGCGCAGTTACGAAAAGAGCTCAGGCTGAATGAAGTTGTCTTGGGATCAATTGATGACATGTAATCATTTTACATTTATGTTAATAAAAATAATAGAAAACTTCTATTTTTTATACTTAAAATAATCTTATAAGATTATATAATCTAATTAGATTATTATATATTTAATTAGAATTTGTTTGGTAATCACATAATGTATATCTAGCTTGAATTTAAATATTAATAAATTTGTTAATCTTCAGTCGCTTTGTATTTACGAGAAGCTGTTAAGTCACCTTAGTTATCAAAGAAGCAAGTGTTGCAAGACTTTAAAGCTGATAATTAGTTTGAAACTTAGTTTCTAATAGAAAACCACAGGCTAGTTTATGTATAACCGGTTTCAAATTTACCGTCGTGACGTCAGTAATAGGCTTCTCTAAAGATACTGTAATTAAAGTATGTCAAATTACAGGTAAACTGATCTTTTTTTATAGCACATGAAACAACTCTTTCAACTAACTCACTTATAACGAAAGTTCAGAAAGCCAAATAAACTAATATATGTATATTTTTAATTAAACATATAAAAATTTCTCATGGTTTATCCGTCAAATCATCGATTTTTAGACAAAAATGGATGTGTTCTGATAGTTGAAAAATATTCACCTTTTTTACAAAGGTATACATATTATGACCAAAGGTTTAAAAAATGGAATTTTTCGAAAACTTTCATTGTTACAATGAAGCTTCTGGTACTTATGTTAATTGCTTTAGTTCTGATGATAAAAGCAACATTATTATTTAAGCACGAGCTATTTCAAATTAACTACTTTACTGTTCAATTTTATTTACTTTTATCACGACTTAGTCCGGTACAAGGGTCAATTCTTTTGACTGTTTCAATTTTAATTTTATTGCTTCGGACATCTGAAGGTATTTTTTTCTTGAAATCTTTGAAATTATGAAAAATCAATCAATATAACTAACTAAAATAATATAGAGGATACACTTTTGGTAATGCGTGACTTAGGCATCGAGCTTTCATCGACTGGGAAATTTTATTTTTTTGGGGGATCGCAACTATTTCTAAGCAAAGGCGAAATTCTTGATATATTAATACAAGAAGCTTTTGTTGGTATTGAAGTTCAATTTTGTTTAATAATTATGACTTCAGATGCACGTAAATTTCATGTTGTTTTTGAAAATTTAAAACCTCGAAGGCAAGTTTTAGAAAGTGTTTGGATAAGTTCTCGAAAATGCTTATTTTCCATTGAACAGTAATATGTTAAAATCTGTTCTACCTGAAAAAAATTTAATTTACGCTAAGGGATATAACATCTGATACTACTTACTACCTTTATTCCCAATAGATAGCTAGCTGTTCATGTAATTTTATAATAATTTTGATATTTCTTTTGTTCTAGTTACTCAGGTTATCGATTTTTTTTTTTTTTTTGCTTTTTGCTTTTTGCTGAACAACTTTAGATCCTTTTTCACAGACTTAAGAAATACGTATCAATACTAGGAAAATGCATTTAACTGAAAGACTCGTAACCATGTAATATATTGTGATGATGACAACTTTAAAGTACAAGTGGAAAGAGCGAGAAGTATCATCCCGGCCATTGTCCCCTGGAAAACATTTTTGACAACACGGTATATATTGATTTTTAAAATGGCATCCAAATTTGAAAAAAAAAAATGTTTTATGAGATAAATTATGAACAAGTAACTTAAGCAAACCCTGAGAATCTTAAGATTTTGTTTTTTTCAAACGATACTTGTTGAGTAAAACTGATGCTATAAAACGGAGAAAATAAATACAATGTTGATGGGTCTGGATTCCTAAATTTTTACGAATGTATTGATCTCATTATAATTATATTCAGTTACATAACAATTTCAAAATCTTAAACTTTTGATCTTTTTCTTCTTCTAAAAATATTAAAAAAATTTGTGCTTACTTACTGTAGCAAGGTAACCTTGTCTGATATGTACTTTCAGCTATTCGAGTTGAGATCTTACACTGTTGAAAATATGTGGGAGGGAAATGGGAAATGCCCCTAACAAAATGGTCGATTTCTTATAAATCTGCCAGAAAATTTGATTTTTATCTCCTCCTTGTCCTAATTCGATCATAAAAAATTACCATCTTGGGAATTCTTTGATAATCATCAACACAAACATTACTAAGATTAATTTAATTCTTACTAAAATCTCGTACAATCCTGACTAATTTATCACGTGAAACTTTTCCATTTTCTCACCCATTTATTTTCAAGTGTGTTATGCATATCTCTTAAGTAATTGTTCCCATACTACAACGTGAGCTTAAAAAAAGAAATTGAGCCGCACATGTACGTCTTAACGCACCTATTTGGGACAGAAACTTTAAATTTAAGGAATACGATTATGGTAACAATCATTTTGCCACATTATTTCTAATTACAGGAAAAAATAATAAAATATTAAATGCCTCCTAGCGGAATTGAACCGCTGACCTTTGCATCTCATAATACAAGTGCAATGCTCTACCCCTAAGCTAAAGAGGCATCCCTTTATAATATGTAATGAAGTTATCGTATAAGAGTAAAGTCGGATTGTCCAAAGAAAAAACCAAGCTAATAGTTTAATATAAAAGACCCGCAGAATATGGCTTTAAGAAGAATTGTTGGTGCTTATCGCACAACTCCTATTGCGGTACTACAAAAGGAAGCTGGTATTATGCCATATAGTATTAGGCTAAAATTTATGGTGGCACGAAAAGCTATTCGTTTACACCTAAATATTAGCAAAACTAATCCTATTAATGGTCATTTGTTAACATTGATTGAGAAATCTCCAATTGCAAAGCTAACCACGCTTTACATGTTGGCGAAAGATGATAGAGACTATATGATTAAAATAGATGAAAAACGAAAATGCAAGAGGGTTGAACCTCTTACACTGAAACAACAACAAAATCAGACGATTGGAATTTTGAAAAAACAAGCAATGGAAGAATGGCAAGAAATGTATTGGAACAGCAGTAAGGATCTGTGGTATCATAATATCACAGTGGAGTCGAAATGTACTGATAATCTTTCCAAAATGGTTACGGGAGTGATCATGAAGAAAGATAGTCGAAGGATCTTGAGTAATATTACTCAATTTCGCACAGGCCATGGCAACTTTGGCGCATGGTTTAAAAAGTTTGGAATTGAAAAGGATAGTTACAACTGCAAATGTGGAGAGCTGGAAACAGTTCATCACATTTTAGTTGAGTGTCCTTTGCTTGAAGAGGAAAGAAAAGGACTGAAACGGATATCTCCAGAGATGGACATGTCGACTCTCTTAAACAGTTTAACTGGCTTACAAGAGATTGTAAGCTTTATCTCTGCTTGGAGGGATTAAGAAATACAATTACAGCGTTGATGAAGACAAGTGGAGATAGGTTGGGAAGGTTTGGTTATTTTAACCCCCTGTTCCTCGTAAGCTGGCATCAGGACTTATTTTCGGGCTGTTGGAGATGCAATGTTGAAGCCAAAATTAAAAGTTTATTATCAAAATGAAAAAATATATAGTATGGACAAGAAGGATAGCGCAGATGCTGATGTTATATAATTCTATAACCCTTGAATAAAAACAAACAAACAAACAAACAAACATATAAAAGACCCCCCTTTTCTTGAGGATGTGTACGGGAGTATACACCTAGACTGAAAAACCATAGGCTACCCTGGTTACAGGAATGCCGACTCTTCCGTACAGTCTAAATAGCCTGCAGGTGATTGCGGGCCGTATCTCTGACGGAAGAGATTAAGAAATACATGGGCGTCCGTGAAGATAAGTGGAAATGGGTTGGGAGGGTTTTGGGACCGACAGACTGGTTCTCCCCGTTCCTCGTAAGCTGGCATCAGGGCCCATCTTCCGGGCTACCGGAGACGCACAGAACAGAAACCACCCGTACTAAAAAGGTACAAATGAAAACCGGCAAGTCACATAGTCAGACAATAAAAGGATAGCGCAGATGCTGATGTTATATAGTTCTATAACCCTTGAATAAAAACAAACAAACAAACATAATATAAAAGATGAAAAAGTGCAACTTACTTTACCTAATGGAGAACTTCGTGAACCCCAGAAGGAAGTTAAATTGCTTGGAATTACTTTGAACAATCTGCTTGATTTTAAATCTCATATTTTGAATAAAATCAATAAAGCAAGAAAAGCTGTTGGTGCTATTTGGCATCTTGGTGGCGTGCAAAAAGGTATGCGAGGGTCTGCAGTCAGATCACTGTATATTGCTTGCGTGAGACCAATTGTCGAATATGGCTTAGAAATTTGGCATCACAAAATTTTGAAAGGAGAAATCCACAAGTTGGAAGTAATGCAGAATATGGCTTTAAGAAGAATTGTTGGTGCTTATCGCACAACTCCTATTGCGGTACTACAAAAGGAAGCTGGTATTATGCCATATAGTATTAGGCTAAAATTTATGGTGGCACGAAAAGCTATTCGTTTACACCTAAATATTAGCAAAACTAATCCTATTAATGGTCATTTGTTAACATTGATTGAGAAATCTCCAATTGCAAAGCTAACCACGCTTTACATGTTGGCGAAAGATGATAGAGACTATATGATTAAAAAGGATGAAAAACGAAAATGCAAGAGGGTTGAACCTCTTACACTGAAACAACAACAAAATCAGACGATTGGAATTTTGAAGAAACAAGCAATGGAAGAATGGCAAGAAATGTATTGGAACAGCAGTAAGGATCTGTGGTATCATAATATCACAGTGGAGTCGAAATGTACTGATAATCTTTCCAAAATGGTTACGGGAGTGATCATGAAGAAAGATAGTCGAAGGATCTTGAGTAATATTACTCAGTTTCGCACAGGCCATGGCAACTTTGGCGCATGGTTTAAAAAGTTTGGAATTGAAAAGGATAGTTACAACTGCAAATGTGGAGAGCTGGAAACAGTTCATCACATTTTAGTTGAGTGTCCTTTGCTTGAAGAGGAAAGAAAAGGACTGAAACGGATATCTCCAGAGATGGACATGTCGACTCTCTTAAATAGTTTAACTGGCTTACAAGAGATTGTAAGCTTTATCTCTGCTTGGAGGGATTAAGAAATACAATTACAGCGTTGATGAAGACAAATGGAGATAAGTTGGGAAGGTTTGGTTATTTTTAACCCCCTGTTCCTCGTAAGCTGGCATCAGGACTTATTTTCGGGCTGTCGGAGATACAATGTTGAAGCCAAAATTAAAAGTTTATTATGAAAATGAAAAGATATATAGTATGGACAAGAAGGATAGCGAAGATGCTGATGATATAATTCTATAACCCTTGAATAAAAACAAATAAACAAACATCAAAATTATTAAAAAAATTCTATCGGTGTATGTCAATTAATATGCAAACATTTTTAAAATATATGGAATATTTTAAGCAAAACTCATGTATATATTGTATTAGGGTTTTTTATTTTATTTTTTTTAAATGATGTCAAAATTGGAACATTATCAACTATACAATGAAAAAAAAATATTAATATTTAGAACTTTTTAAAAAATAAGGAATCAAAAAAGTTTCGAAATTGTTTAACAATGTTAACATGACCAAGTTGTTTTGTTTGTATTTGTTTTTATAGATGGCAACCATCATATTTAACTATTATTTTGTAAAAATTATCTTATCTAATAATCTTTAAAGAATTAGTCATAGGACAAACTCTAATCACATATCAAATTCACAATGAAATTCATTTTTTAAAAAAATTCTTAAATAAATACAAAATTTATATGGTATCATAAACAATGAATTTATCGTCTCCAGATTTTAATGAAATAATTAATGTATGGATAATTTTTGATTATTATTAAATCAAACAAATCTAATTAGCATTTTTAATAGCTGGTTGAAAGATTCTACACTCCAGGAATCCAAAGCGTTGAAATAAACAGGTACGTGAATCCTATCTTGTATTCAATCTATTTTTTTTTAAATATAAACCCTAACACCAGTCGAATCTTTAAGAATTCAAAAATATTTACAAGATTTACAAAAATCGGAGTATGGATGGGAACTTGCATTAAAATTACTTAAAACGAATTTACCAAATTGCCAATTTTTTGGTGCTTTAACTTATACAGTGAAAATTAATACTTATGACATTTCAAAAAATAAAGCGGAACAAAAGTTACCGAGCGAAATTTTAAATGAACTTTTATCTCTTTTAGTTTATTTAAATGAGAATCCACTTACATATACTGTTGTCATTCGAAAACTTTTATCTACTCTTTCTAAATTTTTTTCTAGATTTTACGCAGAGTGGTCATATTGCGTTGCAAGTGTAATTGAAACTATCTCTAGTAATACATCTGTCATTAAACCAAAAAATAAAGATACGATATCTTATATTCTAAATGAGAAAACAGCGATTTTATGTTTAGAGTTTTGCCAGATGCTGGTTGAAGATATTGCGGGGAATCATAACATGGAAGCAATCCAATGTATACATGTTAACGACAAGCTTAATGAAAATGTTAATATTTTGAATGCTCTACTAAATCATTGTTTTCAAACACTTTATCCTATATCATACTCTGATGTTCTTCTTGAACATGTATTTAAAACTTACGGTTCATGGGTAGTTTATTTTCGCCGGTCAAAGGATATTCCTGATTTTCTTTTGTCTGTGACATTGTTCATTTTCGATTATATTAAGGAAAGAAAAGATGAATCCCTTTTTCATATTGCTATTAATGAAGTGGTAGAAATAATTGATCGACTCCCATCATTTTATTCATCAGATCTTCGTATCCATTTAACAAAAACACTGGTTCATTTGGGTGAGCCTTTAATCAAAGGAATAATTCACAAAAACGACCAAATTTCTAAATTAAACAATTATTATATTTACAATAATGATGACGATATTGAGGAATTAGAATCATTTGCATCCGATTATGCCAAAATTTCGATTGCATTGTGCGAATGTGAAATTGGAAAACCTGATCGCTTAAATTCAGATGAGATTTCCACGTTGTTTGAATATATGCTTATAATTTCTGGATTTCCTGGTATCCCTTATGTGGATAACAAGCTTGCGATGTATATTTTGGAATTCTGGACTAATTATATTGATTCATTTATAGATACTGCATCGTCCAGTGACATATCCGAAACAAATCCCATTATTATTAAGGTAGTAGAGATATTTTGGAACAAATCGGCTTATCCTCCAGAAAATGTTAAATCTTCATGGAATTTTGAAATCCGTGAGGCCTTTGAATCTTTTCGAAAAGATTTTTGGGAGCTTCTCGATATGGCATATCCTTTAATTGGAAGCTCCTTGTTTCTCACATTCTCTAATAACATCATTAGTAACTTGTCTTTAAACACACCAGATTGGGTTAAAATTGAAGCTTCTCTTGCAAGTATAAGTTGTTTGTCTGATACAATTCCTTTAACAAATGAATTTGATGTATTGTCACAACTGCTATCTTCATCTTTAATATCAAGATTAGGTCAAATAGAAGATAAAGATATTCGGATAACCTGTGTTAATTTCATTGGAAATTATGATACATTTTTTGAAACTGACATTGGTCAACCTTTTTTATTTCCAGCTCTAGACTATCTTTTCAAATCACTGAATGTGACCATCTTATCAAACACAGCTTCAAAATCTATTCAAAAATTATGTTCATCTAGCAGGTCATTTTTATCAAATAATCTTGACGCATTTTTTAATACATATATTAACTTAAAACTCTATGAACATCTGGACAATATTTCACATCAACGAATTGTTTTATCTATTTCTTTTGTTGTTCAAGCTTTAAAAAATTTTGAGATGAGAGCAACCTGTACTGATAAATTGTTGACTCCTATTTTAGGCGAACTTGAAAAAGAATTTCAAAAATATAGTGGAATGCTTCAAAAATATAGTGGAATGCTTCAAAATTCCAACGAATCTCCATATTTGCAAATATCGTTTGACAGACTAGTATCATTGCTTCGTTGTATTGCCAATGTTGGTAAAGGTCTTCAAGAGCCGGACGACTTTTCTGATTATTTTGAAGGTGACCTAAAAAATATAGCCGAATTTTGGGATAAAGACATGTGGAATATAAGATCGCGAATAATTGGGGTTATAAAAGTTTTTGCAATTGACCGATTAGAATTTCAAGAGTCAATTCCAGTTATTGAGGCATGCTGTGATATCTTCAAATCAGGGTTTTCCGAAAGATCGCCTGGTCCTTTTGTGTTTTCAATAGACACCGTTTTGGATTTTATTAGTTCTAAAGCCTTATGTCTTAATACCCTGCCTCTCATCATAAATTTTTCCAATTGTTTTGTTACTTCTTTTTCAGTTGGTCATTCAAAAATTCCTTCATATTACATTAATTCACTTATTGACATGTTCAGCGTTCATATTGAAGAAACATTAAATTCTGAGCCAGAAGCGCAAAATGCATATTTAAAACTTTTAGAAAAAATAATTTGCCGTTACATGGATGTTTTTTTATCAAACAAAAATGTGACTACTATTATGAAATTTTCTGTGCTCAGGCTTGCTTCTCATGAACGATTCGTTTTAGGTGCGTCAGCAAAGTTTTGGTGTGCGTTTATACTTTCAAAAAGCGAAAAAACTGCACCATTTTTGCTAAACATTGGTCCCTGTTTAGTGGATGTTTTAGTTGACAAAATTTCTGGTGATGCTACCCGAAGTGAACTTGACTTATACATCGATGTTATAAAGCAATTGATGCTGAAAAAAATGATGATTTCAAAGCCTTGGTTTGAAAATTCATTACTTATAGCTCCTAATTCCTTTGTGGATAAAGTAAATATTACCCAAAGACGCAAAATCTTTCAGCAACTAAACAGCTTGAGAGGAAATAAAAATACAAACTATGTTGTCAAAGAATATTGGTTAAGCGCTCGAGGAATTACTGATTATATTTAACTGTCATAATGAACTTAGAGTCTAAATAATTCTATTTTAAAAATCAATTAATTTATTAAATAATTAAATATATGTTGGATATCATGATATCTTAATAAGTCAAATAAGAACATCTGAACAAAGGTTGATAATATTTTTCTTTAGGCACGCTAAATGACGTTAGATAAAGATAATATCTAATACTGTTGAATATCATCCAATAACTTTCGACTCTCAGTGATAAAATCTGCCGGATGAATATTAACAACTTGATATCTTACTCGTTCAACGTTGTTAAAAAATTCTTTGCGTGCCTTGATCTTAAAAATATACTCATTGTGATTGTAATCCTCCATCACGTGTTTATATGCTTCATCATTAGATTGATAATAATCATACAACTCATTTGCTGACACACCCAAAAACACTTGAGCAGTTTCATCAAAACACGATATCCATATTTGGTCTGTATAATCGTTTGCTGGGACAGACAGAACATAACGATAATTCGGTTTTTCTATTTCAACATCACACTTTTCACAACGCCATTTTTCGTTAGTTTGTTGAACGACTTTTTTATTGCAATTTGGTTGTGTACATGCTGGATAGTATGGTTCTCTTTGAATAATTCTGTTGATGACTGCCATAGTGATAAAATAATCAGGAGTATCTGACATCCCCAAACGGTTTTCTGTGGCCTCTTGGAGCGTCAAATATTTTTCAGGAGTTTCAAATTTACCGTCCCCACCAGAATTGCTGATCCATTTAAAATTGCTGTCGAGCCCACCATTTTGATACCAACCTTGCAAATTGTATGCTTCATCAATTTCTGGATCATTAATAACTAAACCTGATGCTAATACTGAAAGAGATTTACCATTAAAATCAGATACTCGAACACCTTTAATTGCCACCACATGACCTTGTTTTGACTCATCAAATTTTGTTGCAGTTTCACTCCATAATGTAACTCTGACCATGAATAGAGATTTATCGACCAAAATTATATCCCTCTTGGTGTATTCTTTCCCAGTTTTAGACATTTGACTTGTAGCATCATAAACGTTGTGAGCTACACCAATGACGTTAATTACTGATTCTGACTCAACATCAGCCAGTTTGTCAAGTGGTGTAAAGTCGGCAATCATTTTAGGAACCGATTCTGAAAAGTCATCAGCAGGTTCAATCGTAGTGTTACGATCAAGAGTGATTTCGTAATCGTGTTTCAAATTAGAATATTTCTTGTTGGCTGAGTTAATTCTGGCTCCAGATATAACAAACACAGATCCAGGCTCTAACATATTATAGTATGTCTCAACAATTTCATTAAACCCAGTTGCACGGATTTCACCACTTTTGTCGACTAAAGTAATATTAAATAAACTTCCATCATTTCCAGATGTCTTTGATCTAAAAGTTCGAATGTCAGATCTATATTCCACACGAGCACAAATACGCCATTTGGTAGTAAAAGGGGTCAAAGCACTAATTTCAGTAAAAATTCCATTTGATTTTTTTTGAGGATGAGACTGAGGGTGGCGACTATCATTAGAAGCTGTTTGATCTTCTTTTTTTGTCAATTTATGTTGATCATTAACAAAACTGAAAATTTCTGTACTATTAGAAGCAACAGGAAGAGCAGTGGGTGCTTCACTGGGAAATTCTCCTTTTCCAATATATTCCGAAGTTCGAATAAGAAGGTAATATTTTCCTTTCATAGGCCTTACAGAATAATTTTGAATTCGTATCAGAGAATTTGGAACATTTTCAAGATCTGATAAATCAAGACCTTCAGGTGCTTCAGTGCAAAATCCTGGTGCCGAATTCTTCCCATCATGAAGCAAAAAGCGAATATTTTTTTCATCTCTCTTGTATTTCAATATTTGAAGAACAACACCTCTCGGTGCCAACCAACCCGAATCGTTAGAATGACCAATGATATTTGATAAAACACCATAAGAAATTTGAGGATCACTCATTATTAATAAAAAAAATTCTTAATTTTAATGGAGAAAAGTAAGCAAATGAGATAGAGAAAATAAATAGAAATAGAAATTAAAAGAAATTAAAAGAAAAAGAAAACAAACAATAATGTTGGCCAAATATGTGAGTCCAGAATGGTTTTTTTTTTTATTTTTTCTAATTTATGTTTATTATTACATAACGCGTTTGTGTCAGTCATTACGCGTTATTTACGTGTTGTTGACTTTTGTGGCAAATTTTTGTTTATCGCAAAAAATAAATATAATTTTGTTTTTTATTTATTTATTATATAATATATATTTATTATAATAATGATAATTATCATGATAATATATGATCATAATATTATGATAGTGTTGATTATGGCGTATTTAGACAGGGTAACTTATATTTTGAAACGGAAAAAGTAAACAAAAAAGGGAAATAAACAAGCAATTTTAAGTAAACAAGAAACGAAAACGAAAACGAAAAATAATTTAAATAAAAATTCTTTTATTTATAACTTCAATTACACTTAATTAATAAGAATAGACAAGGTCAATAAATTTATTAAATAAAATTATGGGCCGACTAAAATCGATTGAACTTTATAATTTTAAATCATATAGCGATACCGTTCGCGTTGAATTTGGTAATGCTTACTTTACAAGTATTGTTGGGCCCAATGGGTCTGGAAAAAGCAATATGATGGATGCTATATCATTTGTTCTTGGAATGAGAAGTAATGTTTTAAGAAGTGGACAGCTTACGGATCTCATCTATCGTGGTAGGGTTATGAAAGAAAGTGATGAATCTTCTTTGATCCCTTCAAAAGAAACGAAAATGGATCCGCGCACTGCATATGTAATGGCCATTTACGAAAGAGATGATAAAAGCATCCTTAAGCTGAAACGATCGTAAGTATTCATGGAAATATAAATTATTAATCTAACAATTTTAGTATTGGACACACATCTGCAGGAAGCCAATATCGAATCAATAATGAGCTTGTTTCCATCCAAGAATATGAATCAACGTTAGCAAAAGAAAATATTCTTATTAAGGCCAAAAACTTTCTTGTTTTTCAAGGAGATGTTGAGGCGATTGCTTCACAATCACCAAAGGACCTATCTCGAATGATAGAACAAATTTCTGGCTCCTTGAAATATAAAGCCGATTATGAGAGAAAAAAGGAAATCAGAGATTCAACCTCTAATATAAACTCTCTTTCACACCGAAAAAAGCGATTATTTATTGCTGAAATTAAACAATATCGAGTCCAAGCTGACGAGGCACGGATTTTTGAAAAAATGATACACGATAGGGATGTTGTTGTTCTTAAGCATTCTCTGTGGAAGTTATATCATTTAGAAAAGACCGGTGAAGCATCCGAAATTGAACTTAACAGTCTTTTTTTACAAATCAATGATAAAAGTCATAAAGTTAATGAACTTCAACTACTTTTTAATACAATTAACAAAAAATTTGCAGTTTCTAAGTCTGAAGTTATTGGGTTAGAACGGGATACCAAAACGCAAGAAAAAATTATTCAAGAGAAAAAGAATTATTTATTACCTGTTGATGAAAAAATCAATATGACTCAACAAAATATCAAAAAAATAAAAGGTACAATTGGTCAATTAAAACCAAATTTAACTCATCAATCTGAAACTATTGAAACTCTTCAGAAAGATATGTCCATTGTTGAAGAGGAAAAGGAAAAGTTTGAAAATCAGTCTTCTCAAATTATTAGAACTGCCGGCCTAGATCTTTCTGACGATGATATTGAAGAATACGAAAACCTTAAGTCGAAATTTGCACAAGCTACTTCAGATCGACAATCTGAAATTGATGGATTTAAAAGAAGACTGAAAACAGAAGAAGAAAAAGTTAAGACGTTAGAATCAAAATACAACCAGTTGAAGGTCCAGGAAGGTGTTCTTTCTAAAGAAGTAACAGATTTGAGAATCCGTCTACAAAGTCATGAGTCACAGTCTGAAGAATATACTACAGATCTTAAACTAAAAAATAAGCTACTAAACGATATTGTTACTGAGAGGAGAAATAAGCTTGCAAAAGAGCATGAGCTTCAAGCTAAACTTCAGGAAGTCACTGATTTTCTTGTCAGATACAGTGTTAATCACAGAGAAAATGAGCGTGATGCACGTATGAAAGATGAAGTAGCCACAATGAAAAGATGTATTCCTGGTGTTAAAGGGTTTGTTTTTGATCTTTGCCAACCCAAGCAAAGAAAATATGATACTGCTATTTCTACTGTTTTAGGGAAAAACTTCAATTCTATTGTCGTTGATAGCTTTCAAACAGCTCAACAATGCTTAAGTTATATCAAAGAAAGGCGTGTTGGAATTGCAACATTTATTCCTCTTGATAGTGTTGTAGTTCAGCCAATTAATAACAAACTGCGTGGAATCTCAAATAAGGTTCGGCTTGCAGTAGATACTGTTGATTATGATCCAGAATTGGATGCTGCTATTAACTATGTTTGCGGGAGCGCTGTTGTATGTGATGATCTAAATACTGCAAAGTATGTTCGTTGGACTAAAAATATCGACGTTAAGGCCGTTACTCTTGATGGGGCTGTAATACATAAGGCAGGGCTTATGACTGGTGGTAGAGTTGAAAATAAAAACTCACAGCAATGGAACGACAAAGAAATTTCTCGTGCAAAAAAAAAAAAAGAGGAATATCAGGCTCAAATGCATGAACTGAACAAGTCAAAGTTTGATACTCATGAAGAACAACTGCGCTCTGATATTGCGGGTTCGCGACTCAAACTTGATGTTATCACTGAAGAAATAAGTAATTTACAAGGTACCTTAAAAGGAAGAGAAGTTGAGTTGCAGCACATTGTCAAAAGTTTGAAAGATATTGAGTTGCCCTTAGCTAACTCCAGAGATATTCTGTTTGATACTAAATCTCGTTACAAAACTCTGCAGTCTCTTGTCGAAAAAACTGAGGATAGGATTTTTGCCCAATTTGTGGCTAATATTGGCGTTGAAAATATACGAGAATATCGTAAAGCTCAAAGTGGGTTTATTACCGAAATTTCTCAAAAACGTTTAGACTTTGTCAATCAAATTTCTCGTTTAAATAACCAAATCCAGTTCGAAATCGCTCGCAGAGATGATACCCAATCTAGAATTGATGTCTTAAATGAAAAGCTCTCAAGAGAAAATAATAGACTTATTGAGCTTGAAAAGGAGAAAGAAATTCTTTCTAGACAGATAATGTCAGAAGTGTCCTTACTTGAAGATGCCAAGCAAGACGTAAGTTCAAAACGGGAAGCTCTTGAGGAACTTTCACATGAAATATCTGATTGCCGTGGGAAGTTAAGTGCTATTCAAAACGAGCAAGATTTGGTTCAAAAGCAAATAACATTGAGACAAGAGGAGATATTCAAAATTGCAATGGGAAGAATAAAAACTTTGAAAGATTGCAAAATCGAAGGTATTGAATTGCCTCTTTTATCCGGCTCACTGAATATGATAAAGATGGAAGGAAGTCATAATGACGAAGAAATCGAAGAAGAATCGATTAATCCAGAAAAAGATCAGCGTGAGATCTTAAAAAGTATTATCATTGATTACTCTGGATTAAGTGATGACTTAAAATTGAATGACGATGAATCGGTAGGTGAGCAACTCGAGCGAGATGTACAGTTGTTGACTATAAATCTTGAAAAGATGGTTGTTAATTCTAGAGCTCGAGACCGTTTGGATGAAGCTGAGAAAAAACTTAGAGAGGTTGATGATGACGCTGAGAAAACAAGATCTGATCATAAAAAAGCTAAAGATGACTTTGAAAGTGTAAAACGTCGTCGGTATGAGCTGTTCAATCGAGCTTATAAACATATATCTAGTCAGATTGACAAGATATATAAAGAACTTACTAAAACCCCTACATTTCCTCTTGGTGGCACTGCAACCTTAAGTTTAGAAGATGAAGATGAGCCTTACTTGGATGGTGTCAATTATCACGCCATGCCTCCTATGAAGCGATTTTGTGACATGGAATTGTTGAGCGGAGGAGAAAAAACAATGGCTGCATTGGCGTTACTGTTTGCTATTCATTCTTATCATCCTTCTCCTTTTTTTGTATTAGATGAAGTTGATGCAGCATTAGATAATGCTAATGTTGGGAACATTGCGCGATATATTCAACGCCATGCTGGTCCTGGCTTTCAGTTTATTGTTATCAGTTTGAAGAATGGTCTCTTTGAAAATTCACAATCACTTGTTGGAATTTATCGGGACCAAGATGAAAATTCTTCACGTGCTCTTACAATTGATCTTCAAATGTATTCATCTTCTAGCGTTGACTCTAAGAACCGAGGAAATAACTCTAATAGTGGGGAAACAAGTATAGTTGTGGAGTAATTTGAGCTTAATAATTAATAATAAAGTATTTTGAATTTAAGGCTTATGTAACTTAGTAATTTTAATTCAATCAAGGTTTGATACAGTGCCTGTGATTTTTTCTATTTCAAATTTTGTAGAAAGTGTGCATGTGAAATTATTAAAAGCTTGCTGCCACTTTTAAAAACACAAAAAAAAAACTATTTAAACCAGCCATTTTACCACCACAACAATTTATTCTACTGTCTTGATTTATTTTTATTTTCAATATCTTTAAAGACTTCAAAGAATTTTAATATTTGACTATAAATTACAACAAAAATGGCAATTTCTGACAGTATGCAATATTTGATTTTGTTTGAGTAAGAATAGTAATTAACTAATAAATAGGTGCATTTCCTTCTTCAAAGATTTTTGATTTAATTCTTCAAACCATTGATTCTAATGAGTCTCTTAAGAAAAAAATGATCAAACAAACAAACGCTATAATTGTTTTTAATCTCACTAATAAATCAGATAAGACTGAATCGTGGTACCTTGACCTTAAAAAAAAGGGAGCCGTTGGGAAAGGCACTTCACCTGCTGGTCCTGCTGATATTACCTTAAACGTAAGCGAGGAAAACTTTGGTAAACTTGTTGATGGAAGCGCTAGTGCTCAACGACTTTTTATGAGCGGGAAGTTGAAAGTTAAAGGCAATGTGATGAAAGCTGCATCTATCGAAACTGTGTTGAAGGCTGCACAGAATGCAAAGCCGAAGCTTTAATCATTTACCTTATATAGGCAAAAACATGGATCAATGTCATCATTTCATTTTAAAAACGGTTTCGAAAATCGATATTTTTTATTTAAAAGAGATAAAACATAAGCAAATTGGCTATGAAGTTCCCCATAGAATTGATCATCTTTTAAAACTGATGTTAAACTACGAGGTGGGTGTTGTTTGCTTTCTCGTCGGGTTCGAAGATATTGATCAAGACCACCTGAAGACGTTCTTCTAAGTGTTTCTTCTTTTTCATATTCTTTGGCAGCACGTTGTTGAATTGACGTTTTAATTAAATTCAAATGTGCCGCAATTAATTTCCATGATCCCATTAGTAGTTGTTCGTCATCACAATGACATATTAAAGCGTATTGTCGAAGATGACCACGAGACATATCATCAGGAACCTTGAAAACGATGCCCAAGGCAGTCCCTTGTCTAGAATCCGAAATTGAAATCGGAGTAAAATCATTAAATGTATTTTCTGATGATAAAATCTTTAAACAGGCTTGGCGAATCATGGCATAACGTTCAGGATCAGAAGGGTATTGAGTAGTTAAGTAAACAACGTTTGAACCAAGCTGAGGTTCATATTTTTGTGTTCTCATAGATGTAATAGGGAAAGAAGATTTTTTGGACTCTGGAAAAGATATCCGACAAGATGAGCATAGTGATTGATTATGTTGTTGTGTGCTTGACAATAACTTTTCGTTATTTACCTTTTTCTTGCTGCTTTTCAACCCTTCTTTATTATAAGGGAAAGATTTAGATTCAGAACTGTTCATCAAATCGTCTTTATTTTTGAACTTTAATACGTTGCTAGAATTTAATTCATTTGAATCAAATAAATTAGGCCTTGTAGTTACATTCAAAGTCTTTTCAAAAGGGAGGTTTTCTTTTTCCATAATGTCATTGTTAAGATTGAGACCAGAATTATTGCCAGAATTCAACTCTCCATAGGGAATCTCATCAATGGCTTGCTGCGGAAATAAAGCTTGTGTAACAAGAATTGACGTAGGGCCATGTAATTCACAAAAATGACCTAAACAAAGCATAAAATCCATGGTAAATTCTTTTTATCGATTTATTTATAATAATTTGAAAATAAGACCATGTCATTAACTTGCTATAATTTCAAAAAAAATTTAGATTTTGGGTATTTTTTATTTGTTTCGGATGTCGGTTTGGCTAGGTCATGAATTATTTTATTAATTAATATTAAGAGTAGTAATATTATTACAAATGTTCACGGACAACTTATGTAACTTAATCTATTTACATGTATTTAATAACTAATAATAACTAATATTATTATTATTATATTGATAACGTAGCGATCAAATATTATTTAGAAATTCGAATAGTCATCGCAATGGCATATTATTCATTATCAGACACAACAGAAACAGAAGATGAGGAGTCAACAACACCTATTCTTACCTCTAACCGATCATCTAATTTTAAGGAAGCCGTGATTCCTTTGAAAATGGTAAGAGTATTGATTATTTTTAGTGTATGCTTTAATGATTTTTCTAACGATACTAAGAGAAAACTTCGCCATGTAGTCGGTATAATTGGACGAAATATTAGAACAAAATTTGATGTAGATCAACAAAACTATAGTAATGATACCAAAACTAATAATATTGATCTAACTGATATTAGATCTGAAAATATCAGTGAGCCACAAGGCATAATACCTTTCCCCCCGATATCTGCACATAAGTTAATAGCAGAAAATAATAAAGCTGGAACAGAGAAACATATTAAAGTGTCCCATCATCGAAGAAGTATACGCGATTTATCATCTGAGTATGATTCTGGGTTGGGACTTCAACAATATTTGCAGGCAACTTTTTCAAAACGAATTCTTTCAACTTTTATTACTATCCATGTTAAAAACCAAGATGATCCTGTATATGTATCAGAAATTTTTTACGAATCTACAAACCCTTATTTTAGTGACATTGATTTGACTGGAAATTTTTTCATAGGTGAAGAAACTTGTTATTTGATTTCTATTTGGGGAAAATCTAAAATTGATAATAACTATTCACTTATTACTTCAGAGGCGATTAATTTATGCGACCTCACATATATTGGGGGATCAATTACAAACTTTAAAATTAATTTTCCTCCTAATTCTTTTATCATATCTTTTAGAGATGGCTATTATATTCTTCCTAAGTTGGCAGCTGTTTTATTCCAAGAGAAGTCTTTGAATATTGAAAACTACAATGAAATAAATACTGATCTTAAAAGCAATTTAAGTTTTGCCACTGATTTAACAGATTCTTTAGATTCTTATCAATTATCTCTTTCATTTGATGCAATGATGAAAATTAGCAATCTTCATGCATGTGTCTCAGATGCTTCTAATACAGTTAGAGAAGCCGAAAAGCACATCAATGAATTTTTAATTATACGTGAAAATCTTTTTCTATTACGGAAACGTTTAAATACACTTAAATCGAAGCACGATATAATCGAAAAGAGGAAAAAGTTTCAAATATTGAGATCAGTATCTACTAGACAAAATATAAAACAAATATTGTATGACATGAAGTCGTGTCAGGATTCTATTTCGTTTGGAGAAAATCGTCAGAAAACAGTTAGATCTTCTTCTTCAGAAATTATCAATTTGATTTCAGCTGATAATATTGTTATAAAAGATACTTTACAAAAAGCTTTTCACGAAAGGTGTCGGATAATGAAAGACTTGAGTTTTATATTCCCATTAAAACCGATACCAAGATATCTTTTAAAATTTACTATTTGTGGTATACCTTTGTTGAATAATAACGCATCAGACGAAAATGATGGATCAAATATAAAAATTTCCCAATTAATGAAAGATGAATTAAATCTAACCGATGAAGATATTATTGGTGCTGCTTATGGTTTTGCTTCACAACTTGTTCTAATGATGTCATATTATTTGGGAACCACTTTACGCTATCCTATTCAGCCGTTTGGAAGTCAATCATTTATTATTGATCCTATTTCGTCTATCCAGGGTTCGCGAACATTTCCGCTTTGGACCAAAGGGTCTTTATATTTTAGATTTCAATATGCCACATTTTTATTTAACAAAAATGTCGAACAACTATTAAACACTCAAGGCCTAAAAACTGCAGATGTCAGTCAAGTATTGGCCAATTTAAAAAATTTAATGTTAGTATTGGTTACTGAATAGGCTCGATATTTGAATTAAGTATCACTATGTGGAAATCATTATTTATGACTGAGACTAGACTGATTAATGAGATACTAGAGAAAGTATGTTTTTCCATCATAACTTTTAAGAACTAAGAGATCAAATTCTTATTAAGAAATAATAACAGAGCACCTAAAAATAAGCTACACAGAGATTAACGTTTTTTCTAAAGAGCACTCAGTTAGGACACCAGATTTGTAGCTGAAATTTGTAACCTGAAAAAATGCTTAAGGAAGCAAATAATTTATAGTATTAATTAATTAATTAATTAATTAATTAATGAATTCATTCGAATGAATTATTAGTTATAACTAATATCCGCTCACAAAAAGCAGAGGGGATAAGGAAAATATGTTTGTTTGTTTTTATTCAAGGGTTATATATATATAGAAGTATATGATATCTGCATGTGCGCTATCCTTTTTGTTCTTTCTATTACTATATATCTTTTCATTTTCATAATAAACTTTTAATTTGGCTTCAACATTGCATCTCCAAGAGCCCGATGCTGATGCCAGCTCACGAGGAACCGGGAGCCAAAAACCAAACCTTCCCAACGTATCTCCATTTGTCTTCATCAACGCTGTAATTGTATTTCTTAATACCTCCAAGCAGAGATAAAGCTTACAATCTCTTGTAAGCCAGTTAAACTATTTAAGAGAGTCGACATGTCCATCTCTGGAGATATCCGTTTCAGTCCTTTTCTTTCCTCTTCAAGCAAAGGACACTCAACTAAAATGTGATGAACTGTTTCCAGCTCTCCACATTTGCAGTTGTAATTATCCTTTTCAATTCCAAACTTTTTAAACCATGCGCCAAAGTTGCCATGGCCTTTAAGCAAATGTTTGTTTGTTTGTTTTTATTCAAGGGTTATAAAATTATATAACATCAGCATCTGCGCTATCCTTTTATTGTCTGACTATGTGACTTGCCGGTTTTCATTTGTACCTTTTTAGTACGGGTGGTTTCTGTTCTGTGCGTCTCCGGTAGCCCGGAAGATGGGCCCTGATGCCAGCTTACGAGGAACGGGGAGAACCAGTCTGTCGGTCCCAAAACCTTCCCAACCCATTTCCACTTATCTTCATGGACGCCCATGTATTTCTTAATCTCTTCCGTCAGAGATACGGCCCGCAATCACCTGCAGGCTATTTAGACTGTACGGAAGAGTCGGCATTCCTGTAACCAGGGTAGCCTATGGTTTTTCAGTCTAGGTGTATACTCCCGTACACATCCTCAGGAAAAGGGGGTATTCTGGGAATCGAACCCAGTATCTTCCGCTTTCGAGCGAACGTGTTACCCTTTACACCATCCAGCCCTTTTCCCCCCCTTTTTTATATTAAACTATTAGCTTGGTTCTTTCTTTGGACAATCCGACTTTAGTCTTATACGATAACTCCATTACAATTTTGTATTGTATGCCGTTGTAGTATAGTGGTTAGTACACTTCGTTGTGGTTTATTCAAATCCGAAGAAACCTCAGTTCGATTCTGGGCAACGGCAATATTTTTTTAAATATGTTAAACCCTTGTTAGAGAATACGGCTAGACCGCAAATTATCTCATATTTTTGTACAAATCATTATAATGATTAGCTAATTAGTTATATAACTTATTAAAAATGTTTTTATGTAGGAACTATTCTTTGCTGCCATTGTTAAATTTTAAGTGTTGAAAGTATTTGTTGACTTTGATCACCATAATGCTATTTCATTTGAATTGTTAACAACTTCGTTAGGACTAACAATACCAATATATCCTTTTTCACCAAATTTACTGATTGCATACACTTTAAGGCGACATTTATTGGAAAAAATTTGTGTGCAATCGTCCGTATTTGTCTGCCGTACATAATCACAGAATTCGGGAAGTCTGCAATTAATAAATCTACCATTGTTATATTTGGGCAAAAGAGATAAAACAATAGTTAGTAAAATGCAGGAAATGAGAAGCCAAACAATTGGCGCCATATCATATCTTGTTTCAATGACTTGAGTATTTACTGTTAGATTTTTAGGAATCCCATCCATAAAATTGGCTTCAAAATTATCCCATAATGATCTTAGTGTAAGAATACCAGCATTTTCTTGATTTCGAACCATATTACACAAATTTGTTCTAGTCAATGCGTTGATTAAACCACTGTTATCGCTAATTTTTTTAATTTCAATACCAATCGTTGTGTTTAGCCACCTTGTAGCATTACTCATAATACCATTAGGGTCTCTAACTGTCAGTTTATTAACAACTTTAACATATGTGTTGTTAATTTCTGACCACAGTTCATCTAGAATTTCGGTGTTGTAAAATTGACTATCATCACTTTTAAACTGTGTCAAGTCAACAATTGTTTCATGTTCACCGGTAGCCCATAATAAATTGGAATATGTCGAAATCTCAGTAAAACGATGAGCAACTTCATTGACAGTCATAAAATTACTCGAATATCCTACAAGAGAATCTGTTTCATTAGTTGGTAATATTGGTGAGATAGCGTACAAATCTGTGACACTCATTTCGGTGTTATAACGCACAATTGCAACCAAATCATTAGACATATCATAGTAAGCTTTTACTAAAGCGTTATTTTGAACAGCAGTAATATTAATTGATTTATAACTTCTGTAATCCAAAGTTAGGTTTGACTTTAAATTTGATACGCATTCTTTCAAAATGTTATTTTTATCAACCAATGTTAGAGAGCGAATAAATGGAGTAAAGTCAACATCCGGTTTATCTAAAACTTTAGAATATTTTGAGTCTACCCTGAGATTTTGCAATTGGACAAATTGCCAGTAAAAGTCACCATTTGTTGGAGAATTCAAGCTGATCAAATGTCCCATACCACTTGACGATACGTTAACATTGTAAGTTTCTAAAGATTGACTGGGTGTCATATAGTTTTCGGGACTAATTCTTTTGCTGACAACACCAGTTAAATTTAATGTGTCATAAATATTAACTGTTTTGTAAGCATTTACGTTTTCTGTCTGTACCCAGCCTTGAACCGCTTTGGAAAATAGGATGTTTATGCCAAGTACTAATATTAAATAAAAACCCGCATAGATGATTGTACTTGAATCTTTATCATATTTAGTTTTTTTATTGATATCAATTTCCACATCATCAACAGTTTCATGATGTTTTAACGAAGTTAAGTTAATATTTTCTGATAAATTGTAATCAATTGTTTCTGAGTTCAGCTGATTGTGTAAAAGATCTTTTCCGTATTGTTTTTGTTTTTGTTTTCGCCATAAATGATACCTAGTATGTAGGTCATTGATTAGGTTCATTTCGTTATTATTTAGAGCGTATAACATGTTTCCACGTTTTAAATTAAAAAAAATTATTATATGGGACAAGACCACAGACAAAAGAGATAAGATGGAACGCATAGTAATGTAAATCACAAACGAAATCCAACCTGCTGTAACGTATATATGTGGCATTTTGTAAAAGATTTGCCTGTGTGTTTTTGCATATCACAATAAATGAAATCAATAGAAATTGAGACAAAATAAAAAAAAAAAATATGTTAAAAAGTTTCCAAATAAATATAAGAAAAAAAAGCCCTATATAAAGAAAATAACATAAATAAAAAGTTTAAGCTCAAAAATTTTGAATCCTATAAAAATTTTTAATAAGAAAATTGCTCGGAAATATAAAAACTTCAATACTAAAGCAACTAATTTTGAAAATAATTTTAAAACAAAGGTTTATACCTTACATAGTTAATACTCTAAAGTGATAAATCAAATATTGATATGAGATGCGTCATCGAATTATAATAATTATTTAACGATATTGTTAACATGCCAAGAATGTAAAACAAATATCGATAAGAGATCATTCATTGAATTATAATAATTATTTAACGATATTGTTAATATGTCAAGAATGTAAAACAAATATCGATAAGAGATCCTTGATCGAATTATAATAATTATTTAACAATATAGTTAACATTCCAAGTATGTAAATCAAATATATATAACTATGGCGCGAAAAAAATTGCAAACAAACCTATAATGTTAATTATATATATATAGATATAAAACGAAATTACGTAATAGGTGAATTAACGATATTGTAGTAAATTTTTAGTAGCAACTAAAAAAAATTAAAAATTATATTCGCCAGAATATAACTCTAAAATTGATATCGTAACAGAAACCTTTCAATTTCTGGTTATATTAGAACTTGGCTTATCCATCAGTAACTGGGGTAATAGGGGACAAAGGGGGGGCAAGGGGGGGGCAAAGGGGACAAAGGGGGACAAGGGGGCAAAGGGGACAAAAGGGGGACAAGGGGGACAAAGGGGGGGACAAGGGGGGGGGGGACAAGGGGGGACAAAGGGGGACAAAGGGGGGACAAAGGGGGACAAAGGGGGGGAGACAAAGGGGGACAAAGGGGGACAAAGGGGGGACAGGGGGAGACAAAGGGGGGGACAAGGGGGACAAAAGGGGGGACAAGGGGGACAAAGGGGGGGACAAAAGGGGGGACAAAGGGGACAAAAGGGGGACAAAAGGGGGGACAAAGGGGGACAAAAGGGGACAAAGGGGGGGACAAGGGGGGACAAAGGGGGGACAAAGGGGGGACAAAAGGGGGGGACAAAAGGGGGACAAAGGGGGAGAAAAAAGGGGGACAAAGGGGGGGACAAAGGGGGACAAAGGGGGGGGGGGGACAAAGGGGGACAAAGGGGGAGACAAAGGGGGACAAAAGGGGACAAAGGGGGACAAAGGGGGGACAAAGACAAAGGGGGACAAAGGGGGGACAAAGGGGGGACACAAGGGGGGACAAAAGACAAAGGGGGGAGACAAAAGGGGAGACAAAGGGGGACAAAGGGGGACAAAGGGGAGACAAAGGGGGGGGGACAAAAAGGGGGGGGACAAAGGGGGGGGGGACAAAGGGGGGGGACAAAGGGGAGACAAAGGGGGAGACAAAGGGGAGACAAAGGGGGAGACAAAAAGGGGGAGACAAAGGGGAGACAAAGGGAGACAAAGGGGGGACAAAAGGGGGGACAAAGGGGAGACAAAGGGGAGACAAAGGGGG